GGCATGACCCAGAAGTCCACACTCAGATGAGTGCGTACAGCTCTACACCGTGCGCATTATTTGTCTCTGCTACGTTTGCAATACAACAGAAACTTTTGCAATCATATTTAGTGACATTTTGATAATGTTTTATTTTTGTACATAGCATGATTTATGCAAATTGCGTCTCAAAAACGCTGTAGAATTTGTAACGCACGCAGTTTTCACATGGAGGCGTGGAAAACCACAGAGGGAACGAAGCCAGAACTAGTGCCACCAATCGCCCAAGCTATGTGGTCCTACATTTAAATAATGTCTGAAGACCATTAACAGTTGCCGCCAGTTTAAATACCAGTTGTATAGAATTGAGATCTGCTTTGAATGTCCCTTGCGTCTTGCGTTGCACGTGTTGTCTCCCCTGCTCACGGGAGCTCGACGGTGACCTGTGCTTGGGACATCTTCTGTGAAAGGTGGCTATCTAGGATTCGTGCAGCAGCTCATTTGTTCCTCGGCGAATGCAGACCCCATCGGTGACCTCTGACCTGAGTGCACGTCGATACTTCGCCTCCGTCCGTAGGCGAATGAGAGCGGCGTGACCCGTCGGAAGGATATGTGCGGGAATTAACGTCGCCAACTTCGGCGCGTAAGAAACGTAGGTGTTTAATTTCGTTTGCATGCCAGCCCCGCGTGTCCGTTGCGTGCCCGTGGGGCAGATGCCCACGGTGGAGCGCCGCTATAAATACCCCAGCAGCTCTGGTGGCTCAGCAGAGCCACGGGCGTAATCCCGTAATGAGATGAAGGATGGGGGCCCTAGGAGGCTTTGCAGCTGCAGCCTGCAGGAAAAACTTTGTGAACACTGTACACTGTATGCAGCGCGCATGCCGCGGGGTCGCTGATCGCCGCGGAGTCCCGGATCGCCGCGGCAGCCGTCTCGCACGTCTGGACGGGCGTCACGCAGTGCGGTCTCGAGGTGATCCTTAGATGCTCAGTCGGGGCCATGCTGTGTTACAGAACCGGCCACAGTAGTTCTAACCATCATGCAATGTGCCAGCAACGGTTTATAACTTTGCTTTCAATGCGAACGAGTGCACGTACAAATGCATTACTTGATATAGTGTTTGTCCATAATAGAGGGTGTTTTTGTTGCTGTTGTTAGATCGCGTAAATATAAATGTGTCGTTAAACCCGTCGCCACCTGACACAGACAATTAGTAAGGTTTGTCACGTAAACAAAACGTGCCAATTCGTTGCTAGTTCAGCACCACCGGTGTGTTGGAGAGTAAACCTACAACATTTACAATTCGAGTACCATGACATTTCACCGATAAAGTCACGTAGGAAAAATAATAATAATAATAAAATTATAATAAATGCAAATTTTGATTTAATTTACTTATTTTCATATATTATTATTTTATTTTATTATTATTATTATTTATTTTTACCTACGTGACTTTACCGAAAAAAACCTAAGAGTATGAATCCTTGCAGTCACGAAAGCTTCAAATCTAAATAAGCTCTGCTGTTGTGAATGTTCAACGTGGATCTGGAGAGGGGAGGGAGGGAAATAAAACCTCTGTGCTGGCATCCCAGAGCTAACGACCCCAATTCCAATTTTAAAACCGCTCATCAGGCAAACGTAAAAAAATGTCATTTTCACATTTATTCACCAGGTCCCACGGTGTGCAGGGCAGTTTCCGATCCTGATTATCTCCTCTGTCTCTTTGGCCTCTCTGTTTCTGTGCCGTGAAGAAGGGGGCCATCGCCCGAAACGTCGCCTATTGTCTACCGTTCCTTTTCAGGCGGCAGTGTTATTGCCGCCTGTGTTGAGTTTTTTGTTGTTATCGATGCTTTGCTGCAGAGTTATTCCATGGTGGAGGGCTGGGGGAGGGCGGTGAGGGTGTCTGCCGTGACGTTTTTCCCCGCGGTAGGCAGGTGGCGAGAGAGGGGGGGGGCGAGAGTTGTGCAGGCGATGCTGCGTCCACCCTTACTCGGGGTGCACCGCAGGGATGGGTCGTTGTCGTCGTCGTCATCATCATCGGAAATTGCACAGTTTCCGTTGCACCCGATCTGCCCGTCCGAGAGATGGGCTTAACATAGCTGCAGGAGGAGGAATTTATCCGATTGGCGGTCGGATTGTAATAAAATTGTTGCTTCGGATTATGCCCCAATTTATTTATTTGTCATTACTTGCAGTTTCGTGGTGGCTTTGTTTGGGGGGAGGGAGGCAGGAAATCCGTGAGGAGCTTATAAAAATACGTTCCGTGGCTGTAAACCTTAAGTGAAGTAGTATTGACACAGCTCTTTTTCAGAGGCGACTTGGCCACAAATGATAGCTCAACGAAGTGGCTTATCGCGTGGAAATTTATAGCAGTCAAATACTCGAAACGCACTTTTTTTCTCAATCCACTGCTGGACGCGCGCCTCTCCACACCGCCGTGCGGGCCAAACTCCACCGTGCTTGGTCGGTGCGGTTTGGTGAAGGGGAACGGGAGTCTTCCAGAAACGCCACTGATGTCAGGCATGGCCGGATTTAGAATTCGGGAACACCGGGTACGGAAAATTGTGGTTGATATATTGGAAACTCGAGCCTAGATAGACGCACCAATGGCATACCATTGCGAGCGATGTGACAAGGCTGGGATGCGGACTTCCCAGCAAGTACCGGCATCCCTAACGGCAGAAGCATCAGTTGCCGCTTGTCGACCTTCCAAGCTAAGCCAGCACGAGGGACAAAATGGTTTGGGTGTTTTTTTTCCCGTTGGCTATTTGCCATGCCGATCCGGAACCAAACCGTGATACGTTGGCCTCGCAAGATGTCTTGAATCTGGCTCGGTGGTGGGGGCCAAGCAGGGCCAGGGGCGGGGCTAATGATGACGTCCATTGCATGTGACACACGGCGTCACTGCGCCGTCTGCGCACGTTCACCGCGCGCGTGACGCCAGCGGCGGTGGGGGAAAAAACATCCTGTGGACGCCTTCCGAGCCACGCTGGCCTGGCGCGGTTCGGTTGTGCGGTGGAAAAGAGAGACGCTACGGAGCGGAGGCGGAGCTTGCGGTAACCTCCAGGCCATCCGTCCTCCCCGCCCCGCCGCACTGTATGACGATGCATTATTTACTCGTGACGGCAGGGGTGGACGGTCCCAACGCATAAAAGGGACTCACAAAGCACAGGATGGGACGTACAAATGTGCTTAGCGCAGCTGCGGTGCTCGTTTATTATTGATGTTTCCTGTATTGGGAATGACAGCAGGTTGCCATCACACCTGTTTCACGAAGTACCAGTGTTTTGTGTGTTATCTTGCCGTTGTTGTCTATGCTTCTGTGCAAACAAACTGAAGAAAAAAATGCACTAGTTATTCATCTCAACAAAGTCGGAGTAGCTTTGACGTTGCCGATTTGGACTGAATTTGCGACTCTTAGAATGACTAAACTACATGCAGTTGTCCAGTTATAAAAGAGAATGGCAAGATAATTTAATAGATTCGATTAATAGTTGTGCAATGGTTCTGCTCCGTAGTCCTGTACTACAAAGGATCAGTGCCGGTCACATGCACCAACCCACATGCACCAACCCACATGCACCAACCCACATGCACCAACCCACATGCACCAACCCACATGCACCAACCCACATGCACCAACCCACATGCACCAACCCACATGCACCAACCGACATGCACCAACCCACATGCACCAACCCAAATGCACCAACCCACATGCACCAACCCACATGCAGCAACCCACATGCACCAATCCACATGCACCAACCCACATGCACCAACCCACATGCACCAACCCACATGCACCAACCCACAGCACCAACCCAAATGCACCAACCCAAATGCACCAACCCACATGCACCAACCCACATGCACAACCCAAATGCACCAACCCAAATGCACCAACCCACATGCACCAACCCACATGCACCAACCCACATGCACCAACCCAAATGCACCAACCCACATGCACCACCCAATGCACCAACCCACATGCACCAACCCACATGCAACCCACATGCACCAACCCACATGCACCAACCCAATGCACCAACCCACATGCACCAACCCACATGCACCAACCCACATGCACCAACCCACATGCACCAACCCACATGCACCAACCCACATGCACCAACCCACATGCACCAACCCACATGCACCAACCCAAATGCACCAACCCAAATGCACCAACCCACATGCACCAACCCACATGCACCAACCCACATGCACCAACCCAAATGCACCAACCCAAATGCACCAACCCACATGCACCAACCCACATGCACCAACCCACATGCACCAACCCAAATGCACCAACCCACATGCACCAACCCACATGCACCAACCCACATGCACCAACCCACATGCACCAACCCACATGCACCAACCCACATGCACCAACCCAGATGCACCAACCCAAATGCAGGGCATTGCACAACGAACTCCCAGGCGCATTGCCGGCCAGCCCACGTGGGTGTTGTGTTAGCGGGCTATCGCTCTCTATCCCCCCTCCTCCTTGTCAGACTTTGGCGGACAAAGAATCGACTTAAACCAGCCTCCCAACGAAAAATCCCTGTGGACAGAGAAGCAGAGGGCATCAATTATGTCATCAGTTAAACGTAAGTGTCATTAACACAGCGTTGTTGTTTTTTTCATCGTAACATCTTTTGCACATTATGGACGTGTTGCAGATTGCAGATAAGATTCTGTACCTGTAAGAGCTCGTGTTCATTCTTCACGACCTCACGCAGCGGGTATCTTGTCCCGCTGTTTGCAACGATGAATGGAATGAAAAAATTGCATCAGGCAGGCTGGGAAAGGAACCCGCAAACTTTGACTCATTAAGTCAATCCGTTACCCGTGTCTTCTTCGCCCGTTTGCCCCAGCGCCACCACAAATAAGGCTCTGATTTCTTTCCCCCCCGCTTAACTTTGGCGTCATTGCCTCATCCCCGCCCCCTCGACTCATCCCCCTCCACACACCACCCCCCACTGCTGTGACATCCACTAGATGCTCTATGACAGACGCACCCGTCACACACACAGTGCGAAGGGTACCGTGGGGGTGGGTGTCAGGAAGATCGGGCGCCAATGCCCATAATTACCTCGAAGCGCCCAGTCACTCGAGCAGCCCTTGGCAGCAGCACGGCGGCTGATTGACGATTACCAGGTACGTCTCGTGCGGGCATGCTCGCGGTGTGTTCCGCGTAAGCGCTGTGTTGTCGTGTGGGGTCAGAGAGCTGGAATGTTAACAAGGAAAAGTGTCCGCAATACACTTCTGGCCGCAGAGAGCACAGAGGTGTGTTGCGTGGACGAGGCGAGGAATTTTTGTTTGTTTGTTGGCGACTTGGAAGAACGGATCGGCACACGACGGAGGAGGTTCAACTGGGGCAGGCGCGTGGTGAAGGCTGGAGGAGAGAGAGAAAGAGATGGGGGCTTTAGAGTGGGAGCCCGGAGGTCGTTGATGGACGTGACGAGCCCGCATCCAGACCGGGAGCGATGGGGGATTGTCAGAGCAGACCTCAAATGTCGGGCGTCCGACTGCGTCACAGCCCGTGGGATCTGGCGGATGGGATGAGAGCGATGGGCTCGGTCATTGGGCCATCAGCGGCTTGAAGCAGCGACGACTATTGGTTTCTGTTTGTTGAAACGAGGGGCTTTGCAGCGAAGGTGCGGTAATTTTGAATGTTTAGATGTCAGGTGGTTTTTGGACTTTTAGTAATTTAAATTTGTTGTTATTTCTAATCTCCCCCCCCCCTCACTTGATACAGCAAATCTGGCTGTGACGGTCCCACCTGATGACGGAGACTTGTGTTGCCTCCGACACGTCGTGATTTTTTTTTACCTACATGACTTTACCGAAAAAAACTAAGAGTATGGATCCTTGCAGTCACGAAAGCTTCAAATCTAGAATTTCTAATCTGCACGGGTGTTTTTATTCGCTGCTATTAAACAACCGGTAATTCGAACAATTAGTTCTTCAAATAATAAAACGCAGCACTTTGTCAGTCCACCCATGAATGAAGGCCTCCCAATACCGTGTCAGATGCGGAGGTTGTTTGACCATACTTCACCATGCTGGTCACTGTGGGTTTGTGAGGAGGGCAGGCGGCTCAAGACCATTTCAGAGGTCGCACGCCACTGACACTAACGCGGGCCAGGAATCCGAATCCAAGTCTCCGGGTTCATAGATAGCACAGTGCGCTAACCACTGCGCCACCACTCGTACCGTAAAGTAATTACCCAGGAGTTAATTACCTTCCGGTGGGATTGGTGGCTTAACTGGTTCGTCAAACGAACAGATGATAAACTGGTTGTTATTTTACTGTAAATAGTTTCTTAAACGGCATGTGAACACTTTGTAACTGTGTGTGATGCATTTTGTGGCTGTGTGGGGTTTCATCCGACATAACACAACTAAATATGATGAACGTTATGTCGTAGTCTCGAGCACATTCACCGTGGAACCGATCAACAAGCCTCTCATGGAGCAACTGATATTCAGACAAGTTATCGAGGTTAATTGTGCGCCTGTGCGTTTCCAACCACGCCGTCAATCAAGCCGTGTAAGTAAAGTGGTTACCGGATCCTGAAGTTGCTCGGTTATCGTATCAATTCAGGTCGGTTGGAGTTGTCGTTCAAGTGCTCACTGGGATGACGTCTTTATTTGTCTGCTAAGTTGAACACTGGAAGGTGCGCAGCGAATAGGCGCGTCACGATCTGCTCCCCTGCCACGGAAAGTTGGCGTTATTTTCACAACTCAATGAATTGGTTGTTTCCCCTCTCGTTTTTACCATCTCATTCGTGTTGCCTTTTCTTTTGGGCTCGTTTGTAAGGCTTTTGTGCATCCCGTTGGCGCGAATGTATCGGCGTGCCATTTCCATCAGTCGGAAATGTGCAGTTCTCAACTCGATGCTCGTATCTTGAGCGGTACATGTTTTTGAGTCTGTCGAATCGACGCATCACTAACGCACGTAGCGTAGCGTCGTTTACCAAGTTGCCGGCGTGTTGAATGGTGCATTGTCTCATATTGACACGAGGTGCCGTTGATGCAACCGGCCACGAAGGCCGTCTCACCTTTGTTGACTGACACGGTGGCGCATTCCTACACCGGACCTGACGCTTCCCCTTCCCTCCACCCCGCCGTGTGTGCGTGCGTGTGCAGGACCATCATGGGACCTCACGGGATCAACCGAGCAGCCCACCGCATCGTCCTGTCCGATTGCGAGAACGGCCTCGGTGAGTGAGCGATGAACCCCGTGGGCTTGCCGGGACACGAACTCACCATTGTGCGCAGCAGGGGGGGGCGGGGGGCCCCCCCCCTTGATTCTCGCTTCTTTTGTTTGAGCCGCGCTCGTCATGGTTCATTGTGAGCCTCTCTTTGGGAACGCTCGCTGCGCTCTCGCCGCGTGTCACGGAATGTGCAGCGTGATGCTCACGCTCTCCGCCAGTGTCCCCTGCGGTGTTGGTTGACCACGACCACAATCCACTCCGTCAGGAACTGATGCGATGGGGTTGTTTTTTTTTGCATCGTTACAAAAAAGGCTGCGTGCTTTTTTTTTTTTACACGTTTCTGCCGTGTGTTGTTTGAAATTTCAAACTTGATTTGAAGCTTTCGTGACTGCAGGAATTACTCTTTGGTTCTTTCAGGGAAAGTCACGTAGAAAGAAAATAAAATAAATAATAGAATACGGCGTTTCGATTGCAACACAAGCAGCCGTCATCAGGTATAAATGAATGAGAAAACAAATGGAGTGGGATGCGAGTGGGAAGCACGCGGGAAGCAAGTGGGAAGCGAGTGGGGAGCACGTGCACTTGTTTTCTCATTCATTCATGACGGTTGCTTGTATTGCAAGCGAAACGTCGTATTCTATTATTTCTTTTATTTTATTTCTGCGTGACTTTACCGAAAGAACCGGTTTTCCGGCGTGCGATAGTTTTCGGGTTATGTTAGGTTTTTCTCATCATTTACAGATGCGATTGATGCCAGCAGCAGTATAATCAGATGCTGAGTGCTTGGTCTGTGACTTTGTTCCATCCGCAATTGACCACTGCAGTGCACGTATGCATGTTGAACTTCTTTCGCACCGTACGGAACCAACCGTGCTAATCATTGCAGTGCTTGGCTCACAGGTGGCTTCTCTACGTGTTCAGAGTGCTTGTCTGTCTAATGGGCTTTCTTCATTCCCTTAGCCTCGAGGTACGGGAACTCTTAGAGAACATGTACAAGCTAGATAGATCAAATTGACCGCAAAGAAAACGAAGTGGGCTTGGGTCGGACAAATGGCTGGAAGGGATAATGTCCCTTGGTTGAGACCAGTGTTAGTGGCAAGGGTTACGTTCACCGTGGAGATGGAGCGATGAAATCGGCGTGTGTGCAGGAGCCGTACGGATTGTTGCTCGCAAAAACGTGCGAGGTGGCGACGGCCTAGGGAGGCCTTCGTCCAGCAGTGGATAGATCATGATGTCAGCCGTGTAGTGTGAACAAATCCTTTGCAGTAATAAGGCCAAGTAATCAAATGGGAGAGAGTGGTGGTGCGGTAGTTAACGCGTCGCGTTGTCAACACGGACACCCGCCATTTGTTCCCGACCACGGCTGACATCAGCGGTGAGTAATATTTCGGACCGGTTGTGGGGAACGCCCTCCATCAGCCCGCACTGGCCAGCGTGGTGAAGTATGGTTAAACAACCCTTACACCATCGAGACGCCTACATCCAGCAATGGATTGACAAACCGCTGTACTGAGACAAAACTGAACGACCCGCATGGAAGGTGTGGGAGTGGTTGGTGCAGTGTGTGGTGACATCACCCGAGTGGACTTAAATCGTGTTTATTATAGCTTAAGTCCCATTACAACTGGGTTTGGTGTGGCGCTTAAGCAAGAGTTGATATTTAGCCAGGATGTCCATCACTGGCTCCGTGATGTGCTCTGCACGAGGCCATTGTGTTTCCTGCACCGCCTCAGTAGCCTATCTTAAGAAAACCCAAAACTCTTTCTACCAGGTAAGCCCCACTGAACTTTATATCTCTTTTTCAGAAGCGACCTGGCCACAATTGATAGTTGAACCAAGTGGCAAATCACGTGGAAATGTATCGCAGCAAATATTCTTAAACGCACGTTTATAAATGTGGAGGAGAAAACCGGAGGTCTCGGAGAAAAATCAACGCGACCGCGGGGGAGAGAGACACGCAAACTCCAAATATAGAGCAGGCTGTCAGGGTTGGGATCGAATCCATGATCTCCTGTGTATCAGGCGAGGTAATTGACATTTTAAATTACCTTGTGGAGATATCATTTGTGGCCAGGTCGCTTCTGAACAAAAGCTCTATATCTCAGTGGACCTTACCTGGTAACATAAAAAAAACAATAGTTGAGTTTTGTAGTTTAGTTTCGGTGAGACACTCATGAGCACCACAATGCGAGTGATGTTTCAGGCTAAGCGCGGTTAGCCTTGATTGTGATGGCGGGGGAGGGGAGATATTACCCACCAGATGCGCATTGTTGTTAATTACAAAGTCGCTCAATAAATCTGCTTAGGACAATCTCTGTGAGACTGGGGCCTGGCAGGCAAAGTGGTGCAGTGGCAGAGTGAAGTCAGAAGTTCACGGCTTGCTTAAGCTCCGGGAGACCTGAAAGCCAGACTATGCTTATGAGGAAGTTTGTATTCGTGCGAACAGGGCACCTGTACCCACATTAGCAAATACTCTCCCTCTCTTGCGGCTCAATAAGGCTTAAGAGATTGTTTTGGGGCGCCGCGGTGCCGCGATTTTAACTCCCTCGCCTGGTATGCAGGAGGTCGTGGGTTCTATCCCGACCCCGAAAGTGCTTTTATATTTGCGTGTCTCTCTCCCCATGGTCATGTGAATTCTTCTCTGGGACCTCCGGTTTTTCCCTCCGTATTTATCAACAAGCGTTTAAGAGTATTTGCCTGCTGTAACTTTCCACGTGGTAAGCCACGTCGTTGAGCTATCGTTTATGAAAGCCAGGTCGTTTTTTAAAAAGAGCTACATAGCTCAGTGGGCCATGTGTGGTAAATTACAACAAGAAAAAACTGTTTTTAGTTTATTTTGCAGAAAGTTCAAATTTTTTTGGAAAACACAATAGTAAAATACGTTCTATAAAATTGTTCTGGTCGTCGAGACTCTTTAACGAAGGAGGCAGCACACCGCAGATGACTACGTCCACCTCGGAGATGGAGCGATGAAATCAGCTGGTGCACAGGCCTCTAGACGGAGCGTCGCATCGGAAGACCTTCAAGCATGGCGATGGCTTGGGGACGATTTCATCCATCCGTGGATAGATCGAAAGCTGGTGATGGTCGCCGTGAAACTGAATTGGATTAAGCCTTCTGAGTGGGAGCTACTTGGTGCTTTTGTTCCGGTCTGCGACCGTGCGCCCATTTGAATGTGGAGCGGTCGGCAAGCTGTGGGGGAGGGATGGGGGTTTAACGCCGGCGTGGCTGTCGTGTTGTTGCGCAGGAGTGAAGGTGATCGGCGGAGTGCGCGAATCCGGAGAGGAATTTGGTGTTTACGTGAAACGCGTGCTGCCCGGAGGGATGGCGGCCCTAGACGGTACCTCCGGTCGCTGGCACTCACTGCGGCGCGTATTCGTCGGTGACACCTTGCGTCGGCAGCGTTGCGCAAGCGCTTGTGTAGCGAAAGAACTCAACACATTCGTCAGTGACCAACTGACCCAAAAATAAATAAGAAAGTGTGTCATCGGGGATGTTTCGGGCAATGGCCCACCTTCCTCATGGCACATTGAGAGGCCAGAGAGGCAGGAGTTCCGACTGCGCTGTGGAATTCTGTAGCGTTGATTCGTGCCCCATTTCCACGGCCACTTTGGGACTGGATTTTTCTGGCACAGCACGATATGTAATTATTCCAACTAGAATTGGCTAGAGTTGGCTTCAGTTGACTAGAGATCGCCTGAGTTGACCTGACTTGACCAGAGTTGGCCTGATTGGTCCCAGAATTTGAGTTGATGGGCAACTTGCATTGCTGAAAAGGTGACGCGTCTGTGACTCTCCCGAGTTCCGTGCGCTAACGCACGAGTTGCGTAGGTCTTTCACAGAAATATTTCCGTTTAAAGGGTGTAGACCACGTTGCTGATGGAATGAAAATAGTTAATTAAGGTTGAATTAAATGTTGAATGTTCCGACCGCCTGGATCATTGTTGGTTGTGACATTGAATTTTAGGCTCGTCCACAAAGCAAAACGAGCCCAAAGAATTCAGGCTGTGGCACGAATGCAAGCCCAACTGAAGTTGACAACAAATAAAATAAAAGCGCTTTACCTGCATGACAACTCGAGTACTTTGCCCACAATGGCCGTGGCAAACGCGGCAACAGGTGGAGAATGAGACCCAAGTCACAAAGTAACAGAGGACACATTCGAGGTCCGGTTTGAGAATGTGTGAATGCTGCAAAACTAACTAATGCTAGCACTGCGAATGCTGTCACTAAGCTCCATTATGTGTGGCGCTGTATCTGTGGTTTATTTACGCACATCCGTCACGTGATTTTTGACACTTGTTATTGATTTGTTATTGTTGTGATTGTTGTCGTTGTTGGTATTTTCACCGTTGGGTTTCATGTCAATAATGTGTTGTTGTTGTTGTTGTTTTTGCTCTTGTGAGTTTGCACATTCCCTCCACCCTGCAATGTCCTGTAACTGCTGTCACTGTTGACGGTCCTGTGCTGTGCTCCGAGTCTCTACGTAACTCCATATAACTCAGTGGATCTGTACATAACTCTACGAGTCTCTATGCAACTCTATAAAACTACGGTGTCCTGCGCCTGCCGCCACTGCCGACAGACGGTCTTGGGCTGTGGTTTTCCTCGTAGCAGAGCTGCTTAGCTCGTTGGGGCCTTGCCAGCTGAAACAGAGCCTCAACGTGAGTGCGAGTGTGAAGGGAGAACGCTGCGTGTGACGTCTGCGTGGTGGTACCTCTGCTCCGACACAGGGCGGCTGAGGCCAGGTGACCAGATCTTGGAGGTCAACGGCGAGAGTCTGCTGGGAGTAACTAATGACAGGTAGGGAGACCTCCTCCTGCCGGTAGCGACGCAGCGTCGTCTGGCGCCTGCGCTCGCTCACTCGCCGCGCATGTTTTCCCGCGACCAAATCACACGGAGAGCGCCCTGCCCTCTCCGGATCGCGAAAGCTAAGGAAGGGGTGACCATGGAGAGTGTTCTGTGAATTATAAAACTCAAAAATTTTAACACATTTTTTTTATTTTGCCAGGTAAGGCCCACTTAGCTATATAGATCTTTTTCAGAAGTGACCTGGCCACAAATGATAGCTCAAAGAAGTGGCTTATCACGTGGAAATTGATAGCAGCTAAATAATCTTAAACGCATGTTACTAAATATGGAGGGAAAAGCTGGAGGACCCGGAGAAAAATCAACGCGACCACGGGGAGAGAGACACGCAAACATCAAATGTACAGCAGGCGTCAGGGTCGAGATCAAACCCATGACCTCCTGTATACCAGGCGAGGTCGTCATCATCTCACCAACGTGGCTCCCCAATGGGCTACTGCCGTGTATAACAGGTGTCATATGCTGTGTTGTACAGTACTTCTGAGCGGATATCGAACCTGGGCCGCCGGTTTCGTAGCGCAGTGCGCCAACCACTACACCGCCGCTCCCAAAACTCACACGCCCCTACACAGTACACACGTAGCAAACATAGCGGACACACAAACACTGCACGCTTAGACAAAGACAAAATCCCCCATATAGCATTAACAGACTTCGTTTGGAAAAATACTGTTAGGGGAGGGGGTGTTAAATAAACATAATCCTTCATTTATAATGTGCGGTGACAATTCTCTTTAGTGAAATATAATCCTAAATGGATTCGAGCAGAGCCTCGGCTTGTCTTTGTTGGCATTCTCAGAGAAAGATCTCAATTTACTGCAGGCATTAATGGCTCTGATAAAAAAAATGTGCAACTCTATGGTATAATGATGCAAAGCCACTTAAATTGTTTACATTGTAAATGACACTTCTGCGATGATGATGATGATGATGATATATTTTTGTTCAGATATTTTTACTGCGATGATGATATCAGTAATGATGGTGACACCGACGATGATGATTATATAATGACGATTATCGACGCGATGCGGATAAAATTAGTGATGATGATGATGACGATGGTATTGATCGTGACGATGATGCCAGTGTTGATGGTCATGGGCGACGGTGCTGGTGACGAATCCCGCCGGGGACGTTGTGCGTGTGTCGCCGTAGGGCGGTCGACGTCCTGCGCCTGGCCTCCGCCAGCAGTCACATGTCGATGCTCATCTCTCGCGACGACGAGGCTCGGTGAGTGGCGACGGCTCTCCGCCACGTGCGACCTCCTCCTCACTCCTCTTCTCCCGTGGGCTCCTCGGAGCGCTATGAACACGGTGACCCGAGTTCCATTCTGCTTATGACCAATAACAGTGGCAAATATTTGAACCCGTTATGGGCCTCCCCTAGCTCGACTCAGCCTTACAAATAGCACCTGGTGTGATGACTGATGCAACTGGACGTGGTGCTCACCACCCACCCCCTTGTGTGCCATGCTGGCCTTCATAGGTGCTCACAAACGGCACTTGCCCCAATAGTGTTAAAGGCAATACAGGGATCTTTGTTTAGTTTTATAAGCCTAGATTAATCAGATTTTTTATTATAATTTGTATAATTGTCAAGCGGTCTTCAATGGGCACTCTAGCTCAGCGAGGTATTTTGTGTAGGCTTTGGTAAGACTAACGCTTGCGAGTGATGCAGCAATTGCTCTTAGTCTGCGTTCAGCAATGTGCTGCTATGCCTTTGCAAGTTGTCGGAGCTCGGCCACAATAAAAACTGGCATACATTTGGGGGGGTGCCACGGTGGCGAGATGTTAAGTACCTCGCCTGGTTTACAGGAGGTTATGGGTTCGATCCCGATGCTGATGCCTGCATATTTGGAGTTTGGAAGTTCTCCCCGTGGTCGCGTGGACTTTTCTCCATGCCCTCCGGTTTTTCCCTCCACATTTAGAAACATGCATTTACAGTATATGGCTGCTATCAATGTCCACGTGTGACAAGCCACTTTGTTGAGCTATCATTTGCGGCCAGGTCACGTCTGAAAAAGAGCTACATAGCTCAGTGCGGCTTACCTGGTAAAAAATAAAAAATAAAATATTTTCGTTTATTTTAATTGCGTGCACAATGAAGACCCTTGCAGCATCCGAGGGTCCCCGCAGGTCGCTGGGTGTGGGATGTTCCCCCGCTGTAATTAAGATCCGCCCAGCTCATTGAATTAATCCGTTACTCTGCGTGGCACCGCAGTGCGCTTGAGGTGCTTATCTGGTGGCACTGGTCATACCCATGATGTTGCACACAGACTCTTTCCTACAAGGACTAATCTGCAAGGCCTTTATATCAAAGTTCATTTATTAGGTATAGCCCTGTGAGCCATTCGGCTCTTGAATCGGGTGCAACCGCAACAAACAAAAAAAACAAAAACATGAACAAGAAAACATTTTAAAGTGACTATGTGCAAACAGAAAATCCAAGAAATCACGTCCCTTTGTGAGTCTCTCGTAAGCCCCTCAATTTGTATAATTCTGGTCATTTGACATGAGTCTGTGTGTGAGCTAATGAGTGAATGGGATGTCAAGTTGGAGATCGCAGAGTCTGTTCACCACTGTAGCTGGCGGTGCTGGCGCACGCCCGCAATCCAGCACTGCGGAGGTGAGGGTTGGTGGATTGCACGGATGTTGTGAAACTCTCTGGCTTGCCAGGAGAAGGCAAATACACAGCAAATGTGGATCCCACCCTGTTCCATCTGTATGGGAGAGTGTCCCCCCCTCGCGTGCGTGGCTTTCTGACCTGCCCCGACTGGACGTCTGTGAAAAATATCTTTGTAGCTCATCGGTATAAGTAAATATTCCGATTCTGGTTTTCTCCAAGACGCCCCGGTTTACTCCCGTATACAAGCATTCATCATTTGGACAATAACACCTTAATATAGAAGGCCGCAGAGCTTGGACAATCGTTGGCGCTGGCTAACCGCGTGGATGCCTTGCTCGCCTGTTTGTGGTTCCTCGTGCCTCTGAGTCATTATCTCTCTCTTCGAGAGCGAGTGAATACTGTACGGCAAGCTGCAAGTCAAAATTATCATCGTTGTTGTTACTCATGGCAATGTAAAACCGCAGTCCAGTGCTCAATGACTTATCACAGAAAAAATCCTTCGTAAAATATCAACCAAAAGTGTCCAAGCTTTGTGTTCTTGTGTCAAGTTAATTGGATTTTTAGCTTAAACGTCTTGGGGGAACTACGGCCAAGAAGGCATAACAATTGGCGTGTTACCCCTTTTGTCAGTGATGGAGAATTCCGAATTTCCCTCCTCCTCCCACACGCGCAAAAAACTTCACGAGGAACCAGAAGTGTGGTTCCCTAGAAACGCGGTGTATGGCATGCGTGTGATCGCTCGCTGCACACCCCCTTGCTTGTTGTGACCAGGAGGGAGTTCGCGGAGCTCCTGGAGAAGTACGCGAGTAACAGCGACGCCAGCTCGGCACACAGCTCCCCGACGACGCCCACGTTAGGTGCCCGCCTGCTCCCCTCTCCCTGGACACACACACACACGCGTACGCACACACACATACACACGTGGTTGCACACACACACACACACGTGGTTGCACACACACATACACACGTGGTTGCACACACACACACACACACGTGGTTGCACACACACATACACACGTGGTTTCACACACACACGTGGTTGCACACACACGTACGCACACACACACACACGTGGTTTCACACACACACACACACGTGGTTGCACACACACGTACGCACACACACATACACACGTGGTTGCACACACACACGTGGTTGCACACACACGTACATGCACACACACACACACGTGGTTGCACACACACGTACGCGCACACACACGTGGTTGCACACAAGTACGCACACACACATACACACGTGGTTTCGCACACACATACGCACGTGGTTGCACACACACGTACGCACACACACACACACGTGGTTGCACACACACGTACGTGCACACACACACACACGTGGTTGCACACACATACGCACACACACACACACGTGGTTTCACAAACAAAGACAAAGATCCCCCCGTATAGCCTTAACAGACTGTTGGGGCAAGTGATGTTCGCGAGCAGCGTCTGAATTCACAGCGTCTGAATGAGCTCATTCAGACGCTGTCTTTCCGACAGACCTGTTCTTCACCTGAGGACGGCTGCTTGCGTTGTGGCCGAAACGTCGTGAGAATTGTATTTTATTATGTTTTATTTTTATTATTTTATTATTTCCCTTCTAAGTGACTTTACCGAAAGAACCAAGAAGATGCCGACGGTTGTTTTCATAATGCACAGTGGCTGTGTGCTCTTCACACACGTTTGTGTGTTGTTGTTGTTGTTTTAAACTTGTGATTTTCTGGCCTGCTCTGTTATTCCGTTGAGGCTGGTTTTCTCTTCGGTTACAGATTTGATTGTTGGTTGTGGGACCTGATGCAGGCAGTGATGAGAAGGAAACCGGCACTAATTGGACACGTATAGGATGGACATTAAAAGTGTGCTGTTGTTGTTGTTGTTCGGAAAAATGGATGGAACCGGAAAGAGAGGGAGACCTCACAGAGATTGACTTGACGATGATAACTTCACAAGAGATTGGTGCCAGAAAGATGTGGCATGACTTGAGCATATTGGCACAAAGAAAGTGGAAACAAATGACGAAATGTCCAGTGGACACCTACAGGTTCTATCTGCCCATAGATCGTGACGATGATGATGATATAGTAATAGGTTTTTACCCTTTCAACTGGTACAAAAAACTGACACCTTTATACAAGGGATCATGTTTGCAATAACCACAACACAAGCAGTCAAAAATGCAAACAAAAAGAAACAACTCTGATAATGATAATGATATGCACTGTCCTTGAAGTTGATTGGTCCACACCAGAGACAGCTTTTCTTAGAGCCCAGTCTCCACTGGTGTTGGACCAGATGACGACAAAAGGCGTACAACTCAAAGACAGTAAAAACCTATTACTATATAATTCCACCGGTAAAGGAGGTCTCATAGTGATAATGATGATGATGATGACGATGTGGTCACGTGCTGCTGCCGCCCCCGCCCCTCCACGGTGCAGGAAAGTTCCTGGACAGCACCTCGTCGACTTCGTCGTCCCGATCCCCGAGTCCCCTGCTCAGCCCCAAGGACAGCCTGAGCCACAACTCGGGAAGCGTTCCCGGCCTCGCGCGACTCGCGAGCCACCACGCCCAGCAGGTGCGCACGCAACAAACAAAAACAAAGATCCCCCGTGTAGCCTCAATAGACTGGGGGGGTAAGTGCTGTTCGCGAGCACCGATGAAGGCCTGCACGGCACATGAGAGGGTGGGTGGCCAGCACCACGCCCGGCCGCCTATGTCTCCTCGTGGCGATGTTTACGCTTCGTACCAAGTACTAACTTGAGGCTAAGTCGACATAGGGGAGGCCCAGGTCCGGGAATCGAACTTGGGTCGCCGGGTTCATAGTGCAGGACGCTAATCGCTGCTCCAGCAACTTCAAGGACAGTGCATATCATCTCTGATAATATATAGCACTGTCTTTGAAACTGATTGGCCTACACCAGAGACAGCCTTCTTTATGGCCTTGTCTAACCAGTGTTTGACCAGAGACCGCCAAAAGGCGAACACACAGAGCATGTTTGTGTGCATGTTTTGCCACAAGCATGTGCAGTCAATGCAGACTTGATGCCTTGCAAACGGCATCTATTCGGTGTTTGAACATCTTAACACCCCCTGTTTTATTGCCAGAAGGGGTGAAAACCTATTCTTATTTTTTTCATCACTTTGATATCGGCAAAAAAGGTCCCATAGATAGAAACTCAAAGTGTATGATATATAAAATCTTAGAATTTTGCTGGCACATTGCATTATGGGTAAAACATATGGGTAAAAAAATACATAAGTAGAAGGACGAACCAGTCCCCTATTATACATATCAGACGACGTACGCGGCACGTTTTGCTGACAGGTTTGCGTGGAGCATGTTCGGATACCGGAGCTGCGCAGATACCGGGGCCGCGCAACTCACACTTTGATCGCTGGGCCCTGAGATGCCACTCTAAGATCGGTGCGGGGGGGGTTCGTTTTCCCGCAGCCCACAGAGTGAGAGCGGCGCCATCCAGGTGGTCTCCTTGGTCAGGACCTCGGGCCTGGGCATCACCCTCATGGGCGGCACGAACCGCCCCGACGGGCCCATGGTGTACGTGCAGGAGGTGCTGCCGGGCGGCGACTGCCACAAGGTTCGTCACACTCGTTGTGCCGCGCTCGTTGTTGTGCCGCGCTCGTTGTGCCGCGCCCGCTGTGCCGCGCCCGCTGTGCTCTCGCCACCACCACGTCGCCGAGAGGCACGGTGATCCTGTACAGCCTCCAGAAATAGCGCACAAAGTTCTCTACTTTTATCGTTGTCGTCATCAGTCGTGATTTATCGACTGTGAGATGAAGGCCTCCACAAGCCATCGGCCATCTCTCACGGTCGCATGATGCAACAATCCATCCAGCTCCAGCGCGCATGAGCAGATTTCATCGCTCGATCTCCGCGATGGACGTCCTCTAAAGCGCGCGTTCCCTCTCGTGGTGTCCACTCGAGTCATCACGACCGCCGGCTATTATCCCTCTAGAATGGGCATGTGAGGACAGGGGACCAGTGTTGTGAATTGCTGGGTGCAACCGGTGGTGACTCTGTAAGAAGGGCAGATTAGACTGGGCATCAGCGTGGACTGGGCATCAGCGTGCCGGTGGTGTCCTGCCCGCAGGACGGGCGCGTGAGACCAGGGGATCAGCTCGTGGCCATCAACAAGGAGTCGCTCATGGGCATCACTCACGAAGACGCCAAGGGGCTGCTGACTCGCACCAAGCTTCGGTGAGCTGCACTCGGCACTCAGATAAAAACCGGGGAGCCGAGACAGCTCCGGGCGTGGAGACGTTGGCACCATTGGAGACCCCATCCTCATCCCCCATGTGTCGCCCTGTGCGCTATGCAGCACGGACGCCGGCGTGGAGATCGCGTTCATCCGAGGGAAGGGTCCCCCGTACTCTAGCGCCCTCCACAGCGTGGCGCTCTACTCCTCGCAGCCCGGCATCCCCAGCACGCAGCCCAAGCAGGTACAGCACAGGCAGGTGCAGCCTAGCCATGTGCAGCCTCACCAGGTGCAAGCCCAGGCAGGTACAGCCCAGGCAGGTGCAGCCTCACCAGGTGCAAGCCCAGGCAGGTGCAGTCTAGCCATGTGCAGCCTCACCAGGTGCAAGCCCAGGCAGGTGCAGCCCAGGCAGGTGCAGCCCAGCAGATGCAGCATCGTGCAGCCTCACCAGGTGCAGCCCAGGCAGGTGCAGTCTAGCCAGGTGCAGCCCAGGTATTGTGCAGCCCAATGATTCACTGCTTGCCAGCTACTATCGACTAGTACTACTGGTTGAACAGATTCCTGAGAGGCACATACAGGAAATTTTTTTTAATGACATTAAAAAGTACCAAAACGAACGCACGTGACATTTTCCTTAACTCTGTAAAAAAAGGTGTAGAGCCTGAAAACCAGAGCCCTGTGGGTTTGGAAGGTTTCCAGTTCCGCATGTGGTCCACAGACCCTTGCTTAACAAGTGGCATTACTGATGGTTTTGTTCATAAATCCGTCACGATGTTGTCACCACTTCGCTCCAGGGTGCCATCAGAGTTTAGAATGAGCTGTGGAATGACTTTCACGTCGTTGTGTCGTTGCAGGGAAAATCTCGGCAGGGCTTGGCGCCCATACCAGTCATCAACTCGGCAGGGTCCACACACGCCGGTATAGCATTCATGAAGAAAAAGACACATCACGTGGTGTTGTGGCAACTCCTGTTACCGAGCACCTGTTGCGGTTGTCACGGCACACCAGGGGACGGTGTGGCCAAGCACTCGCGCTCGGCTGCCTTTGTCTCGCCAGTGCTGACTTGTTAAAACACACCGCACCGGGTACTACTCATTGAAGGCCGAGCCGATGTGGCCACCTCTGTTGACGTGTTCTCCGGAGAGACGAACGAGCGCCCGTTTGTGTCACAGGGGGGCGGCTCTTGAGCAGGAAGCTGTCGCTGGACCCACACGTGCGGCTCAAGGTGGACAAGCTGGAGCTGGTGAGAGAGGGGTCCCACGGGTCCTCGCAGACAAAACAAATCGGCCGCTCGCGTGTGTCCTACCTGGGCGTGCGAGATTCCAGAGCTAGTGGCCCTAACTGTCGTCCTGCGTAGCTCTGTAAGTGTGCTGCATGCTGTGTCTGTCTGTTCTCTTCTGTGTGCGTGTGTGGGTTTGTGTGCGCGGGGAGCGGTAGTGTAGCGGTTAGCGTGCTGCAGGTACGAACCCGGCACCCCGAGTTCGATTCCCGTTCACGGTAGACACCTGTGGCGATTATCTGAACCGGTTCTGGGCCTCCCCTAGGTCCACTCAGACTCAAAATTAAGTACCTGGTGCGGGTGTTTTAAAACATCGCCACTGGGGAGACAAAGGCAGTCGGGCGCGGTGTTGGCCACCAACCCCCTACTGTGTTGTGCCAGCCTTCATAGGTGCTCGTTAATAGCACTTGCTCCAATAGTTTGTTAAGGCTATACGGGGGGTCTTTATCGTTGTGCTGTATGTATGTGGAACTTCTTTTGCACCGTACATAGCCAACTGTGGTAATCAGTGGTGCGGGGGAAGGATTAAAATCTAACCATAAAAGCAGTTCTAGAGAAATACGTTTTTAATATAGATTTAAAAGTGCATAGCTCCAGTGGCTTCCAATATGGGAAGGAACAGCATTCCAGATGGCCGCAGAGGTGCACCTAAAAGCGTGCGATGGAGTAACCGTCTTTGTTCGATCACCAGCCAAAAGCCACTGCTTGGATGACCGGAGTTCGCCTGATGATGGTCGATGCTCCTTGTTAACTGGCTCGAGACGCGCGTGTACGCTGCCTGGCCCCGCTGGTGATCGAGTGATGGCGTGGTGTGGTGACGTGCGGTGCCGTGTTGCGGTGTCAGGCGCTGCGCTATCTGGGCGTGGAGGCGCGGGAAGAGCAGCAGGAGGCACTCCGCGAAGCTCTGCAAGTGGATTCGCGCGGAACGGTCAAGTACGGAGGTGAGAAGCTCGCTCCCCTCCCAGTCTGGAGCCCACTCCCAGGCTGCATCTGTGCATATCAATGTGTGGGTATGTAAGTGTGTTGAACTTGTAACGCACTGTACGTAGCCAACCGTGCTAATCGGAGTTGCGGGTATGGGTGTGTATGGGGACCGGGTAGTGTGCTGCTCTGCACTACGAACCCGGGCGACTACAGTTCGACTCCCGCTCATAGTCAAAACCAGTGACGATTATCTGAACCGGCCCTGGGCCTCCCATAGGTCGACTCGGTCTCAAATGAATACCTGGTGCAGTGTGTAAACATTAACACTGGGGAGACAAAGACGGTCGGGCGTGGTGCCGGCCACCCACCCCCGCCTCGTGTGCAGTGCCGGCCTTCATTAGGTGTTCGCGAACAGCACTTGCCCTAACAGTCTGTTAAGGCTACACGGGGGGTCTTTGTCTTTGGTCGCAGACTTTGTGCGGGCAGCTCGCCAGGTGTTCCGGCTGCAGCTGGAGGAGATGGGGCCGGATCAGGGCGCGGTGTTGGTCGGCACGAGCGAGCTGGCCGCCCTGCTGGAGCCGCTCTCCCCGCTTGGCCGGGTCAGTGACGCACGACAGAGGTCGCAAACGGGTTTTGATTTCTTTCCCGTACCCGTATCCGGCCGCACCAGGGTCGCAAACGGGTACCTGTACCCGTACCCTACCCGTACCGGCCGGGTACGGGTAGGGTACGGGTATCGGGTACCTGATTGCGACCTCTGGGATGAAGCCATGTTGCAGGCGCGGGTGGGTTGATTCTAGGAACTTGAATTGTGAGAAGAGACAAGACGTTGGGAAATGAGTGACAAACGGTGACTCACCAGTGACTCACGGTCTACCCGTACCCGTACCCGGCCGCACCAGGGTCGCAAACGGGTACCCGTACCCGACTGGATATGGGTAGCCGGGTATCGGGTAGGGTACGGGTATCGGGTACCCAGTTGCGACCTCTGCCGCACGACGGGCGAGCGGCGCCGTCACACGAACCCCCCCCCCCCCACCAAAAGATCTGTAGGGTGGTGCCCAGTACGTACCAACGTTTCATTTGTTTGCATTATGACTGCAGGTATTGTGGTCTATGCAAACAGGTGTCAGTTTTGTTGCCAGATAAAAGGGTAAAAAACCAATTATCAACCTCCATAATTGCCAGGAATGTGGGGAGGCCTTCATCCAGCAACAATCTTGATTGGCCGAACACCTGTATACCCAGAGGGAGCAGCTGGTGTGGTGATTGGTCTATCGGGGCTTCATACGCCTTTGCAACCTGCCGCAGACTAGACAGAGACGTTTACAGTTAATTTTGTTTACGGAAAATGCATAGAAGTCGAGTATATGTTTTTGAACGTGCATATGTGGGTGACCCTGCTGTCTGCAATTGCCTGCCCTCTCCACTGGCCCCACTGCCAATTCCTTCTCCCTGTGCAAGCTCTAGGCTCAAGGCCTTCTTCTCCTCCTCTGTCTGTGACCTGAGTCTCCGTCTATCTGAGGTGTCCTTTATTGCTCGTATTTACAAATACCCTCATCTAATTTTTCCTCTCTGCCCTGTAGTTTTCCACCGCGCGTTTTATCCCCTTTCAGAAAAATAAATAGATCCTACAACGATATCACTCTTGTTCAGTTACCTCTGTGCATGTTCTCCCATTTTGAAGCCTTGTGAGATGCAGTTGCATTTAGACGCATCATGAAGTCCACTTTTTGTTATCCGCGTGTGTGTCTTTGCTTGTACGTACGTTTCTAAAGTTGCATGATGCCCGCGCACGTGTGCACACGTTCGCCAGTAGATGCTCGCTAACCAGCACTTGGCCGCAGCAGTGTGCCGAGGTCACATGTGTGTGACCTTTGTCTTTGTGCATGTGCGTTTAACCACATGTTTCTCAAACGGGGTGCTCGCTATGACGGCGCTTTGCCCCCCCTAACAGTCTACGGGTGACCTTTTACCTCCGTTGTTTGTGTGCGCGCAGGGCTTGGGCAGCGACGATGGGGAAGCGGAGCGCCTCAGGAGGGAGAGGGATGAAGCTCTCTTCGAGAACCACAACCTCAAGGTGAGAGCCCCCTCGTGGGCTCGGTCGGCGAGCCCCCTTCGTTGGCCCGGAGCAGGCGCGACCGGGTCGGGCGCGAGCAGTCGATACGATCCGTACAACAAGCTGCGTGTTTGTTGTACGGATTGTGTCGTGTTCATTTTTCCACCCCCCTCCCCACACCCATCTCCTCTTAGAATGATGGTTTACCCCACCCCCCTTCGCCCCCTCCCTCCTCTCCCCCCACCCCGGGTTTTCTGTCCCCTTCCCCAGGAACGATTGACGCGTTGTACCGAGCTTGCTTGGCTTCCACAACAAAACATCAAAAAATATATAGAAAAGTATTTATTTATTTTACCAGGCAAGGCCCACTGAGACTCGTATAGCTCTTTTATCACAAATGATAGCCCAACGAAGTGGCCTATCGTCACGTGGAAATTTATAGCAACAGCCAAATGACGTCAACGCAGAGTCCATTCTAAAATGTGGAAGGAAAAACCGGAGTATCGGAAGAAAAATCAACGGCACCACGGGGAGAGAGAGACACGCAAACTCCAAATATACAGGCGTAAGGGTCGGGATCGAACCCACGATCTCCTATATACCAGGCGAGGTAGTTAACATCTCGCCACTCATAATATAGGTTTTTGGGTTAGATCGTGTAAGTGTCAATGTGTCGTAACCCTCCACCACCCGACACAACCAGTAAGGGTTGTCACGTAAACAGTGCGCCAATGAGTTACTACTTCAGCTCACCGGTGTGTTGGAGAGTAAATCCACAACATTTACAATTTGAATACGACGTTTCGCTGGTAATTACATCCAGCATCATTGGGCGATTTTCCACAATAGTGTTAAATCACGTGCTTCTGGTGTTAAATAGAGCAAGATGACATCATCACTGAACCCATCAGGGCCCTGTCCGAGTCGTCCGCCGGTGCGGCCGGTGGTTCTGCGTACGCGTTGTGCTGACCGGGGCTTGCGCGTTCAACAGGCCCGGCTGAGTGAGGTCGAGCACTCGAGCAAGGATCTGCACGAGGAGCTGCAGAAGGCAAAACAGGTGAGGGCCACCGTGAAATTCCCGCGGAGTCGGAGTGATATCAACACACGGCGCCGCCACAGTCCTTCGCACCAGCACCAGCAACAAGCGCCATTCGCCACTAAGTGGCGGCGACGTCACCACGACGCTTGTGCCAGGCTACGTGCACGTTGAGGCCTCGTGAAGTGTCGAATGCCCGCCGGCAGGAGGTCACGGGGCAGACCCAGGTGCCACGGGTGGACTGACTGAGATGACTGGCCGATGCACCACCTGTGCCCCCTACTGGGCCAACCAGCACCAGCAGCAGTCACATGTTTGCTGTTGCAGAGTATTTTTGTTCCTGCTAGATGTTTCATGGTCGGAGGCAACGATCGCTGCTGTACGTTTCCCAATCAGAATCAGAATCTTTATTTAGACTCGAGCAATCCGATGAGCCACGAAGCTCTTTTTCATAGCTGTCCAGTAGTTTGCGAGCAGATTTGTTTTGCGACGCCTGCACACAGTGGCCTGCTCTTCGAATGTCATCACGTGGCTTCTTAACGTCGACCGAGAGATAAGACGGGGGGGGGGGGGGGGCGTGCAGGGGGCGCGCGTATTTCACCATTAATTCGCCCGCAGCATTACCCAGGGCGGCCTGTCGCATTCGAATCGACGAGCCACGAACGCGCTCCCGCTGGTCCGTGTCCGCCCCTCGCAGGAGGCGCAGGCGGCGTTGGAGGAGAGCCGCGCGCTGCGGAACCGCGTGCACCTGGCGGAAGTGGCGACGCGGCAGGCGCACAGCATGGAGCAGGACTACGAGGAGGTGGTGCGCCTCCTCGAGATCGAGCTGTCCGACGTCAAGGGCCAGCTCATCGACCTCGAGCGCAAGGAGGCCGCCAAGGTGCGGCAGCGCGAGCGGACGGCCCCCGGGGCGCGAGCGACACGAGAGAGAGAGAGAGAGAGCGAGGAAAGCCTCGCGGAGTCTCATGACTCTTCTTCTTGGTTCTTTCGGAAAAGTCACGTAGAAGGGAAATAATAAAAGAATAAAAATAAAACATGATAAAATAATTCTCACGACGTTTCGACCACAACGCAAGCAGCCGTCCTCAGGTGAAGAACAGGTCTGTCGGCAAGACAGCGTCTGAATGAAACACCCCAGGCTTGGAGCGTATATCTCATGACTCTTTTCAAGAGGGTCTTGTCACGTCATGTTTTTCCGGTAGCGATGATTGCTATGGTAATATTGCAGTCGAATAATTTGCAGGCACGGTATTTTTAATTTATTTCGATATTTTTGTTACATTTGGCAAATTTGTACCGACGCTACGCATGGGGCGGTTGTTGCCGTCGCTCTCGTGCATCGCAGCGACACCGAACGATCTGGAAGCGTGCTCTCCCCGCTGCTGCACGCGTGCAGGACGAGGTGCTGGAGCTGAGGAAGAGAATCGCCGTGCTCGACTGCCAGCTGCGCAAGTCCGAGATGACGAGGAAAACCTTCGAGGTCTCCACCGACAAGCTGCTGCAGTTCGTGGAGGTGACCCTGCAGCTCGCCAAAATACCTCGGCGGCCTCATCCACGCACACACGTGTGCACACGCGTGTGCGCACGCTACGAACCCTGCGACCAGAGTTCTATTCCTGCTAGTGCTGGCCACCCACCCCGTCGTGTGCCGTACCGGCCTTCATAGGTGCTCGCTAACAGCACTTGCCCCAACAGCGTGTTAAGGCTACACGGGGGATCTTCGTCTTTGTTTGTCACTTGAGGAAGCCTTGGCCTCCCTCTTGGTGTGCGAGAGAGAATGTGAGCGAGTGCCGTGGGTGAGCGACCGCGTGATTGTGTGCCGGCGTGCGCAGTGAGGAGCAGCAACTTGGCAGTAGGCTTCGAACTGCCGGCTACCCGAGTTCGATTCCTGCTCACAGCCAACACCAGTGACGTTTATCTGAACTGGTATTGGGCTTCCCCTAGATCGACTCAGCCTTAACTGAGTACCTGGTGTTTAAACATCAGCACCGGGGAGACGAATGCGGCTGGGTGCGGTGCTGGCCACCCACTTGTGTCGTTTTGGCCTTCATGGAAGTGCTCGCGAACAGCACTTGCCCCAACAGACCGTTAAGCCTATATGGGGGATTTTTGTCTTTGTGTGTGTGTGTGTGCGCGCCATGGGCTGCTGCGTGTGGATTCTCCTTGCGCGTCAGACGGTGCAGGAGGTCCTGTCCAGTCTGGTCCCGGCGCAAGGACAGCTGGCGTGAGTATCCACGCACGCACACACACACAGTCCAATCGGAGGGCGCATCTCGTCATCGGCCAGAGGAATTGTCGTCATGCACCCTCCTCCCCATTGTATTGTCTCCATTCAGGTTCACCATTTTATTCAAGAGCCTAATTTTTTTCGTGTGCCATTCACAATGTCCCTCTTGTTTGTTTTGTATCACCATCACACGCGTGCGTACATGGGGAGCAAGCGGCGTCGTGGTTAGCACACCTGTGCTATGCACCTGGTGACCAAAGTTAGATTACCGGCCAGTGGCCAACACCCGAACTCGTTCCGGGCCGCCCCCTCCAATTGACGCATCCTTAACAATGCAATTTGTGACACTGCACGCGTTTCGTGAAATAGACGAATAGGTGTTCAGTCACAACGCGGGAGGCGCAAAGCCAACCTCAAGAGTCTCTTGTAGGAATGCCGCCTTCAACCGCATCTTGACGGGAGCTTTCACGCCGGCACGTTTGAATGTGCAAACATCGGGGGGGGGGGGGGGGGGACAAAGGCGACCTGGCGTGGCGCTGGCCTCACCACCCCCTCCGGTGCGGTGCCGATCTGCGCCGGTGTTCTTTCACAGTGGACACCCCCAACAGAGTTCAGCCATTCCTGGGGGAGGAAGTGGGCATGTGTGGGGAGCGGTAGTGTAGCGGTTAGCGCTACACTGCGCTACGATGCCCGGCGCCCCGAGTTCGATTATCTGAACCGGTCCTGGGCCTCCCCTAGGTCGACTCAGCCTCGAATGAGTACTTGGTATGGTGTGTAAACATCACCACTGGCGAGACAAAGGCAGCCGGGGCGTGGTGCTGGCCACCCTCGCGCTCATGTGCCGTGCGGGCTGTCATAGGTGCAAGACTTGCTAACAACAGTTGGTTCAGTCTATACAGGGGAATCTTTTTATTTTTTGTTGTGCATGTGTGCAGGCTGACGAGAGGCGAGACGGTGGGGGCGCATCACCTGTCCCCCGTGGTATCGCGCGGAGTGCGGAACGGCACCGCCAGCTGCCTGGGCCTGGCGGCCGAGGCTCGGGAAATCAGCAAGTCGATTCGCGGGCTCATCGAGGCCGACTGTGAGTGTGGGCCACGAGTGGGCCACGGGGCACAGCCCACGGACACCAACCGCTGGGCGGTGTCCGTGGCAACGGCTTTTTCGAGTGTCCCGTGTGAGCGTGCGTCAAAGTGCGGTCACGAGAACACAGGTTTGGTGGCGTCGGCTTATGAATGAGCCAATCACCTGGGAATGCGCCGGATCTTGATCTATGAAGATAAGCAGGGCTCGAGCCTGCATAGTGCTGGGATGGGCGACCACCGTTGCGCAAACCTGCAGGGCTACATGGGTAGGCAGTAGGAGGTAGTGCAGCAAAACTCACCTGTTGTGCATTTCTACGCGTCCCAAGTTTTTTGCATCACACCTTCAACTCACACTGGCCAGCCATGGTGAGGTGTGGTGAAATAGTGCTCCCCACGCACCACAGGTGTGGGGAGGCCCTCGTCAAGCAGTGGACTGATAAAAGAGGCCGAACGTGTGGACGAACAGGAACGGGCTGTCTTTGACATCTAAGAAGTGTTAAGACTGTGCGAAGAGCAGATTGGTTTATTCTGCGTTACGAAGGAAATCCTTTATGTTGGAAAGATATCGCCATCAACATCACCGAATCTCTTCCTGTGTGTACTCTAAATGATTATCCTCTATCTTACATAGATTCATAAAGCGCCTTGTTCCAAAGCACTTTACGGCAATTACAGAATTGTGCATATGATAGTGGTTGAAATAAAGAGCGGTGTTATTAAAAGTGGTAGGTGTAGTTCCGGTGACAGGTGAGAGTGGATATGGGTGGGTTGGGGTAGGCCTGCTGTTAGCTGGCGAGCGGGGGCCGGGAGTAGCTCTAGCAGGATGATGATCGGCTGGGGAAGAAGGGATGGCGGTTGTTTTAAGGGAGGAATGGAAGCAGGTGTTCTAAAAAGTATGCGGCCCTTGCCCCACCACCTTCTCCAACCATTATATAAACGGAGTGGTATCTCCTGCAATCTCTCATTTACTTGATACAGCTGTCGTGGCTGTGACGGTACCACCTGAAGACGGAAGCTTGTGTTGCCTCCGAAACGTCGTGATTTTTTATTTTATTTTACTTTTTTAATGTTTTTACCTACGTGACTTTACCGAAAAAACCTAAGAACATGGAAGCAGGTGATTGATAGTGAAGATGATTGTCTTATTTGCAGTGGGAGTTTGTTCCAGTGAAGGGGAAAAGAAAAGGTGGGAGAGCGCGGGACTGGGCGCAGGGCGAGGGAGGCGCTGAGAGGGACACTTGAGATTGGGTGCCTAGAGTCGTGGTGGGACGGAGTCAGATATCCATTGAGATTTCTCTTGGCGAATGCATTCCCTGCCTCTAGCAGATGTAGTAAAGTTTGTCCCAGAACATCCACCACCCAAATCAAATTGTGTTTTTGACTTTTTTGGTCCTTGTGTTTATTTTTCTCCCCAGGTTTGCCATATGGCTGGGAAGAGGCCTACACAGCGGATGGCATCAAGTATTTTATAAAGTACGTGTAGCGAGTCGCCCTTTTGTCAATCTACTGCTGGATGGGACCTATTCCTCGTGGCATGTCACCTCCTGCGGTTCAAATCTTCGTTTGAGAAGCCGCTGGCTAACCTGCGTGGTCAGCATCTGTTTCACATCCTTCATTCTTTCCCCAAAAACTCCACGGGTTCCATTTCACACGCTGCACTGAGCTACGAACGATTGGAGCCGTCGTTTTCGAAAGTTCAGCTTTTTCAGGAAAACTCAAAGAGCAGCAAGCTGTAGTCGGCCCGCTCTGTCCCCTCTCCTCCCGCCGTGAATCCTTGCGACGGGGGGGGGGGGGGAACAGATCGACTAAAGAGACGAAAACAACGATACAAATTATAAAGTTCGGAGACGATGAGTAAATACGCTCTGCGTCCTCCGGAGAAGCGGAGGAGGGGGGGGTTGGTGAAACGGCAAAACTTTATTTCAAAAGTCCTCTTCAGAAGTGCAATTTGCATACCTGCAATACCCATCAGAGGCGCCCTCCGCGTTACAACACCGCAGCTTAATTCCTCAGCACCAAGTCCGCCCAAATCTAAATTGGGGATGTGCATCGTACTCTGCAGTGCACGTGGGGGCTCGAGGTCCAATCTCTGATCACCGTTGCAATCACGTCGTAATAATAATAATACACGCACCTGGCTGCTACCTGTCGCTATGCAAAATGGTTTCGTAGGTTCCCAAATACTACTGAGTGGACAAATATACACGTGATTAATCACGGGTGAGCTCACACCAGCTACAAAACCATGAAGCTAAAATGTTAGCGGTGCAACGATTCACTCCATGGTGATTTGGTGAATTGTTGCAATTCAGGCGGTGTTATTTCATTTCAAGAATATCTTTTTTGCCGTGTTTTTATGTGTAGTTTGCATCATTTCTACTTTTCTTGCTCTCACTCGAACATTAGATTAGTCTCAATGTAACGTTAGCAAATTATTCCTTTGTACGAATCGCTGAAACGATTCTCACACACACACACACATCGTTAGCCTTGAGTGTGAAACTTAAAAACACAAATCGACAAATCGATGCCGCGTTACAACCGACAAAAAGCAATCGGAAAAAATACCACAGTTCCCGTTTAAGCGGAAGCATAAAGTGTACGAGAGCCGACGCTTTGACTTTGTCACGTGGCGCGGCGAGCACAGAGGAGTCTGTTCAGTGTCACGCTCCGCCACCCGTGCCCGCAACGGCACAACCCCCGGGTCACAATAATCGCTACGATGCATAAACTCTTCTTCCGAGACGATGCTTCACACTTCAAGGGTCGTGTTTTGTGACGTTGATGTCGTCACCGCCGTTGTCTTTGCACCCCCCCCCCCCTCACAGTCACGTGACGCAGACGACCTCGTGGATTCACCCGGTGACCAGCACGCTCAGCTTGCCCCTGTCAGACGAGGTGGCCAATGGGGTGGCTGGAGAATCCACCACGTAGCCAATCGCGTGCGAGCTTGGACCAGCCATGGCCAGCCGGTCACTGTGTTGAGGTCGTGGAGGAATGTAATGGAAGAATGTTACTTTTGACACTTTTTTTGTAGTGTGCCTACGAGCAAATGTATTATATCCATGTACAAAGAAGAACCCAGTGGACTTTGTAAATCAGAAGAAAACCAGAGCACGCGATGCCTCCCGGCGTGGTTTAAATATTAAACGCATCGTGAATACGATAGTCCCATCGCAGGGCCGTGAAGGGAGACCTTCATCCAGCAGTGTATAGACCGTGGCAAAGGATGATGCATATGAAGCAAAACAGTTTAGTGTTACCGGTACATTGGTTGTAGAAGTCACGTCATTCATTAGCGCGTGGGTTTTATTTTTTATGAAGGTGTTAGCAGCCCTGTAACTATTGCTGCCCAGCACGGTATTTTTACTGGTATTTATTCACAGTTTTTAAACCATTCTACTTAACTTTAGCACAGAGAACAGTAGCGGCGTGTCAATTGTTTAAATTCAAACTGTGAAGACAAAACTGGGATTTGCTTGGGTTTTGCAACCCACGTGGATTAATTTCATGATAAAAAAAAGGTGTGCGTATTTCTGGGAATCTGTAAATACAGAAGGGATAGTGTTATTTTCAACAACATGCCTTATTACGTTTTCATACGATGCCGAGTATTCGTGTTTGTTGGGGAAACAAATGGACGTTGCCGTTTGAACGCCGCGATGTGGGGTGGCAGGCTGGCTGTGTGACAGCCGTGTCTCGCCTTTATTGTGACCCATCAGTTTCCAAGGCCCCATTGCATATTGGCACACAGCAACAACAAAATGGCGTTCGATGCTCAAGTTGCACCTCGAGGCCACTCAAAGTCTGAAAGGCTCGCTGCTAGTAGGAGGTCACGGCACAGACCCAAGTGTTACGAGTTGATTGACAGACGACTGGCACAGTGGTACACGCATACACCGACTACAGCTGCAATTTACCCCATATTGACAGACGAATACCCTTTTTTGGAGGCCGGTCCTGTGTACACCTTGTGCCACATAGGGACAGCTATCACTGGGGCTCCCCTTGGTTAGACTTCAGGGCATTGAAACGGTTCAGATGAGATGTAACGCAAGGCACTTGATTTCCCAGGCAATTCATTGCCCTATGAATCCGAATCCTTAAGGTGACATTACCATGCACTTGTGCCAGACTAGATGCAGTTGGAGGCCATGAGAAGTGATTGAAGGATTGCCAGCAGGAAGACATGATACAGACCCAGATATGAACTGGCTCAGGTCACTGGCAGATGTACCTGCGCTCTCCACTGGACTAACTCACAGTTTTATCGACCTGCTGCTCTGCTCGTTGTTGTGAGCATTGTCCCCCTACCTCCTGCTGTAGTCGAGGAAGGTGGCAGCTGCAAACTTCCATTAACATTTTGCGCAGCCCCCTCCATCAATCCTCATGTTGACACCACTCGTAAAAGCCATTGCCACGCACGCACGCACTCACGCACACACATTTCCCGAAGGAAAACTGGCATGTTCACGAAGATGATGTGTATTAAAATATTTTTTCTCATTAAAATACAAAGTAAGCTACGTCCGTCCGTCCGTGCGTTTATTATAGATTTTTTTTTTCCTTTTAAGGCCACAGTGTTATCCACAAACGTGTTGAATGTTTGGTCGCAGATGATGTGGCAGCATAATCCACTGGGATTCTCATTCCTCAGCTTGGCACCAGGCCTTGTGGCTTCTGGGCCACGTTTTGCCGTGGCTGGGTCTGACCGACGACCGCTGGATTTGTAAGCGAGCACTTTCGAAACGTTCTTGCTCCATCCGCGCGCGCGCAACCTCATTCCCCGTCGACACCGCACAGCCAATGAGACCACCACCACCACCTCCGACACCAGTTGGGCAAGAAGAGCTCACAATGCAACTGTGGTCACCATTTCTCAAACCATGGCCCACGCAGGAACGCCACTGCCAGCTTCGATTATTCGCCAACAGCGTTCCAGATGTTCACCGTGAGGTTATTCCCGAAACCATCCACTGGCTCTCCTCGCCAACCTCCACATGAACGTATGAACTTTGGCTGACCAAACTCGCCGCAGTTTTGTAACGACAGCCTAGCGGCAGCGCGTTCGTCGCTTGTTGCAAGAAGTTCACGGTTCAAATCCAGCGGCTGCCCTGGTTATAAACTGCGGGTGTAATAAACCGTAAAAAACCCCCACACACACACACGGGTCGCCTGCTTCACCGGTGGACGTTAAAGATCATCCATCAACGTCTTTCGAAAGAATAAGCCGTGTGCCAAAGTCCGGGTCCACATTTTGCCAAATTCTAAAATTAACCACAAAATACTCAATCTGGAGAGCGCACTGTCATAATCGCCTGCAACTACTGGCAGTCTGATGCCCATTTGGTGGCCTGTGCTGCCTACACCTGCTCCAAACAGCTACCACCCCGAATATCGGTTTTATTTTGGGTTAGATCACGATCTAACCCAAACTCGGGTCGCCAGGTTCGTAGCGCGGCGCGCTAACCGGTACGCTGCCGCTCCCCACAACGCACACACACCTAAAAATCACGTTCCAGTCTTATTACCGTACATTACTATTACCTGGTGACATTACTTTAGTAGTTTATATGAAGTGCTCTTGCCAATACAATCTAGAAACCCAGCAGAATGTGTTTCACAAGTGTTGACTGCTGATGAGTATTGAATCTTAATTCGAAGCTTTCGTGACTGCAGGAATCCATACTCTTTGGTTCTTTCGGCAAAGTCACGTAGGTAGACAAATAAAATAAAATAAATCACGACTGTTTCGGGCGCAACATAAGCGTCTGGACGCTTGTGTTATTTTCGAGTATTGGTCTGGAAATCCAATAGCCTGATGGGACTAAATATTGTTTTTCTATCTATGTATGTAGGGTATGGAGCTGGTAAGAAGTCTTTGTTGCCCTGGTGCTAACAGAGATAGCATCAACCATGCGGTGCAGATTGGCACCCTCCTCTCGGAGGCACCTGTTTGCTGGTGTTTGCAGCTCAGATAACAGCCACATGTGACCACGAGGACAAAGAGGACGTTTATCATAACTTAAACTCGCATGCACATCCACGCAATGTATGGAGAACCAAATTTGCACCGTACGAAGGACCGCAAATCAAACACAAAAAGCGGTTCTAAAGAAATTCGTTTTCAAGATAGATGTAAAAAGTGCATCGCTCCAGTGGCTTCCTACGATCGGACGGAAGAGCGTTCCAGACGGCCGCAGTAGCGCATCTGAAAGCGCCGTGCGTTGCGGTGACCACCGCCTTTGTTCGCTGCACAGCCAGCCAAACGCCACTGCGAGGACCCTATAAACCCTATTATAATCAGGATTCGGTGAAAAAGGATTCTGTTTGCCGCGAGGCTTGGGTATTTCAGCTTGAAATAAATAGTCGCTACGTCTAACATATGCACATTAACGCAAAACTTCGACCATGTCCAGTTTTAATGGGAACAAAAAAGTCCGTTATCTTTATAGAGAGAGAATAGCTCACAATCGGAAGGTCGAGATTTCAAATCCTGGTTTGGAGGGGTCGACGTGGCCCCATCATCCCTCTCGGGTCGATTAAATGAATAGCCGCCCCGGTCATAGGAATGTGGAATTTCCACCACTGGAAATGCAGTGCTCTTAATGGGAAATGAGCACCAACAACATCGATGCTGTTTTTGAGCAGGACATCTGATGATTTTTTTTTCAGTAAAGGTGTTATAATGTGTCTTGGGTTTGCTTCATTCACGTAGTTCAGCAGAGTTTATTTTTTAATGACGGCAATAGGAATATGTACATCGAGTGAATTTTAAACGGGTTTCTGGAGTCGGCATTCAAAACAATCGCGACGATTTGGAGATGTGAAACCCCACGCTGATGGCTCAAGTGTCCGCGTCTCGAGTTTCGCGGGGCGCGCGGTCGACATGAAAACAAAGAGAATTAGATTTTGTCCCGCACTCCAAAGCGTGCTGGGTTGTAAAATATTGTTGTTTTTTAAACTGATCGGTTTCACCTACATCCAGAACATCAATTGGGGGAATCCCCCACACGCTGGAAGAAAGCGTGGAATGGGAAATGTCACCCCAGTGGATTGGTTGGATAACTTTCAAATGACTCGAGGCCTTGGTAGGGTGCGGGGAAAGTATATTGGGAAATTATATTCATCTTGATTTGAAGCTTAAATTACATTAAAGCATGGAATGGGACATTTTTGCCCGCATCAAAGTAAAAGGTTTCTACAGTATGTGGTGTTTGAACATCTTAACACAAGTGTTTTATTGCCAGAATAGGTGAAACCTATTAATATTTTTTCATACTTTGATACTGGCAAAAAGGTCTCCCCGAGCTACAGATGCTCTGATAGTTCATTGTCTGTGCGCTGTTCGCCTTTTGGCGTTCTCTGGTCTGACGCTGGTGAAACTCGGCCATGAAGAAGGCTGTCTCTGGTGTAGAACAATCAGTTTCAAAGACAATGCCCATATATGATCAGAGCATGTTGCATGTTCACCACAAATCCGTGTGGTTAATGCAGACTTGATTCCTTGCAAAATGTTTCTATTTGGTGTTTGAACATCTTAATTACCTGCTTTATTGCAAGAAAGGGTAAAACATACCCTTATTTATTCAGACCATATTAAAGCATTTCGAGTGTAACGTGTTTGACGGAGTTACATCATCTTTGCACCACTGGAATCTCCACCACTGGCTCAGGAGGGAGAGTGGAGGGGGGTCAAACACTTGAACGCCGCCTCAAATGCTCGTTCGAGCACAACAAAGTAACAAACGAAACAAGAAGCAATCGCCCCGAGTCTTGCTGTTGGTTTGGATCGTTCCCAGCAAACGCACAAAGTGAGGACGCGAAAGTAGCAAATGCTACGGGCCCCGCGCTAAATGCTTTCAAGCTATCAACTCCGGTTCAGTGATTCTGCACTTGCTCTATTACTATAGTACCATACCGCTTTCAACTTTATCAACGACGACTGGGTGTTTAAGGTTAGCGATTTGTCGTATTATACTGCTGTATAGTAGATTAAAACACATTCCTGCGGAGGGAGCTGGAAGGAACGTTGGGTTGCTCGGTCAATGGCCTGCAGGGTCAACGGCGGCGTGGTGTATTCCGCAAATATGCCCGACTGTGAGGGCGGACACAAGCCGGCGTGAGTAGGTTACACGTTGAGTTTTATAAGGGCACCACGGGGTGACCAGCCCCTCCCCACCCAGCCCCACCCCTCCCACCCCCCACCCAGCCCCACCCTCCCTACCCAGCCCCTCCCCACCCTCCCCTCCCCACCCAGCCCGTCCCCACCCTCCCCTCTCCACCCAGCCCCACCCTTCCCATTTTTGGATGCACGACGGACGTACGGACACAATAATCCTCTGTGGACTGGTGAAACCAGGTGGCTACTACCAGTAAAATACAATAACATTACTATGCAAGTAAAAAAATTGTGTTTAAATATTTGTGTTTTTTTATATTTAGGGCCCCTTTATAACATTATGCTACAGGCCCCGCACTAGCTTCGTCCGGCACTGCACCCCCCCCCCCCCCCCACGTGTTTGCATGAGCCAAGCGTCGGTGCGACAGAGCGACACAGAGAGAGAGAGAGACAGAGGGCCACGTACGACGAAGCCATCGGCCAACGTCAGACCGACGTCGTGCTGCCCCGGGGCGACACGGAACGAGCGTTTAGAAGCGAAGCCTCGTGTCTCGAGCAGCGACGCTCTCGTCCGAAAGGGTCGTCGGAGAGCAAAAGAGTCGGCAAAGATAAAGGATTCCCCCGCCCCGTTATAGCCTCGACACACTGCTGGGACAAGTGCTGCTGTGAGCGAGCACCTACGGCACACGAGGGGAGTGGGTGGCCAGCACCACGCCGGGCCGCCTTTGTCTCCCCAGTGGCGATGTTTTTACGCACCGAACAAGCTACTCATTTGAGGCTGAGTCGATCTAGGGGAGGCCCAGGACAGGTTCAGATATAATCGTCACTGGTGTTGGCCGTGAGCGCGAATCGAACCCGGGTCACCAGGTTCATAGCGCTAACCACGACACTACCGCTCCCCACACACACACAGAGAGAGACAGCCACGCGCAGTGGATAACGATGCAAACTCGTCCAGTCTCAAGGCATTGCCCGTCAGACTCGCGGTTTTTCACAACGTTGAGTGTCTCGTGGCTTGTCCAATGAATTCTCACATTGTTGTTGTTATTGTTGTTGTTTGCCTGGTTGTAAAACAACTCACTCGAGCTCCTGTGCATCGCAGTGTCTCACCGTCGGCTGCTGCCTGTGTGCTTCTGGGTCTTACGCACGCGGCTCAAGCTCCAAAAGTTGTCCATTCGGCTTTTCCGTGGAGAAATAAAGCAGCACAGCGGTTGGCTACGTACGGCGCGAAAGAAGTTCTGCGTACGTACAAAGGTTGTTCTTATGATGATTATTGTTTAATTCACTTTGCAAGTCCGTAGAGTAATGTGCACCGCCCTCGACTCGCCCGTGGCTGCGCGTGGTTGATGGACGTCTCGCTACGATCTCGGTGTCTTGGGGTTTTCTCTCAGTTTTTGGGGGTGCGGGGGGGGGTCTAACTGTGGGATTTTAGTCCGTTAATTCTAGATTTGAAGCTGTCGTGACTGCAAGGATTCATACTCTGGTTTTTTCGGTAAAGTCACGTAGGTAAAAAATAAAATGAAAACTAAATTAAATTTCGATTTAAAGCTTTCGTGACTGCAGGGATTCATCTTCTTGGTTCTTTCGGTAAAGTCACGTAGAATGGAAATGATAAAATAATAAAAATAAAACATAATACAATAAAATAATAAAATATAAGAAATGATTTTATTATGTTTTATTTTTTTTATTTTATTATTTCCATTCTACGTGACTTTATCGAAAGAACCAAGAAGATGAACTAAATTAAATCACGACGTTTCGGGTGCAACACAAGCGTCCTTCTTCAGGTGGGGACAACGTAGCGTAAGCACAACCGCTTAAGTGTGTTTAATTTAGTTGTTTTCATTTTTTCAACTTTATTTTTTACCTACGTGACTTTACCGAAAAAACCAAAGAGTATGATTTTAGTCCGGTTGGGGTTGACATGTATGGGAGCAGACTGAGAATAGCAACAACAACAAAATAAAAAATAAACCACGTGGCCATACGACTTGCATCTGGCCGTAAGTGTATTGGCGCAGAAGCGTCGGTGAGACACACAAATTTTGTTTTGGTTTGAAGCTTTCGTGACTGTAGGAATCCATACTCTTTTGTTCTTTCGGTAATTAGAAAGAAAATAAAATAAAACCGTGACTTTACCGAAAGAACCAAAGAGTACACATTTTGTGCTCAAGTCTGTTCAGAAATAATTATTTTTTTACATTTAAATTTAGGAGTTGGTGAAAAAGGGTTCTGTTTGCCGCGAGGATTGGGTTTTTCATCATGAAATAAACAGTCGCTACTTCTAACATATACACATTCACGCAAAACTTCGACCATGTCCAGTTTTAATGTAAAAAAAACTCCGTTGTCTTTATAGAGAGAGAGAGAGAGTGGCTCACACTCGGAAGGTCGCGATTTCAAATCCTGGATTGGAGGGGGTCGACTCAGCCCCATCATCCCTCGAGGGTCGATAAAATAAGCTGTTATCCTTAGTGGCAATAAAACAGGAGGTGTTGAAATGTTAAAACACCAATTACTTGAGACGCGTCTACCACGACTCCGTCGACCACGATTCCAGCGGACTGTTTTTAGAAATGCCACAACTCACCAGCACCACCACGCCGCCATCCACCACCATCACCAGCTCACAACAACCCACACTACAACCGCAAGCCACAACCGTACCAACAGGATCAACCATCAACGCAGCCATGAGGACTCCCCACCACTGCACCATCCTCAACCAATACCATCGCCATGAGCCTCTCTGTGTGGCTTTCTGGGTGACGAGGTAAGCGACAGGGTGGGTGGTTGGGTGGCTGGATACCTGGCTGGGTAGGTGGCCGAGTGGGTTATGTATGGGTGTAGAACTTCTTTCGCACCCTACGCAGCTAACCGTGCTAAATCGGAGTTGCGGGTTACTGACCGCGTGGGTAGCTGAGCGACTTGTTTGGTAGCCGACTGGATAACTGCATGGCTGATTGGCTTGATATCCGACTGCTTGGCTTGATACGTAGCAAGGTGACGGGCGATTGCCTTTACGCCTGACTAGCCGATCACTGGGGAGGTGACTGGGTGATTTGTTGGTGCTTGACCAGTTGGCTAGGCGAGTCAACTGGCTGTTTGGGTGGCTGGCTGGATTTTTTTCTTGCTCTTCCAAGCTGCTCACCACTCAGACGCCTCCCCGTGCCCAGCCCCCGCGCTCAAAGCCACGGGATTATGACTCGGGGCTTGGAGTGTCTCCGTTTCGTCGAGCTTTCGAGTCGCCCTGGGACCGGCGCTGTACCTCCTCCCGTCTCGTCGCCTCCTCTTCCCCCGGGAGACCAGCTGCCCTTCGCTGCCCTATGGCCATGTCTGCCCATCGTCCCTTCCCTCTGCACAGCGTGCTCAAGTCTCTGCTTGAGAACCCGCCCAGCGCTCGGCAAGCGGAGCCAGGAGGTCAGGGCACACACGTCACTCCGCACGCACACTCTGCATGTACATCGCATGTCAAACCCATTAGGGGTCAAATCATCCGAGGTCCCTATGGGGGGGGGGGGGAGTTTGCAGGAAAGCACAGAAAGAGGAGGTTATAAACCCAGGAGATTAGGAGGAGAACCCGGGGAACTAAGGCACAGAAACATTTAACCATCACGCAGGATCAGGCTGGTCCGCTGAAAAGGAGTTGGCGTAGCAGTGATAGGATATCACGCACAGTCGTACACTGCCTCGCGAACACCCACGTAGTACATTGATGATAATAAACTTGCCTTGGATAGTTGTTCTTAGTTAAGCTGCTGCGAGTAAAGGTTGCTTTTGTTTGCACCTTACCCGTACATAAGATGCGAATCGGCACAGCTGCTGGCGGGACACAGCTAATTATGATTCAAGTTCTCAGGTTAAACAACAAAAACGTGAGAATCCGTGGGACGTCGGTGGGATAATCAAAACCGTGAGTGTCAAGGGTTGATACTCCTCAAAGACAATTTCGTTATCTTATTTGGTGACACGCATGAGTACAATTCAGCCATCGGCTGCTTCGCAAGAGCCTTGACATTCAAGCATGTACATACATATGCATGTGCATGCTTGCACACACACACGAGTACACACAAATACATCAACATGCATATACACGCTTACATTGCACATACACACGTGTACACATGCGTGCACATAGGTAACGCGTGCTTATGTGGGGCTTGCGCTGGCTCTACCCCTGATCAGACGAGCATTGTGGGTGCCGCGGTGGTGAGATGTTAACGACCTCGCCTGGTCTACAGGAAGTTGTGGGTTCGATCCCGACCCTGACGCCTGCTGTATATGTGGAGTTTGAGTGTCTCTCTCGCTCTCTCCCCGTGGATTTTTCTCCAGGTCCTCCGCTTTTTTTCTCCACACTTAGAAAAAAATGCGCTTCGAGTATTTGCCTGTTGCTATCAATTTCCACGCGATAAGCCACTTCGTTGAGATATAATTTGTGGCGTAGGTCACTTCTAAAAAAAAAAAGCTAAATGGCTCAGTGGACCTTATCTGGTAAAAAAAAAGAAATGTTTTAATAGTTTAGTTCTGCGGTCGACAACCAAAAATTCCAAAGAGCCAATTTTTTTCCGGATTCTGAATTTTATTTTTTTGTCAAGAGCCGCGATTGGCGTGTGGTGAATTCTAGACAGTGGCCCCGCATCAAGCAGTCCTTCACAAAGGAACCCCTGGGACATGAGTTGTAGTTGGGGGCTGCACGTCAACCCTCCGGGCATGCCTCTTGGCGTGCGTTAGCTCGCAACTGCGGCGTGGCTTCGCTCGGGAGTCAGGCGGTCGGTGAGTCGCTTGGCTCGGGTTGAGGAGGTAGGAAGGTCGCGGTGGGTCGGGCGTGCGACGTTTCCATAAACAGTGCCCAACGCCTTTCTCACCAGCCTCGCCTCTCACCAACCTCGCCTCTCATCCCATAGCCGTCAACCCAGACGGTTTTCCCACCCGTATTCTTGTACAGGGAAATTGAGTTTTCAGGTCCATACGGCGCACAGCCGTTTCAATGCGGGCAACATTTTTTGTGTCTATTTGTTTGTGTTTCTACCCTTGTGATGGGGACTTTGTAGGATGACCACTAAGGTCTCAATTGGTCTGTAATAAGGTAGGGCAATGATAGGGGGTTGCCAGGTATGCACCAAGGCCATAGCCATGGAGTCAACATTGGAGAGGACCAAATCTTCCAGGGGGTGTCCCCCCCCCATAACCACAATCATATAAACAGAAATATATCAATCATATAAACAGAAATCTATTTTATAGCAATATATCGGGGGGGGGGACATTTTGAGCATATTTGAACATTGGGGGGGGGGGATGTGTCCCCCCCCAATATATACTATAATTACGGCCTTGGCTATGCACCACCCTCGCCTCTCACCACCCCCCATCGCCCATCACACCGCGTTGCTTTATACTACCCCCGGAGCAGGCAGGGCAGAGTGTCAGTGCGACTCCTTCCTGGTGTGACTCGAATCTCGAGTTGCCCGCTGGTGCGTCGCAGGCCGCCACGGGCACTGACTGCTGAGAGGGCTTCTATCTGAAGCCGCGTTGGGCCACCGGTTGATGGCAGGGAGAGCGATTCGACAGTGGCGGCGGTACACGTGGAATCTGACATTCTACCTCTTGAAGGCTTGCCCGCCCACGTGCTATCAAGAGACAAAGATCCCCCGCATAGCCTTCGCAGACGTTTGCGGCAAGTGCTGTTAGCGAGCACCAGCACTTAGTTAGTAGGTAGCCACTGGGAACTGTGGCCCTTTTAAATTATTTAAGTTGAACACTTGATTTGTTTAAAACGGCTTTTTGTGTTTAGGTTTTTTTAACTTCTCTCCGCACCTCCGATTAGCATGGTTGGATACGTAGAGTACCAAACAAGTTCAACATACTGTACATACATACGAGGCTGAGTCGACCTAGGCTAGGACTGGTTCAGACAATTGATAATCGTCACCGGTGTTGGCAGTGAGTGGGGAATCCAACTCGGGTCGCTGGGTTCGTAGTGCAGCGCGCTAACCACGACACTACCGCACAACACACACACACCAACATTCCACACACACACACTACAACATCACACACACACACACCACACACACACATCAACATCCCACACACACACACTACAACATCCCACACACACACTACAACATCAACAATATCCCACACACACACTACAACATCCCACACACACACTACAACATCACATACACACCAACACACACACACCAACATCCCACACACACACTACAACATCTCACACACACACTACAACATCACATACACTCCAACACACACACACCAACATCCCACACACACACCAACATCCCACACACCAACACACACACACCAACACACACACACACCCCAACATCCCACACACACACCAACATCCCACACACCAACACACACACACACACCAACACACACACACACACCAACACACACACCAACATCCCACACACACACCAACATCCCACACACCAACACACACACACCAACACACACACCAACACACACACACACTACAGCATCACACACACACTCCAACATCCCACACACACACTATAACATCCCACACACACCAACATCCCACACACACCAACATCCCACACACACACACCAACATGCCACACACACACAAACATCCTACACACACACGCGCGCGCTCAACAAATCACAAAGTTGTTGTTATTCGCGACAACCACTTACTGAGAGAACGCCGAGCTTGCTACTCTGCAGTCGACCTCGCTGTCCGTCGTCTTGCTGCGCTGGTTCGACATAATTCGCTCTCTGTGTCCCTGTGAGAGAGACAGAGAGAGAGAGAGACACACAGAGATAGACAGAGAGACACAGAGAGAGACACAGAGAGAGAGAGAGAGACACAGAAAGACAGAGAGAGACACAGACAGGCAGAGAGAGAGAGACACAGAGACACAGCGAGAGACAGAGACACAGAGAAAGAAACAGAGAGAGAGACAGAGAAAGAGGCAGACGGAGAGTTCTGGCTCGGTGTTGTTTCCACCATTCGCCCTGGAAGGGATGGGGCGGGGGATTGGTCACCCCACTCCTCAATGTGCTTTAGATTTCATCCAGAATTCAGAGGGGGCAGCAAGCCTAACGAGTGGAAGCATGACTCTCTCTCCCTGTCCTCTATTGTTACGCAAATTACGCAATGCCATAGATAGGGCTTTGGCAACCTAGACAGAGAGGGTTGCCCGCATTCACAATCGGACTCGAGCCAATTTTTTTATACCTCGAGAATTGGCAAAGTGGGCAACCTTGGGGAGGAAAATCATCAAGTGGAGAGAGATCCCGTTTCGTGGTTATTGCTCTGGGTTCGCACCCAAGGGGTGGTCAGTGTCAGATGAAACTAGTGCGGGGCCTGTAGCATATGATGTTATAAAGGGGACCTCAATAAAAAAAACGAATATTCAAGCACAAATGTTTTACTTGCACAGTAGAGTACTGTAATTATATATTTTTTTTATTTGCTATACAGCCAGCTAATACGGCAAATCGCTAACCTTAAACACCCAGTCGTTCATAAAAGTTGAAGGCAGTATAGTACTATAGTAATACAGCAAGTGCAGAATCATACTCTTTGGTTCTTTCGGTAAAGTCACGTAGGTATAAAATAAAATAAATCACGACGTTTCGGGCGCAACACAAGCGTCCGGAATTGATAGCTTGAAATAATTTAGCGCGGGGCCCTTGAAAGTGCGGGGCCTGTAGCTACTACATATATGTAGTAGCTACTACATATATGTAGTAGCTACTACATATATGTTGTAGATACTTGTGCTACTAGGATAATCCGGCACTGGGGGTGGGTGGTTGTGTACACAACGCACGCGTGCGTATACATACGGCACGTGCATAGGTGTACATGCAGCCGTTCATACGCACACGCATGTGCATGCGGGCACGTACATGCGTGGACATGCTTACGACTGGCGCCGTTCGTCTCTGAGTGGTGGTGACGTCTCCGCAGCGATTGTGCCAGGCTAGGTGCACTTACATACACACGAATGCATGCGTATATATGCTGGACATACGTACGTAGGTGTGCGTACGTGCAACACACACGCCGACGTACACAGACATGATTCTTCATTGTTTATTTTTTAAAATCTTAGATAAGGTCGTGTCGAAGTGTGTGTCGTGAACCCACCACCACCCGACACAGCCGCGTTTATAATAAATAATCTCGTGAGTCAATGCGTGGCTGCGGGGGGTATGGACGGGTGGGTTGGTGGTTGCATCCCGGCATCATCAGGCTGTGGACGCAGGGGCTCAGATGTCGAGCGAAAATACCGATCCTCGATCACCCGGGGTCAGAGTTAGTAGACGCCATGACGTCACAGGCACAGAAAAGCACGTGGACCTCATTATATAATTATTACACGGTGATTGCTCGCCGTTGATTGGCTGTGACTGGCATGCGTTGCGTGATAAGGCGAATCTGGCGTTTGGTGATAGAAAGATATCGTTCATTATGTTGAGGCGTTATTTTGTGTTCGTAGTGATTCTGGTCATTTTGCTTTTACTCGAGATCAGAGCAGATTTTGCCGATAAACTCTCGATTCTTCGTGATTAACCCTCTTGTGCAGTGACATTTGTCAATGTGTCCCTGTTAGTCATGGGACCTTTTGGCCGGTATCAAAGTATGAACAAATAGGAATAGATTTTTACCCTGTCTGGCAATAAAACAGGAGTTGTATTAAGATGTTCAAATATCAAATAGATATATTTGTCAAGGCATCTAGTACTGCAGTAACCACAAGCACTGTCATACTAGGCCACAAAAACGTCTGTTGTATATGATGTTGGACAATCAGTTTCATACACAAGGCCCATATCAGTTTAACACGTAGGCGTTCGCGACCAATATGAATCATAATAAAGGTTTATGGGTTAGATCGCGTCATTTATTCTAGTTATTTTTTTAATCTCTGTGCCTTATATAAAACTGAGTTTATTATTATAAACGTGCGTTGTTTGTCTTTGCCTTGCTGTTAATCATCTCGGTGACCCAGCAGATCACTCTTGCCAATGAGACTCTGCCAGAGGTGGGACAAAGTCATTGTTATGCAAGTCCAAGTCGAGTCTGAAGTCATCAAATTCATGACTCGAGTCTGACTCGAGTCCAAGTCACATGACTCGAGTCCACACCTCAGAGGTGGGACAAAGTCATTGTTATGCAAGTCCAAGTCGAGTCTGAAGTCATCAAATTCATGACTCGAGTCTGACTCGAGTCCAAGTCACATGACTCGAGTCCACACCTCAGGACTCTGCGGATGCAGCATGTGTCCATGTTGAACTTCTTTCGCACCGTACGTAGCCCCGGTCCTCTTGAGTCAACTCGGCCTCAAACGAGTACCCGGTGCGGTGCGTAGTGAACATCGTCGCAGGGGAAGCAAAGGCGGTCGGGCGTGGTGCTGGCCACCCACCCCCTCGTGTGCCACGGTGCCGGCCTTCATAGGGGCTGCTACTCGCTAACAGCCACTCGCCCCAACAGTCTGTTACAGGCTACACGGGGGATGTGGTTTCTTTGTCTTTGCACCATGTATGCATGCTGAACTTCTTTCGCACCGTACGCGGCACCTCACCCTGGCCAGACACAATATTGACACCTAGCTTGTGCCCGAACCGTCCGCTCGAGCAGAAAAGGCAAAGTTCATCGACGGAGATGAAGAGGACCCCAGGGGCCACCTCGGGGTCTCGGCCTTCTTTGGACCCACGCTCTGGGACAAGACGCTGCCCTACGACGACAGCTTCCAGCTCGAGTACATGGACCTGGACGAGTTCCTGCTCGAGAACGGAATCCCTCCGGCGGCCAACTCCGCCGTGGCCACGGCTCTTCCCGCGGCAGCGGCCCCGGGACTGGGACCGGCTCCCCAGCCGCTGCCGTCCCCGCCTCTCCCCGCTCGGGCGCCGTCCGTGGGCGATCTGCCACCGGGGCCGAGCGGCTGCCGTGCCATCAACGTCGATCCTCTTTCATCGCGTAAATATTTACGCGATCTAACCCACCCACTCATCCCACCCCACCTCCACCTCCACCCCCAAACACATTCCTGCGGAGGGAGCTGGTAGGAACGTTGGGTTGCTCGGTCAATGGCCAGGGTCAACGGCGGCGTGGTGTATTCCGCAAATATTCCCGACTGTGAGGGCGGGCACAAGCCGGCGTGAGTAGGTTAAACGTTGAGTTTTATAAGGGCACCACGGGGTGACCAGCCCCTCCCCTCCCCACCCAGCCCCACCCTCCTCACCCAGTCCCTCCACACCCAGCCCTTCCCCACCTTCCCCTCCCCACCCAGCCCCACCCTCCCCACCCCTCCCCACCCTCCCCTCCCCACCCAGCCCCTCCCCACCCAGCCCCTCCCTCCCCCACCCAGCCCCTTCCTGCACGACGGACGGACGGACACAATAATCCCCTGTGGGCTGGTGTAACCAGGAGGTTCCTACCAGTAAAACCTGGGTGATATCCGTCGCGAAAGCCTCGTGCGTGTTAAACTCTCGATCCTCTTAGTCGTCGTCGTCGGAGCTTCGTCTTATTGATTCTTGCCGGAGGAAGCCGATGAGCTCTGAGATTCGTTTTTTGTGTGTGCAGGAGCAGGGTCGTCATTTACGCAGTCACCTGCCTCTGTAATGCTGCCCCGCTTCTGCTGCAAGCGCAGACGATGTAACACTGAACCCCCCTCCCCATACGTCCACCTATAAATGTGTGTTCTGTCTTCGCGATGTCCTGTGCTTGGCAACGTGCTCTAGGCAATGTTGTGATGTGATGTGCTGCAGGTGTTGTGCTGTCAACCTGGACGCTGATGTCCTAGCCACTGTTCCGTAAGCTGTAAATGTATGTTGAACTTCTTTCGCGCCGTACGTTGCCAACCATGCTAATTGAAGGTGCGAGGGAAGGACAACAAACTAACGCACACAAATCTGTTGTAAAGAAATGCGTTTTCAATATGCATTTAAAAAGTTGCACATAGCTCCAGTGGCTTCCGAATATCGGAAGGAAGAGCGTTCCAGACGGCCGCTGTGCTGTAAGCTGTCCTGTACTCTTTGTTTTTTTCGGTAAAGTCACGTAGGTAAAAAATAAATGAAAACAACTAAATTAAATCACGACGTTTCGGGCGCAACACAAGCGTCCTTCTTCAGGTGGGGACAACTTAGCGAGAGCACATCGCGAAGACGGAACACACGGTGACACACTTGAGCGGTTGTGCTTTAGCTACGTTGTCCCCACCTGAAGAAGGACGCTTGTGTTGCGCCCGAAACGTCGTGATTTAATTTAGTTGTTTTCATTAATTTCATAATTTCTTTTACCTACGTGACTTTACCGAAAAAAACAAAGAGTATGAATCCTTGCAGTCACGAAAACTTCAAATCTAGAATTGTCCTGTACTGTAAGTGATGTGCTGTAAGATGTGTTAGGCTTTGTTCTGTAAGCTGTGCTGTGTTAGACATTGTATTGTAAGCTGCGCTGTCATATCCGTGTTGTGCTGCAAGATGCGCTGTAAGATGTGCTAGACATTGTCCTCTAAGCTGTGCTGCGATGTGCCACGAGTCTCGTGCTCTAAGCCGTGCTGTGTTAGACATCGTGCTCTAAGCCGTGCTGTGTTAGACATCGTTCTCTAAGCCGTGCTGTGTTAGACATCGTGTTCTAAGCCGTGCTGTGTTAGACATCGTGCTCTAAGCCGTGCCGTGCTGTGTTACACATCGTGGTCTAAGCCGTGCTGTGTTACACATCGTGCTCTAAGCCGTGCTGTGTTACACATCGTGCTCTAAGCCGTGCTGTGTTAGACATCGTGCTCTAAGCCGTGCCGTGCTAGACATGGTGCTCTAAGCCGTGCTGTGTTACACATCGTGCTCTAAGCCGTGCTGTGTTACACATCGTGCTCTAAGCCGTGCTGTGTTAGACATTGTGCTCTAAGCCGTGCTGTGTTACACATCGTGCTCTAAGCCGTGCTGTGTTAGACATTGTGCTCTAAGCCGTGCTGTGTTACACATCGTGCTCTAAGCCGTGCTGTGTTAGACATTGTGCTCTAAGCCGTGCTGTGTTACACATCGTGCTCTAAGCCGTGCTGTGTTACACATCGTGCTCTAAGCCGTGCTGTGTTAGACATTGTGCTCTAAGCCGTGCTGTGTTACACATCGTGCTCTAAGCCGTGCTGTGTTAGACATTGTGCTCTAAGCCGTGCTGTGCCGAGACGCTGTAGACGTCGCGCTGCAACCTCCACGCCGCTGCTGCCCTCATCCTCGTGCTGCGATCGCGTCCCCCGAAAATCGACAGAGCCGAGCGACGCGGTGCCCGGCAGCCCGGACGCTCCGCCGGACCACGAGACGGAGCCCGCGGAGCAGCAGCTGGTGCGCTCCTCGCTGACCCGCCAGGGGACCTTTGACCCCCGGCAATGCAAGTTCTCCGACATGGAGCTCAAGCCGCAGCCCATCGTGAAGAAGGCGTGCAAGAGTCACGTGCCCGACGAGCTCAAGGTCAGCAAGGGGGGAGGACACCGCCGAGTCGACAAGGGGTCATTCGCCGTGGGCTGCTCGGGATTTTAACCCAGGGCAGAGGTCGCAAACGGGTTTTGATTCCTTACCCGTACCCGGCCGCACCAGGGTCGCAAACGGGTACCCTACCCGTACCCGGCCGGGTACGAGTAGGGTACGGGTATCGGGTACCCGATTGCGACCTCTGGGATGAAGCCATGTTGCAGGCGCGGGTGGGTTGATTCTAGGAACTGCAGTCACGAAAGCTCCAAATTAAGATTGATTCTAGGAACTTGAATTGTGAGAAGAGACAAGACGTTGGGAAATGAGTGACAAACTGTTACTCACCAGTGACTCACGGCCTACCCGTACCCGTACCCGGCCGCACCAGGGTCGCCGGGTATCGGGTAGGGTACGGGTATCGGGTACCTCTGACCCAGGGTCCTCCGAGCCACCCGCGGGCCGAACTCATCAAGCACTGGATGCTCGAAGGCGCTGAGCACGGTTGGATACGCGCGGTGCGATAGAAGTCCTCCTACACATGTATTTAAATTAATATTTACGAGATCTAACCCAAAAAAAACCTCTATTGTGGATTATGGACGATACCGGTCGCGAAATCCTACGAGGTGTTAGAAACGAAGCCACAACAACAATAATAACACTGGTCAATAAAAAAACATCTTTTTTTTCTGGCCTGGACTTTTGCAGCTGTTTTAAACTAATTTCAGGGTGCTGATTCCAAATCTGATCTCAGATTTGCTCTATCACATCTCATTTTTATGCTATCGGCATACCCCATTTTCATTTATTTTACCCGAAATTAACTGTCAGTTATGATTGCAAGTTGTTGCGAGTCAGTGACTGCTTTAGTGTTAACATATGATGCTGTATTTTTAGGATAGTGTGGTTATAATATCATTTTATGTAGATATCCACATTTATTGAATATTTTTCTTCTGCAGTTTTTATTGAAAATGCAATATTTGATATCTCAAAAACCTGATGTGATAGACAAAAACTGATGCCACATTTGGAATCGTCACCCCAAAATTACCTTAAAACCGTTGGAATACCTTATGCCAGAAAAAGTGTGTTGACCAGTGTAATCCCACTCCTCCGCCCGTCGTTGTGTGCCAGGACGAGCGCTACTGGGCTCGACGCAGGAAGAACAACACGGCGGCCAAACGTTCCCGCGACGCGCGTCGTCTCAAGGAGAATCAGATCGTGGTGCGCGCCTCCTTCCTGGAGCAAGAGAACGCCGCGCTGCGTCGTGAGCTGGCCGAGATGCGCCGTGACCTGGGCCGCGTGCGTAACCTCACGGCCAAGTACGAGGCCCAGGGGGAGAGCCATGGGGAGAGCCATGGGGAGGCCCGGTGCTTGAGCGAGATCGCTCAGAGCGGTGGTTCTTCGTCTTCTGCTTCTTCTGCTGCTGCTTAACCTGGGGGTGCACGTGAGACGTGGCCGAGTTTTTTTTTTATTTTAGAAGGTAAATCATCGAAAACGCGAACTAAGCACGGGCACGCAAGCTCCAACTTACTTTGTTTCATCAAACCCGATGTAGTTATTGACATTATAATTTTTTTACGATTGTCAAGGTTATACGAACCACCGAGTTAGATTAACGACAGCCTTGTGATTCATTAGCGAGCACGCGTGTGTGTGTGGTGTTCGCGTGCGATGGAACGGTGGTGTATCCGTCAGCGGGCCACGCTACGAACCTGACGACCCGAGTTCGATTACCGCTCACGGCCAACACCGGTGACGAGTATCCGAACCGGTCCTGGGCCCTCCCCTAGGTCGACTCAGCCTCAAATGAGTACCTGGCTCGGTGTGGAATAAACATCGCTACTGGGGAGACAAAGGCGGCCGGGTGTGGTGCTGGCCACCCACCCCCTCGTGTGCCGTGCCGGCCTTCATAGTCTGTTACAGGCGATGCAGGAGATCTTTGTTTATCGGAATATTTCTACTGGAGGAATTCAATGAGCCATGAAGCTCTTTTTTAATCCTTTATATTAAGTTCACTTGCTTGCTTGCTTGCGTGCTTACGACCGTGCAAATCTTTCGGTCGTTTTTTAACCCACTTCCCGTGATCCAATCGAGCTGACATTTTCCACACAGACTCGTTGTGCGTGACAATTAATTTTCGTGAAAATTTTTTCCCAAAATGTTACACTTTTTAGGGAAAAAAATGATATTTAATTACCAATTGCTTAATGGTGGCAGGCAATCATCTGACTCACAGGTGGCAGCCATCTCAAGCCAGAGGACGAGAGGACTCTAGCCGCCACGCATATAAAGGATTTATAGTGAAAAACTTTGTTTTTACGGGTTAATTTTTTTCACATATGTTCTAGCAGGTGGGGGTCAGAACGTTGTAACAACAAATAACACTAAAACACAAAAGGAGTGCAAATTCTAGGCAAGGTGTACAAATCAGTGAAATAATAAATCCAAATAAAACTCAACCAATTTTTTTTTTATCTCACTAGGCAAGGCCCACTGAGCCATACGCTTCTTTTTGCAGAAGCGACCTGGCCACAGACGATAGCTCGGCCAAGTGGCCGTCTCATCGTGTGGAAATCCACGGCAGCAAAATCATCCCGCCCGATGCACTCGGCATTCAACGAGGGGTTGTCGCCACTCCAGCGACGTGCACAGCGGTCATTGTCGCGTTCTGTTCACGAGAGAAGCGTTACCAATGGGCTAAGTCGAGTCGAAAGGGAAAAAAATAATTATCATATTTTGTTACTGGCAAATGAGGTTCCAGCGGTGTAAATGCTTACCCCGAGCTCTCATACTCTTGATGGTTCATTGTCCTTGATTCTAGATTTGAAGCTTTCGTGACTGCAAGGATTCATATTCTTAGGTTTTTTCGGTAAAGTCACGTAGGTAAAAAATTAAAATGTTACTTTTATTAATTTTAATTTTTTACCTACGTGACTTTACCGAAAAAACATAAGAATATTAATCATTGTCCTTGAGTTGTGCGCCTTTTGGCGTCATCTGGTCCAACACCATGTGAGACTAGGCTCTAAGGAAAGCTGTCTCGGGTGTGGACCAATCAATTTCAAGGACAGTGCATACATTATCAGAGTTATGTTTTTTTGTTTGCATTCCGACTGCAGGTATTGTGGTCAATGGAAACATGACTCCTTGTAAAAAAAGGTGTCAGTTTTGTTGCCAGATAAAAGGGTAAAAACCCAATTATCATATTTTGCTACTGGCAAATGAGGTTCCAATGGAGTTAAGACTCTTTCAGCGTGTCCATCTGTCCCCGCCGAGCTGAGCTGGTGTGTTGTATTTATCGTGGCTTTCAGTGTTGTCAAGTCGTCTAAACATGGAAGGAGATGGACCAAGGTTATTGTCTCCCCGCTTGTTTAAATGTTTTCGCACTTTGGCATTACATTCAGCTTTGCACGTACTGTACTGCATGACCCAATCCACGCATTGGCCAAGTAATCCTTTGTGTTTTATTTGAGCAAAAACCCCATGCCAATGTTTCCTCCGCCAACAATTGGGAACAAAAAAAAACATCTCATTGCATCTTACGTGTATAATCTGCTTAATTTATCATTTAAAAAAAAACGTATTGTCCAGCAGCCACTGCTGGCATTGTCTGTTGCAATTTATATTGATGTGCTCGAGTAGCCCCCCGATTTCTCTGTCACCGATTCTCAATTGGTGCATCACACGCAGCCGATGATATGACTTCCAAATGTATTCAGTAAGCTCCAAATGTCTTTGACAAAATATATTAAATATTTACAAAATATATGACATGCACATGGTTATCCTCGTTACGAAGATACGGTTTTTTTTCTGGAAGGACGTAGCAATGTTTTTGTTCATCATTAATTTTGCAAACAATTTAAGATCAACCACAAGTTCTTTGTCAAACCAAGACGGTATATTTCTTGATGGCCTGGTAGCCATCAACAGGAAGTCTCAGGCAACAGAGTTCATAAGAGATTGCATAATGCTCCCCCCCCATGGGACTCAATTATAGAAGATAAAACATCATATACTATTTCAACTAGTGAATTCAGACTTCTTGAAGGTTAAAGTCTTACCTTCGTAACCAAGCCATTTCTGAGACCGCTTAAGGAACAGCTGATGTATCAGTCCTCTGTGACCTATATTTTTGTGTGGATGAGGCCACCACAAATATGAAAGACAAGAGTGGACTTAAAATTATAAATAAACGTAAGAGGTTTGAGTATTCACACTTACCGCACCATACACGGCCTGCCGATGGACTAACTTTGAGTTGCCCATTCATACTGCTGGGCAGACAGAGGAGGGATGGTCCGGGACAGAGACAAACATTATTTGACAACTTTGGCTTTATTATAGACACTGCTCAGGTGCTCTGATATTCTTGCATTCTTAAAATTCTAAGCATAAATGAAATTGCACTTTTTTTCCCCATTTCGGGGAAGAGGTTTAAAGTAACACTGAAAAAACTCAACATGCTGACCGTCTTGATAAAACACAAATATTCCATCAGCCACGTACGACCTCGTGTCTAAATGAACATAAACCCCCCGGCGATTAACGCGGGAACGAGGCACACGAGGTTCAGGAATGCTGCGGAGCTTTAAGATATCAAGGCCAGCGATTAGATATGAAGACCAGCGCAGGCAGCCAGGAAGATGCCACACCGGTGAAAACCTTAAAAAAGAAACTCCCATGGAAATCGGATGTCCCCCGGCATCGCCGCAACCCCTCGTGAAACTAAATCGACAATATCGCTCTGCAGGGTTTTTTCGGGTTCGAACCACTGCGCCGTTTGCCGTGACGTCTCAAATTTCCCTCCACGTGCTGGGAACTTCTTCAGGTGTTCAGTTTCTGTATCCTATCCTGGTAGTAGTTCCCAGCTCATGGAGCAAAACATCCAACGCGACACTCGGACACATCAGGCCGGACAGCACGCGAGACGCAATCTGAAAACACACCGGGGAGAGAAACCGCACGACCGTGAAAAGCTACGGTAGTGGTGAACCAACGACGAACGGAACCGGGCAGAATCGTACCGAGTCAATGGAAGGTAACGCAGGCCGCAGCGCCGCGTAAGAAGCACCGCAGCACGGCGCAACACAGCAGGCGGCCGCTTCAGGAGGCACGAAATAGAGTCGAATGCAAAGAAAACGAATTTAAGTTCTGTACAGTATTTACAAACAAAATCATTTGTCGGGTCATCGTCCGACAGCAGCTTCGGCGTAATGAACACAATCTGGAGGTGCCGCTCTCCCCGAGCAGACAGGAGATGAAGACTGCGAGGAAAGGATGGTCACATCACAGCAGTTTCCAGTCGTCTTCCTTGTCGCACTTCTTTTGCTTTTTAAAGAAGATCCCTATTTTATGCTTGGCTTTTTCTTTCACTGTCAACGAAACGAACAAAAAATACTGATAGTAAAATATACGTTGCGACGATGTAAATAAAATCGCGAGCTGATGACAATTAAATTGGGTAGAGAGGGCATCCCCAGCCGAGGGCAGAAGGAAGGATGTGAACCCCACCAACAGATACAGTCTATACTAAACCCATGAGCAGACAGTATATACTAAACCCACTAACAGACAGCCTATATAAAACCTACTATAGCAAATTCATATTCTTTGGGTCTTTCGGTAAAGACACATAGATTGAAGAAAAATAATAATAAAAAATCATAAAAATATCACGACGTTTCGATCGCAACACAAGCAATCGTCATCAGGTGAAAAAAATATAGCGGGAGAGCTACTGAGTCAGGAACAAATATAGCTACGAGCAGACAGTCGATATGAACCCCACTAGCAGCCAGCTCACCGTTTAGAGGCGTCACAGAGCTGTCTTGCGTCAGCTGGTTCGACAGGTGCCGCGCAAAGCCCTTGAACAGGTCCTGTGGCCGTCATCGCCATCGCCACAAAGCAGTGTTAGTTGAACAAGCACAGGGCGACACGATCACTGCAGCAAAGGCATTCTCAAGAGCGCCACTGAAAACCAACCTATGGGCCGCCGTTCCACAATTTTAAGCGCTAAGAGCGAGGATGTCACTGTGGGTCAGGTTGGTCGGTACAGGTCAGATCATGCTAGTCCGCTAAGACCTGAACAGCCAGGCTCACACCATGGTGTAGGCGCCGAATCAGACAGCTTCGCTTTCAGCTGACGAAACTGTGTTGATGTAAATTAAATTTAATTCAGGCAGTTTACCCACAGAGGCCTCACCGAGAGTCAAGACTTCCTCTTTCACCAGGGTCCTACGCATTGGGATGTTTGACCAATGACATTCCAGGGAGTTTGGCTTCTCGTGGGAGGAATTTGGGGCGCTTTGAGAAAACTCACCACGCAGACAAGGGGGGAAGACACTGAGCACTACCATCTTCTGGCCACACCTCGCAGCCTCACGCCGACAAAAATCCGACAACCCCCTGGCCGTCACGCATCGAAGTACTAACCGGCCCCAGATCCAATGAGATCAGGTGCATTTTTATAACTATTCGTAATTCTCAGTGTTTGACCATACTTCTAGATTTGAAGCTTTCGTGACTGCAAGGATTCATACTCTTAGGTTTTTTTGGTAAAGTCACGTAGGTAAAAAAATAATAATAGAAATAAAATAATAATAAATGAAAAGAAATCAATTAAATCACGACGTTTCGGAGGCAACACAAGTCTCCGTCTTCAGGTGGGACCGTCACAGCTAAAGTCACTTGATGCTGTGACGGTCCCACCTGAAGACAGAGACTTGTGTTGCCTCCGAAACGTCGTGATTAAATTGATTTAATTGCAATTATTATTATTGTATTTCTATTATTATTTTAATTTTTTACCTACGTGACTTTACCATACTTCCCCGCGCCAGTCAGTTCGGGTTTGTGAAGAGGGGCACACCCACGATCGGTTCAGATATCACTCACAACTCGGGTGACTCGGGTTCATGGCGCAGTGAACGTGCTAACCACCACCATCGTGGTGGCACTGCTCATTCATCCGAGAGAAAAACGCAACAAAACACGAGAACACAAAACAGGCGGAGGGAGCGAAACGAGCCGAAGATGTGAAGCTGGGTTCGCGTGAGTGTACAAGTGAAGCTCTATCAGAAAGAACAAAGGTGTTTTTTTTGTTTGTTTCCCAAATGAGGAATGAAAACTAAAAGAGTGTCAAGGTGACAGCAACCCTGTGGAACAGCGGCGTCTGGAAACCAAATCCATCCCGCCCCCCTCCTCCTCCTCCTCCTCCGAAATCAACGCACTCCCCTTCCATCCTCCGATTTTATGACACGGGGACACTAAAAGTCTGCGCTAGTAATTACTCTGCCGCCTTATGCAGGCAACCGCAAACACCCAACACCGCTTCTTATACGAACATTTAAAAAAACCGGTCCGTTTAACGTTTCATAGTTTTTTTCCATTTGCTTGCTTTTTTCAAAATGTAATTTGCTCATCAAGTGACATTATTTACTTGTCCATCAGTACAAAACCTTTTAGCTGTATTGGCTCTTTAAATAGTTTTGCTGCCAATGCATTCACTTGACCACGACAGCCCCTATTTGCTCTCTACTGGTATTGGGCTCTGTGCGATTTTTACCGCATTTTCCACCAAATCTTTATTAACATACAAAATCGGTTGCATATAATCTATTTTTACCATTTTGCAATTTGTTTTGGTTCCAAGTTTCCTTTGCAATCCTGATAATAAGAATCTTCATTTATACCTGGAGGAAGCCAATGAGCTATGAAGCTCTGTTTCATATATGTGGCAACACCGGGTTCGATTCGCAGCTACGGCTGACACTCGCGCAGATCAGCGTGGTGAAGTATGGACAGACAAATCCACGTGACCCACATTGCTGAATTCACAAATCGCACATTTTTTTAAAATATTATTTTCAGACAATGAGAACCCGCACAACTGTTGCTACGTACGGCAGACCGTAAGTCACCAGCTCGGAGCTATGCTATTTATTTAACACCCTATGCGTTTGAAAAGATCAGCCAAAGGCAGAACTGCGTGCGCATATCCCTTCTACGAGCCAACGTCCGTAACGAGAACTTGGTCTCATTGCGACACTGCGGCTGACACGAACAACGCTGGCGGCCTTAGGTAAAGGGGGGGGGGGGGAGTGGGGCAAGGGCAGAGCGAGCTGCCGAAGTAAAACACGAATCCCACACGGGGGTTCCGCACGACTCACCTTTGACGCAAATTTCCCTTCCCGGAAGAAGGGCGTTAGCAACTTCACCACCAGGTCGGCGGCCACCTTCAGCTCGACGCCGCCACCGCCGCCGCCCTTCGCCCCTCTCGTTTTGTGGCCGATGGCGATGACGTTGTGGCGAGGTTCCGAGTGACCGCCGCGATCCGAGTGACCGCTGGGTTCTGCGTCACCCCGAGTCCCGACGTGCGCCTCAGCTGCAGACACTTTGGCGACTTTCTTGCACGTGGGGCTCTGGACTTCCTCGTCCTGCAACGTCCGTGAAAGTGGCCACTTTGTCACAATTCCCCCGCGGCAGGCACAGGCCTCGGCGTATGATAAAATGGTGTTGTCGAGAGACAATGTAACTTGCATTATGTGATATAACGAAACGTGGATTTAAATATTTCTCTTCATTATGCAGTGTGTCTCCAAGGGCGATAACCGCATCGGGAGTCGGTAATCCTTTGGCATCTCATATGGTTATGTTTGGTTCCTGTTATATATACGCACGGTGCACACATCTCACACCCAAGGCTGTCACTTAAGCAAACCTTGAAGCGAAGGCGCTTGAGACGTTGTGTGGTGTGTCGCCCCGGGAGCGCCGTTTCTTTACTTGAGGCCACCACCGCACAGCTTCAACAAATCCACACATCTCGTTAACGTTGACATCCCCGCAACATCTCTCACACACACACAGAATGCTTTGAAAAGTGCACAGCAACCCTTGCTACAAATATATATGCATTTAGTATTTAGTTTCTTTGTTCAATCAGAACAAAACCAACCTCGGTTCTTCTCGCCAGAAGAGCTGTTACGCCACCGCCCTCAACCTTGGCAGTAGTTGCAGAGGATGATAATCCATTCCCCCCCTGTGCTCCCTTTCCTCGAGTGACACCCGTGAGAGATTCCGCGTCTCTGCCCAGCGGCGTTTCCACACCGCTTCTGGCATCGTTTGCCGTAACATCGGTCCCGTCGGCAGCGCCGCAAACTTGCACCTCCTGGCCCTGAGCCGCACCGCAGGCCTCTGCGGATGACTCGGCACCGCCACCACCGCCACCACCACCACCGGGGGCTTTTCTCTCAAACATTTTCTTGATGTCCTGCGAGTTCTTCCTGGCGGTATTGGCGAGGGCTTGCCGCTTCACAGACAGCTTGTCAGAGCCGGAGGGCTGTTGCTTCACCTGGTCGCTGCTGTCGGCAGCTTCCCGTTTAAGGTTACGCGAATTCACCTTCGCGAGGTGTCTGTCCGCGGCGTGCGCGCCGTCATTGCCGCCACCGCGACCGGAACGAGCGCCGTTGGTGGAAGGCGCGGACTCGGGGTCCGAATCCCACTCGGTCGCCACGTCTAGGGAACTCGCCGGATTAGATCCAGCGGGGCTCTCGGGACCCTGGGAACTCGCCGGATTAGATCCAGCGGGGCTCTCGGGACCCTGGGAACCCGCGAGCTTGAGCAAGTAGGAGGCCTTCTGGAAAGACTGGCTGTTCAACGTCGGCTGAGCGAGGCTTGTGCGACTGGACTTTTTCTGGACTGCAGAGAAAGGGTTCACAATGAGTTTTTGGGTGAACAAACGTCAGTAAAAAAGAAGACTTAATTTACTTCTATAATGAGGCAAGAATGTCTGTGTGTCCCGCACGTGACGCCACTCCACGTAGGCCAGCCCCCCTCATTAATAATCATGGACAGGTTACGTACTTCACATGGACCCCCCCCTCATTAATAATCATGAGCGAGTGACATCACTCCACATCGAACAGCCCCCCTCATTAATAATCAAGAACAGGTGACGTCCTCCAAATGGACACCCCCCATTAATATTAATTAGTGGGTGACGTCACTCCACATGTAGCCCCCCCCCCCCCCCCCCCCCGCCATTAATAATCATGAGCAGGTGACATCACTCCACATCGAACAGCCCCCCTCATTAATAATCATGAACAGGTGACATCCTCCAAATGGACACCCCCCATTAATATTAATTAGTGGGTGACGTCACTCCACATGTAGCACCCCCCCCCCCCCGCCATTAATAATCATGAGCAGGTGACATCACTCCACATCGAACAGCCCCCCTCATTAATAATCATGAACAGGTGACATCCTCCAAATGGACACCCCCCATTAATATTAATTAGTGGGTGACGTCACTCCACATGTAGCACCCCCCCCCCCCCCCCCCGCCATTAATAATCATGAGCAGGTGACATCACTCCACATCGAACAGCCCCCCTCATTAATAATCATTATAAGGTGACGTCCTCCAAATGGACACCCCCCCTCCATTAATATTAATTAGTGGGTGACGTCACTCCACATGGGGGGGGGGGGGCGAGGCGCCTCCTCCCCCCTCCTCGGCGTCAACTTACAACCCTCACTACAGAGGCAGAACCCTCACGTCACGCGATCTCCGTAACGATGTTGAGACATAGAAGTAAAAAGGACGTCGTGATGAACAAGGGATTATAACCTTTAAATGTAATAAGTCTGTGTCACCGCGGCCTTACAAATTGCACACGAATTGATGCAATGAATATCACGTCGCCGTCTGCTTTTCGGTTGCAAGTTTCAGGTTTACTGCAATACACCCGTCCTTGGACGGGCAAAAGGCTAGTGTACACACATATACGGTTAATCCGCTGCTAAGGATAAGCAGCCTATAGGCAGATGTTGCTGTGTTGCCCACCATGATGAGAGAATTTGTCAAAACCGGTCCAGAGTTTTCTTGTTATGAATCGATGCTGCTGAGATTATGCACTCTCAGAAGGCTGTGGCGCTGATGGTTGAGTAAAAAAATGTAGTTACATTTTTTTCGTGGAGAGACAGATATGTGAAGGAGGCGTATTGTGTCTGCTCATCAATTTTGGGACTTATATTTCTCCTCGACGCCAATAATGTTTTTTTTACGTTATTACTAACAGTGTATTAGATTACCCTGATCCGCTGCCTAAGGCACTCTTTGCCCAGACAGCGCAGCGGTACGTAGCCTGCGAGCGGTGGGATCCACGTGGCCTGACAGTGGTCGTAGCAGAATGACAGTCCGGGCGGGTGGGGGGAGTGGGGGCGGCGGGGAGCGGGGGGTGCGGGGGATCGACTCACGGAGTAGAAGGAGGAGGACTGCGAGGAGGCGTCGAGCGACGAGCGGCGTTGTTCCTCCAGCAGGGCGCCGTTCAGCAGGCCCCGAGCCCACAGCTCGTGGGGCCGGGCCTCCTTCGTGTGCTGGCCGATCTCCGCCACCTTCACCAACACGATTCGGCAACGACGCGGTGCATCGCTTAGCTGGCACTGACATTTAATATTTTATTTTCATTTTATACATCGTCATTCATGACAATTGCATCCTACAACGCTGTACATGAATTACACTGGTCAACAACAACAAAAAACATTTTTTTCTGGCCTGGACTTTTGCAGCTGTTTTAGACTAATTTCAGGGTGCCCGATTCCGAATCTGATCTCAGATTTGCTCTATCACATCTCATTTTATGCTATCGGCATACCCCATTTTCATTGATTTTACCCGAAATTAACTCTGTCACTTATGATTGCAAGTTGTTGCGAGTCAGTGACTGCTTTAGTGTTAAAATATGGTGCTGTATTTTTTTGGATAGTGTGTTTATATTATCATTTTATGTAGATATCCACATTTATTTAATTTTTTCTTCTGCAGTTTTTATTGAAAATGCAATATTTGATATCTCAAAAACCTGATGTGATAAACAAAAACTGATGCCACATTTGGAATCAGCACCCCAAAATTACCTTAAAACCGTTGGAATACCTTATGCCAGAAAAAGTGTGTTGACCAGTGTTAAGATACGAGAGGCCATATCCTCTTGATAGCAACTGCCAAGCAAATGCAAACCCTCAGAAAGTATAAGTGAATAAACGACGCAAGAAGTGACACAAAAACCAAAAAGGCACAAACAACAAAAAACGTTATCACGACAGTGAGATTTGTCCAGAAAGTTACATCGCAGACCACAAACCCAACTTCTCACACATCACCGAGCGAAGGGTGCATCGCTTAGCTAGCGTTGACATTCAGACACCCTTAGCTGACTCGCAAACTCGTACATTAATATTCAGTTGATGGGCGAGACAATCAGCTCGCACCGACACTTTAAACATGGCAACGCTCCAAATGTTGGCAACATCAAGTTGATTTCGTTCATCAAAATCATCATAATATAAATTTATACTGGAGGAGGAATCCAATGAGCTATGAAGCTCTTTTTCACAGATGTCAAGTCGGGGTGGGTAAGAACATTACAACAGTACTAATACACGATAGGAGTGAAAAGTGCAATGAATGTAAACAAATCACCCAAACACATACAAATACAACACTGAACCATCCCCATCCTACCAGGCAAAGCCCACTGAGGCATTCACTTATTTTTCAGAAGCGACCTGGCCACAAATGATAGCTCGACAAAGTGGCCCCATCATTTGGACATTTATAGCAGCAAAATAACCGGGTGGTGAGAATTCAACGAAACCAGGATGAGTTCTCATTTGCACGAGGGACCCTGTGGTGTTTGTCTGCCAGCAGGGGTGGGTGGCAACGATTGCTAGGATTAATCACAATTGAGTTATGGGGGTAATTATTCGTAGGTAATTTTCAAATTTGGCAAAAAAAAAATCAACACCTGAGAGCAACACACATACTCTTTGATTCTTTTGGTAAAGTCACGTAGGTAAAAAAAAATATTTAGGTTACTTTACCAAAAGAACCAAAGAGTATGGATCCTTGCAGTCACGAAAACTTCTAATCTAGCTACACACATCTTGAAGCTGGTAACAATTAAAACACCAACCATTGTCTGGACACTTAAGACGTTTTGATTGAAATGCTGGTCACTTAAATACTTCCCCCACAAACACACAATTAAAATGTCCAACCCACTGACCGACAGTTGGCCATTTTACCTTCTTGAGACACATTGCCTTGTACAGGTTAGCCATTTTGCTGGCCTTGAAAATCTCATATTCCAAATCGATGGCATAGCTTCTGGCATCGACATCCACTCCGTCGCAAGTGCCGCTATCAAACACAAACACACAGCAACAGCAGCAGATGGCGATTTCAATAAGATAATGAGGTCAAGAGAGCGATGTCAACATGCTCTGAAAAGAAATAGAAAATGTTGTCGAGTGCAACCCATTAATAGTATCCTAATCAGATACCCAGCATTACTTTGAAAACGCATCTCCTTCAAATGATTTACTTTGTTTGCTTAATGATCGAGGAAACACACCCACAACACAAATCACAGCGGCACACACACACCATTACACCCTTACACACTCACACACTACCAAAGACAAATATCTTATGTGTAGCATACACAGAATGTGGGGGCAAATTCTGATGAGGCACACGAGGTGGTGGTGTGGCCAGCACCACGCCTAGCCACCTTTGTATCCCCAGTGCTGACAATTACACCCTACACCAGGTACTCATTTAAGGCTGAGTCGATGTAGGAGAGGGCCCAGGACTGGCTCGAGATATTCGTCACTGATGCTGGCCACGAGCGGGAATTGAACGTGGGTCGCCATGTTTGTAGCGCATTGCGGCTAACCACTCCACTACCACTCCGCCTCACACCACATAAAAGACAAAGATCCTCCGTATCGCCGTCACAGAATGTTGGGGCAAGTGCTATTAGCGAGTACCTGTGAAGGCCGACACAGTACATGAGGGGGTGAGTGGCCAGCATCACGCCCGACCGCATTTGTCTCCCCAGTGGCGATGACTTTACACACCGCACCAGGCACTCGTTTGAGGCTGAATTGACCAAGGGGAAGCTCAGGACCGGTTCAGATAATCCTCACGGTGTTGGCCGTGAACGGGAACCGAACGCAGGTCGCCGGGTTCGTAGCGCAGCGCACTGACCACTACACTACCGCTCCCCCTCACACCACCACACACACGCACGCACGCCAATATTAACCCCCCGGAAGGTTCAAGGATACGGACCCAGCTGATTGGGTGCGGCAGGTCTCGTTACCCTCCAGGGCCTCCAGCAACTTCTGCATGCAGTGTTCACGCACCTGCACACAACAGGGACACCGCACACCGGCAATGACTGTCGCGTAAAAAACACATTACTTGGTAGCAGCGCGCAGGCGTCACGACTCAAATACTTTATGAAGGGAATAATTTGGGCGTAATATACCTTGACGGTAAGCTTGGATACCTTCCTGCTGGAAGCGTCTAGGAGAGGGCAGTCGGGGTCTGAAAGACATTCACAAACGTGCCCATCATTGTTAGATCCCAAGTGGCTCCCCGGGTTATCTGCCCCCTCCCCACCCACCTCATCAACCAGGAGGCGTCGGGTCTATGGGGCCTGGTGGATATTCGTGTGCGATTGTTTTTTTGTCCCCCAACGTTCTGCAACGGGCCATTTTCAGTGGCGGCTCGTGACATGTCCACTAGGTGGGGCTAGTGGACACGTAGTGTTCTCATTAAGAAAAACCTCATCATGTTATTGGCCTTCCCATTAAATTTACGTAACTGTCTTATCTACCAACGGTAGGCATTTATAAACCATACGAAACAAAACAACAAAGCACTACAATGCTGTTTCCATGACCCACAAAGTCCACACTACACAACCCCTTTGACACTGCCAAAAGCGTAGCGCATATAAGCCGTGACCTACTAAATTTGCACAGTGCAACCTCGCGTTGTGATGTCGTCATTACAGTCACGGGCGCCTTTTTCACCACCCTGAATGCGTCTCAAACAGCGTGGCTACAATGCTTGAAGCTGATCGCAATGAATGAAGGGAAATCTCTCACTCGGACGCCTTCACAGCCACCCCGAGAGACCTCCCCGAGGCACAAATCAAGACTGCGTTGCAGTGGTTTCTTATATGAACAACTTAAAATGTTATCTTCTTTAGGCAATTCACATTGAAAGAGTCATTATATCTACATTTTTTTCTTAACACAACTAAATAATTTATAGAAAAGTATTGTTATTAGAAAGATTCTCTCATCTCCAGCTGCTTTGTGGGGCGGCACGCGAACACCCCTAGTGGACGAACCTCGCCTGGCTTTTGTTCTTGTGTACTGAAAAAATCCCAGGTGGATTCGTTAACTCAAATTGCTACCGCATTTTTTTCTCCAAATTACAATGAAATGAAATAAAAACTTGGAAAACAAATAATGGATGGGCGCAATCTTGCACAATACGTTTCAGCATCGTGGGAGAATACATTTACCGTATCCACAACCGTGTTTTTCAAAACGCAAGAGGATGACCACTGCGGAGATTGGATTGATAAAATCCGTGTGGGCAAGAATGAGTTGGGTGGTAGCATAGCAGGACCATTAGGGATGGCGAGGGTGCATGCAGACCTTAATCCAGCAGCGGATACACAATGGCTGATACGATCATGATATGTGCCAGTTGAACTTCTTTCACACTGATCGTAGCCAACTGCGCTAAGCGGAGGTGCGGGGGAAGGACAACAAACTAAATGCAAGAAGCAGTGCTAAAGAAATACGTTTTCAATGACGATGATGAAAACTTCTAAATGCGATGGGCATCTCAAAATGTTATTGTGAGGGGACAAGCACATTTTAAATTAGAAGCCTGGTTTCATTACAGGTGACAGACACCCAGATTTAAACCCAGGATATCTCAAGAAATAATACCGTGTCGTTCTGACACGGTATTATTACCTCCCAGCAAGGCACCCAACACTCCGAACTTCACAGTCGGCCACTTCACACAAGTGGGGGGGGGGGGGGAAGGGGATACAAATTTCTGCGAGCAACACTTTGCATGCAGCACACTTGCCTGGGGCCAAAAAATTATCTGCATCTTCATTCTGCAAGAGACGCACAAAAGGGAAATGGGTGTCATCCTTAAGCATTACGAAGAGAACACTTATCTACACAACTGTACAACATTGAACAAATTATTTGGCGATACTGTTTTGGCAGTGGTGTACTAGCACATAGCAAAAAAACAACACTTTCGACAATAATTCTGTCTTTAAAGATGTATATTAGGCAACATTTCTAAGCAATGCCACTTCTTCACAGCACATGCTGTTGCCCCTAAACGTCGCTGTTAATACGTATAAGTTTTTTTCCCTTTGAAGGCGCACCGGCTCGTGTCAACAAACACAACAGTCCAAGGCGTGAAAGTGAATATACGTGAGAGGAGAGTGACTGTACACGACGCATGCGATTCACAGGCCACGACGCACTCAAGTCTTGCGTCTTGCTGATGCTGTTAAGTGAGACTGCACAGCCTGAATTGTACTGGCCAACAGCTACCTCGCCTGGCCATGACCGGCAGGCAGGTTCACACGCAGTGGCTGTGAACAACTCTCTCCAGCTTGGCCCACTTGTACCGGGTAGTTGAGCTGTACCAGCCGACTCATTTTCATCAGCTAATTGGCTCAGCAGCACCAGCTGATGAGTTAACACACCTGCACCGACGGCGCTGCTGCGACACTTATAAAGATAAAGATCCCCCGTATAGGCTTAACAGATTGTAGGGGCAAGTGCTGTTAGCGAGCACCTATGAAGGCCGGAACGGTACACGAGGGGATGGGTGACCAGCACCACGCCCGACCGCCTTTGTCTCCCCAGTGGCGATGTTTACACACCGCACCAGGTACTAATTTCAGGCTGAGTCGACCTAGGGGAGGCCCAGGACCGGTTCAGATAATCGTCACTGGTGTTGGTCGTGAGCGGGAATCGAACCCGGGTCACCAGGTTCATAGCGCAGCGCGCTAACCGCTACACTACCGCTTCAGCAGGAAGATGCGACACTTATACCACCCGACACACCTACACCAGCTGAAACACCCACACCGGCTGACTAAACATGACGACCCGAACCATCTGACTCAGCTGCACCGGATGACTCGCCTCTCATACCTGCACAAGCACTACTCGCCTGTAACAGCCGACTAACCCCGTGAAGCTGAAAGACCGACCTTGCGTAGGCTGATCTGGTGCCGATACAAGTCGTTCCACTCCTTCTTAAGCCTCAACGCCTCCTCCTGGTTGCCACTGCTGCTGCCGCCTTCATCATCTTCATCATATCTACAAACCAATAGGGCAGGGGGGTGGGGGGAAATGGCTTTCTTTTATGAATCAACTGCAGACGGATTCAAAGCGATATCCGGTACCGGAAGCTGCAATAATAGCTTTTGTCTTGTTGATTTAGCGCGTTTTGTGTTAGTGAGGCATTTGTTTCACGTAGATTTTATTTATTTCAGCAGGAAGATCCCAACAGAGCTTCCTCGACTCTATTTCATGGCTCGTCCTTGCAACGATGGCACACATATTGTTCAGTAGAGATCTTGCTTACAATCGTGGTTACATAGGTCGTGATACAAACAGCAAGTATCGGTAGTACGTGTTTCACGCGTTACAGGAATATGGAACTTGTCAACTTGTCGAAAATTTAATTTAACAACGAAAGTAACGAGTTTCAGGAGCGAGCGGAGGTTTCTCACGGTCGGCAATGTTTCAACCCCCCAAAATCCAACGCGACGACAGCGATTCCACAACAGTCCGTTAAGACTTTAGTCGGTGGCTCCTCACGATCCCCCCCCCCCAACACAGATCGAAGCCACCCGCCGCAGTTACCGCTCAAAGCCGTATCCTCGCCGGCCCCCGGCGTACAGGTCCCGGTCGAAGCCGAACGGGCCGCTCGCTTTCTGCGGCTGCTGGATGGCGGTTCGACCAAACGATTTGCTCGACCCCGCTTTCTGCAGCGCGTCCAGATCCTGGACCAACAACGCCGGGTCCTTGCAGCTGTCGCACACGCTGCGGCAGTCGGGTATGTTGTCTCCAAAGTAGCGAGCTATCGCCTTGTGCCTGCACCTGCGGTCAGCATCAGGGACGGCGGAAGGCAACGGTGGCGAGGAATCGTCGGTTATCGTACGGCAGCCCGGAAATGAAGTGCAGACGAGCAGCTTGTGCTCCCGTGAATTGTGTTTGCTTATTTGTTTCTTTTAGAGGTTTCCAGCATGGACCGAGAAACAATATCTTTCAAGCGTCAGGGAACGGGCTGTGGAAGGGGTTATCACAGAACTGTTACCTCCATCCAATCTTAAGGGGGCAGCTGCCACTGGGGATGCCCTCCTTTCAAATAAACATTTGGGATGAGCTGTGATGTTGAGTGCTCTGAGAAGCCCTAGAGTACGGGAGGGCACTATATCTGTGTAAAATAAAATCATGATCATGAAGAACTGTATATTCATTATTATCAAGCTTGAAGTGCAACAACGATTGCAAATGTTGGCTTCACGCGTTGACGCGTATGACCACACGTTTGAAAAGGCTTACCCAAGTTTCTCACAAAAGTTGACCAACGCTTCAAATCCAGCCATGGCTGCCTTGTCTTTTTCTGAAACCTTTCCTGTATCATCCTGGAACACAGAGAAAAATACTTTGCACTAATCTGACAAAAGCATATAATCATAATAGCATAGATTTTGCTGAGCTGAATGCCACTGTCCAACTCATTATTATTCTTTACCCTTAGCATCCATTGCAAACTCAGAATTCCTCACGTTACAAACAACGCAAACCAAATATTTCAGACGCATAAATGGGACATCATAATACGAGCACACGTGATAAAAAAAATAGATTAAAAGGCTTACCTTTTTTTTCTGGAAGAAGAAATAGGGAGGAGAGAAACCAACAAGAGAAACATGTCAGAGAAGGCTCATGCACGTGACATTGCAGCGTCTCAGCGGCACCACCACGTGACTGCATCAAAATGTCAGAATATCAGAATCTGTAATCATACGGGAGGAATCCGATGAGCTGTAAAGCTCTTCTTCACAGATGTCCAGTAGGGGCACGGGGTAAGAACGTTACAACAACAAACATCACAAAAACACGACAGAAGTGCAAAGTACAAGAAAGGTAAAAAATATATAAATAATAGAAATAATAGAAATAAAATAATAAATCACGACGTTTCGGAGGCAACACAAGTCTCCGTCATCAGGTGGGACCGGCACAGCTCAATTTACTTGATGCAGTAAATTTACCGTTAGCGTCGTGATTTATTATTTTATTTATATTATTTTTAATATTTTATTTTTTATTTCTTACCTACGTGACTTTACCGAAAAAACCTAAGAGTATAAATCACACAAACACAGACCCCCGCCCCCACACTCTCTCACTCCCATCACTTGGAAATTTGCCGTGCATTTTCGAGCATGCTGCTTCCCACTCCCCTCTGACCCACACCCCGCCCCACACTCTCTATCCTGGACTCCTCCCCCCTCCCTCATCTATATAATCCCTTGTTACAAGCAGCTCTTTTGCCTACTTCAGCAATTATTTCTTGCTCTGGTTGTCCACACCTGATGACAGACGCTTGTGTTGCGCCCGAAACGTAGTGATTTAATTTACTTCTATTTATTTTAAATTTTATTTTTCACCTACGTGACTTTACCGAAATAACCAAAGAGTATGGATCCTTGCAGTCACGAAAACTTCAAATCTAGAACATACAAATAAAACTAAACGATCCCCATCCTACCAGGAAAAAGCCCACTGAGCTATTAACTTGTTTTTTTAAGAGACCTGGACACAAATGACAGCTTAACAAAGTGGCCCATCATTTGGACATTTATATCACCATAATCTAAATAATCTCAACGCAAGTTTCTAAATGTGGAAGGAAAAACCGAGAAAAAATCCACAGGGAGAACACGCAAACTCCAAATATAAAGGCGTCAGGGTCGGGATCGAACCCCCGACCTCCTGCATACCAGGCAAGGGAGTTAACATCTCGCCACCGAATCAAAAACAATTTCCAACAGAATCGTGTGGCAACAACTGGGTGCCTGGCCAGCCTAGTAGAATCGCCATTGAATCTTACGGCCAATGGCCTAAATTATTCGACACCCGGTTGGAATTGACCCTGACACCAGCTGGCTAATATCAACCACAATTATGCCTAGTGGGCCAAAAAAAATAGCCCGATATCCACCCCAAATTCTGGCATGGCAGTCATGAGAAAAGTAAAACAAAAACACAACAGCATGTTATTATAGTGAGTGCTGCATATGCCCATAGGGTAAAGGCTTGGCTGTGGACAGACTCGTGGTGCAAGACCTTGCTTGCAGCGATGTCTTTGGAGATGAGGAAGCTGACTTGGCCCCGCTCCTTACGGCAGTAGTAGAGGCGACAGAACGCGGGCTTCCCGTCCCTCCCCGCTCGCCCCGATTCCTGGTAGTACCCGGCCATCGACTTGGCAATGTTCCAGTGGGCCACGAATCTTTATATACAAGCATCGCGCACAGGGTGACAGGTCCAACAACACAACCATCAGATGCCTCCTAATCATGTTAATTTGATGACCACACTTAAAGACCAGGTTACGAATGCCATCGTTGCTTCAGATAAGATTTTGAGCACAATTTTTGTTATATTATTCAATTGGGATTACACACAGTCATCATTGCCCCCCCCCCCCCCCCACTGCTAAACCTTGGCAATACACGCACGGTCAATGCGTGTGGGGATGAACGAAAGACGTGATTTCAAAATGATGAATTTATGCATCATAACACACACGTGTGTGTTACCTCCCAACTGCCATTGAGCAATGCCCGGTGCAGTGCAGAGCTCCAACCTGACATTGGCCTTGTCCACACCCATGCCGAAGCTGATGGTGGCCACAATGACGGGCGTCTCTCCCTCCATCCACTCGACCTGCACCCTGCTTCTGTCGTCCGCCTTCAAGCCTGAAGAAGCACAGCGGCGACCACGCGTCTTTCCAACAACGGCCGACGATCCTGCGCCACTTGACCAACAAAGCGCGACCCCGCCGGCCAGACCCAGAAGGTCGAAAAAAGGCTCAGGGTTCGTGCTCGCTCAAAAACAAATGCCGCTTGAAAATATTGGCCGAGTAAGTCCAACAGGCCAATGGGCTAAAGGAATTGTGTTATTTACGTATATTCTCATAAATGTTTATATTCTCACCAACGGGAAGCGAAATCATAAGTCATAAATCAATGATGAATGAGCATTATGAAATAAATAACAGTCTCAGAAGGTGATCCAAAAAGAAGGCTTCAATTTGTCTGGGGGGAAAATACCATACCTCCCTAAGAATGCTCGGTCAATCCTGACTGTATCAGGCATTAACAACTCAAAGAATCCCAAGAGAGTCAGTCTGACTTACTGAGATTCAGCCCTTCAGAATGAATCCTAGGCATTCCAAAGGGGTCACACTCTGGCTATGAAGCACTGATGTTCACAGATAACACCGGGTACGAAATTAAGTACGAGTCATTTTAGGGCAAAGCCCAGGCCTTGTTTTGTTATCACTCAGCACTGATGTTAGGCATGGTCAGGAATCGAACGAATGTCGTCGGATTTCGCGCAAGTAGGCTACTAATACAGCTCTACACAGAGCTTCACATGCACACAGGTGCAGCAATAAGACATCCCCACCAGAAGCTTCCTTTGAAATATAATGAAAGTGACCGCTTAGAATATGCAAGCACTCAATAAAAGAGGGCACACACCTGCATGGTAAGCCTTGGTCTTTACCCCTCTCTTGGTGAGCTCATAGGCCAACATATCGCAGGATTCTCTGGTGCGAGAGTAGACAATCCCACTGCCATCAAAGCCCTGAGCACACGGCACAAAGACAAAGATTCCCCATTGAGCCTTTGTCAAACTGCTGGGGCAAGTGCTGTTAGTGGGCACCTATTACGGACAACAAATGATACCAGGGGGTGGGGGTGTGGCTTGTATCAAGGCCTGCCCACTTTGTCTTAAAAATTCTGACATTTACTCGCTGAAAGATAATTAACGTTTTAAAGTTCGAGTCAACCTCGGGGAATGCCCAGAGCCGGTTCATCGCCAGGAATAGAACCCCAATGTAGAAGCAGTCACAAGACAGGTAACGCAAGCAATGGTCCAATGGTCACAGTAGCAATGCTTTTAGCCATTTTCGAAAAGTTTTTTGGTTTGGCCATGTTTGTTTGTTGTAGTACAGAGTTAAGACTGATGGCCTTAATCTAAGTTGTCTTGTGGTTGTTGTTGTTTGACTTGCATCCCACTGGGATATTTGCACAGGGTTGGTGTACGGTGATTTTTCTGCAATATTTTGCTGTCTTTTTTTGGATTTTCTGTTTGCACATAGTCACTTTAAGATGTTTTTTTGTTCAAGTTTTTTTGTTTGTTGCGGTTGCACCCGATTCAAGAGCCGAATGGCTCACAGGGCTATACCTAATAAATGAACTTTGAACTTTTACAGTACACAGAAACAGTTCACAGCAGGATACAATGTTACAAAGTGAATAAGCAAAATTTTACATCCAAATGTCAACCACATGCTGGGTTAAGGGTGTCGCTCATTCTGTGCGGGTTCATGAAAGAGTAGGGGGGTGGCCCAGGACTGGTTTAAAGATCACTTGGCACATATATTCGCTGTGGCTGGATATCAAACTCAAGTTACCAGGTTCATAGTGCAGTACACATCGCTGCACGACTGCTCCTACTTTATTTAATTTATTATTACACCTTTACCTAGGAAATTCTACGGCACTTTGAAATACGGTTTGCATGACGCTGTGTAAAATCATTATTTGTATTCACGTATCAATCTTCCGAGACGAACGTACCCCAGCTGCATTCTTCTTCCCCAGGGCTTTGAGGCAGAAGTGCGTCAGGTCCTTGTAAGGGTCCTGAATGACCTCCTTGTAGCTCACGTTGTAAAAGAGGTTTGGACGAAAGCAGGAGCTTTTGAAAATCGCCGGCTTGTCCAGGCTCAGGATAGACACAATGTCCTCTTGCACCTGCGAGAAGTTAACAAAATAAGAAAATATGTTCAAGTTATGCTACGCGAGCAGCAGACTGCATGCTCCCTAATACATCCGCCATCTTCCAACTTGTTTTTCACCCCATTGTGGATTTTTGTTTCCAGCTGCTTTAATTTTCTCCCATTCATTTTCTTTATTTAATCACACTGACCAAACAGTCCAGACTTAGCCGACCTAACTTCTTGACACTCTGGTATAAAGTCCTGTCTCCAACTCGTACATCCATTCTACCTGTCTCTGAGCGATGAAGAGACAGTGCCCGAAACGTCAACCTATTATTATATTTTTCCTGTTTAAGGCCACAGTGTTCAAATGCACAGGGTTGGAGATGAAGATTTTGAGGATACTTGAAAGCAAAGAGAGAGGGACAAGGTGAAAAGCCTGGGGAGGTAATCCCTGAAACACAATAAAAAAGCTATGAAAAACTGATATCACGTTGTCATAGCCCGAAATATGACATCACACACAGTGTCGTGAAAAAATTATACATTGGCAACCCTTAGTGCTATTTAAAAACGATCATGTGACCTGCTGGTGGTCCCCACCTGGGTAGAGCACTGAGCTGGGTCTTGTCGCGCCGAGCTCGGTCTGCTGTTAGCGGAATTTCTGTTACCCCCTTTGGTCGGTGACCGGCGCTTTGTATCGGGCTCGCGCTGAGTTGAACATTTTTTTCAAACGGTCTGGCAGGAAGGCACGCACCTGTTTTGTGGCCGTAGCGGTCAGCGCAACGCAGGGCACGCCACGCAGCAAGGACCTCAACCGGCCCAGCTTCAGGTAGTCGGGCCGGAAGTCGTGGCCCCACTGAGAGACGCAGTGCGCCTCGTCCACCACCAGGCAGGACAGCAGCTGGCGCGACGCCAGCCGACCCAGGACGGCGCCGAAGCTTTGCGTGGCGGCCATCTCGGGCGTGATGTAGAGCATCTTGAGGCTCGGCGGGTCGGCGTGGAGATCCTCCACCACCGCCTGTCGCTCATGCGCTCCCATCTTCGAGTTGAGCGTCCGCGCTGGGATGTTGAGCTGGTGCAGGTGCTCCAGCTGGTCCTGTGTTCAGTGGAAACATTTGTTTCTAACTGCAATGCTACAAGTGCTCTCCTAAGGTAAGGGTTAGAGTTTTTTAAGGACTAATGCATACATACTAGAATGAGAATACGATGAGCACTCATCATTATTATTATACTGCCAATTCATTATCACAATCAGACTTCCTGAATGAAGGCCTCCCCACGCTGCCAGCAATCCCTCGTGATCCTATGACATATAAATCCACCTAACACTTTTGCCCACGAGCTGATTTCATCACTCCATCTCTTCAGCGGGTGGGCTAAAAAAATTGTACTTTAGGAAATGGACTTTTAGGCATGTTAAACTTTTTCGCACCGTACGAAGCCTGCCGTGCTAATTGGGAGGTGCAGGAGAAGGTCGACAAACAAAACACAACAAAACAAACTTAACCTGGATGAGGGCAATAAGTGGACAGATGACGAGGGAGACCCCGGGCGCCATGACCGCTGGCAGCTGGTAACACAGCGACTTCCCGGCCCCGGTCGGCATGGAGACGAACACATCTTTGGTCCCTAGACACAGCAACACATGAGCAACACTTAACTCCTGCCGGCTCTAATACCTCTTTCGCCAGCCCGCACCACCCACTGCGGTTATGCGCAGCCAAACAAACCCCGTGTATGTGTGTTGAACTTCTTTCGCATCGTACGCAGCCAACCGTGCAAATGTGAGGTGTGGGAGAAGGCCGCCGCATGGGGGAGGTTTTCAACCAGCAGTGGAGTTACAATTGGCTGTTCATGTGGATTCTACACAAACACACAACTACAGTAGTCCAGGTTGAAAGACCGTGTGGAATGAAGCGCAGTGCTGAATTTAAAACAACGCGGAACGAGCGTGTATAACTTTATTTAATGCTGGCAGGGGTTTACATACGAACATTTAGACGGGTACGATACAGTCAATGTTCAACTTTTAAACTAACGTTAGGAAGGCCTTTATAATTAGATGCAGGGAAGCAAGCTGTAGCCCAAATACACAAGTATCTTCCACGACTCTGTTTGCAAAGCTTGCGTACTAATTATGCAGGTCATAATTGATATGGGGTGTATACATCATACAAAGGGACAATCATGTGAAATCATCCCAATTCAGGATAATACTGCATCATTACACTTTTTAAGGGCTTAAATGTCTAGCCATTTATAAACACGTCTTTTATAATTCTAACACGCATACCTCTAAAAACTCTACAAGTGCAAATAATGTTTCTCGAATCCAAAACAAAATATCCTGTGTCTAATGTCACAGTCCTTTGGTCGATCCACCGCTGGATTACATATATGGAGATAAACTTTCTGATCTGGCTTCACTGGGTTATGGCCTTTGGGGCCGTCCATAAATGACGTCACGCGATTTTTACCCCCCCCCCCTTTGTCACACGACGACACAAAGCTCTGCCCTCCCCCCAAAAAAGATACTTCAAATCTCTTTAAACTATTGTCATTGTAGTGCGTATTTAATGTGGCGCTGCACTCTGTTGTAGGAGAAAACATTTATTAAAAAGTCTATTTAATTAAGTAGAACGTGTTGTCTAATTTAAAGTTGCGAATATTTATGTGACGTCACATTTCTCAAACCTCTCGTCACACATCGTCACAAATGTCTGACCCCCCCCCCCCCGGTGCGTGACGTCATTTATGGACGGCCCCTAACCACGTGAATGGTGTACAAGTCAGGTTAATCAATAAAGTGTCTCTTAAACCCAATTCTACTCCTGATAAGTAGAATTTTGATAGTAACCTTTGCACTTCACTACTCAAATATTACTTTAATCCTAAGCTGTATATCGATCTATACCATCCACTTATATCGGTATCTTACACCCATTACCTGTACGTGTTGTCTATATTTATTTAAAGTTGTGTATTTTGGTGTGACGTCACATTTCTCAACCCCCCCCCCCCAGGTGCGTGACGTCATTTATGGACGGCCCCCCAAGTACCGAGAGGACCACAACCACGCCGAGACAGAGCAGCACACAGCGTTACACACAGACACCCCCCCCCCATTCCTATTCCCATTCATCCGGAGCACACGGAGCACACCAAGACCCATCTTCAACGTGACCCCACAACGCTCCATCTCCTTCCACGTGTCCTCCTCACTCACTCACTCACGTGCGCGCTTCTGCGGCCGTCTGGAACGCTCTTCCTTCCGATGTTAAGAGGAAGCCACTTTGGGCGATGCACTTTTTTTTTAAATCGAGCTTGTAAACTAATTTCTTTAGAAAATGCCTTTGTGTTTTTTTAGTTTGTTGTCATGTTGGCACGTACGGTGCGAAAGAAGTGCAACATACATACACAACCTCAAACTCTCATCACATCCACGCAGAACCCATAAGACCTCACCCCCTCCACCTGGACCCCCCTTCCAGGACCCCCATGACCCCCGTCACTTTAACGGAGACCCCCCCCTATAGGACCATTCAACGCACAGATACTCTCGGCTCACTCCACTCGACAGCCACGACAGCCACGGCCCCCCTCCCCGTAACCTCGCAGGAAGCCAAGCAGGGACCCCCCTCTAACGACCCCCTTTGGCGACCCCCTTTACGAACCGCTCGCCACGGCGCGGGCCGCGTCCTCCTGCAGCGCGGACCTGAAGGCCTCGAATCCGAACACCCGGCCCAGCGTGTCGCGCACGGGGTCCATGCTCACCCAGCCACGAGTTTAACAGAACAGCACCACCCACCCACACCCCCCCCTACCGCATCTTCTACCGGGGTAATGGAACAGTCCGCGGCGGGGTCTGTGCTGCTGCCGGGGTGATGACGCGGCGGGCGCAACCATTACGACCGCTCAGGAGGGGGGGGGGAGGTTCTTGTGAGCGTTCATATTTTCTTACATGGAGGTGGGACTGTAGTTCAGTTATTGGTTTCGTAATCGTTGCCCGTGGTTATAATTGGATGCGTCGGTTTTGTTACTCGTAAAACTGGATATGAACTCGTACTCTTAGGTTTTTCGGTAAAGTCACGTAGGTAAAAAAATAAATAAGGAAAAAAATAATAGAAAGTATTATTTATTATTTTTCCTATTATTTTATTATTTCTTTTTTACCTACGTGACTTTACCGAAAAACCTAAGAGTATGAATTATTGCAGTCACGAAAGCTTCAAATCTAGAATGGATATGAACTGTGCAGCAGTTGGTGACACGGATAAGATATACAGTACAGTATAGAAGTGATGGTGCATGTGTGTGTGTGTATTGAAGTATTGTAACAGATTAATTTCGGGACAAACTAAAATAATGGTAAGCGAAAGCCAATAGGGATACACGGGGGAAACGGAATGTCCATAGGTTAACATTGGGAAAACGGAATGGCTATAGGGTTGCATGGGGAAAACGTAATACATGGGCAATACGGAATGCCCTTAAGTTAACATTTGGAGAGATAGAAAATGCCCATATACTAATATTGTAAAAACGAGTTGCCCATAAAATTACATGGGGCTGGGAATCACTGCAGTAAACTATACAGTCACATTTTAACATTTCTTGGTGTTTATTACTTGTATTGACATTTGAATGCACCCGATACTTTAATATTTTATTGATTATATTTTACGTGAACTCCGAGAAGTGGTGGTGCAGTTGTCGATACCCGCCTTATGTGACCCAGATAACCCGAGTTTGATTTCTAGTGGTGAGTCATATCTGAACTGGTCTTAGGCATCCCTTTACCAACCTGCACTGACCAGCATGGTGAAATATCACACAAACCCCATGACCGACACAGCATATGAGTATGACTGTCAAAAAATCTCAGAAATGCAAGGTTACTACGTGGCCTAACCCAATAATAAATTACAAATCAACATGCACTTATTTCCTTGAGTTCCCATTAGCTTAAGTTGTGATGTATACACTTGTGCAAACTTGAAATTACTGCCATTAAAGTGTTTAAATACTACAACAATCATTGCAGAAGTATCTTCGTTTTATCTAGTTATGATGTTTACATAAATGGGAATGTTTGGCATGACCCAAAAGGCGATGTTGAGCATGTTAGGTACAACATACTGAGTCGGTTCATGTTAAAAGGAATGGTAATGATAAGAAAGGAAATACTCGTTTTATAAAGAAAACTTTTAAAGCTTTATTCACGTGTGGATATATAACTCAAAATAACAGTGACATCCTTTCATGTAATTGACTGCTACATAGCAGAGCTTTGCTTCTCAAGAGTGGGTTTAATTGTGTTGCTTTATAAATGGTAGAAATGTTTTGGAATGCTGATAAACTTCACATTTGATTTTACACTATAATTGAATGGCTCATAGAATGACAGATTTTAAGTGTCGAGTCCTGCTTCACACATTGGGTATTCATGTACTATACCCAAGATTACACATACATGGCAAATGTTTGGCATACGCCTGTTTGAACACACTTTCAATTGTGTTCTCTGTGCACAAATAACAAGTGAAATTGTTAATGTTTGTTAAAGTTTTTAATTTTTTCTTCTTTTTTTCATATCTGAATTCATTTAAAATGTCTGCAGAAATGAATTTATAACTGTAAAGTTGAGTAGAGTTAAACATTTTCCAAAACTATTTAACGTGCAGTAAATCAGAACACTTATTTTATATATTCTATTGTACAGCACCTGTAATTCTGTATTGGCATGACAGATGTGAATGTAATGTATTTCAATATGGTATTTTCTTCAACTTAAAATTTTACATTTTTGGTACTCATTTTTTATAAAAATAAGTTAAGTCATGTATTCATTTTTAAATGTTCACACCTTTACAATGCAGTGAATGAGTTAAGTTACTAAATGTGTATAAATATGTAGAATACTTTTTAAATAAATAAATAAAACTCACCATATAAGCACTTGTGTGCAGTTCATGTACTTATGTGTCATGCGAAGGAGTTTGGATAACATTGCTGCATGGGAACCTGTTTCATAGTCACATTTTCATCATATCGCCATATCTTACTGTACCACCTCTAAGTGCATCACAAGCTCATAAATATACATATTAAGTAAACAACAAAAGGAAAGCATCAAGTGTAACTACTCTCCAATACAATGAGGAACACTGGTAACTAATTTCAGTTGGTTCACTTTAAAAAACAAAGTACCCTTACTAAGTGCATAATTACCATACAATAAATCAAGGTAACCAGGTATAAACACTTAGGCAATACGCCAACTTATGATTGGTCTTACAGCTGTGTTCGGTACTGGAGAGAGCTGAATCATGGTGTTTTACTCCTCAACCCTGCTATACATATTGGCTGCGAGGAAGGATTCCATGGAATGAGGCTGACGTGTCGGCCTTGCCTCCACGAAAGGCGGACTTCTCTCCACTTCACACCAAATAGTACTCTCTCCATTGAAAGGTTTACCATGCGCACACCATTTGAACTGCTTACTCGGCATCGTGGCTGCTGTCCGGTGGTCCTATCACAAGACGAAACAATACCAAAGTAGAACATAAGGTGCTTGGTTCTATGGCATTAAAGTTGGGGAAAAAATGTGTAACACACTTAGTGTGTAGTCTTAAATACAAAAGGAGTTGATCGTCTTATGTATGACCTTGACTTTTGTATAAAAAAAAAAAGACCAACATTTTTCACCATGCTCATCTCATGTTTTAGAAATGTCGAAACCTTTGTCCAATTACTCTGTTTTAAGTTAAGAGTTGGGAATAGTCGTTTTGTAAATTAAACTCCCATTCATTCACCCCAAGGTTAGTGCGATCTAGTACTTGTATTTGTTTGGGCAGGGATATACTTTGACTTTAACTTGATACACTGATAAGGTGACACCTCACAATGTTAAACTCACTTGCTCGGCAATTGCACCATTATCCTGTGCCGTACCATCCCTGTTCATCATGAAGCTCCACAGTTTAGCCTTGTCATTATTTCCATCCTCAGTGTTGGTTGCATTAACAGGAAGGCAGGGAGTTATTTGTATCCTACAGATCCATTCAACCATCAAGCACATACGTTAATATTCTGGGTCTTTTAGCAGGCGGATTGTGGGCCCGCACAGCTGCAATCACACTAAGGTACAATATTGTTTGGCTATACTTATATAGCATTTTCTAATTTGTGTAATATTGTCCTCAAACCTACACCATCAAGTTAGTTGATTTGATCACCCATTGCTGGTTATCCTCTCCTCTCTGACGTGTGTACTCCTTTGGCTGAAATAATATCACCAGTCTCATCTATCAACCATCATCCCTTCCATCGATGTCCTGCCTACACCCATTTAATTTTCTTAACAGTCAATGGCTCTAATTTGTATGTCTGGTCAATGATTAACCTTTTTCTGTTTCTCATTCCAAGCATGCATCTCTTCATGCTTATTTGTGTAATTTTCAGCTTTTGTCAGTGTTCACGTGTCTGATGAATGTCGTGGCAGATATGTACCAATTGTAAACTTCCTCCTTGCAGCAGGTTTGTATTTTGCTTTTCATTGTCAATTTCATTTTCCAAAAAGCACTTAATCCTGCTCTTAGTTGCCTGTTTATTTCATCACATTGATCCTGGTCCCCTTTCATGACGTTGCAGTAGATACATATTGTGTAAACGTTTTCAATGTTTATATTCGCAGTTGACATCAATGTTGATATTGTCAAAAATTGTATTTTGTTTTACTTTGTCACTTGATGTACGAGTGGTCCTGACCACCCTTAAGTGCAAACTTAATTGTTTTTATATTAACTCCCTATAGAATTGCTTAAGTCATTGTGTACTCAGGCCCCAGAATCTTGAGTTGTATAATGACATTATCAACAGCTGTCATAGTATTATTGAAAACTTTTTTTTGAAGACAAGCATTTTGCATTATTAATCTAGATGCAAGGATTCATATAGTTTAGAAAAGCCCATTTGAACTCACGTATCCAGCTGTGCCTGCTTGCTCTTGAGATCTGCAAACGGAGTCTGCATTGACCCATCGTATTTGTGCCCCAAAGTGTTATTCGAGGTCATTGCAGATTTTTTACGGCTGCTCCGGCGACCCATAATTTTGCTTGGATGAGGCAAATCGTGTGGGTTCATGGAAAACGTGAAGCGTCTATTTGAAAGTGAATCGACGTTCAGTGCACCATCTGTACATGTATCCAGCACCTGTCCAGAAATCTACAAACGGTGACATGATAGCTTCATTCAATGACATCACGTGAACATTAGTGCCAGGTGTTTCTTTTACAGCACTTGAGGTGAATATAAGGACTTTTACATGGTTGAAATTTGAAAATTCAATAAAAAAAAATTAGAATTACCCCTTGATAGAGGGCGTCACTATTGAGGAAAAATGGAAAATCCACTTTTTAAAAGCCTGCAGACCTTTGATCATACGACCAAAGGGGTTAAGATTAAACTGCGATGTTGTTGTTAGAAGCATTTTCATTAAGTTTGACAACTGGACAAATCATATTATGCCATGTTCCATAGCAAAGACAGCATATTTAAAGCAATGCTATATTAACTGTAATTAGACAATTGTAAATCACTGTACTCCAATTCATAGGGATATGTAACTTCAGTACTTACCACTTTTTGTGGCAACTGAACATCGTCACGTTTTTTTCTGCAACCATATGTGAAAAATTACAATGGCAAACCTGTGAGCACCAGGTATTGTGCAACGATGCATATTGTAAAAAAAAATTCAGTAATCATTCAATTAAATGTTTTTTTAGATAAAATTTTACATGACCGGGAGAAACTTTATTTTGTTAGTAATCACAATGAGGCAGGTGTTTCTAACAAATATATTTCAGGATATAGACTGGTATCACCAACATTTGAATGTTGAAGTGTTTGAGCCTTTATACGTTTTGACTCTCTATGCTGCATTAGCCAGTGTTGTCAGGCTGGATATGATAGGCTAACATAATGGATGCACTATTTTGAATGTATCTAGGTAGTGTTCCTAAAGAAGTATTGGTTAACATGTACTTGACACAATTACATATTATGGCAGTACTATACTATATAAATGTGGAATTTTCATCTGACAAAAGGCTTTTTATTTGCACTTATGTGAACCAGGGTTTGCCAAGTGCCCTGGTTTTTCAAGAATCATCCCCTTTTTTATGTTTTTTTTCAGTTGCACAATAAATACACCACTTGAAACAATGCATTCACATGTAGTTCTCCCTTTATTGGTAATGTGAGATTATTAATCCCATGCCACCTGCGTCTCAGAAGTAGCAGCGCACGTCTGAAGACCTTTGAACTGGAGCCTCACCTGAACATTGGAAAAGTGAAAACTCCGTGGTTTTTCTCACTGGCGTCAGCAACACTGCAGCCCTCATCCAAGTTCAACTCCTGTCTCCTCCACACTGTTTGTGATGTCCTGTATTATTTATTGCAAATATAAAAAAAAGTAGTAATTTTTTTTATATTTCAGTCGTAGTTGAAATGAGTACCAATTTGTGAGATGTCAATAGTGGTCTTCCTTTAGAGATCGACTCTTGCCATGGGAATGTGACCTTTCCTCAACTGTCTCTTACTGCTGGTTTGGACATGGACACTTTAACTTTATTATTTAATCTGTGGCAAATGTGTCTCTATAGCTGCTACACAAAGGACGAAGTCCGCAAGCTCGACACAGGGCCAATATATATTTTATACCACTGCAGTACAATATCTCACTTCCAATCTCAGATTATGGAAACACTGCATGTATACGCCATTATCTCTTCTAACATTAAACTGTATAGCGCTATTGCTTAATATTGGAAATACAATCATGGACTTGCTATTTTGTGTAATTATTCAAATTTAAGGCTCTTTCTTAATGGCTGTATTTAGTCCCTTAGAATTTGGTGTTTGAAACATTTCTGCTCATATTATTGCATCTGTTACAGTTTACATTCATGTATAGTATTCCTGAAGCAGTTTGTCTGATGGCCAGGGTCGAGACTCATGATGCCGTGGCAGCAACCAACATAAGAAACGCTCCCGATCCAACCGCGGAAATGGAGCAATTAGATCAGCTCATGTGCATGAGCGAGGTGATGTCTCCATACAGCAGCAGATAGAACATAATACCTGTCAACCCATACGGTCTAACCGTATTCTTATACAGGGAAATTGCGTTTTCAGGTCCATACGACGTACAGCCGTTTCAATACGGGCAAAAAACAAATGTATCTATTTGTGTTTCTCCCTTGTGATGGGACTCTGTAGGATAAACGTTGAGATTTATAAGGGCACAGAGTGACCAATAAGGTCTGAATTAGTCTGTAATAAAGTAGGTACTGATAAGGGGTTGACAGGTATGGAACATAAGTGTAGGTGAAATGTAATCTTTTTATATTTTCTGGAAAATTCTACCCTATAGTTGTGAGATCTAATTTTAGAATTTTTATTCTGTGCCCAAATTGGAGCGGTGGCACAGTGGTTAGGGCACCGTGCTGTACCAGGTGACATGATTTTGCTTGACCGGCCATGGCTAACATCATTGGCAAGCTATAACCGAACCGGCCCCGATTCTCTGCCCCATTCACCAACCCGCACTGATCAGCGTGGTGAATGAAGAATGGTTGAAAACCCTTCCCCACGAATGACAACACCATCGAGGGCTTCATCGTGCAGTGAAATTGACAAAGGGCTACACATAATTGTATTCATAGCAAGGGATACGTGCACAATGCGCACTTTCCATACGGCAGGTAATGTATATATGTGATTGGACAATGTACGTATTAAGTGATCGAACACTAACGTGATCGGACAACACATTCCTGCGGAGGGAGCTGGTAGGAACGTTGGGTTGCTCGGTCAATGGCCAGGGTCAACGGCGGCGTGGTGTATTCTGCAAATATGCCCGACTGTGAGGGCGGGCACAAGCCGGCGTGAGTAGGTTAAACGTTGAGTTTTATAAGGGCACCACGGGGTGACCAGCCCCTCCCCACCCAGCCCCATCCTCCCCACCCCTCCCACCCAGCCCCACCCTCTCCACCCAGCCCCTCCCCACCCAGCCCCATCCTCCCCACCCCTCCCACCCAGCCCCACCCTCTCCACCCAGCCCCTCCCCACCCACCCAGCCCCATCCTCCCCACCCCTCCCACCCAGCCCCACCCTCTCCACCCAGCCCCTCCCCACCCACCCAGCCCCACCCCTCCCATTTTTAATAATCCCCTGTGGGCTGGTGGAACCAGGTGGTTCCTACCAGTACAATATATTGATGTGATCAGACAATGTAGTATTATATGATCGGACACTAACGTGATCAATAGATTTCAAACTCCAAAATATTGTGAAAGTTAAACATGCTTTAGGTGAAAAGTGAGACCAGATTCTTTGTTGTTCAGCAATCTACAGCATATTTAAACGTAATTAATCTTATCCTTAATTATCGAAATTAATTACTGTATGCCCTTAATTATCGAGAACATATTTAATCATTTAAAATAATATATTTTCACCTATTATAGCGGCTGAGCATAGCAATGCATCGCACACTATTCAAGCAGAAATAAACTTTATATTTTATTTGTTGTCAATTGAGTAGGCACAAAGAATTTGATCGACAATTAAATTCAGCATATTTTCAAATTTGATCAATATATGCAAATGAGGTCAGTGATTCTAAATATTTGATAATTATTTGGATAATTATCAAACATTTATAATTCCATTCATGTCGATAATGGGGGATTAAATACGTTTATTAAACGTCAAGTTTTGAATATTAAATATAAAATATAGGAACAAATATGTCATAAGTGTGTATTTAATTTCATTTATACGATCAGTTATTTACATTAGCTTAAAAAATGTTGGTATAAAGTGGGAGATCTGACGTGATTTTATGAAGTAAAAGACTGTTTTAATAAATGCAATTTAATAAAACAAAATAAAGAGGAATGTTATTTAAACATGGTTCTCAACGAAATATTTAATGTTACAAGGATAATAACGTAAACCATGGTATAGATATGGCTAAGTGACCCCCTCCACACTCCACAGCAAAATGCTCGCCACAAATCCTTCTATGATTATATTCTTATCATCTACCCCTCAACAAAGCGACTTTAATGCTTTAGTAAGCGAACATTAACCAACCCTCACACGCTTCGGGTTTAATAAACTTACACGACTGAGAAACAACCGTCGCCCATGACGAAACGCGCGGCGGGAGGAGTTTTGGCGGCAATGGGCTCGGTGCGTGATGACGTCACCGCGCACGGCAACTTTCGTGGTGGCTCACGAGTGCGTGATGACGTCACCACGCACGGCAACTTTCGTGGTGGCTCGCGAGTGCGTGATGACGTCACCGCGCGCGGCAACTTTCGTGGTGGCTCGCGAGTGCGTGATGACGTCACCGCGCACGGCAACTTTCGTGGTGGCTCGCGAGTGCGTGATGACGTCACCACGCACAGCAACTTTCGTGGTGGCACGCGAGTGCATGATGACGTCACCACGCACAGCAACTTTCGTGGTGGCTCGCGAGTGCGTGATGACGTCACCGCGCATTACGGCGGGGGGAGGGGGGGTGTGATGCGCGCGCCTTGGGGGTAAAAGGGTGGGGGTCGTAGAGGGGAGGGGTAGAGGGGAGGGAGTGGGGGGTAGAGGGGAGGGGTAGAGGGGAGGGGTAGGGGGGTAGAGGGGAGGGGTAGAGGGGAGGGGTAGAGGGGAGGGAGTGGGGGGTAGAGGGGAGGGGTAGAGGGGAGGGGTAGGGGGGTAGAGGGGAGGGGTAGAGGGGAGGGGTAGAGGGGAGGGAGTGGGGGGTAGAGGGGAGGGGTAGAGGGGAGGGGTAGGGGGGTAGAGGGGAGGGGTAGAGGGGAGGGGTAGAGGGGAGGGGTAGAGGGGAGGGAGTGGGGGGTAGAGGGGAGGGGTAGAGGGGAGGGGTAGGGGGGTAGAGGGGAGGGGTAGAGGGGAGGGAGTGGGGGGTAGAGGGGTTGGGGGTAGTGAAGGAGTGGGGGATCTTGATTTGAAGCTTTCGTGGTTTCCGCTCCCTCCTCTCATCTCGTCAAGGAGCATAGGGGCCGTCCATAAATGACGTCACGCGATTTTGGACGATTTTTGACCCCCCCCCCTTCGTCACACAGCGTCACAAAAAGTCAGACCCCCCACTCAAATATGACGTCACAAAGCTCTGCCCCCACCTCCCCAAAACCATATTTCCATTTTGAAACTAAAACATGCTTAAAATCGCTATTGTAGTGCGTATTTAATGTGGCGCTGCACTCTAATGTTGTAGGAGAAAACATTTCTTAAAAAGTATATTTAATTGAGTATAACGTGTTGTCTATATTTATGTAAAGTTGCGCATTTTGATGTGATGTCACATTTCTCAACCCCCCCCCCCCTCGTCACACATCGTCACAAATGTCTGACCCACCCCCCCAGGTGCGTGACGTCATTTATGGACGGCCCCATAAACCATCAACCACGCGAACTCCGCTTTATTGTCGCAGCGGCAGCAGCGGATTTTGGCTCAACCATCGAATAAAGACGGTCGCCGCATCGCGCGCTTTTCAGATGTGCTAATGCGGCCGTCTGGAACGCTCTTCCTTTCCATTAGGAACTGGAGCTATATAGTTTGTTATACTCCCCCCCCCCGGCATCTCCGATTAGCACAGTGGCTACGTACGGTGCGAAAAAAGTTCAACATGTATACAAGTGTAATAATACTCTTGGAGACGACTTGTGGAATCGGTCCTTTTATTTATTCCAGTTCACAAGTACTCCCCGCTGCTGGCAGGCAACGGGAAGTGGGCAGACAGACCACAAGAGACGCACCGCCACGTGGCACTCGGAGCCCCGCTCGCGCGTGGCCCCTCTCTTCCTTTGTTCTTCGTCTGACCCCGTGTCGTTCATCTCTCCCCCTATTTAATGCCCGGGTCACGTGGTACGCTCCAGCCAATCCTTGGTAGCCTGCGCCGAATCTTCTAGATTCCCCATCAACTCCCGGGACCACGCCCCTGACCTGTCCTCCCATTGGCTGAGGCCAAAACCAGCAGAACCAATCACCCTAGCTGGCACCCCTTGATCACGCCAGGGCCATGCTCCCAGGCTCTCCCCCCATTGGCTGTAAAGCAGGACCGGCAGAGCCGATCACCACGTGAGCCGGACATAGGCTCTTATTACACAAGTGTCTCGCTACCGTGGTTTTTCCCCCCAATTTTCCAATTCTCAGGACCATCTGCATACATCCACTCGGATTTGCCACTAGCATAGTGGCATAGAAATTAAATAAGCCACGCGTTATCAACGGCTCTTCTGCAGTGCGCGTATACGCCGTACCAAATATACTGCGCTGTAGTGTGGTGGTAATTGAAGTATTTCATTTGTACCCTACTGTGTGTATTTATAAAATTTACAGTAGCAGCCAAATAATCTAAACGCGTGTTTAGGAATGTGGAGGGATACGGCATAGCAGTGGACTGACAAAGTTTCTGCACAGATGCCCCTACTGGACATCTGTGAAAAAGAGCTTCATAGCTCATCGGATTCCTCCAGTATAAATCAATATTGGGATTCTGATATAATAATATCGATACTTGCTTTAATACTTCCCGACTGGAATGAAACGTGTTTCGGTTGACTACGTATGGTGCAAAATAAGTTCAACATCCATACATACATATAAGGTCTAACATCATTGCTGCTACGAGCTCATTGAATAAAAAAGCCAAAAAATCCTCCCTTTTTTACGATTCTGTACCAATAGAAATCACGGAATGCTCTCGTTTAATTTGCACGACTCAAACTCTGATTCTTCCTCAGTGCCAGATGCTGATTCCATGGAGCCACTCTCCTCCTCCGAGTTGTCTGTATCCTCCTGGTCCTGCAAGACAGATACAAGAGAATGGGTTAACATTTCCCGCACCTCTGATTTGCGTGGTTGGCTACGTACGGTGTGAAAGTCAACATACATCCATTGCCCTCATGTACTGCTCCAAGGTTGAGAGTAAGCTATTGTGTTATCCTAAAGTAGTGGTGGACTTTATTTCAACGGGTGATAACCCATTGAGACATCATGTTTCTTTTACAAGGCTGACTTGGGTCAGCAAGTGATAGCAGCACGGCGCAATTCAGGACCAACGTACGAGGCTAAGAGATATATGAAGACACATTCTACTACACGACAGAGTTAAACACAATTTTGAATTTAGCGAAACACAAAAACACCAATAACGTCAAAAGCGTATCAAAAACCTACACGGTAAATCTGTATGTATGTTGAACTCCTTTCGCATTGCAGGTAGCCAACCGTGCTAATTGGAGGTACAGGGGAAGGACAATAAAACTAAATGTGCATGGCCCCAAACAGCCCAAAAGGCCTAGGGACTACAAGAACACACCGGTGTGCTGTACTAGTGACGAATTGGCCACGTTCTGTTTACGTGACAACCCTTACTAGTTGGCTGTGTCGGTTGGTGGCGTGTTTTAACGACACATTCATATATTTACGCGATTTAACCCCAACAAAAAAAACCTCTTATGGATGATATTGGTCGCGAAAGCCTACGTGTTAAACTACAATAATAAGGTTGTAGTGGTGCCAGCTGAACACTGGCCACCCAGCTACCCCTTAACAAACGATGTCAGCTATTTTGGTTGCAATTGTGGCAGCCGAGGTACCTCGAGGCCTCCTTCAAAGTCACAGTTCCATTCCTCGATATCCAGCAGCTGCCCCAGCTCGTGCAGTCGAGCCCTGCGGGTGCCCGACTGCCAATCGGGCATGGACGCGGCACGCAGCAGCAGGTCTTGCCAGTCGGCTTCTCCCATGGTGTGCTCAAACGGAGCCAGGAACACCTGCCAGCAGGCGATGCCCAGAAAAAAAAAATCAGAAATCTTTATTTATAATCAGAGGAACCTGAAGAGCTGTTAAGCTCTTTTTTTCACAGACGTTCAGTAGAAAGAAGCACGCGTGGATCAGAGACGATGCGCAAAGCATTGACGGTCAAAAAAAGAAAGTGGGCATATTCTTAGGTTTTTTAGGTAAAGTCACGTAGGTAAAAAATTAAAATTAATAAAAGTAAAATAAAAATAAAATAAAAGTAAAAATCACGACGTTTCGGAGGCAACACAAGCTTCCGTCTTCAGGTGGCACCGTCACAGCACGATACCTACGTGACTTTACCGAAAAAACCTAAGAATATGAATCCTTGCAGTCACGAAAGCTTCAAATCTAGAAGAAAGTGGGCACTTCGCGAGGAGGGATGGCGGCCGGTGGTTGACACTAACGACGGCAGGAGAGGTCGTGCCCGAGAGGACGTCCACCTCGGAGACGAAGCGATGGAATCAGCTCGTGTACGGAAGCTAGATTGATCGTTGCATTGCGAGGCTAGCTGAGATTTTTGTATGCAGGCCTTCATCCACCAGTCGATTGGGTTTTGCCGGATTGTAAAAAAAAAAAACGATTCACATTTTTTGTTGTATGTATGGTACGTTCCAACAATAAACATACAGTCCGGCATTACAGGTTATACGCGTCTTTATTTACAGAGCTTATTTTTCTGATTTTATTGCGTTGGATGAAGTGTTTTTAAATAAACACGCTTGGTGTGGGGAAAGAGGAGAGTGGGAAGTGAATGCCGATTATAATTTAATGTTTCTGATTTCACAACAGTATGTGACCTATATACTGATGGTGCAGTCGTTGTTGCGGTGGCACACTGGTTAGTGTGTGTTGTTACTGTCGCCCGAGAATGTTGATAAGTTGGTTGTACTTGGTTGTCAAGAATTTACCCGTCATAGTTGGTTCACATCCTTGTGCATAGTGTAGCAATATTGCATAACGAATCAAGGCATAGTTAATAAATTCCAAATCTTGTATTCTGGATCGAGTTATTGTCCATGTTTCTGTCGCCGTTAAAGCGTATTTAAGACAAATTCCACACTGGTGTCCTATAAAAATATTGAGGGAATTGCATGGGAGAAAAAATGGATCTGAACTCCTCACTCTCATATTAAAAATGAGCTAACGTCATAGTTAGGACACGACGCCATGACCTCAACAAGCTGAGTTGGATGCCCAGCCACGGCTGACACCAGTGCCGAGAGACACATGAACCAACCCTGGCCTATCCCCACCAACTTCAACAACAAACAACAACAACCCGAACTGCTGAGCGTGGTGAATGGTGGCAAAAACAACTCCCACGACAAACACAGCGTGGGGAAGGCATTCTCGCCAAGCAGCGGATTGATAAACGGCGCTATGCAGTCTCGATTTAAAGCTTTCGTGACTGCAGGGATTCATCTTCTTGGTTCTTTCGGTAAAGTCACGTAGAATGGAAATAATAAAATAATAAAAATAAAACATCATAAAATAATTCTCACGACGTTTCGGCCACAATGCAAGCAGTCGTCCTCAGGTGAAGACCAGGTCTGTCGGGGAGACAGCGTCTGAATGAATCATTCATTCACCTGAGGACGGCTGCTTGCGTTGTGGCCGAAACGTCGTGAGAATTATTTTATTATGTTTTATTTGTATTATTTTATTATTTCCATTCTACGTGACTTTACCGAAAGAACCAAGAAGAGGGGGCTATGCAGGTTTGCAGCAATGCACATGGGGTCACCTGCGGAGCGAGGTCTTTGCACAGCTGCAGAGGGATCTGGCAGAGGCAGTCGAGGACAAAGTGGGCAGCCGTGATTGCACCACCCTGCATGCCGCCCGCCGTGTAGAGGTCGACTGCGTTCAGAGTGGACACAGGACAAGGTGGTCGGGTCATGCTTCGTCCCTGGGTACACTTCAGGTTGCTAATCTTTTAACAGAACAGACATAAGCGACAGGGCGCATGGCCAACAGTACACGAAGGGCACTTGGTGTTTACCGCAAGGCTTATGGAGAGGTTTAGAGGTTGCCCTTCTGACACTTGCTGTGCAAAAAAAGACATCTCTTAAATATTTATTTAAATCACGAGATTGCCAAGCACAGGCCCAAAGGACGAAAAATGCGAATCGGCCAGAAACGAAAGTACGCTTATCGTTTCCTGAGTTTGAGCGAGGTTATCATGAAAACTTGTGCAAAAGGACAATGGGAGGGAGTTTCAGAGTCGGCAAGTGCGAGAGAATTGGTGTGAACTCACATCACTTGGACAAAAGCATCCACGAAGCAAACGTGCCTCTTTTGAATATTTGAAGAAGCGTGCCTATTTTTAAATAAAGTAAAAATGTTTTTTTCCTCTGAATGTCATCCCACTTGCCATGCGGATCTCCCGCAAGTGTGAAAAAATGGCCCATGTGAGCAAATACCAGAGCTGGAATTTATCCAAATTAAATGCACTGCAGCCCTTGCAAATTAATAATATTTTTTTTTTGGGGCAGTCATTGCTTACGAAGCTGAGGCCATTATATCAACAATGGAGAATCCGGTTTAACTACAGTCAAACAAATAATCGATTCTTCAATGAATTCTTGACAAGTTATAAGTCATAAAATCAACGGGGGTGGGGGGTGGGGGGGGAATTATTTCACACTTTAATAATACATTTTATTTTATTTTACCAGATAAGGCCCACTGAGCTATATAGCTCTTTTTTCAGAAACACCCTAGCCACTAATGATAGCTCAACCAAGTGGCTGATCATGTGGAAATGTATAGCAGCCAAATACTCTAAATGCATGTTGACTCTAAATGTTGTGGGAAAAACCAAGGGACCTGGAGAAAAGTCCACGCGACCACGGGGAGAGAGACATGTGAACTCCAAATACACAGCAGGTGTCAGGGTTGTGATCGTACCCACGCTCTCTTCCATACCAGGCGAGGTAGTTAACATCTTGCCACCGTGGCACCCTTATATTTTCAGGCAAAAAGTAATTTCACCCAAGATGCGAATTCGACCCGTGTCGTCGCGCGTGTGCTTCCACCCGTTGGGTACCTTTCTCTTCGGCCATGATCGTGAGCACCACTTCTATTCGATTGCCAGCAGCGCCAGGGGAGCTTCCGAGAGGCCCTGGGCTGCCACCAGCGACACGAGCTGAGCCACCGACACCACGGGGTCGCGGTGGAGGGCGGCTTCCGCAAATTTCTCGGGCGACGGCTCGGCAGCGACACGCAGCAGCAGTCCCGGCTGCACCTCCAGAGCAAGCAGCTCGGAGACCTCGGCCAGCACCGCTTTGGCCGCTGCGTGGGACAGACAACGCATCTCATGGCTTCGCTTCCACCACCGCCGCCGCCACAGGCAAACAGCTTTGCTCGAGGTGCAGCCCTGAAATTCCCTGCTCACGCCACTGCTAGCGGAAAGGGCTCCACTGGAGGAAGCTCCAGAGAGCACCCTCCTGGGGATATTTAGGCCTTGTCTTGGAAGAGGTGCGATTGCCTACACTTTACCCCACCACCCAACAATGGAAATTGGTAAAGAAATGCAATGCAATAACATCCTGGAAGACTTGTTGAAGCTGTCCTGGCTAAAAAAAAGACTAGCCTCGTTTTCCAAATTGGAATGTTAGATTAAACAACCCTTCCTCACCTTGACATATCAAAATCAGAATCTTGATTTATACTGGAGGAATCTGATGAGCTATAAAGCTCTATTTCCACAGATACCTACAGGTTCAGAGAGGTGAAAGAAAATGACGACGCCAAACACTTACCCGTCTTTTCTCCCAGCTTGGCTACCTTGCCCGAGCAAACGCTCTCAATAAATTCCTTGAGCGGGCCGTGCTTCTGCTCAAAGAGTAACTCCCAATGGGACCAGGCGGCCAGGTCCTCCAGGAGGGGGGCAGTCAGTAGGCACTGCAGTGCCCGGTCTGCACCCACGTTCCCCTGCACGCCCAGGCCAGCCTGGCTCTTCTGTACATCCCGGCTAGAGGACACCGCACACCCGGCGAAACGTGTTCAGTGTCGTACAAACCACGACGGTGATAAACGACACAACAGCTTAAATAGACGCTCCAAGCCTGGGGTGTGTCATTCAGACTCTGTCTTCTCGACAGACCTGTTCTTCACCTGAGGATGGCTGCTTGCGTTGTGGCCGAAACGTCGTGAGAATTATTTAATGTTTTATTTTTATTATTTTATTATTTCCATTCTACGTGACTTTACCTAAAGAACCAGGAAGATGAAACGACACAACGTTGTCCCGCAGTCTTTATCTATGCTCAACTTACTTTCCCGCACCTCCAATTCGCACCTGCACCTCCTGTTGGCATGGTCTGCTACGTACGATGCGTAAGAAGATCAACATACATACCGATATGTGTTTGTTTGTCCCACGTCAAATGTTTCCATAGCAATCGTAGAAGGAAACATCTGATGCAAAGCAAATCATCATCAGCCATGATCAATCCACTGCTGAATTAAGGTGCCGTGGTGGTGAGATGTTAACTACCTCGCCTGGTATACAGGAGGTCGTGGGTTCGATCCCGACCCTGACGCCTGCTGTATATTTGGAGTTTGCATGTTCTTCCCGTGGTCACGTGGATTTTTCTGCAGGTCCTCCGGTTTTTCCCTCCACATTTATAATCAACATGTGTTTAGAGTATTTTGCAGCTGTAAATTTCCAGATGATGAACCACTCCATTGAGCTATCATTTCTGGCCAGGTTGCTTCTGAAAAAAGAGCTAAATAGCTCAGTGGGCCTCACCTGGTAAAAATTAAATAGTTTATAGTTGAATAAAAATGATAAAGTTTTGGTTTCAGTGTTTTTTTAAGGCCTTGCCAAGCAGTAGCCATCTCTCACGGCCCAGCGATGTAACAATCCACGTGGCACCTGCCCGTGAGAAGATTTCATGGCTCCATCTTCCTGGTGGTCGTCCTCCCGGGAGCGTTCTCTCCCCTGGCTAGAGATTTTGTCACAAGTCTGTCTCGTCTCATCCATTGGCTATCATGCCAGTGTCATTTGCATTAATCGCAATTCATCAATTAATCAATAACTCACGTGCCCAATTTGATGCACGCATTGTAGATACTGGATAAAAATATATTTGAATACATTAATTAATTATTGATAATTATGCATTTCGGTAAAAATGCATCCAACATTACTGAATTTTACGATACACATTTTAACACACAGGCACGAATCGGCATGTACCACCTACCTGCCGTCGCTTCGTGTCATCCCAGGGAAGATGGGCGACTGGCTGGAAGGGTCGTTGAATGGCTCGTCTTGTTGCTGAGGCTCCTTATCCTGGTCCTGCAGCACAGCCAGACGCGATCACACCACGTGGCCTGGTCAGGAAACCCAATGCCTATCCCGCCACAATGCTTCGAAGCTAACGAGAAGCCTAAAAAAGAAAACAACTCTCCAAAATAGGCATGGAAGAATATTCACTGGGACTCTTCAAAAAATTATTCAATAAGATTCTAGAATTGATCGGTTACTCACAACCGAATTAGCCAGATGGCCTGATTCGCCCCCTCTTGTTTGTAATATTTCTGATGTTTATTTAAAATTTTGTCTGGTTTTTACAAGCTCATTTATATTGTTTAAAAAAAATATTGCAATACCACAATTTACCTCACTCTTTGCAATCGAGGCGATGCTGCTTCACGTATCTCAATGGCTATATTTAATCTCATGATTAAACTCTTGCACATGAGCTGACCTAATCACTCCATCATCGTGGTGGTCACCCTCTTGGGCGCATTCTCCCCCGCTCTTGGCTGCCAAACTCATCTCATTTGCATTTACATTTTCAATAATTCATGAAAACAAAACGTACTTTCCATCGGGGATGTCACTATATGGTGCCGGGCTGAGAGGGCCAGGGCACGCGATGCAGCCTCATCGCATACACCCTGTTGGCGGGTGTAGTACGAGCCCTAGTGGGGCTTGGTGAGCGCTGGATAGCGCAGACACCACGCGTAGCATGTGGTGCGGGCTCCCACGAGGGGGAGCGGGAGAGTGTCAGCCCAAGGGCAAGGTTTCCCCGGGCCATGGAACTCTGGTTGACCCTGCATACACGTGATCTAGAGTGTCCATAGAGAGGCCCCCAGGTGGGGGGACTAGGGGGTGATCACGTGTCCAGGGAGAGCTCTCGGGAGAGCTCTCGAGAGGGATCGAGAGGGAGCGAGAAGGCTCCAGAAGTCGGGCCGGGCCAAGGGCGGAGCGGCCCCGACCGTAGGGGGATGGATATAAGGCGGGTCCCTGAGAGGGACCGGGGTCGCTGCATTCTACAAGCTGAAGCTCCACGTCCACCAGCTGAAGCGCCACTTTCACCAGCTGAAGCCTATATCTCAAGCTGGAAGCTCTACGTCTTCGAGGCAAACACGTGGTCGCGAACCCAAGTAGGGACCCGACCCTTCGTAGCAGTGACTCCTCTGTATAGAGTAGTTAGCTGGGTGGTCACCACCCTAGGCTGTATCTGGTGAAGGGGCAGTTGCCCCTTTGTGTTACGTGTTACAAATAAAATGTGTTGCCTCTAAAAGGAACAACGTCTGCGACTCAGTTGGACCCACTACACATGCATCACGAGTGCCATCGTCTATTTGACTGATGAATAAAAGCGTCGCGCCCTACATCCAAGGTTTATGAACCTTTTTGGCTCCACCTGAGGAGAGTTTGGCATTACTGGCACGTATGATGTGCACAATCGCGCAACGTGCTGGTGATCGATCAACCGTCACCTCGGTGGTGTTCAAGTTAACGCACAACGCGTCAAAGTCAATGAGCTGTTTGCCGCTCGAAGAAAATCTGACGTCGTGCGCCTCCGAAGTGTCCAAGCTCAGTGTTGACACCCCGGCCTTTCCCAGCACCTGCAGCGGCAAAGTCAGCAGCACATCGTTGAGCGACAACGAACGGAGACACGCTGAAAGAAAACAACCACTCTACATGCATACACCCGCGCACCTCTTAACACAAAGTTCTTCCGACAAATTAACCACAATACCTTGCTGATCTCATCAAGAAGCATAAACCATCATGAAAACTCCAGTTATCCTCGCAGCGGCTTTTGGCTAACCATAAAACAAAGACGGTCACTTCATCACGCGCTTTCAGATGCGCTTCTGCAGCCATCTGGAATGCTCTTCCTTCTGATATTAGCCACTGGAGATATGCACTTTTAAATCTAGATTGAAAACTCATTTCTTTCGAATTTCTTTTTGTTGTTCATCCCGCACACCTCCGATTTGCACGCTTGGCTACGTAAGGTGCGAATGAAGTTCAACATGCATACTGATACATTTATGCGGAAAGCATTCGCTCTGTACATTAGACTATCATCCATAACAGTGGGGCACTATAGCGCTTATAAATATAATCCACTATGAACCAAACTGTAGTTTTAAAGTTGCGTTGCTATTAGGGACACGAAAACACGATGATCAGACGAAGACACAACAAAACAAGACAATAAAAAACCACTCTTTACTTTCCGGCAAAAATATGCAAAAACGCATTTTGTCCTGATGGAGAATGAGTGAGCTTCCTACAAATCAAAGGTTGCCTGGGAGAGTGGGGTTGGGGGGGGACACATTAAGATTTGCAGATAACTTAATAACAGCCACGGTGACGGAGCTTAAACGATAACGTCCGTGTCACCCACCTTAGAGTTGCCGTTCAAAAATTCGAGGAAAGAGCCATGGCCCAGGCTGGGGAAGTCGGGAACGTTGAAGCGCTCCGCCAGCTGCTTCTCAATCTCAGCCAGGTCCCCCAGGCTCAGGGAGGCAGCGGCGCCGCTTCCACTGAGCAGCTCCAGCATCTCATCCCGCACGACGCCTGCCACAGCCCGCGTTGGGGCGAGGGTTAGAGAGTCACCATTGGAACCTCATTTGCCAAATGAGGTAAGCATTTACACCATTGGAACCTCATTTGGCAAATGAGGTTCCAATGGTGTAAATGCTTACCCCGAGCTCTCATACTCTGATGGTGCATTGTCTTTGAGTTGTGCGCCTTTTGGCGTCATCTGGTCCAACCCATGTGAGACTAGGCTCTAAGGAAAGCTGTCTCGGGTGTGGACCAATCAACTTCAAGGACAGTGCATATATTATCAGAGTTATATTTTGTTTGCATTATGGCTGCAGGTATTGTAGTCTATGCAAACATGACTCCTTGTAAAAAAAGGTGTCAGTTTTGTTGCCAGATAGAAGGGTAAAAAAACAATTATCGGTTAGAGAGTCGTCGGCAAAACGGAGGCAGACGTAGAAGGGCAGGTGGCTGTGGTTACGCCTTTCAGGCTGTATAGCAAGCATCTATATTTGGGACACTATTATATTAAATTATTGAGTATGAAAAATGGGGTTAGGAGCTATTTGTCAATGTCAAGGTCTGCGTGCCATGAGAGGGCTTCAGGAGTTAGAGTTTGTGCAATTTTTCTACTCCTCCATTGAAGGACTACAGTGGCTTACTATATGATACGTAGTTTTGGTTGCCTGGCCATGACCATACTACTTTGGCTTGTCTTTAATTTTACATTCATGCAAGAGGTGTGCACATCACACTGTTAAATCTTCTGATGCGGCTGACGGTACAGCAGCAGTATGCGAGGAATGTCAAAGTCAGGGGCTGCAATATCTGGATCTCAGATGAGGTTTTATTCTGGACGGCCACATTGCTCCACTCTGTTCGCCAACGTTCTTCACTTTGGGACACTAACACCCCATTTCCCCACTCTAGTACTGAGCCATGCTGGGACCACGTCAAGCCAGCCCGGTGCTGTTCAGGTGGCTTTAGGTTGCGTTTCTACTGCAGAAGTCGATCCGTGCCACCCGGCGTCCCACATTGTGTGCAATGAACGCGTCGAATAGTATGTAGATACACGCAATGAGAGCATCATAAGCCCCGCGCTGGCTCTGCTCAGAGGTGCCAGTGGAAAAGGGGTAGAAAGGAGCCTTCCCTTACAGGATATGATGGGGGCAGGGGAGCCAAAGTTGCTTGCACACTGCCTTAAAACTAAACTATATTTTATTTTATCAGGTAAGGCCCACTCAGCTGTATAGCTCTTTTTAAGAAGTGACCTGGCCACAAATGATTAGTGGTTTATCATGTGGAAATGTATAGTGCCCAAATACTCTAAACACATGTTGATTCTTGATGTGAAGGGAAAAACTGGAGAACCCGGAGAAAAATCCAGCGTGACCACAGGGAGAGAGACGCGCAAACTCCAAATATACAGCAGGCGTCAGGGTCAGGATCGAACCCACGACCTCCTGTATACCAGGCGAGGTAGTTATGAACTGGGTGAGGAGTTTGAATCCTAGCCACGGCTAATATCAGTGGTGAGTGGTAACTGAACTGGTTCGGACGCCAATCCTCAACTTTGCCAACCTTCACTAACCAGCATGTTGTAATATAATCAAACAATCTCCAATGCTGACATGACATGAGGAGGCCTTCATCCAGCAGTGGATTGACAAAAGGGAAAAAAATACGCTTTTTATTTCATGCCGACAGCTTCTGTCATACATGCGTGCATGGCACATGCTGCCGTAGATATTTTTAAATCTCACTTTGGTATTCTTATGATACATTTTAGCAGCTTAAGGATAACAGATAGAAGAATGGGTTCTAGATGTGAAGCTTTCGTGACTGCAAGGATTCATACTCTTAGGTTTTTTAATATATAACAGATAGGAGAATGGGTTCTTACTTTCTGCAAGAGTGGGCTGAATGTCGTCGGCCTTAAGTTTGAAGGCGTTCGAGGACATCTCACTGAGTCCCGGTTCAGAGGGGGTCACAAGGGAACCTCCGCACACTGCTATCTGGAACAGCGTCTTGGCCAAGGGGTCTCCTGCCGCCAGGGACAGGAAGTCCTGAACAGTCTGCAAAGACAAACATTCCCCATATGATCCTTATGGCCGGTACCCCGGGGTACCAAATCATACAAACTGGCCGAGGCAATTAAATATTTTATTTCTGGGACACTATTTTTTACAGGGGTGTACTTAACTCCGCGACTGGGGTACCAATCAATCCGAAATCAGTGCTACTCCGCGATGTCGAACCGCCAACGATGAGCATAAGAAAATCCGCTCTTGAAAAATTCAATTTTGAATAGTGCATCGTGTACAGCTCGTCGAGATGAGTCGATTGCCGCATCGCCGACCATCAACAGACTACAAATGACTGCATCACGGACATTATGCGAGAGCCGGGGTACTATGGTACCCCGGGTTACCGCCATAAGGTTCATATGGCCTTTAAACTGTGAACTAAACGATAAAAATTTCATTTTACTAGGTAAGGCCCACTGACCTATATAGCTCATTTTCAGAACCAACCTGGCTGCAAATGATAGCTCAAAGAAGTGGCTTATCACGTGCAAATTTATAGCAGCCAAATACTCTAAATGCATGTTTGTAAATGTGGAGGGAAAAACTGGAGGACCCAGAAAAAAAGCCACATGACCACGGGAACAGACATACAAACTCCAAATATACAGCAAGCGTCAGGGTCGGGATTGAAGCCAGCACCTCCTGAATACCAGGCAATTGAGTTAGCATCTCACCACAGCTGCGTCACTTCAACAGACTGTCAAGGTGCATGCATGCGGTTTGCGGTGGATACATTTGAATATTAAATTTAAAGACTGGTAATCGTGCAAAGATGGACCACGGTGGGCAGTGAAGACCTGAGTTGAGAAACGCTCATCTGGCTGCTGAAATGAGGCATGCTTTGTCCAATGTAACGTTTGTAAAATATTGCCCTTGGTGAAAGGTGGTGCAGTGATTAGCGCACTGCACTATGCACCCGGCCACCTGAGTTTCGATTCACAGCCACATCAGGTGGTGAGCGATATCTGATCTGAACTGGTCCAGGGCCTTCACTCAACCAAATAAGCAATGACCAGCATGACAAATTCGGGTAAAACACCCCATTACCGGCACGGCTGCAGGGAAGGCCTTCATCCAGAAGTGGATTGTCAAAGGCCTGTAATTTATTATTATATCATATCTGTTTTTTATTTACATTTCGGGCATACATGCTGATTAGCAACCTACCCTCTTTCATAGAATAAATTAATGAACTACAATGGCAGTCATGTACAAGCACACGTTAAAGACCACTCGTCATGTTCATCATTAACACTGCCTTATAACAGAACAATATACAATGGTATAACATTGCCGATGACAAACAATGGCCCATACAAGGCAGTGTTCATTTAGATTGTTTATATTAATTGGGTGCTATAAATTTCCACATGATAAGCCACTTCGTTGAGCTATCATTTGTGGCAGGTCCTGAAAAATAAAGCTAATAGCTCAGTGGGCTTTACCTGCTGAAATATAAATAGTCTAGTTCAGTTTTTTCCTATACTTTGCACTCCCGTCGTGTTTTTGTATTGTTTGTTTTTGGAACTATCTGACCTCGTGCCCCGACTGGACATCTGTGAAAAAGAGCTTCATAGCTCATCGGATTTCTCCAGTAATAAATAATAAAGACTCCGATTCTGAAAGTGACAAACATGGCGAGTGTTCTTTCCCCCACCATGTTATTCCCCACCTTACCTTCTTTATCTTGTTGCTGAAGATCTGATCGGCATTCTTGAAGACTACGTAGAGAAGCTCTGATGCAGACTGACTGGCATATTGCTGCTTCAGCCTGGCACCTCCGTCCCCATCATCGAACAGGTTGAGAAGGCTCTGCTTCTGCCGCTGGAGCTTGGCCTCCAAGTCCCTGAGAACGTCGCATTCCAGCTGGGCCCGTGCTTGCTCACGTGCTTCCGTGTCACACCGCTGCACTTTGAAAATCGTCTGTGGGAACGACAAAACCACCGTCTCGACGTTTGTGTCCAGTTACTGTGTATTTGCATTTAAAAAATGTTTTTTTATCAATAAATATTACATCGTCAATAGATATTTAACGATATCAGGCAAGCTGGTTATGTACTCTTGGTCGTCGAAAGCAGCACGGTAATTCCGAGCTCACATTGGGGTGGGGTTGTTATTTCTTTAAAGATTTTGAGTTTTTTTCACTCATTTTATTCCGAGCCCGATATCGAGTGTCATGTCAGGGGAGAAGCAAAGAATCAATTCGGAAATCTCACAGGGCAGTGCGAGCCCCCATGTGTCTGAGAACGGATGCACAAAAAATGTTCACGTAAATTCTGAAAAAACCGTTCAAAAGCAGGGGGCGCACTCTCCCACACTCCACTATGATTTTTTTTTGGTGTTTGCTGCATGGCAGTCAAACCAATAATTTAATTCTGAAGAGCTGAAATTTTGCCACGATTTCTTTTTTGTGCAGTCATTGGTGACCGACTGGGCTGTGGCCATCGACTCCACACCTCCGATTATCCCCGCACCTCCGATAGCAACGCTGGAGATGTACGGTGTGAAAGAAGTTCACCATACCTTGTAGGTTTATCATACGGTTTGACGTTATTAGTTAAAATGACAGGCGGCTGAAACCTGCATTCCAACTCAGAACCTTAGATAGTTCAGCCTCAGTGCTCTGCATTTCCCGAACTACCCTGCCACCTACAACTTGATTTGGCGCTTTCGTGACTGCAGTAATTACTCTTTGGGTCTTTCGGTAAAGTCACGTAGAAAGAGAAAATAATACATTAATTAAATAATAATCTCTTTCATTTGTACCTGATGATGATTGCTTGTGTTGCAATCGAAACGTCGTATGCTATTATTTAATTTACTATTTTCTCTTTCTACTGTGACTTTACTGAAAAGAACCAAATAATTACAAACCTGCCACCTCTCACGCCGTGGTCGTTGTTTGGTCCATGTAACAATAATGACAAGGACAGGCCGCTGCATTCCGAGGCTGTCCACTTACAGAAATGGCGAGTCCGAGGCTGGTGATGCTGACTCCCAGCTCCTGCACGCTGTTCAGTCTGTATTTGTCCTTCAGGTGCCTCATGAATTCGGCCTGATCTACTCGCTGGCCCTGGTTACTCAGCATGTACGATTGCAGGTTCTGCAAATCACAACAAGAGACGGGACTCAAAAGTGGTATCATACGACTGCTTTCAGATACGAATGCTTACGTTAACGGTTGCGTACATACGGTTATCCCCTTGATAGACACTCCTACTAGTACAAAAAAGAAAACTTTAACTGGAGTTTTCCGAAATGCCTTGTTTTTCTGTTAGTTTCTTTATCCAGGTTCATGCAGTAGTTTAGTCACAGAGAATGACCACAAACCAAAAACACCGCTTAGTCCAAGTAAGGAACCGAAAGATTTGCCCCCACCCCTCCTCGCTGATTTAATGAATGTGCATTATCAAATTTAACATGCACGGTTTTTATATTGGGTGTGTGTAGTCATTGGTGACCGGGTTGAGCTTATCATGTGGTGGCTACACTTCAGTTCCCGGTGTACTCTACAATTAAAGTCAGACGCCCGTACATGAACCCAAGACCTTAGCAGGTGCCAAGCTTAAATTTCGATTTAAAGGCTTTCGTGACTGCAGGGATTCATCTTCTTGGTTCTTTCGGTAAAGTCACGTAGAAGGGAAGTAATAAAATAATAAAAATAAAAAATAATGAAATAATTCTCACGACGTTTCGGCCACAATGCAAGCAGCCATCCTCAGGTGAAAACCAGGTCTGTCGAGGCGACAGCGTCTGACAGACCTGGTTTTCACCTGAGGACGGCTACTTGCGTTGTGGCCAAAACGTCGTGAGAATTATTTTATTATGTTTTATTTTTATTATTTTATTACTTCCCTTCTACGTGACTTTACCGAAAGAACCAAGAAGGTGCCAAGCTTACTCATTTCGAAGGCCCAACGATCTCCAGAACCTGTGATCACTTTCAGGTCCTCCCTCTCTTCAATGCCCCGTTACCCACACACCATCGCGCTTAGTTATATGGCCTCGAGGGCTGTCCGACACCTTCAGGACGTCCGCGGTGGTGATCTTGGGTATGTCGCCGTCCTTCATCGAGCTCAGCACTCCGTACTGTGCAGCTACCGCGGGGTGGCGGCAAAGTGGCCCAAGGCCCAGCTCGCGGAAGTCCCCCTTCTTCTGCAGGGCGGCCGCATCCTGGCCCAGCTCGTGCAAAGTGCTGATGCAGCGAATGCTCTTGTAGGCCTGCAGCCGAACACGCCGAGATACCGCACACGCACGCGTATTTTGAGGTCGCGGTCATTCCCCACAAAGCGCTCGCCACAAATGAACACCACAATACCTTGCTCAGACCGTCGAGGAGCGGAAACCATCACACGAACCTGCGGTCACCGTCGAGCACTTTCGGATAAGCTTCTGTCGCCCTCTGGAATGCTCTTCCAATATTAGGAAGTCACCTGGAGCTATTCACCTCCTGATTAGTACGGAGTGAAAGAAGTTCAACATGCATACATAGCATGTCGTGACGATGCAAATTGGAATTGTTCATCACTGCAGTTATGCATGTTGAGGGAATGATTTCCAGCTTCAAATAAGTTATTTGGGAGAACTATTGTTCTTATCCACGTTCATGTGGGAAAAGAATATCGCACGTCCTCTTATCCACGATGTTATCCGTGGAATTTGCTCTACTCATCTATATAAAAGAAAAAGTGTGGATCATTTTATCTGTTGCACGCTATATTGGGGAGCCTGGTTTAATTAGAGCTGGCTAAAACCCAGTGCACGGCCGGTGGGCTAGAAGAACAGCGGACCTTGATGAACGTATGCACCGCCTTGTGGGTTTTCATGAATTCTGCGATGGCAGGGATGTCGTACTCGCTCTTCAGGCCCATTGCCGTCACCGACGGAACTTTCAGGCACTTACAAAGCAGTGCGGACACCTATATAAACAAACAATCAAAAACACAGACACCAACTTGCGATAAAAAACAATCAAAAGCAAAAATGTCTTTCCAGATACAAGCAAAACACAAGTTAGGTTGGCTAATGCAATACTTGCACTCTATATGGTGTATCTTACTTAGAAAACACACGGACAGACACGTACCCATCAGATGTGTTTGTAAACAGATATTTTAAGGATCTCAGTGGTACCGACTCACCCCATGAGTCTCTAATATTTAAAGACACTCAATGGTAGTTATTTTAGTGGACAAAGGTAGAGTGCAGTTTTAAAAGTATGACGGCATTACTGCAGAGTCAATGTGGCCCTATTGTTATCAGTAAAACTTTAGGCACCGTCCATAATAGAGGTTTTTTGGGTCAGATCGCGTAAAAATGTGTTGTTAAACCCGCCACCACCTGACACAGCAAATTAGTCAGGGTTGTCACGTAAAGAGAACATACCAATTCGTCACTAGTACAGCACACCGGTGTGTTGGAGAGCCAAGCCACAACATTTACAATCTGAGTACGACGTTTCGCAAGTAATTATAAGTAGCTTCATCAGGCGACAGACAGATTTGTGAAGAAGTCCACCTGTTTCATTTTTTATATAGAGGCGTAGATGTAGTGACCACACTTCTTGAACAAAGTGGAGTGGGGGGAGATTACTGAGTCAACTTACATTGTGCATGCGCATTATGCGAGCCCATTGATCTTGTCCTTCCTGTCCATTGTGTGTACTAAAATAGCGCTACCAATGGTAATACCTATTGAATTATGGTGGCCTGTATAGGCATGCATTTAAACAATGTATTATTTGATCATTTGCTTCCACACAGCACCAAGTCGGTAGCTATCCGTACGGTTACAATGATTTTAATTTATTAAAATGCGAAAATTTCATTTAATCATATATTTACACGATCTAACCGAAAAAAACCTACATTATGGATATTGGTCGCGAAAGCCTACGTGTTAAACTGATTAGGCACCATATAAAGTAAAATGACATATTTTGCCCATTTTTGGGGGGGGTGAGAAAATGGCACGAAATACCAATCGTGCATTCTTACCAAGGCAGAGTTACCAGTAAACGGACTGCTTATACGGGACTCGACGACATATTTACCGGGTTTTGTAGTGGTTAGCGCTACGCTGCATTACGAGTTCTATCCCCGCTCATGGCCAACACCGGTGATGATTATCATAACCGGTCCTGGGCCTCCCCTAAGTAGACTCAGCCTCTAATGAGCACCTGATGCGGTGTGTAAACATCGCCACTGGGAAGACAAAGGCGGCCGGACGTGGTGCTTGCCACCCACCCCCTCGTGTGCCGTGCTGCCCTTCATAACTCGCCACTGATGTTAACTGCGGCCGGAAATTAACCTCCGGTCACAGGATTCGCAGCGCACTAACCACTCTACCAACACTCCACTCCAACAATTATCAGCAAAGAAATGTATTCAACACAGGATGCAGGCCCATTGTGGGCCAGAGGACTCTCATCTTACCCAAAGGACTTTGAGCTAATTGAATTCACGGCATTTTGCAATGCATCAAGCAGCCTTCAACCGTACACAAAATCAGCCCAAATCTTACCACATCTTTGGAGACATGCTGGTCAGTGTCAGCCAAGGCAGTCAGGCAGTCCTGTGCAGTCTGGTTGACTCGGCCGATGTCTACAACTGGGACCTGCCTGTTCACGTTCGCCAATACGTTTGCAGTCTTATCTTCTACAGTGCACTGTCGGCGGTTTCAAATTTAACAAGTACTGTGTGTTTTCGACAATGGGGGTTTTGTACGTGTTAAACTGCACTGGCTGAGTAATTCCTAGGTTGCTTGTGCTGAAATGTGGCATTTCTTGGTTTATGAATATAAGCGTTGGGTCTCTGTTGATGTGGGATTATAGAGGGCTTTTGATGCTGTCCCACCCCTTCTGATTTATGATGTGGACGACTCTGTTGATGGTCTGCAGTTCCTTTTGGTCTTTGATCTTTTTGGCATGCGTTTTGGTGGTCTGTCGTTTCTCCTTGCCGATGATGATGTGGGCCACTCTTATGTTTTTCAAGGAGTCCTCCTTGTCTATAATAAGCCGAGTCAGTCTTCTCCGATCTTAAGAAATCCAGGTTAAGTTTATTTAACTCTGGTATTCCTCCTTGCTTTGGATCACGTGGCCTAGGTTTTTGACATTCTGCTGTCGTTCCTTGTCTATAGTGATGCGGCCTGGACAGTCTGGTTATCAGTTGATCCTCCTCCTCCTCCTTGTCTGTATCCAGGTTGGCCGGTTTCAGCCTTTTGGCCTCCTTGTTTTCCTTTATGCTGTTGATTTTGTGGGCCGTTATACCCCGGTCCTTCACCCTGTTTTTGATCGTGCTGACCAGATCTCCTATGTTCTCCCGTGCTTCCCTGCTTTGGATGACGTGTACCACCACTCTGAAATTTAAGGAAACAAATTCAAACTCACATTGTTCCGCGACTCAAGGAAGAGGAACGAGTTTACAATTTTTTTATATTTTAAACTCAAAACTCAACACACGTGTCAATAATACCGTGTGGCCTTAAAAGTTAAAGTATATCATAGGAGATGTTTTGAGCAATTGGTCCATCTTTTGCGAGATGTTAACTAACCTACCAGGTATACTGGAGGTTCGATCTCGACCCTGAGGCCTGTATATTGGGAGTTTGCATGTTCTCCCCGTGGCCGTGTGTATATTTTTTCCATTTAAGGCAATCTTATTGAATAATAATGACAAATGCACTCACGCCGTGTAACATGGTAAGCCATGACACAATGGGCCTGAATCACACCTGAGATGATGGAAAAACAACTGGGACTCTCTCCCATCCTGTACAATGTTTCACCAACAGCAGGACACACATAGAGAGGTTTAGAGGAACTCACGACCAGTCGAGGATTACAGGAAAACATTTATACATGCTCATTAGTGTATGTCTACCTAGCTAAACTGCTGTCGAATAATAATTGCTTTAATAATGGATGATACTCTTATGGATGTTCTTATGAACGCGATGGCAATGTGTATGATGCAAATATTCAAGTGAATCGTGTATTATGCAAATTCAATGGTACGATATTGTGCCAATATTACTTACCCCTGGGCTGGATTTCGGTTTTCCTCTGAAGCTAGACATTCCTAAAACACAAGACACCAGGTAAGGTTAGAAATATTTATTGACGAATTGCCATCTTTGGGTGCCATATCTGCAAGTGCGTGCATGCACAGCGCCCTAGGGGCTGTCCATAAATGACGTCACGCACCTAGGGGGGGAGGGGGGTCAGACATTTGTGACGATGTGTGACGAGGGGGGGGGGGTTCAGAAATGTGACGTCACATCAAAATGCGCAACTTTAAATAAATATAGACAACACGTTCTACGTAATTAAATAGACGTTCAAATAAATGTTTTCTCCTGCAACATCAGAGTGCAGCGCCACATTAAATACGCACTACAATGATAATAGTTTAAAGCGATTTGAAGCATGTTCTATTTTCAAAATGGAAATATGCTTTTGGGGGGGGGGGGGGCAGAGCTTTGTGACGTCATATTTGAGGGGGGGGGGTCTGACTTTTTGTGACGCCGTGTGACTAGGGGGGGGGGGGGTCAAAATCGTCTAAAATCGCGTGACGTCATTTATGGACGGCCCCCTATCTGTGTTTCATTTAGGCACTGTACTGCTGCGGAAAGTTGAATTGTTTGCACACTGCGATTGTAATCTACAGCCAACCGGATTGCCCTCTGGAATGCACACCCCTCGTGCTCATGATCCATTTCACCACGGAAGCATCACCTACCCTTGTGTACAATATACAGTACGTGCACAGTGTTATATGTATTCTGTGCGATGCTGAGCTCTCCTCTCTATCCACTGCTAGATGAGAGCCTCGCTGTTTGACCATACTTCACCACGCTGGGGAGCCTTGCAATCCTTTTAAATGACCATGAGGGCTCAAGTCGATACACATCGGTTGTGTCGACCTAACTGCACCTCTCTGGAGAGGAAGCTACAATGGACACGTCTAGGTTACAAAGCGTTATTATAATCACACGGCAGTTACAGCACCAGTTCAGTTTAATTGATTAGGTATAGGCCCTGTGAGCCATTCGGCTCTTGAATCGGGTGCAACCGCAACAAACAAAAACATGAACAAGAAACATCTTAAAGTGATTAAGTCTTCCAGAAAAAGCACAGTATATCAACGCTGTGTGCAAAAATAGCAGTGGGATGCAAGTCAAACGATAACAACCACAAGACAATTCAAATTAAAGTTATCAGGCTAACTCTGTACTCCAACAAACACATATGGCGAAACCAAAGCGTTTTCGAAATCACCAAAATAAAGCTATAAAAACAATGTAACAGCGATCATAGGAACTGTAATTCAACTTTAAGAATAAACGATCTACATAATATGTACGACCAAACTTTGCAGCCATAGCTGGCAGCATGAGTCACTCCATAACAGCAGGAGTATCAGGAGTATCAACATTTTTCAATGCACCTTTAAAGAACAGCACACTATGATCAAAACACAAGATCATACTTTGCAGCGGTCATCCGGAGCGATACATTTGATTTCAGGCCGCTGAATAGCAGTGGCAGCTCGGGGTGTACAACTCCTCTAGAGCAGTTTTGAGTGAAGATCTCACAGGTAGTGGTCCAAGTTGAAGATCTCACAGGCAGTGGTCCAAGTTGCAAGGACTTGGTGTCAACACGCTGATGTTCAACCTAAGACCCGTGAGTTGTCTCCCCAAATTAGCCCAGGTGTGAGTGCGGGGAAGAAAACAACATTCGCCCTTTGCCCAGCACCCCTTTACGCATTTTTATTTAGAGCTGCCAACTTTTTATGATCATTCCAACAGCAAAAAAAAAAATCCATTCTAGATTTGAAGCTTTCGTGACTGCAATGATTCATACTCTTAGGTTTTTTTCGGTAAAGTCACGTAGGTAAAAATAAAACTAATAGAAATAATATAAGAAATCACGACGTTTCGGAGGCAACACAAATCCACCCATCATCTTTTCAAGCAAATCCATCAGCTGTGATGTTTAAAGATGTGAGCGGGGAAGGAAAATAACAACAACACTCACCCTGCGATGAACACTCCTTCTTCAGCCAGATGATTCACACGCAGGGGAGGAGGAGGAGGGCGAGAAAAGTTTTTTGTTTGTTTGTTAAACCAATAACAAAAACAACAACACCAACACCATCAAGGTCTCGACACAAGACGTTGAGCTACTGCTGCTGTTGTGAGTGTGCTACGTTGCTGGGTAGGGGGAGTGGTGGTGGTGTCACGTCAGCGCTCCCTTCTCGTTATTCGCTCACGTAAAGGCGCTCATCATTTCCTGACAATGATGACGATTAGTTGGCCAGTCCATTCAATAGGAACGCAAACATCTGTTGAAACTTGACCTCCCCCCCCCCTTCTCTCTGTACGCACGTGGACTTTTTACACCGCCACCCCCCACTCCGAATCCTATAGAACGGCCGATATTTAATCCACGCAGAAACGATAAAGGATTGATAATATTCACGTGTTTAAGCAGGGAATGCTGCATTATTATCGAGGCTTCACACTCCCCACCCGTTTCCTATGCGTACGTACATTATCACACCCCTCCCCCCTCCATGCGGACGTACTAACTGGATGGCCCCTTATGAGACCAATTCAGACCTTAGTGGTCACCTCGTGCCCTAATAAATGTCAACGTTCATCCTACAAAGTCCCATCAGAAGGGAGAAACACAAACAAATAGACAAAAGTTATGTTCATCTTCTTGGTTCTTTCGGTAAAGTCACGTAGAAGGTGAGTAATCAAATAATAAAAATAAAACATAACAATATTAGCATATTAGTTAATTATATTATAAAACCATATTATTTAATTATATTATTTTATTATGTTTTATTTTTATTATTTTATTATTTCCCTTCTACGTGACTTTACCGAAAGAACCAAGAAGATGAATCCCTGCAGTCACGAAAGCTTTAAATTGAAATTTAAAAGTTATGTTCTTTGCCCGTATTGAAACGGCTGTACACGGTATGGACATGAAAAGCCAATTTCCCTGTACAAGAATACAGGGTAAACCATATGGGTTGACACACTCGAAATGAAGGACGTGGGCAGGTGCTCCAAATCGAGGGCAAACACATTTATTGTGATTAATCTGTCAAATGCAACAGCATGTGTGTCACACACAGCCATCAAGGGGCCGGCCATAAATGACGATTTTTGACCTCCCCCATCCCCCTCGTCACACGGCGTCACAAAAAGTCAGACCCCCCTCAAATATGACGTCACAAAAGCTCTGCCCCCCTCCCCCCCCCCAAAAAATAAAACATGCTTCAAATCTCTTTAAACTATTGTCATTGTAGTGCGTATTTAATGTGGCGCTGCACTCTGATGTTGTAAGAGAAAACATTTATTTAAAAGTATATTTAATTAAGTAGAACGTGTTACACTTCACTATTCAATTATTACTTTAATCCTAAGTTGTATGTCTATCTATACCATCTACTTATATTGGTATCTTACACCCATTACCTGTACTGTATGTGCACAATATACGTACTGTACTTGTCACCATTGTAAAACTTACGACTGTACCTGTGTTCTATTCTCAATAGCATTGCAAGTAGTCATACTCTGGGTGCATGGTTATAGAATAAACAGTATTAGGGTTAGAGAATTACAAGTATTAACTACAATAAGTCATCCTTTACAATGGACAGTGCTTAAACGCCTCCTATTGAATATATCACAAACTAACAATTCAAAGCCAAGCTTGAAGTCTAGAACAAGTCTAGAACATTTCTATAACGATCAAAAACAACCTTTGAGTTCTTTACCTGTAGACTGCAACAGCACGTGTCACACAGAAATCCTCAACCGAGTCGCCATTAACCACGTGACTGATGTCCGGTTAATTAATAACCCTGCCAGCCACCCACAGGCCCAATCCATATCGCATGCTGGTGTAAACACGTGCATTGATGTACTGTGTCATCTCGTCGAACACCATGAGAGTAGGCTCTAAGAAAAGTTGTCTCTGGTGTGGACCAATCAGTTTCAAGGACAATGCATAAATTATCAGAGTATTGTTTTTTGTTTGCATTTGACTGCAAGTATTGTGGTGAATGTAAACATAATTCCTTGCAAAATGTGTCAGTTTTGTTGCCAGAAAAAAGGGGAAAAACCCTATTAGTATATTTTGGTACTGGAAAAGGAGGCCTCACGATGAAGCACATAAGGACTTTCACAAAACCACACTTTACTCCCTTGTTGCACGAGGAAATAATTAAAAAAGTGGTCCATTCCTAATGTGCCACGTGAGTTCGTGTAGACTTGATATTCCTCCACTGAAGGAGTGCGCAGACCCACGGTGGGTTTTAACTCGACGTGTCCACAGTTTGGGTTGCATGGCCATACAGTCACACAACTGCGGATTTGTCTTTTAATTTTCCATTTACGATGGAGATGGGCGCATCGCGTCCTGCTGATGTTCTGATGCGGTTGGCGGTCGCAACCAGCCAGGGTCTTCGAGGAACGAATGGCAAAGACAAGATGTGCGACGATTCTTTGGGGTGGCGTTTCTTGTAGAAGTCCAACGAGCGTTGTTTCCACTCTGTTCCGTACAGCAATGTTCTTCCAGATCTGGGTGACATTCGAGGATGGTGACACCTGGAACGTCACCCAGATCAGCGGCGAGGAACATAGTTTGCGGTCATTATTATTTGATAGAAATATATTTAAAAAATATAATCACAGGGGAGCCCTTGAAGTGTGTGGGAATCACGAGGGAGTCCCTCCGATCACTTCTCACGGCACCTTGCGGGAAACGTCGCCACCGACATCTTCTTCCTACCACACTGACGGCAAGCGAAGAAGCAAAAACAGTTTTCATTGTTTCGGATCATTGTTCCAACGCTATGGGCACACGTGACATTGTTTTCTCCGAGACCAAGGTGCTCTGCAAACCCTCGGGCCAAGTTTTAATTGATAGGATTTTCACTCACTAGTCCGATTACTAATCTGAGCTCCTTTACTTGTTAATTCCTCCAGCCCCACCTGTCCCTGCACACCACAAACCTCCCCCACGACTCAGCATAACTAATTCCCCCCTCCCGTGGTTATATAAAGCCACAACAGCAGTTAATTTTCTCACCTGAAGACGGACGCTTGTGTTGCGACGTCGTCTTTTCTTTAATTACTTTTTCTACCTACGTGACTTTACCGAAAAAAACAGAGTTATGGATTACTGCGGTCACGAAAGCTTCAAATCAAAACCAAAACAGTTTTGTTATTTGCATCCTCCCCGCCTCCCCGTCGCCAGCCAATCACAAGCGCGCGTCTCGTGACGCGTCGGCTACCGAGCCAATGGGCGGCGCTGCGGGGAGTAGTAAGATGGCGGGGCTAGAGCCACGCCTCCCTCTTCCTCCCCCCCTCCCTCTTGCCCCCTCCCCTCTCTCCCCTCTCTCCCTCCGCCCCCTCACTCCTCCCCTCCCCTCCTTTACCCCTCCCCTCCTTCCCCTCCCCTCTCGCCCCCTCCCTCTCTTTTTTTTTTTTTTTTTTTTTTTTTTTTACGATCAGTGGAAACAAGAAGATGCTCGGTGTATTCGGCACTTTGTTTCGGTCATCATTTCGTAATTTTTTTTTTTTTTTTTTTTTTTTTTTTTTTAAAACGGGGCTTTATGTTGCCCTCGCTCGCTCGCTCTCTCCTCGCTCACTCGCTCTCTCGCTCGCTCTCTCGCTCGCTCTCTCGCTCACTCTTTCGCTTGCTCGCTCTCTCGCTCTCTCTCACTCGCTCTCTCTCTCGCTCATTCTCTCGCTCACTCTCTCGTTATTTACGCCGCCCCCCTCGCAGTCCTATGGCCTCCGACGGGTAGCTCATAACAGCATGCAGAGCTCCCCGTCATCTGCCACGGAGCACACGGCCTCCTCCATCGCCACTGCTCCTTGAAGGCCGGCACGGCGTGGGTCAGCCGCGCATGGCGGAACTCCAGCCACACCCTGGCTCCGACCAGAGCGCGGAAGATGCCCAGGCTGCTGGCCGGACGTTTCCCCTCCAGGGCCACCTTCCTCGCCCTGTAAATGGCGAGCTTGGCGTAGCCGACAAGCACGTTGACCAGCCCCTGAAGATGTTGGGATCCGTCGCCCTTTCGGTATCCAAAGATGAGGACCGTCGGGGAGAAGTGGAGGCTGAACTTTAGGAGGATGTTTCTCAGGACCTTGAACAGCGAGTCCAGGCTCTTGCACTCCACGTATTGGTGCGCCACCGTCTCCACTTTTCCGCAGAACCGGCACTCCGGGGACGTGTCAGTGAAGCGCGCCAGGGAGGCGTTGGTGGTGACGGTGCCGTGGGCGATGCTCCAGCTGAGGTCGCCGATGCGGTTGTACGTCGGGCTGGAGTAGAGTTGCCTCCAGCGAGGCCTCTCCGGTGAGATGCAGGGCAGGGCTTTCCTCCAGGCATGGTCCTTATGGCTCCTCAGGGTGTCCTGTTGGTGAAACCGGACCATGTAGGAGTAGAGCACCTTCCTCTTGACATTTGCGAAGGCCACCTCTGGTAGGTCCTCCAGCCGGCACAGGTTGTGATCCGCCTTCGCTTGTCGGCATTGGCGACGCAGTGGCACGACGGAGAGCTCCGGTGGAGGGGGACCGAGAGGGGCCTCGTGATCCCCAACGCCGATGGGGGGCGTTCTCCCCGCTGCCGCTGAGAAGGCCACCTTGGCTTCGGCCAGGATCCGGGCAGCCACCCGGAGCGATTGCAGCCCTGTCTTTGCGGCCATGTCTGCTGGTCCGAGCCACCGGCCCCGTGTTCCAGGCTCCACCAGATCTCCCATCCTGGTGAGCCGCGCGTTGGTGAGGCGCCTCTCCATGCCGGGGGTGGCGGTGGTGGACGGCAGCTTTGTCTGCGGGTTCCTGAGGATCGGTTCGAAGACCAGATCCTCGGCCGATTGCGGCTGGTTCAGCCTCCTGACGGCGAGGGAGCTCCACGTCTGCAGGACGCTCCTGTAGAAAGGTGGCAGCTGTCCCAGTGGGAGGCCCTGCAGGTCCATGTAGAATAGTTGTTTGGAGCACTGCAGACCCCCCAGCTGTTTGAGTAGGAAGGAGGCCGTGACGCTCCAGGCTGGTGCAGGGGTGGTGGCGTGCAGGAACTTTTGTGCGGCCTGCAGTCGGAAGGTGGCCAGCTGACTCCGCACGCACACCAGTCCGTGACCGCCCTCGTCCAGTGGCAGGGCCAGGACCCCAGCCGCGACCCGGTGTCCTCTGCCTGACCAGAAGAAGTTGAGGACTCGCTTCTGAAGCGCGTTGACGAGGCTCATGGGGGGGTGCAGGGAGAAGAGTCGGTGCCACAGCATGGACGTCACCAGCTGGTTCACCACCAACGTCTTTGTCCTAAAGGTGAGGAACTTGCACAGGCGACTCCAGGTGCCCAGCCGCTCCTTCACCTTCTCCTCCAGCTCGACCCAGTTCCTTTGCGGTGGTTCCTCCTCTGGTCCCAGGAAAACCCCCTCACCCCCTCCCCTCCCACCCCCTCCCCCCCCCTCTCCTCTCCCCCCCTCCCCTCCCTTCCCCCTCCCCTCTTCACCCCCCTCCCCTCCCTCCCTCACCCCTCCCCTCTAACCCCCTCTCTCCCCCTCCCCTCCCTTCCCCCTCCCCTCCCTTCCCTGTTGTGGAGTGACTCATGCAGCCAGCTATGGCTGCAGGGTTTTGGTAGTACATGTTGTTTATGCCATTTATTGTGAAAATTCCGTCAGTTCCTATGATTGCTTTTTCATTGCCTTCATGGCTTTATTTTGGTGATTTCGAAAAGTGTATTGGTTTAGCCATGTTTGTGTTGTTGTAGTACAGAGTTAGACCGATGGCCTTAATCTAAGTTGTCTTGTGGTTGTTGTTGTTGTTTGACTTGCATCCCACTGGGATTTTTGCACACAGCGTTGGTGTACGGTGTTTTTTCTGCAATATTTTTTGCTGTCTTTTCTTGGATTTTCTGTTTGCACTTAGTCACATATTCACTTTAAGATGTTTTTTTGTTCATGTTTTGATCTTTTGTTTGTTGCGGTTGCACCCGATTCAAGAGCTGAATGGCTCACAGGGCTATACCTAATACATGAACTTGAACTTGAACTTCCCCCTCCCCTCTTCACCCCCCTCCCCTCCCTCCCCCCTCCCCTCTTCACCCCCTCCCCTCCCTTCCCCCTCCCCTCTTCACCCCCTCCCCTCCCTTCCCCCTCTCCTCTTCACCCCCTCCCCTCCCTCCCCCCTCCCCTCTTCACCCCCTCCCCTCCCTCCCCCCTCCCCTCTTCACCCCCTCCCCTCCCTTCCCCCTCTCCTCTTCACCCCCTCCCCTCCCTTCCCCCTCCCCTCTTCACCCCCCTCCCCTCCCCCCTCCCCTCTTCACCCCCCTCCCCTCCCTCCCCCCTCCCCTCTTCACCCCCTCCCCTCCCTTCCCCCTCTCCTCTTCACCCCCTCCCCTCCCTCCCCCCTCCCCTCTTCACCCCCTCCCCTCCCTTCCCCCTCTCCTCTTCACCCCCTCCCCTCCCTCCCCCCTCCCCTCTTCACCCCCCTCCTTCCCCTCTCCTCATTCACCCCCCCTCCTCCCTCTTCACCCCCTCCCCCTCCCTCCCCCTCCCCTCTTCACCCCCCTCCCTCCCTCCCCCCTCCCCTCTTCACCACCCTCCCCTCCCTCCCCCTCCCCTCTTCACCCCCTCCCCCTCCCTTCCCCCCCTCCTCACTCTTCACCCCCCTCCCCTCCCTCCCCCCTCCCCTCTGCACCCCCCCTCCTCCCCTCCATCTTCACCCCCCCTCCTTCCCTCGTCCTTCACCCCCTCCCCATCCCTTCCCCCTCTCCTCTTCACCCCCTCCCCTCCCTTCCCCCTCTCCTCCTTCACCCCCGCCCCTCCCTTCGCACCCTCTCCTCTTCACCCCCATCCCCTCCCTCCCCCCTCCCCTCCTTCCCCCCCTCCCTCCCTTCCCACTCCCTCTTCACCCCCTCCCCTCCCTTTCCACCTCCCTCTTCACCCACCTGCCCCTCCCCCTCCCCTCTTCAACAACCCCCCTCCCCTCCCTCCCCCCTCCCCTCTTTCAACCCCCTCCCCTCCTTTCCCCCTCTTCCTCTTCAACCACCCCTCCCCTCCCTCCCCCCTCCCCTCTTCACCCCCCCTCCCCTCCCTTCCCCCTCTCCTGCTTCACCCCTCCCCTCCCTCCCCCCTCCCCTCTTCACCCCCTCCCCTCCCCTTCCCCCTCTTCCTCTTCACCCCCCCCCCTTCCCCTCCCCTTCCCCCTCCCCTCCTCCCCCTCCTCTCACCCCCTCCCTCCTCCCCCCTCCCTCTTCACCCCTCCCCCCTTCCCCCTCCTCTCACCCCCCTCCCCTCCCTCCCCCCTCCCCTCTTCACCCCCCTCCCCGCCCTCCCCCCTCCCCTCTTTCACCCCTCCCCTCCTTTCCCCCTCCTCCTCTCACCCCTCCCCTCCTTCCCATCACTATCCCCCCCTTCCCCTCCCTCCCACCCTCTCCCTCTTCACCCCCTCCCCTCCCTCCCAGCCCTCCCCTCTTCACCCCCCTCCCCCTCCCTCCCCCCTCCCCTCTTCACCCCCTCCCCCTCCTTCCCCCTCTCCTCTTCACCCCCTCCCCTCCCTTCCCCCTCCCCTCCTTCACCCCCCTCCCCTCCCCCTCCCCTCTTCACCCCCCTCCCCTCCCTCCCCCTCCCCTCTTCACCCCCTCCATCCCACCCCCTCCCCTCCGCTCACCCCCTCTCCTCTCCCCCCCTCCCTCCCTCTCCCCCCTCCCCCTCTTCACCCCCTCCCCTCCCTCCCCCCTCCCCTCTTCACTCTCACCCCTCCCCTCCCTCCCCCCCCCTCCCCTCTTCACCCCCGCAGCGGCGGAGAGGCGCGCGAAGATGCCGGTGCGCGCCGAGTCGCGCCTCGTGCCGCCGCCGCCCATCAACACGCACCAGCCCGGCGTGAACACCTCGCTGCTCTACAGCGGCTCAAAGTTCAGGGGCTTCCAGAAGAGCAAAGGCAACGCCTACGACGTCGAGGTCGTGCTCAAGGTGAGGGCAGTCGCGGGCGCGTTCCGTTGTGCGACATCACCGCGTACCCCCACCTGGGCCTAGTTTCGTCGCCGTGCCAGGCGCAAGGGATCTCCCGCAGAGCCGCTAGGCGAGGTCCCCCCCCCCCCTCCCCAGCGTGGACTGCTATTGAGTTGCTTTGGGTGTGTTGGTCGCTCAAGGGATGGATGTTTCTTGTCTCGTGTCCCCCATGACTGCTGTGTTGACTGCTGCTACCTACTAGAACTCTTAAAGCGTTCTAGTAGGTAGCAAATACCACGTTGATTTATGGTGCTTTCTAGGACCGCCTCCGTGTGGCGTATTGAAAGGTAGCACTTACCCACACGTTATGAATGACCCACTCATATTTACTTTTAACAGTTTTAGTGATCGAGCTCCATTCAGAGTGGTGTGGGACAGCCCAGATGTGTCGACAGTAGACCACACTGGTGTTAGAGTTGGAGTTGTGTGTGTGTTCAGTCGGGTTTCTTGTACAGATGCTCCACAACCAGTGGCCATGTGCGCAAGAGTGAGGATTGCAATGTACACGCGAGTGAATCGAACGAATGCTTCATAATAAAATAGGCCACAATAAATATGCTAAAGTACATTGGCAAGAATAAGGGGTTTTGCCTAGATCATAAATCGCCTGCATATTATATGACCCCTTATCACAGTATACATTCTAATAGCGTGTGAATTAAGTGTACACACTCATAGGGGTAAACAATTTGTCAAAGCAGGAGTTGGTTTTTAATACTTGTGTACCAGTCGGCTCACGGCTACACATGACCAAGGCTGCATACTTTGTCATATTTGTATGCAGTTGCACTCGGGCGTGTTATAAATCCAAATGCATCGCGTTATATTATTACACTACGTGCACAAATGAACCTTATTGTGGGACCCCGGGGTCCCGAATAAACGAAAGTCAACATCGTAATTGATTTATTTATTTTTGGCGACTCCTTCCCACCGCGCATATAAACGCCGCGACCCACCAGAAATCAATCCTCGTTCTTCATCAAGCACCCGTCGTTGCCAAAATTGCCGTAGTCACGAACAAAACTTTGAAACTTTTATTAGCGCATCGTGTAGAGCTCGTCGAGAGGAACAGATCGCCCTGTCGTTCGCCTTCAACAGACATAAAATGACGTCGCAACTCAGTTTATGCGAGATCCGTGACCTTATGGAACACCGGGGTCCCGCCATAAGGTTAAATGAATGTATAAAAGTGGCAGCAGTAACGCGACACGTCAGGTTTCTGCGTTAACCCACACGGGCTTATGCTGAGCCAGCACACCACGAAGTAACACCACGAAATTGTGCAACGCTTGCCACTTATCTTCTCGCACACTGAACACATTTAACACAGAGGGGGGGGGGGTGGCATGAAGATCTGCACCCACATTTCTGGCATCACAGATGTACTTGCTGTACCTGCGCTGCCCTGCACTAATGATGGGGATTGTTTTTAGCATTTATGTAGAGCCCATACGGTTAGCAATCGACGCTTAATTTCGCCACAGTGCTATACTTATAAGTTACTAATCCATTTAGTATGTGGCCATGCCCTGTGTTACACGATAGCGCTGCTCATGCCGCCTAACAGCTTACGTAGCCAAACTTCTTGGATGATATCTACAATGCAATCACTTTCCATTTATGGTTTTATGCATTTGATGTATACACACGGACAAACGTTGCATTTTTCTACGGGATTGCACAAACACACTTTTTAAAATCTAGATAAGACGTGACATGCACTAAAATGCACTTCTCTTACCATGATGAGATCCAAATAACTTAAATTTTTGTGAAATTATTCTAAATCCCTGCCTCTTCCAATGTTGACTTTGAAGGCTGGAATGCAATGAGAAGTCGTGGAGCGTGATTATAACAGAGGCTTGCAGTTTGAATCCAGCAGCCACCCTGCTTATTACTGCGGGTGTATTAATCATAATTGTTATGCATCGTCTGGTTCATAGTCGATGCTAACGATCCCGTGACATTCGCAAGAGTAGGCCATTGTGTCCTGGCGTCTTGGTCAAAATTTGCCAAATTAACCACAAACTACTTGATCGTAAAAAAAAAAATGTGTAAACGGGCATAAATAACTTTAATGACCTCTTTTTTTATGTTGGCGGGAGAACTTGCCACATTACATTTATCAGTTACTATAATTGGATATCATGTGTGGTAGTAATTGTTTTATTTTCCATGTATAAAGAAATGTTATTTTTATCACAAGCAGCTGCACACGAGATATGCAACCAATTTAAAAAGAGAGAAAAAATATGAATGCATTAAATTGGTACAAAGCAAAAAGTTGTCCATGTAAAGTAGCAGTGTGCATGCAGCTACTGCAATACCCACCAAACAGATAGGTGATTGAAATGATATTGAGACGGAGAGAGGAACACGTTGGTTATAGCACACACAGGTCAATTACGTAATCCAAACGATTAAGAACAGCCAGTGGACTTGTGCAGAACACGTGTCATGGAGGGAAGAGGTGATGGGCAGTGGTCAAGAATAGTAATGGAGTGGCAGACAAGGAATGGAACATTTATGACAGGTGTACCAAAGAGAGTTATGAAATCGGTTCATGCAGGTGCTGGATGGATTGAACAATTGTGAGGGGTGGTGGTGGCGGCATTGGTTTGGGGTGGGGTTGGGGCTTGAATCCAGCAGTGGCTTGATCATGGCTGATGAAAAAGTTGTCCATGTAAGGCTGCAGTGTGCATGCAACTACTGCACTGTCCTCACTAAACACCGTTTACATTTAGAAAATTCCAAAATGACAGCACGTGTCCTGCTCATGCCTACTCAAGTAACCAGTAAAAATGGCTCGTGGGGCATTGAGTGTTGCTTGTGGTGTTGTGTAAAAAAATCTGTTTAACACATGCAGCATGCTGGAGATAGCAGCTTCAGCTCCTAGTCATGGTCAAATATGTGTGCCTCATTTGGTTTGGAGTGCAGCTGAGCCAGTTAACACGTTAAAGAAATCCCTTAGATAGTACAAACCGGGTGCTGTATCAACTGAAGCTTCTGCAGGACATTTTTGTTTAGTTTTCTTTTCTTTAAAGAATGTACCTTTTCAAATGCCAAACAAAGAGCAAATAATTGTCCTAGTTGTAGTATATAACACATTTATAGTCACTGTTTTATTAAGTGTAAACACATTTTACTTGATATCAGAGAACCCGTCTCTATCAAATAATTATTATTCATGTGGAAACGTAAAAAAAAAATTTCATAAGTCCCAACAACAATTATCCCCTGACTAGCCTTTGCCTTCATTGTTTACTACAATTTAACTAAGCAAACCTATCCTCCTTTTAGCCTAATAGACTGTTTTGGGCAGTGATATACCGAATAAATGATGGGGTGATGTGGCCAGGGCCATATTTTACTATGCCATGCAGTCTAAGTTTACTTATGAGAGGCCCAGGGCAGAATCGGATAACATTGTGTCAACATCACAGGCCATACACACACACACACGTTTAGCATGGTTAGGGTCTACGGACATTGTATGCAATGCGAGCTGCTGGTGGTTTTACTCCACTGGGTCCGCTTTGGTTATTTATGGCAGTTGTTTCAAACTTTTTTAAATTTGTGTTGAGCAACAAATGTGTTAGTTGTATATATGGCAATTGAATCTGAATTGAGTAGATAAGGCACATGTCTCTCATTGACAAAAACGGAGTTCCAGATGTTAACATCAAAACGTACTGAATGCAATTGATGTGTTTTTTCTTCTTAATTGCAGCATGTTGACACGGAGAACGCATTTCTTTGTGGATATTTGAAAATTAAAGGTTTAACAGAGGTGAGTCACATACGTCACCAAAGTAATACACTTTCAAGAGATAAATACCCTTTATATAGCCTATGCATTTCATTTTACGATGTGGTCTTCAGTAAAATATAAAGAACCTTGTAAAGAATTAAAGTTCTAATCTAGCTGGAGGGTTACATGACTCATCATTGTGCGTGTTTGGCCCCATGAGTTGGCGTGTTGCTGACTTATGGGTAAATGTGTCTGCTGCTGCTGCTGCAGGAGTTCCCGGTTCTAACAACGTTCTTTGATGGCGAGATAATCAGCAAGGGTCGGCCCTTTCTCACCAGGAAGTGGGATGCGGACGAAGATGTTGACCGCAAGCACTGGGTGAGAGCCTGGGTGGTTATGGCAGGTGGTGCTCCTGAATGAGTCACGGAAGTCTATTACTGAGGGGTGGTGGCAGAGATTTTATGGGCCTTGAATCAGGGTTGCGATTTCCGCATGGAAAATGCGGAAGGAGGGTTCAAATTTTTCCGCATTTTTGCTAAAGTCAACCGCAAACGGTGGAAAGACTACTCCTATGACCGCGCGCTTTTAACAACACGTTAATGCGTTCTATTGGAAAGGATACATGCAAGGCCCAGCATCACGTAGGGCTTTGAGTTACTGATTGGAATGAATATATGATTTCCGCATTTCCGCACAAGAACCACATACTTTATTCAAATGCGGAGCCGTGATTACGAGCACATGTACATGATGTATCCTTTCCAATAGAACGCATTAACGTGTTGTTAAAAGCGCGCGGTCATAGGAGTTGTCTTTCCACCGTTTGCGGTTGACTTTAGCAAAAATGCGGGAAAATTTGAACCCTCCTTCCGCATTTTCCATGCGGAAATCGCAACCCTGCCTTGAATCCAGGTGGTGTAGCAAGTTAGCATGCTGTGCTACAAACCTGGCAACCTGGGTTCGATTCCGGCTCACAATCGACACCAGTGACGATTATCTGAACTGGTCCCGGGCCTGTGTATGTATGTATATTGAACTTCTTTCGCGCCGTACGTAGCCCACCGTGCTAATTGGAGGTGCGAATAAATATGTGAAAAAGTTTAGTACAGAAGGGCAGTTACAAAATGTATGAAGCGTTATTTAATTTTAAATGAGACATTTTAATTGGATTGTTTTGATGTGTCCGAAGTGATGTTACTCTAAAGAGACTAATTATTTTGCTTTACCATTTGTGTTTCGTCATGTGCATTCAACTGTTATTTTCTATTTAGTCTTAGCTTCATATTGTTATGCCTGTGTTGCACTATTTTGCTTGTCACTTGTTGGCTTGAGTTATCCTTAGAAAAAAGTACTTGAAGAATAGGTTATTTCTTAAATTAATCAATTTATCTTATTTATATTCTTGCATATGGCAGCTTGTTTAGGAGAACCATGCCAATGTCGAGCTTTGCTCGTGAGCCATGAGAGGGCTTCAGGACATCGTTCTTGTAGTTTTTCTATTCGCCCGTTGTCTAGATATGACGGTGTTAGTTGTATTTAAGGTATCATAAAATATGTTAACAGGTGATCCACGAGTAGACTAGTATATCACAGAATAAAATACTTCTATTTCCATGATCTTTTTTTCAGAGCAAGTTCCCAGCATTTTTGCAGTATGGTAAAACGTTCAACTCGGATGATTTTAATTTTGAAGAACTAACAGAGAGCGACTTCATCTTCATGCGATGGAAGGTATGTGTGGTGTGCATACCATTTAGCTTTACACGTCTAACTGTAGGTATATTTAATAAGTAGATGTGTGTGTGTGTATGTGTGTTTTACAAAGGATGCCTGCTTTACTATAAATATACTGTGGAACTCCTTTATCTGCTTTGAAGTTGGGGGGGAACTGTTGACGAGCAAATCTAGGTGTCTCATCCTGTCTGCAGAAATAAATCTCCTTTGTCCGTGAAAATATTAGATAAATGTCAATGGGATACATTTTTGCCATGAGACTGAATAAAGACATATATAATGCGAAGATGAGAAGAGGTTTAGTGTAGTGTGAGTTGTGGGTGCAGCAATACCAGCAGACTAGCCAGTAGCAGAAACAAAACTGCATCCTCATCATTAGCAGTTGTCATTATCTTGACATCCTCATCCTTTCAACTATCATCTCATCTATTGCTGGATAAAGTTATCTACCCCCATTTTCGTCATTCCTCATGGTCCCGTGATGCCACTCTCCATCTCCTGGACATGAACTGATCTCATTACGCCATCCCCACGATGGTCGTCCTCTCGGACACATTCTATTCTTTGCCCACCACTCCATCACTAGTCTCTTCCACACGCACAGCAGGTGACTGCGTGAGCTGCAGAGCAGGTGACTGCGTGAGCAGCACAGTGGGTCACCGCATGAGATGACAGTTCAGCAAGTGGGTATGTGATCCTGCCTGTGCTCACCTTTTGACTTTTATCGCCCCTTGCGTGTGGGTTTTATGCTGGGGTGGGCCCCCCTGGTGCCTCCAAATGTAAACGTAATTATTAAAATGCACTGTCCGGCAAGGCCTTCCTGGAAAATTACATGTCATAATCATTTTCACCATCGTCATCATTGGTAGCAGCAGCAGCAGCATCAATATCAGATATAGCAGCAAAAGCATGGTGAATAACAGCAGCAGCAACAGTAGCATCATGATAAATTATATCAGCAGCAGCAATAGTGCTAATAGCAGCAACAGCACGATGTTAGTTATGTTCATTTTGGTCAGCTTGTTATCTGTAGATACACACGGATAATGGGAATAAATTACCATACAATTCCTCTTATCCATGAACAAATGTGTATAATAGGATAAATGTAGCCCCTGCTATGACTACCTGCAAGTGGTTTATGTTATTTGAAAATCAACTTTGATCCTTGTGTAACAAATCTTTCCTGGATTGTGTAGGGGCTAAAGTTATAGGATTCCAGATAAGAGGAGTTCCACTGTACTGGAATGTTGAAGTTTTTGCAATTCACTTTCCAAGTGTAACATTATTCAACTGGGCTGTAAAGATTAAATTAAAGTGCATGTGCCATGATGATGTCATCAGGCCCCTGTGATAATCACACCCACAAGTTGGCAAGGCTTTTTTTCTAAATTATCCTCACATTTCTGCAGTCTTCTCTCCAGATGTTATCCGTGCGTGTTCTCGATTGCAATGTTTTTTTGTATCGGTTTACTTTCTCCCCTTTGGTGAGACAGGAGCATTTTCTGGTACCGGACCATAAAATAAAGGACATTAACGGAGCTTCGTTCGCTGGCTTTTACTACATCTGCTTCCAGAAGTCTGCGGCCACTATTGAGGGCTACTACTATCATCGCAGCTCAGAATGGTGACTCGCACAACTTCGTGTGAACCTCTCCACATTTCTTTGATTTGTCATTGCAGCACTGTAAAAATGGCACGTAATATTAAACGTGCATCATCGCCACCTGCGATAAAGTAAAAAGAACACTTCAATATTACCTTGCAGTTCTAGATTTGAAGCTTTCGTGACTGCAAGGATTCATACTCTAAGGTTTTTCGGTAAAGTCACGTAGGTAAAAAATAAATAATAATAAATAATAGAAATAATAATAGAAATAAAATAAATCACGTTTCGATTTACAGTAAATTTAGCTGTGACGGTCCCACCTGATGACGGAGACTTGTGTTGCCTCCGAAACGTCGTGATTTATTATTTTATTTCTATTATTATTTTACCTACGTGACTTTACCGAAAAACCTAAGAGTATATTACCTTGCAGTCACATATTCCTTACGGTGTGCGTGATGCTAGGAGTGGGATAAACAATGCATTCTCCCGCACCTCTGATTAGCACGGTTGGCCATGTATGGTGCGAAAGAAGTTCATACATATCGAGTAACGTGGATTCGTAGGCTCATGTTACACGCGTAAAATCACATGTGAGGCGCTACCATTCATGATGGTGTTCAAATAAGCATGCATGAATGGGATTGTGACTGAATCGTGACAATCCATTGCATTGTTGAGGGTGGTTGGGGGCAAAGTTGTCCATCCACCAATATTTAATGTAAATGTATTAGATTTTATAGTTAATATTAACAGATAAACCACAGATTAACAGGCACTAAAAACGAATGGCAATGCTGTGTATTGCAATAGTCTGTATGCTACAGTGTTACTTGAGAGTAAAAAAACAGCTGGCCTGTCACGTTGGGTTCTTTTAATATCAGCGGAGTTCATTTACACGGGAGTTGTGCAATCACAACAGAAAGTTAGTGGACATGATTCACAAAGTACGATGGCACACCAGACGGGTAAAATCGGAGCTTATTTTCATAGCATTTCACTGATGCCTTTTCTAATAATATAAGCCAATGTTGTATTAGGTTCATTGGTGCCAAAATTGTTTTCGTAATCACCAGTGGGAGTGTAGGGTCTCTGCATGCTGTGACGGTGTTTTGTAACGTCCCTTCTTAAATAAATAGCTCCAGAGTGAAAACATAATCGAGGCTGTGCTTGGAGGCAGGCCAATGTTATAGTAAATCTTGTCTCAAACAACAGTGCCTTTTTGCATGTAAAATTCTGGAAAATATCTATATAAGAGTAAGTTGAGAGTGGAGCGGTGGTGCAGTGGACAGCGCACTGTGCTATGAAACCAGCAACTTGAGTTTGATTCTTGGCCATGGCTTATTAATATCAGTGGTATGCGATGTATGAATCGGTCTTCGTGCCCACCCACACCAAACTGCACTGACCACCTTGGTGAAGTTTGCTCATGACTGACATTGGTGTCGGGGAGGCCTTCATCGAGCAGGAGGATTGACCAATGGCTGTACATTTTCATAATTCTTGGTTCTTTCGGTAAAGTCACGTAGAAGGGAAGAATAAAATAAGAAAAAAATATTTTTTTATATATATTTTATTTTATTGTTAAAGTTTAGTCTGAACAATTATGAAAGTTTTTATTTAAAGCTTTCGTGACTGCAGGGATTAATATTCTTGGTTCTTTCGGTAAAGTCACGTAGAAGGGAACAATTAAACAATAAAAAAATATCTTAACTTTGGAGCTTTCGTGACTGCAGGAATTATTCTTTGGTTCTTTCGGTAAAGTCACGTATAAAGAAAAAATAATAACATTTCGATACTTTGCTAGGTTATTTAATTTTAGTGTGTCTCTTTCTCCCCCTAAGCCTGCTCACTCCTTTTTGTTGTACTCATTGACATGTAAATTTTGTCTCTAACCCCTCCCTCTCGCTGCCTCCGCCCCCCTCTGTCTATTTAAGGCCACCCCACAGAGCCAATCACCCCTCTCTGTACCTGTGTTGCCCGCTGTGTGTATCTTGGTGATATCTGTCTGCTTATATGTCTGTCTATAATTTTTTCTGGTTAGATTTTATGTCGCTATTTCATTATACCTGATGATGATTGCTTGTGTTGCAATCGAAACGTCGTATGTTATTATTTAATTTATTATTTTTTCTTTATACGTGACTTTACCGAAAGAACCAAAGAATAATAAAAAAATATATTTTTTTTATATTTTTATTTAATTGTAAAATAAAATATATATTAAAAAAATATTTTATTATTTTATTGTAAAATAAAATAATAAAATATTTTTTTGTTCCCTTCTACGTGACTTTACCGAAAGAACCAAGAATATGAATCCCTGCAGTCACGAAAGCTTTAAATAAAAACTTTCATAACTGTTCAGACTAAACTTTTTGTCAGGTGTCAGTATCAGTTGGGGAGACAGGTGTGTCGGAGGCATTTACTTCACGCGATGACCACCCCCGTTGTTCACTTTAGCATGGTGGGTGTTCCCCGATCTTGCCATTCACCACATTCATCTCCGCCATTAAAATAGAACCAATCGCATTCGTTGTGTGCACATCGTAAAGAGCATAGAGTACAATAGCCAGGAGAGTAGAATCGAAAGATGTAATTAAAAACAAAAGTCAAAACTTGAGCTCTAAGTGAAATGTATGCCATTCAAATATTTGAAAAGTGATGCTTAGCAGTTTTATTAGAATCCATGCGTTTGACTTCAGAGCATTCACTATTTTAGAAAAAGGGTCTGCTCGTGAAAAAAAAAACATAGTTTTTCTTCGAGTTTCTCAGAGGTGAGATACTTTCGAAAAGCTACCACACTAGGCATGGTTAATTCTGATCACTGATATTGAAAACAGGATTTTTTTCCCATTGGCCAAGTGACACGTGAGCAAACATTTGCTTGTTGCAGGTTTCAATCTCTGACGCTCACTCATGTGACCGAGCACAGCCTTCCCATCTACGAGTTCCGGTGACCAGACGTCATCGCCGGTGGTGGCGGCGGCGGCGGCAGCAGCAGCAGTGAGAGGTGGTTGGGGCAGGATGGTGCTGCCCATGCGGCACTGCCCCATCTCCACATCTGCACGGGAGATCTCAACCTGGTGAGAGAAGGCCGTAGTAAACAGAAGAGGCCAGGAGGTGCAGGCATCTGAGCACGCCAACACACGACAGGGCGATGCATGGGGGCAAATGCGACGTCCTGACACATAGCCGCACTTGCTCGAGTGGCAGGGCAGAGGGGCCCCCACTTTTGACCAATGTCGTTTTCTTGGCACTCGTCGCTTCGAACATTTAACAGTGTTGAACCTCGCCTGGTTCGCAGGCCAAATCTACACCAACCACCAAGGAAGGAAGTCTTACGAATCAGTGTTTGAATCGGTTTATTCATTTGGTGCAGATCGCTGAAACTAAGACAGTGTTCAAACTCGATTTACTGGGGTTGTTTTTTTTCCAAATGGAATCTGATACAACCATCGGATAACTAATTTTGCGGTTGTTGTGGAGCTTTGTGGGCAAAATAAGCAGGCTTCTGTTCATCTTTCTCCCGAAAAAAACGTAAAACTGGTGCGGAGTTTGGTGGCTTAAACATATGCCGTTTCATAAATATAGTCCAGAAGTTACATAGTGCTGTGGACTACAAACGTTTTTAAATCTGGAGAGATATGGACAGCTGTCTGATTTATTTTCTAGTTACCTTTATTAGGTATTCAAGTTATTGCTCACCTGAGCAATCCTGGTTTGTTGGTGTTAATCCTGGAATGTGATTTTCATCTTGGACATAACAAGCGGGTGAGAGATGCATTATTGGAAAAATCCAAGGCAAGCTCCCACAATGGATTTCAAAACTAAAACTTTAAATAATGACGAGGTATTGAGCCCTTTGAAAAACATTTTTTTTTTTTATTTTGCGAAGGCAATGTTTATGCATGTGGCTGATGTGAATATGTTCGAGATGGAAATTGTTGGCGCATGCTGTTATAACAACACCACAAATTAATTTTGAGGGCGTGTGTTATTAGACCCTTCTGGCAATCCCTTCAGTTCAAACCACAACTATCAAAAGGAAATATCCATGAACATGTCTAATGATAATCGGCATCCTGGATAGAAAGTACACCCAGCTATTTTACTCTTCTGATATAAATATAATTGCCAAGCGTTATTCCCTCTAGTGCTTGGGTCATTGATCATTTGTTATATATATAAAAAAAAATTGGAGTCTGAATGTAATCCCAATAAAGCATCCTTTATTATATAGGGTACACCATGTTAATGTGATTGTTGAAAAAAAGTATTTTTACCCTCATTGAATGTTAAAGAAAACATGGTACTTGATTCCCTCATACTGTATACATCCAAAACATGTAACCAGTTGGAGACCTGATAGGAGTCACTTAAAGCATTTGCTTGTGGTTGTAGGTAAATTGGTAAAGACTAATATTGTCACGTGCCTCTCTGCAGATTATAATACGTGACTTATACAGCACTTTGATTTACATTCGAATTAACTTCAAGCTGTGGATTATTTTTTTTAAGTTTATGGAGGCGGAATGAATTATGCAAGTTGAAGTATTATTCTGAACATCGATTTAAAAATCAAAGACAGACACGCCGTTTATTTTTTAGACTGCATAGAATTTTCCTGGGCACCCACAGGGGCCTCCTCGATCATCGTGTGGATTTTCACGTTGTGGCTCCGTACGCTCGACGATCATTTCACAGCACTTATTTGGAACATCAACAGCGGTTTATGCAAAAGTAAGGAACAGGTGAAGCGAGCGAGAGGTGTGTTTATGTATTTTGTTTTATTTTCCAAGCCGCATTTAAATCTGACGACGCGTTAATCGCTTCCAGTGCCTTTAAAACCAGGTAGGTGCGCCCTCGGCGCGTGCACCTGGCAGAGGTCGCAAACGGGTTTTGATTCCTTACCCGTACCCGGCCGCACCAGGGTCGCAAATGGGTACCCGTACCCGGCCGGGTACGGGTACCCGTTCCCTACCCGTACCCTACCCGAAATGAGTGACAAACGGTTACTCACCAATGACTCACGGCCTACCCGTACCCGTACCCGGCCGCACCAGGGTCGCAAACGGCTACCCGTACCCGACCGGGTACGGGTAGCCGAGTATCGTGTAGGGTACGGTATCGGGTACCCGGTTGCGACCTCTGGCACCTGGCACCCATCGCGTCGTGTGCCATGATAATTTTACATTCTCTTATCAAGTTGCCGCTTCGGTAAACTTGATACACGAATGAATGGTTGGTGAAACAACAGCGGGATGTTTGTTTTTATTAACCGTTGCCGAGAGGAAACGAAAATGGTAACTTTACAGCCAACTAGCCCGTGACATTTGGAAATATGCGTTTGCTTCTTCGGGCTGAGATGACACTTCTCATGTATATGCAACATTTTCTTACCACAGGGCTTCCCGAACCGTTAAGCTATCAAGACTTAGCCGTGTCCCTTCGTATGGTTTTGAGCCTGAGCCTTGCTTCTTCCATTTGCGTACAATTGTGACGTGATCTCAAGTTAGACTTCTTCAAGAACGGTTCCAACTCGTTCGGTCTGAATACCCATTGTGTGTTCATGACATTTGTGTACATCAGTCGTGAAATAATTGATTAAAGCGGTGGATTATTTAAAAAATATATATTAAGATCGATTAATCGGCAATCATGTTGAAATGGTGAATGCCAGGCATCTGGCCCTCAAAATCCTGAAACTGCGCAGTGCACGCGAACTCCGTGATGGAACGATGATGACTCCATCAATGTCCGCCCATCTTCACCTCGCACATATGAGCCACATAGCGTGACTATTGTTTATTACATCTGCAACTGATATTCTGATTAGAGATACAACAAACATACATATGCAAATTACATGCACATTTTGTTGTTGATTACTCAAAGCTATAATCGAATTAATTGATAATTTTAATATCAAGTCTAATGCGCATTGGAACCTTGTTTGACATTTACAGCCAAAAGCAGGTCCAGCCCAGGGTTTTTGGTTGTTTCGTCTGCTCAACAGCGACGTTAAAGCTTTGAACGCCTTGGGTTTTTTCCTGCCTTGAATCTGTCTCGTCACGTAAGATAACTGCAGTTTTGTTTCCTTTCGGAGATTTCTTTGCGACACATCTACATCTGGTTCTCTACCTTCCTACTCTTTTGTTCAACTTTACACACATATATGTCGTGCCAAATATGATATTCTGCTCTTAGTCTCATTACATGTCCAGGCCATTGCAGCATTTTCTCCTAGAATAATTGACACAACCGTCTTAATTATTGATTTACATCGAGCTGTTTACATCTTTCCAGATCTTGTAGCGATTTCCAGTTCGGGGCGATATGGTCTAAATAGCACTTGGCCATGCCATTTTAATCCTGCCACTGCTTTGAAGCTGTCCTTAAAATGCCTTGCGGACATGGGGGCGTTTGTGCAGTGACCGAGTGGCGCTTGCATACCACCTGCCCGCTTTTAGCCCCATTTTGCACAGCGATTGCTCCACAGAGACCTCTGACCTCATAGCGTAATACAAGCCTACAACAATCCACTGAGCTGTCTCGCATTAAAATCACGCATTACACAATGTGTATGTCCAATATTACCGTGTCACAACGAACCATGACTGTAACGAATACCCGGTTTATAATGAACGTAGCTGCGGGAACGCATTCTCTTGCGTTGATTTATACCTCCATACAGCAATTACGCTAGCAACCCCAAGCTTATAACGATCGTACGTGCTGCCAAATCTCCGGTCGTTTCCCTTGGTGTCCGATACAGTACTCTACTGTATACGGTACTAGCGTGTGATGTTTTTGATGTTGTATTTGACAAGGAGACCTGTACAAATTTACACTGGTGTGGCGATGCATCGACCGTCTCCTGTTTCTTCAGAGGCCCAGTTCAAATTGTCATTAAACCCTTTGCTGTCTAGCGAAACGCCCCTCTGATATAGTCGTGAACTTTGTTCCAGGTCCGCAAGTGGTTTGTTACAATGGGGTAATACCTCTCTAAACACACATGCAAGGTATGAGCGCAGACATGTAAGAAATTATCCCTGAGAGGTTTTTGGGTTAGATTGTGTGAATATTAAGTGTTTTTTGTTATTTTCTTTGAACCTATCTACGTGACTTTACCGAAAGACCAAAGAATATATAAGTGTTGTTAAACCTGCCACCACCCGACACAGCCAATTAGTATGGTTTGTAATGACATCGTATGTAACTATATAAGACCGAAACAGGAGGATTTCTCCATAACTGGCTGTCATCTTATGATGCTCGTTGTAATTACTGGCAACACATCATACTCGAATTGTAGACGCTGTGGGTTTACTTTCCAACACACCGGTGTGCTGAACTGGTAACGAATTATATTCTTGGTTCTTTCGGTGAAGTCACGTAGAAGGGAAATAATAAAATAATACAAATTTTAAACAATTCAATTCTCACGACGTTTCGACTGCAATACAAGCAATCATCATCAGTTGTGAAATCCAAAGCAAGAAAATTTGACCGCCACTTTTTACTAATTTTCTTGCTGTGGATTTCACCTGATGATTGCTTGTGTTGCAGTCGAAACGTCGTGAGAATCTTATTGTTTTATATTTTATTATTTCCCTTCTACGTGACTTTACCGAAAGAACCAAGAATATGGAATCCCTGCAGTCACGGAAGCTTTGAATAATTTTTTTAGTAACGAATTGTCATGTTTTGATCACGTGACAAACTTTACGAATTGTCTGTCGGGTGGTGGCGGGTTTAACGACACATTTACACAATACAACCCAAAAACTCTTATGGATAATATTGTGTTAAACTGTTAGAAATTGTTCCCGACCTAATTAAGGTGGAGTGCACATCGTTTTCTATTCATACCAGTGCCTGCCGTGCAGTACATCTCGAGGTGTTGTGTGAAGCAGGACACGTGTCTAGGATGGAGGAGGGAAATGTTACCAAGGCCGGCATTGTCATGGCACCTCGAATAAGCCTGTGATCAACAGGGCATGTTACCTGGAGGCCAGCGTTCACTGTAACCAGTTTTGGACATGGCACAAGGTGAACAAGCGGCAGTGTTGATGTAGACATTGGTTTCTTGATCTGTGCGTATTAGGGTGCCGCTCAATATGAATATGGAAAAATGAAGTGTCAAGATTTCTTGGATCGCACTCCCCCGTAATTTGTTACTATGGGTGTAAAAGTTAAGCTAAGAATGTCGTTCTAATCTGTTAGTATTTACAGGTTGCTCAGGATTTGCCACTATTTGCATATATGCCCTATACTATGACTATTGCCTTATGCATTTTTAACTCCGTTGAGCAACCGGTAAATCGAGGGATTGTCTTTAAACTTAGAAGTGCTTCAGTTTAACAGTCAAACGAATAACGCCAGGGAGGCATGACTTTGTGCCCAAGTGAGTGTACAAAGTCTAAATGTTTTTGTGAGCTCATCGGTAAATGTGATTTTCTATGGTCACGTCTACGATTCTTTTCAAAATTCATCGTCGCGTTTTCAAGCGTTGCTGTATCGTCGGTGATCGATGCAGTAAATGTGTGGCCTTACGGCACGGTACCGATTTCTCCATAGGATAACCTTTGTTGGGTTATTTGCGAGTGGTGCTTACCAGTTGGTATTCAGCTCCCTCCAAGGAATATAAGCAAGGATGTATTCGGTTAATATGGAGGGAGCATCAACCCTGCCCAGGATTTCAACTCCCTAACCTCATTGGGCCAGCTGCTACACCTCGTGTGCTATCGGCAGTCGCATCAGGGGGGGGCCAGGACGAGTGAAATGTGAACAGTTATTCAATTGGCATCGGTGCTGTGTTGTTTTGCGAGACACCGGTCAATTTCTACATCTTCCAGCAGCAAGAATTTTTCATGGGATAATTTTTTTATTTCAACGGTTACAATGCATCTTACGGTAGCAGTTTCTTGTAGGTTGGTGTGGGTGTGTTTTTAGGTCGTGATCGTGTTGGTACCGCGAGTGAAAAGAGGCTGAGTGATGCAATTGCCGAGTTACCGACACGGATTGTGGATGTTTGAATTTTCGCGATTGGTGAGGCACCGTGAGAATGTAACGCACCAATAAAGTGCTGCGAAATGGCAGTTCTACGCAATTTATTTTCAAACCACGTCTATTGAGCTGGTGGAAGTTGATTATTACATGATCCATATTTTAATCAAAATTTACTCGCAAGATTTTTCACGTGATTTTGTGTTTGCGTACCAGGTCGAGTGTTAAGGTTTAATTTAAAGAGGCAGCCTCTTTAAAGTGTCTCCGTGTCCAATTCCTTTGCTTGTATTGTGTAATTGTTTATTTACGCACACACTACGATTTTTAACTCTGAATACAATACAAATAATTCAGGTAACAATTACGCTAATTACCTGTACACAGTAATAATCCATGATCAAACACACTGGAGTATGATAACGGAGAAGTGAATGTATGTGGGGGTTTTTTTTTTTTCCCCCTGCAATTGTTTTGATTTTCTTTGCATGCAGCTTTACTCTTGTGGATGTTTTAAGCAGAATGTGAATCTGTTGGTCTGTACAAGGCAACTTAATTGTTTTTTTTTTACTTTGGATTTCACAAAGACGTCTTATGCCTCATTTCCACAGCCACGGGGGTGGGGGGGGGGACCCAGTTTCTACTCGCCAGGAATCGGGCACCGGGCCCCAGAGTTATTGCGCTCTTTACCTACGAAAAAGCCTCATCGAGTCTCCTTTTTAGGAAGCGCCTGGCAAGTTTTCACAATGTTACTGCGTGTAATCGCAAATTAATAATTTACAAGTAATTTTTCAGAATTGGGATGTTTGGCCAATGCCAGTTTCATTGGACGTTTAATTTTTTTGAGCTTGCGGGAGGAAACTGCAGAACCTGGTGGAAACCCATACGGAACCAAGAGGAGAGAAAATACAATCTCAACAAGGCACCCATGTCCAGAATCGAACACAGGATCTGTTAGCTGATGCACGAGTCTGAGATTTTGAGCCGTGAAGTTCTGTGGTTCTGCCACTGCTGCTCCCATCATTCTTGCTGCTTCTACCCTTACTCTTCGTGGCCAGAGGTGCTATTGAGAAGGCTGCAGTCTGGAACTTGATGGGGATGTGATGGCCTCGAGTTGCTGTGATACGGCTTTAGTACGATATCGCATCATGTAAAAGCCACAATTATCTTATGCATGGGCCATTTTATTTTGTATTCCCTTATGATGTTAATGCAATTTTGAATAATATTCACAATAATAATTGGAGTTCTAAATAAGTAGCCATTACCCATGAAATTAGGGCTTTGCACATTTCCAGATATTGATGTCAATGTGGTTGTGTCACCATTTTTCCAACAGCATTATAAGCATTAGCGATTGCAAAATTGCAATAATTAAAGACTTATGGCTGGCTTATGTTGAGTGAACTGCAGTTGAATAACTTGGAAGCAATAATTCATTTTTATATGTATCAAAGTGCAAAAACAAGACAAATGTGAAATACAATTACAAAGTTAAGGGACACTCATTGCAGTAATCATCACATTGTCAAATGTAATTTTGTAATGTATTGCGAAAAAACTATCACAGCAACCCGAGTTCACCCAAGTGGACGAGCTGTGGGCTCGGTGCAATGCAATCTCACCATGGTTGCCCGGTTCTCACTGTAGAAATGAGGCTGAAACTGAGGAAGACACTTTCACAAAATTGAAAGTATCTTTTTAAAAAACAAAAATCATGACCAGGTCTGGGCTGAGTAAAGTACTCGAGCGGATGAAGTCATTAAGGGTTATGCAATTCTTCGACATTGACTGCGTTGTAACGATTTACCTCTGATTAGCAGGGTCGGTTGCGTATAGCGCGAAAGAAGTTCAACGTACTATGAATGAGACGAAACAATAATAATAATGGTGTACTTTGTGCGACGGCGCGGGTGGAGATGATGTATTGTGAATGTATCCCCATGAGAAATGTTCGGGTGATTTTTCGAGGCGCGTGCATGCAGCGTTGTCACACGTCGGCGACTGGTGGTGCCAACCCCTCGCACGACCGGATCTTTGCCCGTGGTGTGTGCCATACTTAAGTCACACCGTGCTTCCATTTCTCTATTGACCGGACTAAGGTTTTACCGAAGGGTTTTTTTATGTTTTGTAATATGCATATTTTAATTATGTATATCCAGAAATGACAAAAATAAAACAACTATTTTTTGAAGATTGTTTTTGCTCATTTTGTGTTTGAGCCGTGATGTTGCTGGCTGAGCACACTCCACTATAAAACCGTGAAATCCTGGTTCGACTCCAGACCACAGCTAAGATCGGTGGCAAGTGATACTCCCTTTCAACCTGCACGGACCAGTGTGGTGAAGTATGTTCAAACAATCCCCACGGCCGACATGTTGTCGGGGGAGCCCATCATCCACCAGTGGAGGACTTGGAGTTGAGTGGTAGAAGCCCTGATAGTCACCCATCAAATACTAACCAGGCTCCACCATGTTTTAGCTTTAAAGATCTGAAGAGATTTGGATTATTTTGTCGCAGGTAGAAAACCACCTGAAGCATACGAGAAGATGGAATATACATTCCTCCACAGAGCTACTCAACCTTACGAAATACTCTGTTTAACCCACGTTGATGGCAGACGGTGCAAGAACGGAAAGTACCAGAGAATGTCCACCGTGCAGACGTAACGATGAAATGGGTTTTTGCGCAGGAGCCAGGTGCATTGTTACATCGCACGGTCGTGAGAGATGGTCGAACGGCTTGTAGAGGCTTTCATTCTTTAGTGGATTGACCAAAGCTGATGATGATTTTTTTTTGCAAAGATTGAATTACAAATTATAAGAACAAATCGATGAGAGGAGAATTGCTGACCTGAGAACCTCCTGCTGCCACCCCTCCGAATTGGCCTTACGTGGACAATACCACTGATATTTGTATTCGCTCGCTGAAATACGCGTTGTGTTTTTGAGTCGCTCACAAGCACCATGGAGAATTTTCACAACAGAAACGCAACCTGCATTACTATCCTCTGGGCAAGAGCATCCGTGTGGGTATACCAGTCGGGAGTCTCGTATACCGTGTGCGTGCACAGTGGCTGGGAGTCTGTGGGTACTCTGGCTGGGAGCGGGACGAAGCGTTGACAAGTCGGTTCATGTAATATTTACTCCGATAAAGGCCGCCTTCGTTGAGCCAACCAGTACAAACACAAAGGAGGAGAGTCTGACGGATGGCCATATTTTGTTACACATGCACACACCTGTACGAAGCACTTGGGTTCACTTTATATATATTATGCACACACGCATACGAAACAGTTTGCGTACATTACATCGCTACGGTTATGCAACGAGTCATTCGCCGCTCTGAACACGTACATATATATTTGCCATGGTTTTCAGCTATCTTTCAGTCGAAGCATAACCCAGCTTTGCTCAATAATTCAGGCTGTGCAACAGACTGCCATGACTCCTGCATTATACAAGAGCCCCCGAAAAGATCGACTGATGTTAATATTCGTGACCCTCACTGTCGAGCCCACCCATACGCCCGCCCAACCACCCTCGGCATTGCAGCACCGCTCTTTATTTATTATATATATAAACTGCAGTGCCTCCTGGCATTGTCATAATTCACAGTGGTTGACTGACAAATGTGCCGCTTAACACGAGGCACATGCCTATTGGGGGGGGCAGGGGCGGGGGGCAATTATTACTGGAATTGTAAGCAGAGCTGGCCTGTGGTGTGGCTTTACGATTTTTAATTGTGCTCACAAATGAGGCTATCGCATATCCTCCGGGCATCGAATGGCACTAATTATTTGTCCATGAGTGACGCTGCTTGTGCCATTCTGTGGCTGCCTGGTGTCGTGGACATCGCTGAAGCTGAGAGCACAAACGAGGCATTAACTCTAAGCATTCAAGGACAGCAAAAACTTTTTTCAAACATTTAAAATGTGAATGACGCTTCAATGAAGACACGTTCTCTTGCGTTTGTGCAAAATTGAATGAAGAAAGAGGAAGACATTCCACTTCGGTCGCTGAGTAAGCTAAAAAAAATTTTTTTTTAGGTTTTAAAGGAAAGTAAATATTAAGCAAGCATGTCAGCATCGGGAGGTGAGGTGCCGAAGAAGGTCAAATCTGACACGGAAAGCTCCCAGGATGAAACCACAGAGAGTAGCAACTCAGAGGAGAGTGCAGACAGCAGCAGCAGCGAGGAAAGCCTGGATGAGGAGACGAACGATCGTGTCATCACCACACCGCCGTGTCCCGCCGACGATTCCGCGAAACCGAACAAGGCTTCACAAAAAAGCAAGGGAAATGTTTCACTCAAGGAAGCCGTGTGTCCCAAAGCGGACGCTCCTCTGACTCCACCTCTGAACGAAGAGCAGAACTCGGAACAGAAAGCCAACGACGGCAGCAACAGCAGTAGCAGCAACGGACACAGCAGTGACGACGCTGAGCCCAGCAACTCGGACAGCGATAGCGAGGAGTCGGACAGCAGCGACGGCGAGGGGGACGCACCAACAGAGCTGACAATGGAGGCGAAGGAGGCGCCAAAGGCAGTTCTGCCACAGAGCGCAGCCGAGAAGGAGGGCGACTTGCCCAAGACTTCTCCGAAACCGAGCGGAGTGGAAAGGGTCGACAAAGGGCGAGCGAGCGTGCGGCCTCAGCAAGGTAAAGCTGGAGCAAGAGCGCTCAAAACCGCTACGACTATGCTGGCTGGATATAAAACTAAGAGCGAAGCGGCGACATCGGCGCCAGCTATTCCGGCGAGAAAAGTGAGCCTCAGGCAAAAGAGGCCCCTTCCTAAAGCGGCCGCCCTGCACAATGCGTCGCGGCTCGCGGCCGGGCTCAGGAAGGAGGCGATGAGGAGTTCGCAGCTGGCGCAGCAAGACGCCGCCAAAAGCCAGGGTGAGGAGAATGAAGCGCAAAAGTCCACAGCAAAACGGGAAGGCAGCCAGCGAGTCGCCGTAGTAGCTAAAAGGCCCTCCAAGGCCAGCCAACGAGAGAGAGAAACCCAAGAGCGAAGGTCAATGAAAACAAAAGAGTCGCCAGGATCGGGTCAAACCTGCGACGGGGTGGACGCTGGGCCCAAAAGGGGCCTAGTTCCGCGTCCAAGTCCACGCACCAAGGCCAAGATACGGCACACAACCATGATGGTGGCACGCGTGAAAAAGGATGCTCCGCTTCCCGCGCAGGGCACGAAGGCCGCCGACCGCTCCTCCGATGGAAACAAACGCGGCGGCGGCGACAAGAGGGATGCCAGGATGAAGAATGCGTACCGAATCGGCAGCGGCACCCTCCGAAACGCTACGATGCTGATGGCCGGTCTGAAAAAGGAGAATACGGTCCAAGGGGCGGCCCTCAAACCGCAGGGGAAAGACGAGCAATCGAAAGGTGCGGTCGGGAGTGATGCGAGGGAGGGCGGCGGTGGTAAATCGGCGTCGGCTCCGACGGCGGCGCCCGCAGGCAACGCTACGCTCTTAAGAAAGACGTCCAGGGTGATGCTGGGCGTGAGAGGTGGCGCTGCGGTGCAGACTGCAACGGGCTCCCCGGCAGAAGTGCCGACGGTGCCCGAAAAGCGGCAAGACGAAGCTCAGGTGGAAGAGCACGTCGCGACAAAAGTTGCATTGAACTCGAGAAATCGCAAGGCCCTGCACAAAACGACCAAAGTCCTACTTGGAATGAACAAGCAAAACGAGAGTACAAGGAAACAGCCCCAAGCCGGTGCTTCTGACGTGGAGCCGTCGGATGGCTCAACTGCAAAGGATCTGAAGAATAAAGGAGAGTCAAAGAATGAAGGAGAGTTAAAAGGAGATTTAAAGAATGAAAAAGATTCAAAGGATGAAGTGGTGAACACGCAACAGCCGGACTCCAGACCGGCACCAGCAGCAAATCCCAAGCTCAGTGTGATGAAAGCAAGCAATCTCATGCTGGGACTAAAGAATACCCCAAGGGCCCCAGAGGTGGGCAAGTCCCCTGACAGACCAGCCACAAAGGACACAGATGGCGATGGCGATGGCGATAGCCGCGGGGCCACGGCTGCAGAAAATAATGAGGTTATGGTACGAGAAGGAAAGAAATGCGTGGGTAGGTTTGGCGCAATGGCTCGGAAAGCGAGGATGGAAGTGCTGGTGGGTAAGTTGCGATCGGCCCCTGGTCAGTCACCCGGCACACCTGCTGGCGGGGACACGAAGAAGCCGGGGATGATCGGCCAGCTTCAAGGCTGGATCCAGAAGAAGATGACCAAGGGGGCGAGCAGGAAGGAAGGTGTGGCAAGAATCACTCGGGCTGTGGGCACGTCCAGCTGGCTGTTGAAGACCCTCCGGAAGAAGCAACTGAGCCGGCAGCTGTCAAAGAGAAGCTTGGCACAGAACGACAACTTCTTGTCGCTGTCGAAGGGAACCAACGGCCGCTTCACCAAACTCGAGGAGAGCTCGTCCTCATCCTCCTCCCAGGAGTTCCTGATGGGGGGCTTCAGGCTCGGAAGCAAAAGCAAAGAGTACAGGAAGGTGAGAACAACTGACACTCAGGCGCACGGGTTCGCCAACGACACGAAGAGCTCGAAGAAAAGTGGCAAGAGGGCGGAGGGCAAGGCGGCCGCGGTGAAGGTCCTGCTTCCTGGAGGTGGCGAGGCCTCCAACAAGGAGGAGGAGGACGGCAGCAGCCAGAGCTCGGGCAGCGCAAGCGAGGAAGACACAAAGCCAGCGGGCAGCTGCAGGGATGGCAAGTTCGCGATCGTCTTCCCGAGAGTGCAGCAGGTTTTTCATGAGGATCACACGTGGGACAGCCAAAGCGTTCGGTCTCTCCACTGGGCCTTCACGCCCGCCGTGCAGGAGATGGGGACGGCTCGCCCCGGCCGACCCAGGGAGGCTGCGCTGTCCGCCCAGACAGCGGCACAAATGGCCCAGTGGAGCCTCTTTGGGGACACAGACAAGGCACTGGGAGCTGCCGCTTCTGATCACAGTGGAGACCTATGGGACATGGATGATGAAGGTCCAACAATGCAGGTGTGGGTTTTCATGGGAATGTTCGGAGAGAGAAAAATGCTTTCGGCTGTAATATGCATGTACACGTACAGCCTCCTTTTGTCAATCCACTGATGGATGAGGGCCTCCTCAATGCCACGCGTTCGTGGGGGTTATTTGAGCTTACTTCACCGCGCTGGTCAGTGCAGGTTGGTGAAGGCAGGGAGCACGGTAGAGTACAACAATATATTTTGCAGCACTGGCCTTGCTGACAACATAGCCCCGCAGCAACAGCAGCCTCTTCATGCATGTTTCTTCCCACTTGTGTAAAAACTTCTTAATTGGCTGAAAACATCTTAGAATGAAATTTTAAAAACATCCAAATACAGGACCCTCTTGAAAAGAGTCATATGGCGCAGTGTGGCTTTTCTGAAAAAGTAAAATTATAACACAGAACTAAGAGAAAGCGATAATGAAGATGAGCGATTAAATTGCCGTTGAGATTTAAATCGGCGCTGCGAATTTTAAACGGGTGATTTAAAAGACCCTGGGAAGGTGAACGTGGTTAATGAAAGCAAATATCGTTATAAGAGGCGTCACCGGAGAGTCGTCAAGTCGGGAATACGCTGCCCCTGTTCACCGTCCAAGGCATATCACGGTCACCGGAATTAAATGGTGAATAGTATCAGAATATAAATTTCGATTTAAAGCTTTCGTGACTGCAGGGATTCATCTTCTTGGTTCTTTCGTTAAAGCGACGTAGAAGGGAAATAATAAAATAATAAAAAATAAAACATAAGAAAATAATTCTCACGACGTTTCGGCCACAACGGAAGCAGCCGTCCTCAGGTGAAGAATAGGTCTGACGGAAAGACAGTGTCTGAATGAACACCACCAGGCTTGGCAGCGTATATTTAAGCTGGGTTGGAGGGGGAAGAGAGCATTGACAAAGGAATTTGCATATGCAAATTATTTTATTATGTTGTATTTTTATTATTTTATTATTTCCCTTCTACGTGACTTTACCGAAAGAACCAAGAAGGAGTATCAGAATGTCTATTCATACTGGAGGAATCTGATGCGCTATAAAGCTCTTTGTCACAGATGTCCAGTAGAGGCGAGTCAGAAAGTTACAACAATACAAAAACACGATAGGAGTGCAAATATACCCCCTCCCTTTGATGCTGCTAATCCTGCATAATACACGGGCATAATGTCTTTAAACCCCTCACCAAACCTCCTACGCATTTCACAAGTAGTACTAATCGCATATCTGCATTTCACAAAAAATATGCTAAATTCCTCTTGATATGCAAATTATTTTGTCAAGGCGCTCTACCCCCCTCCAACCCAGCTGCTTAAAAAAGACGCTCCAAGCCTGGGGTTGTCATTCAGACTCTGTCTTCTCGACAGACCTGTTCTTCACCTGAGGACGGCTGCTTGCGTTGTGGCCGAAACGTCGTGAGAATTATTTTATTATGTTTTATTATTATTTTATTATTTCCATTCTACGTGACTTTACCGAAAGAACCAAGAAGATGAATTAACCATTTTTTTATTTTACCAGGTAAAACCCACTTTAGTAGCGACCTGGCCACACGTGATTATAGCTCAACGAAGTGGCTTATCATGGGGAAATTTATGGCAGCCAAATAATACAAAGCGCGTGTCAGTGCGGAATATTTATTCCACCCTCTGTATGTCTGTTCAAATCAAAAGGCACTCTTCTACCCAGTGATTCATTTCAGTCGCAACAGTCCAAAAAACTGTTCCGGGAATTATTATATTTGCCACGCCACATCCGACTAATCTTAGCCTCAGGAGGAATTTAGCTTCATGCCACTGCACTTTCTTTGTGCTCACAGCATATGATTAATACTGTCCTTACTATGTAGGGTACAATAAATTAAGATTATGGTGAGATCTGATGTATACTTCAGTGGCAGTGTCTTACGCTATTAATCCATACTCCAAGCCGAGCAGCATTCAGGTAAAATACCAATTCCAACCCTCAACTCATTTCAGACGCTGTCTCCCCAACAGACCTGGTCTTCACCTGAGGACGGCTGCTTGCGTTGTGGCCGAAACGTCGTGAGAATTATTTTATGTTTTATTTTTATTATTTTATTACTTCCCTTCTACGTGACTTTACCGAAAGAACCAAGAAGATGAAACCCTCAACTCACACAATCCCAAAAAGTAGCAAGTCCCCCCCCCCCCCCCCGATACCATCACTTACAGGTGAGCTTTAGTGTGGGAGCAGTGACGTCACCTCATCGGTTGCGTGCGGCCACGTGTCCCCCATGAGCAGAAGCACGAGCAGCTGCAGTGGTGGAGCAGGGACTGGGTGGAGCTCGGGGAGGACGGAGTCCCCGACATGACCGTCCTTAGGTGAACAGCTGCCACTACCAACCACCATCACGGCCACCAACTATCATCATCACCACGACCATCATCACAACCACCCATCACCACCACCACCCACCACGACCATCATCACAGCCACCATCACAGACACCCACCACCATCATCACCCCGACCACCATCACCACGACCACCATCACAGCCACCCAACACCATCATCATCACCACGACCATCATCACCGCCATCATCACAACCACCCATCACCACCACCACATCCACCCACCACCATCACCACCACCACATCCACCCACCACCACCACCACATCCACCCACCACCATCACCACGACCACCACCACAGCCACCCACCACCATCATCATCACCACCACGACCGCCATCACATCCACTCACCACCATCATCACCACGACGACCATCATCGCCGCCACCATCACAACCACCCACCACCATATCCACCCACCACCATCACCACGACCACCATCACAGCCACCAACCACCATTAGCAGTGATATTGGCTCTTCTCAGTCGCGTTGGGGCGGCATTTGGAAGCGAGTTTCTCGCGCTGCTGATCCTCAACAAGTGGTGGCAGAACCGGCTCTAGACCTTTGGGGGCCCTAAGCAAAATTTGGTTGGAGGCCCCTTTGATGTATGATTGTTTTCACCCACGAGCTAGCAGTGACTCTAGGGGGCCCTCTGCTGGCCACGGGGCCCTTTGCAATTTCAACGGTCGCTTAGTGGCTGGGCCGGCTCTTGAGTGGTGGTATATATATATTCTTATTTAAATCAACATTTAAGTGGTGGTATAGTTCCACATTTCCATGGTGGCGCACCAGTCACTGTTGGAGAGACACTTCTGCGGCCGTCTGGAACGCTCTTCCTTACGATATCAGGACGCCACTGGAGCGATGCATTTTTAAATAATCATCTACATTGACAAACTCTTTTCTTTAGAGCCGTCTTCTGCGTGTTTAGTTTGTTGTCCCTACCCCGCACCTCCGATTAGCAAGGCTGGCTACGTACGGCGTGAAAGAAGTTCAACACACACTGGTCCTATTCTTAGGGTTTTTTCGGTAAAGTCACGTAGGTAAAAAATGTAAATTAATAAAAGTAAAATAAAAATCACGACGTTTCGGAGGCAACACAAGCGTCCGTCTTCACCGAAAAAACCTCAGAATATGAATCCTTGCAGTCACGAAAGCTTCAAATCTAGAATTGACACACTGGTCCTGATTTTGTCCCCCCCATGTTCCCGTGGGAGTGAATTCGCTCCCCAGAGAACTGCACGAAGACGTCGTGCTGATGAATCTGCAGAAGAGATACGAACGCGGACACATTTACGTGAGTTTAACACGCGAGGCTTTCGCGACCAATATTATTCATAATAAACGTTTATTATGAACATTTACGTGAGTCGTGCGACCTTTTCAAATGCTGCACGGACATTGTCAAGGCGACTAGAGCACCCTAGGAACATCGCAGCGGGCACGGCTTTAAGATTAAGACTGTTAACGTGTTTGATCCGTTCCATGAACACTACTGTTCACCGGAGTAACAGTTCATCGAATATGGGCACTGATTTGCACCCCTTTTTAAATCCTTTATATTAAGTTCACTTGCTTGCTTGCTTGCGCGCTTACGACCGTGCAAATCTTTCGGTCGTTTTTTAACCCACTTCCCGTGATCCAATCGAGCTGACATTTTGCACACAGACTCGTTGTGCGTGACAATTTATTTTCGTGAAAATTTTTTTTCCAAAATTTTACACTTTTTAGGAAACAAAAAATTATATTTAATTACCAATTGCTTAATGGTGACAGGCAATCATCTGACCCATAGGTGGCAGCCATCTCAAGCCAGAGGACGAGAGGACTCTAGCCGCCACGCATATAAATGATTTATAGTGAAAAACTTTGTTTTTACGGGTTAATTTTTTCATGCTGATCAAAATTTCCAGCTTTGTTCTGTGGCGAATTACTTCCCTACCGCCTCTTTTTCCTTTTGCGAATTAACTTTAAGGGGGGCAACCGCTATTAATTCACTTATAAGTTTATTAACACTGCCAAAACAGAAATACACAATGGAAACCAAGGCAGTCGAGGTTGAAACGGCTCACACATGCACGTCGCTGATTGGTTGAGGCCACGCCTCTGCGCCGCTTACGATCGCTCCGATTGGCTGATCTTGGCGCCACCGCGTGCACAACGAAAACACGGCGGTACCGTTCGTCACAATCTAAACGTTAACCGAAATAAGTCATATTTAAAAATACTTTTTTTAAAAACACGCTTTAATGAAATGTACCCTACTCGTAATGAGAGAACTCCACGACTGCAGGAAGTGGCCGCAAAGCTTGCCATAGCGTAAGGGGCCGTGGTCATTTACAGCCAACGTCAGTTGAGCGTGGACAATGAGACTCAAGCCGAAACATAACATAAAAAATAATGTTTAATAATATGTATTTTTAATGATAGAATATAGTATTGTCATCAGTATGACGTAAGTATACCAAGTTTGCAGTCGATACCACATTGGGAAGTGGGTTAAAATTGAGTTACAAGATTTGAGGATATGACAACAACAGAGTTAGTTAATAGAAAGCGTGTAAAAATGTTAAAATATATATTTTTAAGTTTTAATGATATAATATAGTATTGTCATCAGTATGACATAAGTATACCAAGTTTGCAGTCGATACCACATTGGTAAGTGGGTTAAAATTGAGTTACAAGATTTGAGGATACGGTGACGACAACAGACAGTGAGTTAATAGAAAGCGTGTAATAAAAACTGTTAACCGATGTCAGTGTTAACCCAGGGACTACTGTGTCTGTAATTTTTCACTTTTATCACGCACATGTATCTCAAGAATCACCCTTATCTGGAATGTGCACGTACTGCACGTGTGACCTCTTTGTGTGTCATCAGAATATTTATTTATACTGGGGGAATCCGAGGAGCTATAAAGGGTTTTTTTTTTACAGATGTCCATAAGGCATCATTTGTTCATCTCAAAAGTTATCTGTGCGCAAGGGCAGGTCCACGGCTGGAGTTCCCTTTATCACAGTGGCGCTCAGAGTGTGGTGTCTGATGCAAACGCAGCTTAGGGTCCGTCCATAAATGACGTCACGCGATTTTGGACGATTTTTTACCCCCCCCCCCCATCGTCACATGGCGTCACAAAAAGTTAGACCCCCAGGGCCGGATCAGATAGCCTCCCCTAGCACTCGTAGCGGAGGACTGGGAATAGGACAGTCAAGGAATAGTGCTAGGGGTGTTTCCCATTGAGTACGGGTGAAGGGGCCGTTACCCCTTCAAGTATTGTTACCGCCTTTTGGTTAAATAAAAGAGTGTGCCTCAACTACGTCGTCTGACTCACTGAGAACTCACTACACCTGTAAAATGGAGTCCTTGGGGATGACTCGGAACGATTGCGAGAACAAGACTGCCTTCATCACTCATTCATGAATTGCAAACGGTGCAGAAGTCACACCGGTTTCACTGCGTATCTTCTTGCTCATGTTTAAGAGTACAGTCGTCACCAACTCTAATGCCAGCCCCCCTGTGTTTTGTTATATCGCAGACGTACATTGGGAGCATCCTCCTCTCATTGAATCCCTACAGTGCCACGGACATCTACGGGCCGGACACGATTGCCATGTACCGGGGATCTGAGATCTCCGAAAATCCACCGTGAGCCAAGACACCCACCCCACCACTCGATTGATGACTGGGAGAACAACGCATTGTACCACGAAGTCAACCTCAAATACACTACAGGGTGGTCCAGAGATGTCTTGTGACCCCTCCCCTCCCCCCCCCCCCAATTAATTGACCCATAACATGTTTTTTATCATTTGCATACCCATGTCCGTTTTAAATAAACCTTACTTTCAAAATATATATTAAGTTTTAGAGAATTAAATGGGAGTCTCAAGACATCTGGACCACTCTGTACAGAACCGAGAAACCGTGTTATAACCGGCAGAGATAAACGGTGGGGTGGGAAGGGGGGGGGCAAGGGATAACTTTGTCTCAGTCCTCAAACAAAAGAAGACCCCCCCCCACCACAATGGGTCTGTGAATGGTGACGTAAGGGGGGGGGGGCCCTAAGTGGCCTTCTGTCCCAGGCCTCCATGAGCCTCTGGAGCAGCCCTGGTCACCAGTGCGTGTAGCCATCGAGTGTGCAGGCGGTGCAACTGCACACGGGACCCACGGGACGGGGTGGGGGTGCTAAGACGCGATGTAAATGTACTGCAGTACACCGTCCGTGTGACACGTGTGCGTTGTTACTGTTTGTGCAGTATTAGTGTGTTTCAGTGTGAGGTTAAATAAGTGTAGTGTCACGCGGTGTTTGTGTATCATGGTGATATTGTAGTGTGGCACGGTGTTAGTGTACAGCAGTGTTAGTGAACAGCAGTGTTAGTGTATCATGGTGTTAGTGTATCATGGTGTTAGTGTACAACAGTGTTAGTGTATCATGGTGTTAGTGTACAGCAGTGTTAGTGTATCATGGTGTTAGTGTATCATGGTGTTAGTGTATCATGGTGTTAGTGTACAGCAGTGTTAGTGCATCACAGTAATATTGTAGTGTACAGCAGTGTTAGTGTACAGCAGTGTTAGTGCATCACAGTAATATTGTAGTGTACAGCAGTGTTAGTGTATCACAGTGTTAGTGTATCACGGTATGAGCGTAGCATAGTCGCTGCCCTCACAGAGATGGAGGACTACACGTCGCCGGGATGAGTGTTGTTGACCAGCGTGACTTTCCGTGTCATTTCCAGGCACATCTTTGCCATTGCCAACACGGCCCTGTCAGCCCTGAGCAACGAGCAGCGTCAGCAGTGTGTCATCATCAGGTCTGGCAATCAATCTATTTAAATTTAGAATATTTTTTTTATTTTATGTTTTATTTTACCAGGTAAGGTCCAATGAGCTAGATCGCTCTTTCTCAGAAGCGACCTGGCTATAACAAATAACACTGGATCTTTGTTGATGTCTTCATGCACGTGTGTGTTGTATGTCTTTGTCTTTGCGGAGAGCGGTGGCGCTGTGGTGAGCGCGTCGTGGCACGAAACCAGCGACCAACACCGGTGACGATTACACTGGTCAACAAAAATAAATAAATTCTGGCCTGGACTTTTGCAGCTGTTTTAGACTAATTTTAGGGTGCTGATTCCAAATCTGATCTCAGATTTGCTCTATTACATCTCATTTTTATGCTATCGGCATACCCCATTTTCATTGATTTTATCCGAATTAACTCTGTCACTTATGATTGCAAGTTGTTGCGAGTCAGTGTCTGCTTTAGTGTTAAAATATGGTGCTGTATTTTTAGGATAGTGTGTTTATATTATCATTTTATGTAGATATCCACATTTAATATTTTTCTTCTGCAGTTTTTATTTAAAATGCAATAATTGATATCTCAAAAACCTGATGTGATAGACAAAAACTGATACCAGATTTGGAATCAGCACCCCAAAATTACCTTAAAACCGTTGGAATACCTTATGCCAGAAAAAGTGTGTTGACCAGTGTTATATTATCGGCCCAATGAAGTGGCAGACAAATGCTCTTGCAAATCCACGTTGATCCGAAATGTGGAGGGAAAAAAACCGTAGGACCCAGAGAAAAATCCACGCCACCACGTTGCAGAGACTCGCAAAACTCCAAATATATACACAGCAGGCGTCAGTGCCGGGATCGAACCCACGATCTTCCTGTGTAGACCAGGCGAGGTAGTTCACATTTGGCCACCGTGGGTGACGTCTCTGGGTTGCATCGTAGAGAGCAGTGCCTGAGTAAGGGGCAGGAGAGTGCTCCTGAGTAAGGTTTTTGTTTGTCCTTGTGCAGTGGAGAGAGCGGCTCGGGGAAGACGGAGGCTGCCAAGCTGATTCTCGGGTTCCTTTCGGCGACGCCTAGTAACAGCAGCTGCCCTCAGGAGCACGTGGGCCCCTCAAAGCAGGTATGGGTGCAGCAGCAAGAGCAGCTGTCTTCAGGAACACGTGGGCCCCTCAAAGCAGGTATGCGTGCAGCAGCAGCAGTAACAGCAGCTGTCTTCAGGATCACGTGGGCCCCTCAAAGCAGGTATGCGGGCAGCAGCAGCAGCAACAGCTGTCTTCAGGATCATGTGGGCCCCTCAAAGCAGGTATGGGTACAGCAGCAGCAGCAACAGCAGCTGTCTTCAGGATCACGTGGGCCCCTCAAAGCAGGTATGTGTTCAGCAGCAGCAGCAACAGCAGCTGTCTTCAGGAACATGTGGGCCCCTCAAAGCAGGTATGCGGGCAGCAGCAGCAGCAACAGCAGCTGTCTTCAGGAGCACGTGGGCCCCTCAAAGCAGGTATGTGTGCAGCAGCAGCAGCAACAGCAGCTGTCTTCAGGAGCACGTGGGCCCCTCAAAGCAGGTATGTGTTCAGGAGCAGCAGCAACAGTACCTGCCCTCAGGATCACGTGGGCCCCTCAAAGCAGGTATGCGTGCAGCAGTAGCAGCAACAGCAGCTGTCTTCAGGATCACGTGGGCCCCTCAAAGCAGGTATGCGTGCAGTAGTAGCAACAGTACCTGCCCTCAGGATCACGTGGGCCCCTCAAAGCAGGTATGTGGGCAGCAGCAGCAGCAACAGCTGCCCTCAGGATCACGTGGGCCCCTCAAAGCAGGTATGCGTGCAGCAGCAGCAACAGCTGCCCTGTACGTAGCCCACCGGTCTAACCGGAGGCGCATCTACGAGATTCTGTTGTACGTAGACGCTAGGCGCTACTTTGTATAAAGCCACGTTGTATCGCACTGCAGATACTGGAGGCAATCCCTGTGCTGGAGGCATTCGGCAACGCGAAGACGCTGAGAAACAACAACTCCAGCCGATTTGGCAAGTACCTGCAGGTGTTCGTGGAGCGGTGAGTCCGAGATGAGGTCACGCTCGTTGCTCACAAAGTGCTTGCCACAAATGAACCCAAAAATACCCTGCTCATCGCTCGTCAAGGAGCATAAACCATCACGTGGTCAACTCCGGTCGTCATCCTCGCAGCGGCCTTTGGCTGGCCATCGAATGGTGGTCACCGCATAGCGCCCTTTCAGGTGCGCTTCTGCTACGGTCTGGAATGCTCTTCCTGCCGATATTAGGAAGCAACTGGAGCTATGCACTTGGAAATAATCTCGATTGAAAACTAATTTCTTTAGAACTGCTTTTTGTGTTTAGATTGTTATCCTTCCCCCCGCACCTACAATTATCATGGTTGGCTACATACGGTGCGAAAGAAGTTCAACATACACGCGTTAACGTTTCGTACAAATTCACCACTTTCTTGACACGTTCTTTACAGAGATTTAAGTGTTGTCCCTGACTATGCTGGTTTGGTTTTTCACGTGCTCTGTTCAGTTAATGCTCGGTGGATTATTTGGTTGCGGATCAACCGTGCTTATTTGTGCCTTTTGCTCGGGGGCCCGGTTTTGTTATTAGCCGTCCCCTCACTCGTTGAGGGATCCCTGTGACTCAGTGTCCATGTGACCGCAGAATTGCCAGCTCGTAAAGCAATAAACATAGATGACACATTCTATTCCAGGTGCACCCCCATTCTACCTCCGCAGGTCAACAATACATGCAAATGTATACATATTTATATATACACATATTTACATATGATTTGCATGTTTCACGTTTTTACGTTTTATTTTATCCGGCCCATCCTCCCCATTGCTTACTCTCACACCATGAGCCAGGCGGTGGTGGCTATGCACGTGGCCTGCAATCCAGCGCTGTGGAAGCAGCGAGGGTTCGGTGGATTACCGCACAACATTTCGTGAAACTCCCTTTCCGTGGGCGTCGAGGTGCCATACTCTGGCTCGCCAGGGAAATGCGGGCACAGCAAAATGTGGACTAATCTCCATCCGTTCCATATGCGCGGGATATATACTAGTGCTGTACCCTCGCACGGGGGAGCTTTCTCTGGCCACTCCGGCTTCCCCCCACATTTTTGAACACTTATTGACTGACAACACCTGATTCAGCACTGTTGTATCACACAGGTGAATCAGTAAGCACTGCTGTATCACACAGGTTAAGGGAAATACATCAAGCTGGCCATCAACGGTGCCTTGACTTACAAGGCTGCATCAATGTTTTTACCAAGTAAAACCAATCGCTACACTCTATGTATGATATTTTTTTAATATATATATTATTGGTTCTGGCTCACTGCCCCGCTGCCTCCCCGCTTGTCTGTGGCTCCTCACACCTTTGAAGTCGCACAGTCTCGTGGAGAGGGTGCTTGCTGGGTGTTTGTCTCAAGCGGGAGTGTGGTTGCCGATTGTCACGGTTTGCTACGGTGCGAAATAAGTTCTGCATGCATACTTGCATACTCACGTGTACGCAGTTTCACACTGCAAATCTGTACCCTCTGGTGGGACGGCCATAGTGAGGCCTTGCCTGACTCGTTTACAACATCTGCAAACTCTCTGTGTCGGGACTTTGCGAAGTACCTACAAATGTTTACGTGGAATATTCCCGCTGCTCTCTGCTCTAGGGGTGTCATCTCTGGCTCCATCACCTCCGAGTATTTGCTCGAGAGGTCAAGGGTCGTGTATCAGGTGAGGAAATGCATAAAGCACTGATACTTCGTGGAAAGTTCAGAGGATCCCAAAAAATATTGTTTCGGGTTTGTATTAAAATGTTCCCCGTCATCACTTTCGCGATTTCACTTCCGGCGCTTTTCGCTTGCAACCTACAGATTGTTGCACTTCCCTTTGCTCAAAAAAAGTTTTCCGGATCTCCCTCTCCCCGCCACGATCCTACGTGTGAGCGAGGGTTTCAGAAACACTCCTCGCGACGCATCTCGATGGATTTTCAAACGCCTCTCCCTCCACCCCCCGCCGCATGCAGGCCGCCAACGAGAGGAACTACCACGTGTTCTACGAGCTCCTGGTGGGGCTGCCACCCCAGCAGAAGCAGAGGCTGGGTCTGCAGGATGCCGAGATGTACTACTACCTCAACCAGGTGAGTCGGCAAAGAACATTGACTCACACAGGTGAGTCAGTAAGCACTATTGTCTCACACAGGTAAGGGAAATAAATCCAGCTGGCCATTAATGGTGCCTCGTCTTACAAGGCTACATCAATGTTGTTACCAAGTAAAACTAATAACGACACTGCATGTATGATATTTCATTTTTGATAGATGTCAGCAACATTAACAATGATTTTTACAGTCCTTGTCATTAAACAGCTGTGTTGTTGACCAGTCATAACGGTCATTCGGCAAACTTGGGGAATTTCGTGAGCGTCAGCTGCTGAATGTTCAGACCGACCTCGCATGACATTGGTTGGGTTCTAGATTTGAAGCTTTCGTGACTGCAAGGATTCATACTCTTAGTTCTTTCGGTAAAGTCACATAGGTAAAAAATGAAATTAAAATTAATAAAAATTAAAATAAAATAATAAAATCACGACGTTTCGGAGGCAACACAAGTCTCCGTCTTCAGGTGGGACCGTCACAGCCAGATTTGCTGCATCAAGTGATTAATTTTAATTTCATTTTTTACCTACGTGACTTTACCGGAAGAACTAAGAGTATACCTTGGTTGGGTTTTTAGCTTGCCCCTGACATGCCCCCCTCACCCTCGTACCCCCTCATCCCCGTGCCTTCCCCCCCCCCCCCCCCCCCCGCCGTCACCTCACGCTGGCAGGGCGGCGTGTGCGAGCTGCCGGGGAAGTCCGACGGCCGAGACTTCCAGCGGCTGCGGGGGGCGCTGGAGCGCCTGGGGCTCTCGCTCGAGGAGCGGGGCGCCCTGTTCCGCATCCTCGCCGCCATCCTGCACCTGGGCAACGTCTACTTCGCCCGCGCCGAGGTGCGGCTCGACGCGCCGCGGCCCCCCCCCAACTGTTGTGGCAGCGGCAACGACGTCAGCGCAAGGACGCCTCTTCGCCCGCGCCTCTTGGCTGCGTTTATTTTGCCGTCCCCCCCCCCCCGCCCGCTGCCCCCGGTTTGGCTGCGTACGGTGCGAAAGAAGTCCAGCGTACGTGCGCACCATCGGCTCGCGCGACACGCCTGCCCAACACCTACGCGACCTTCCACGTGTGCTGAGATATGCACCTTGAAATCATCTAGATTGCAAACTCATGTCTTTAGAGCTGCTTTTTGTGTTTGGTTTGTTGTTCTTTCCCCGCACCTCCGATGGGCACGGTTGGCTGCGTACGGTACGAAAGAAGCTCAACATACACACGTGGTCCACCCACCTGTGATCCTGCCTCCATGTTCCCCCTCCACGCTCACCCGCGTGCGCTCCATGTCTGTGTGCTCCACCTCTGTGTGCGCCACGTTCGCCCGCAGAGGGACCGCCAGGAGGTGGCGTGCGTGGCGAGCGGGCCTGAGATGCGCATCACTGCCGACCTCCTGCAGGTCTCCTTCCAGCAGCTGCAGATGACCATCACCTACAAGCTCACGGTCAGGCATCGATCCGCTCACTCTGTGACCTCGCACTGGAAACTATGAAATTCGAATACAATTTTTTTTTATTTGGTGGCCCGAAATAGGGGAAAGATGTATGTATGTATGTATGATCATCATCAGCATGATCATCACGATCATAATCATCACCATCATGTACCAATGATGATTTTATTTTGATGAAAGCTGGTGTGGACCAATCAGTTTCAAAGACAATGCATGTACTATCAGAGTATGTTTTTTGTTTGCATTTTGACCACAAGCATTGTGGTTAATGCAGACATGATTCCTTGTAAAAGGTTTCAGTTTGGTGTTTTAACATCGTAACACCTGTTTTGTTGCCAGAAAAAAGGGGAAAACCTATTTTCAAGTTCAGCATACATATATAGATACACATTGATATTCTCTTCAACTTAAGGATCGGTGCCCGCTGTGTTGAACCAATCACACGGAGTCTTTGTTTGCAGGAGACGATGCGGGAGAAAATTTTCTCCCCTCTCTCTGTCGAGGCTTCGGTCGAAGCCAGGTGAGTGTCGTCCGTGTGGCTTGCAGTGAATTCTGGGGGCGTCTGTGATATAAATGAGAAATAAGAGGATAGAATGTTCCATGCTCGTTTGTACCATTTTTGCGCACGCTGGTTCTATAATTAGTTGCTCCTCGCTCGTTACTCCACTGTCGATTTAAGATACAAAAAAAACTAATTCTACGTCTTCATACTGACTTAAAGCTTTCGTGACTGCAGGAATTCATATTCTTGGGTCTTTCGGTAAAGTCACGTAGAGTCACGTAGATAGGTTAGGTTATTTTTTGAAATTGTATTTGAACCTATCTACGTGATTCATTCTAGACTTGAAGTTTTCGTGACTGCCGGGATCCATACTCTTTGGTTCTTTCGGTAAAGTCACGTAGGTATAAAATATAAAATAAATTAGATCACGACGTTTCGGGCGCAACACAAGTGCCCGTCATCAGGTGGAACAACCACAGCAAGAAACAATTGCTGAAGCGGTGGTTATTCCACCTGCTGATGGGCACTTGCGTTGCGCCCGAAACATCGTGATTTAATTTATTTTATATTTTATACCTACATGACTTTACCGAAAGACCCAATAATATATCTCTAAACTACTTAGGTACTCAACAAATAAGTTTTGTGGCACTAACAGCTCGGCCATGCCACCGCACACTGCCCATGACAATCAAGAAAAACATTTCTCCCACGATGCTTTGCAGGGACACCCTGGCCAAGGTGCTGTACACTCAGCTGTTCGCCTGGATCATCGCGCGCCTCAACGCCAAGGGGGCCTCCACGCAGCAGGGTGTAACCCTCGCCATTCTCGACATTTATGGCTTCGAGGTGCTTCGGGCGTTTTGTTGGACCGTAGTTTCCCTCTTCACCGACACACCCGGCAGTAACGAGTAGATTATAGCTCTTTAGATGTAATCGTAATCGTCATAATGTTCATCAGCCACGCTCTATCCACTACTGGATGAAGGCGCCCCCCGCACCACCTGACACCACCGCAATTCCTCACGGTCCTGTGTGCTGCCACAATTCATCTCACTTTCGCGCGTGAATTGAACCCGTTGCTCCATCTCCACTCTTGGTTGCGCTGCCGATTGTGGTCTTGCCTTTGGCTACCTTTCATTCCCATCCAAGAGCCATCATCCCCTTCTAAGCTTGATGTGTCTTGCTCAAGCCCGCTTTTTCAAAGTCAAAAGTGATGCCTTACAGTTGTTTCTTCTCTGCTCCGCCTGTTCGTTTCAATGTCTCTCTGTGATTTTTGTCGATGCAATAATATGAACCATTATATACTTGGGACATTGCATTGATAGGGTTTCCATTGAGGTGATGATTAACGCACACAAAAAAACGAGTGAACTTAAGGAGACCAAATCCGTTGCTGCCCAGATTAACTTAAAACAAAAACCGCAGCTCACGAATTGTCAGACTTTTTTGGCAATGCATGCAACAGGTTTAACATGAATCTGCTGATGCACGTTCGAATACTGCTCGTACTTGCGTGTGAAGAGATTTATCGCTCTTTAAGAGGATCAGAGAGAGCGAGAGAGAGAGAGAGCGAGAGAGTGAGTGGGTGGCCGCTTTTCCCCTGCGGCTGTGCTTGCAGGATTTGGGTGTGAACAGCTTCGAGCAGCTCTGCATAAACTACGCCAACGAGTGCCTGCAGTCCTTCATCAACAAGATCATCTTCAAGCAGGAGCAGGTGGGCGTCGGTGGCTACGCACGCGGCCTTGTGGCGCAGCGAGACCCCCTTCCCCCCCCCCCCCCCCCCCGCGGACGTCGAAATGCAGTGCCCCTTGGCTCTGCGAGCAGAACGCAGTCGAGCAAAGTGTGGACTAATGTCGGTCCCTTCTGTTTGGGATGGAGTGTTGCTGCACCCCCCCCGCTCCCCCGTCCTCGCGCGCGTGAGTTTCCTCCGGGCGCTCCGGTTTCCTCCCCACGTGCATAATGAACGCTCGCAGAGTGGGTGGAAGCATCTTGATACGTAGAGGACTGCGGAGCAATCGTTGGCGCCGGCTCACCGCCCCGGCAGCCACCCAGCTTAGGGGCCGTCCATAAATGACGTCACGCACTTGGGGGAGGGGGGGGGGTTGAGAAATGTGACGTCACATCAAAATGCGCAACTTTAAATAAATATAGACAACGCGTTCTACTTAATTAAATAGACTTTTAAATAAATGTTTTCTCCTACAACATCAGAGTGCAGCGCCACATTAAATACACACTACAATGACAATAGTTTAAAGCGATTTGAAGCATGTTTTATTTTTTTGGGGGGGGGAGGGGGGCAGAGCTTTCTGACGTCATATTTGAGGGGGGGGGGTCTGACTTTTTGTGACGCCGTGTGACGAGGGGGGGGGGTCAAAAATCGTCAAAAATCGCGTGACGTCATTTATGGACGACCCCTTAGCCTGCGGCTCCCGCTCGGCGTTCGTGGAGATGGAGTTTTGCGTGAACCTGCTCGCGTTTGTGTTCGCCTGGACGAGCGCGCAGGAGGAGTATGTGCGGGACCGGCTGAGCTGGAAGGAGGTTCCATTCTGCGACAATCAGCCTTGCCTCGCCCTCATCGCACAAAAACCGCACGGCATCTTGCGCATCCTTGACGACCAAACCGCTTTCCCTCAGGTCCGAGCCTGTGTGTGTGTGTCTGCGTGTGTGTGTCTCTGCGTGTGGTGGAATGATGTGCGGAGCGGTGGTGTACGCTACGAACCCGCTCACGGCCAACACCAGTGACCATTATATGATCTGATCCGGTCCTAGGTCGAGTCAGCTTCAAATGAGTACCTGGTGCGATGTGGTAAACATCGCCACTGGGGAGACAAAGGCGGCTGGGCGTGGTGTTGGCCTCCCACCCCCTCGTGTGCCGTGCCGGCCTTTAGAGGTGCTCGCTAACAGCACTTTCCCCAACAGTTTGTTAAAGCTACACGGGGAATCTTTATCTTTGTGTCTGAGTGTGCAGGAATGATGTGGGCAGCGGTTGTGTTGCGTTTGGTTCGCTGCGCTACGAACCCAACGACACGAATTCGATTCCCGCTCACGACCAATAATAATGGCGAATATTTGAACCGGTCCTGGGCCTCCCCTAGCTCGACTCAGCCTCAAATGAGTACCTGGTGCGGTGTGTAGTAAGCATCGCCACTTGGGAGACAAAGGTGGGGCGGGTTCGTGGTGTTGACCACCCTCGTGTACCGTAGCCACCCCAACATTCTGTCAAGGCGATGCGGGTGATTATTTGTGCGCGTGTTGGTTGGTGCAGGCCTCAGACCACAGCTTCCTGCAGAAGTGCCACTACCAGCACGGCGGCAACGAGCTCTACAGCAAGCCCAAGATCCCTCTGCCTGAGTTCACGATAAAGCATTACGCGGGCCGGGTCACCTACCAGGCACGTCCATCGTGGGCCGCTCTCACCGTGCCTCCTGAGGCCTCCTGAGGTTTAGGAGCCTCCATGAAGGCTGGTCCTCCGTGTGATGTCTGCATGAGGGTTCCTCCGTGTGATGTCTGCAATAGGGTTCCTCTGTGTGATGTCTGTAATAGGGTTCCTCTGTGTGATGCCTGTAATAGGGTTCCTCTGTGTGATGTCTGTAAGTGGGCTCATCTATCTGATGTCTGTATGAGGGTTCCTCTGTGCGATGTCTGTATGAGGGTTCCTCTGTGTGATGCCTGTAATAGGGTTCCTCTGTGTGATGTCTGTAAGTGGGCTCATCTATCTGATGTCTGCATGAGGGTTCCTCTGTGATGTCTGTGTGATGCTTCTTCTGTGTGGTGGCCGGATGGGGGCTCCTATTCTCCTCGGACGTGCTGGGTGGCGCAGAGGCGTCATCCCTCGGGTTTCCACTTCTGAGGAGCAAAATCCGGGACAGATCGTAGGGAAGAGAAGCATAATTTTTATCAATACCACAAGAGGGGATAAACTGCGTGCAAATGTATTCTATTGAGTGGTCTGTTACTTGCAAATGACAAACACTGGGACTTTTAGCATCCAGAATTGAGGCCTGTCCTGAGAAATCTGAACGTCATCCTGGGACATTAAAACCCGCGGCCGTTGTCCCTCGCCTCACAAATCGCAGCACCGCTCCAGACGCTGTCGGCATTGTGAAATATTCTCCTCGGAGAATGGAAACCCGACTCTCGGCTCGCTGGCCAGGCTTGAGCGACGATTACGATCGAGTCAACTTTGAGCTGAATAAACGTTCGCGTCGTCCCGCTGCGCTCTGCCACGCGCAGGTGTCTCATTTCGTGGAGAAGAATCGTGAGCACGTGCGGCAGGATGTGGCGGACCTCTTCCTCGGCAGCAGCTGCACGGTAGCTCTGTTTCCACGGTGCAGCCAGCGCTCGCCGCTCGCTACCATCACCCGATCCGAATACTCACCGCTGTCACGCACTGATCGCAAACTACATACTCGCATCAACAGCTGCTATTCGCCACTTAAGTCGCGGTGACGTCACCATTGCGCTTGTGCCAGGATAGGTGCATCTTTAGATCCCCCGTATAGCCTTAACAGACTGTAGGGGCAAGTGCTGTTAGCGAGCACCTATGAAGGCCGGAACGGTACACGAGGGGGTGGGTGGCCAGCACCACGCCCGACCGCCTTTGTCTCCCCAGTGATGATGTTTACACATTGCACCAGATACTCATTTCACCATCACATCACCACCACTGCCACACACGCGCTCAGCAAAAACCATTCGCCACTGCCACACGATCACCACAAATACTCGCCTCGATCACAAATCAACACACACGCTCACTCGCCACTGCCACACGCCGAACATAAAAACAAATGGCACACCACTATAGCACGATATTTTATACACACACACACACTTCCATCTAGGGGTGGACAAAGAAGGTGGTCACCGCATCGTGTAGTTTCTGCGGCCGTCTGAAACGCTCTTTCATAGGATATTAGGAAGCCACTGGAGCTATGCACTTTTAAATAATCAAGATTGAAAACTGATTTCTTCAGAACTGATTTTTGTGTTTAGTTTGTTGTCCTTTCTCCGCACCTCCGAATAGCACAGTTAGCTATTTACGGTGCAAAAGAAGTTCAACATAAATTTCGATTTAAAGCTTTCGTGACTGCAGGGATTCATATTCTTGGTTCTTTCGGTAAAGTCACGTAGAAGGGAAATAATAAAATAATAAAAAATAAAACAATAACATTCTCATGACGTTTCGATTGCAAGACAAGCAATCATCATCAGGTGTGAAACCCACAGCAAGAAAAAAACATCTCTTGAAAGAACCAAGCATATAAGTTCAACAAAGATACATGTACATATCTATACACACGCCTGATCAATACGCAGCCGATAACCAAGGAAAAGACCCACCGTGCGTACGTGCAGACATGCGGCTGTCTCCGCTGAGTCCACCTCCCTCGAGTCACCGCGCTGCCCTCGTGTGTCCCGTGCCCGACCTCCTGTCCTCAGCTGCTCGCAGAGATCTTTCAGACTCGGCGCCATTCGGCGGGGGCGGCGGCGGTGCCGGGTCCCCGCGGCGGCCCCACGGGCCACACGGTCTCCTCCGCCTTCCGGCATTCCCTGCAGGAGCTGCTGTCACGCATGGAGCAGTGAGTGGTTGGTGGGGAAAAGCCACACAGGAGCAGGAGGCGCTGATGGGCCACGGTGGGGTGGGGGGGCCTTCAAAAGTGTGGTTGACCTCTGTGCGAAGAAGCTTCGAAGAAATTCCCAGCCGATTTCTTCACTCTTTCTCCGCGATAGGCAACCTCTTTGGCTCTCCCACAAGGGCATATACCTCTCTAAATCTTGACAGTTTGAAATGCGTCATCATCGTGATCATCGGCCGCCACAGTCAGTCCACTGCTGGATGAAGGCCTCCCCAAGCCACCGCCACCTCTCGCGATCCTGCGCTGCAACATTCCACCCGCCGCCGGGGTGGACTTGATCGTTTTGTCACCTCCCCGGTTGACAACATCCACCGCAGTGCTCCAGCAAGTGGTGCATGAAGGCCGCGTAGCTGCTCATTGGCACTTTTCGTTAGTTTTTTGGCCCAGTGCATTGTGGGCAGCTATGTGCCTTCATTTTCCTTCGCTGCATCGCGTGAAGCGCCGAGTATCGGTGTGTGTGGGCTGTGTGAACATCTCACGTTTAAGTACTTTTTTGGGAAAAAAAAACCCTTTTGTGGCAGTTTGGAGCCATTTTAGATTTTAAAAAGTATAATGTTGCGAAAGACACCTTGGGACCCAACAAAAAAAAGGAATGGAAATTTTTTTTTTTAATTGTGGACGATTGCCCTCGTAATTCCGTCTCTGAATGGTTCTCCTCTGCAGGTGCAACACGTGTTTGATTCGATGTTTGAAGCCAAACTCCAGGAAGGTAAATGGCGCACCGAGGGCAACATTTCACAGGGTTTTCAGATTGACTTTCTAAATCATAATAAGTGCGGTCTCAAAAACTTGACGTGGGGAAATTAATGGCCGTTAAATGACAAAAAATTCCTACTCGTGCATTTAGAATGCAGAGGAATAGGGTTTTAAGCAGAAACAATTGAAACCGACTTGATATTTTTTCGGTCAGATCGCACAAGTAAGATGTGTGTTGTAAATCCTCCTCCACCCGACATAGTCCATGCATAAAAGTTGTCACGTGAACAAACGTACTGCCGCAGCACACCGGTGTGTGAGAGCGAGCACTCCCCGGCATTGCACAAGTTGTTGCGGCGTTTTGCTGCTACTTACAACCAGCACCATCGGGCAGCTGCCAGTTGTTTACGACACACATTTGTGTCGGGCGGTGGCGGGTGGTGGAGGGTGTACAATTCGTCACAACATGCCAATTCTGTTTACGGGACAACCCTTACTAGTTGGCTGTGTCGGGTGGTGGCGGGTTTTAACGTCACATGTATATATTCACGCGATCTAACCCAAAAAAGCTCTTATGGATGATATTGGTCGCGAAAGCCTACATGTTAACTAATTATGCCTTTAGCCTGCATATAAACCATCACCCACACTCCGGTCATCCTCGCAGCAGCGGCTTTTGGCTGGCCATCGAACAAGGACGGCCACTGCATCGAGCGCTTTCAGATGCGCTTCTGCTGGCCGTCTGGAACGCTCTTCCTTCCAATATTAGGAAACCACTGGAACTATATAGCACTTTTAAATCTAGATTGAAACCTAATTTCTTTAGAACTGCTTCTTGTGTTTAGTTTATTGTCATTCCCCCGCACCTCCGATTAGCACGGTTGGCTACGTACGGCGCGAAAGAAGTTCAGCATACGTACAAAACGGGCGTTCTCCGATCGACGCGTTTGTAACATTTCAAAGAGAGCGACGTTTGAAGTGACCGTGCTTGTGATCTCCGTTCACCAGGAAGCCGGCTCGTTTGAGCCGGAGCTCGTACGGAACCAGCTGCGGTACCTGGGGATCTTGGAGACGATTCGAATCCGCAAGGCCGGATTCCCGGTGCGGATGCCCTTTGACACCTTCATCAGGAGGTGGGGGAGGCCTCATGGCCTCTAACGTCACGAACGCCTGTGCCTTTGTACTTTTGATGGCAATGCATTCGGAAAGTTGGAACTCCACACGAATAAGCCCCGAACAAGCCTACTGGCGTCACAAAGGCGCGTCTGCCTCCGGTACGTGGCAGCCCTTCCTAACCTGCGCAGTTACTTAACTAACTCTCATATGGGTTGGCCCTGCCACAAAACACATGTGGGTCAAGATCATCATGAGACACGGTCCATCCACCGCTGGATGAAAGCCCCTCCCCAAGCCGCAGGCATCTCTCCCAAACCTAGCTGCGATGTAGCAATCCAACCAGCACCTACACACGACCTGTTTGCATTGCTCCATCTCCTCTGCGCGTTCCATGCCTTGGCTGGCACTCCATTATTATTATTATTGGTCATCGACCATCGTCCATTCTAACATGTCCTGGCTCCATCTCTCACGCTCCTGCGACACCACAATCCATCCCATCTCCTTACGCTCGAGCTGACCCCATTGCTCCATCTCCACCGTGGTTCATCCTCTTGGGCATGCGCTCTCTCTTCGGCTACCATTCTGTCGCCAGTTTCGTTCGTCGATCAACATCCATTCTAGCCGTGCGTCCTGCCCAGGCCCACTTAGTTTTGCTGTTAGCGGTCAACACGATGTCTGGCGATCTTTGGATACAAATGGTTTTACATGCGAATGTCAATGGCGTCACGGTGGCGAGATGTTAACTGCTTCGCCTGGTATACAGGAGTGCGCGTGGGTTCGATCCCGACCCTGACGTCTGCATTTTTGGAGTTTGCGTGTCTCTCTCTGCCCGTAGTCACGTGGAATTTTCTCCGGGTTCTCTGGTTTTTCCCTCCACATTTAGAATCAACGTGCCTTTAGAGTATTTGGCTGATATACATTTCCACGTGATAAGCCACTTCGTTGAGCTACCATTGGTGGCCAGATCGCTTCTGAAAAACAGCTACATAGCTCAGTGGGCCTTACCTGGTAGAATATTTTTTGTTTCGTTGCAATGGTTTAATGTGTAAATGATGATACATTATGTTGTTCGGCTCAGATATGCAGTTCTGACAGAAACCACTGGAGAAGGGAAAAACGGGTGCCTCTCCATCCTGAACACCCTCAAGCCAGAACCCGAGGGCCTATTCAGGATAGGCCTCAGCCAGGTGAGACAGGAGTGCAGTTGCCAGGAGATGGCCCAGCTGAAGGGGAAGCATTTTCTGTACTGAGTATCGAAGAGGATTTTCAAATACCTTTGACAAAAGTAGAGTGTATTTCGGACCTAATGCGTACAAAGCTAAGAAATGTGTGAGAGAAATGCACTCGCACGTATTAAGCGAATACAGATTGTCGAGCTGGGTGGGTGGCTCAGCCACCTGCATAAAACTGCGTTCTCAAGTGCATTGACGGGCTCATCCACGGGCCGCACACAATAAACCGTCTCGTTAAATTTGATTCCGCACAAAATTTTGGCTAAATTTCCGCTCTGAGAATTAAATGTAACGCAACAAGCCATTTATCCTTGTAACGTGACGGACGGGAAAGTGCTGCCCCCTATTGAGCGGACCCGACGTCACTTGAAGGGATCTCGGACGTAGTTATGCGAGAGCTCCTTGTGGAATTTTAGTTGAGTTGCACGACACTGACAACAGTTGGCATACAATTGGGGGGGGGGGGGGGTGTGGAGGAACACACAGAGTACAGATTGTCGGCAGCGTGTAAAACAACAAAAGCAAAACGAATCGCACCCAGAACATCTGAATCGACTCGGAATCCATTTTCTGGTAATTGCACACACGCGGTAGCGCTGCTGAGTATTAAATTGTTATCTTTTTTTGTTGTTATCTTGTACAGTGTTGTGACGTGCAGTTTTTGCACGAATACCGTCATATATATTTTTTTTCTAACCCCACTGCCGTTGTGCTGTGGCTAGCCGTCGAACAAAGATGGTCATCGCATCGAGCACTTTAAGATGTGCTTCTGCGGCCGTCTGGAACGCTCTTTCCATATTAGGAAGCCACTGGAGCTATGCACTCTTAAATCTAAATTGAAAACTCGTTTCTTTTGAATTGCTTTTTGTGTTTAGTTTGTCGTCCTTCCCCCGCACGTTCGATTAGCACGGTTGGCTATGTACAGTGCGAAAGAAGTTCAACATACATACAACATACACACGCGTGTGTGCTTGCGCGGTGTCCAGGTGTTCATGAAGGAGGCGCTCTACGTGCGACTGGACAGGGAGCGCGAGCGGCGGGTCAAGGTGGCGGCTATCACCATCCAGCGGCACCTGCGGGGCTACATCCTCCGCAAGCAGTACCGCGTCTTCCGAGAGAAGGCCGTGGTCTTGCAGGCCCACATCCGCGGCTTCAGGGCCAGGTGCTTGCGCTGCCCGCGGGAACTGGCGGGGGGGGGGGGGGGTGGGGGGATCACGCAGAACCGCGCGGAAAGAACTTAACACGTGGGACAGGTGGCGCCGGATTTGCTGCTTGCTGCATGGCCTCAGTGGGATCAGGCTCGGAGTTAATGTTGCATTGGTGTCATGAATCAAGATCGTGTCATATTGTTTCGATGTCGGTAAACCCCCATAGCCTAGATCCTGCAGCCGCAATCCATATACAGGCGGTGTTCCTGAACACCTTCATGCAGAACCCTTAGCTCGGTGCTATATGCAGGATCTTCTGTCTCACTCTCTAGTATTACGTAACCACAGGCCCTGAACTCGTAGAACAATGTAAGGACTCGCGTATGTTTCCCCTAGAGATGTCAAACTTGCCACGGAGTTGGGAACCGCTGCTTTACAGAATAATGTGTGCCTGTATGTGTGCTAAACTGATCTTTAACAGCACTTGCCCCAACAGTCTGTTAACGCTATACTGGGGGTCTTTGTCTTTTGTTCCTGGCCCTACCCACCCCCTTGTGTGTTGTTAAGTTTGTAATCGGGCGCACCTACAAAGGTATCTAAAGCTAACAAGGGGAACGTTATCTGTGTGTGCATGCGTTATCTTGAACACAAACTAAATGCTAAAACGCGAATGAGCGGCAGTGAGTCCAGATCTTTGTATATATTGATTAGTATTAACGTTTGTTTACCCAGAAAGGCCTCACGGAGTCTCGTGACGGTCTTTCAGAAGGTGTCCTGACAAGTTTTCGGACACTCGCGGGTGGCGATCGCTACGAATTATCCAAACCTCCCCGACCGATGCCATGATGTGCGGTCATGTTTAGGAGATGAACTGAAGCACACGGAACTGTTAGCGCTTATTCAGAGGCGGCCTGGACACACGCGTGACGATACCTCGTCAAAGTGGCCAATTTCGTCATCGCACGTGGACAATTATAGCAGCAGTTTAATAATCTAAACGCGTGTTGATTCTAACCGGTGGAGCCTGGAGATTATTCCACACGACCACCACGGGAAGAGAGAGGACACGTGCCCCAAATATACAACAGGCGTCGTCAGCGTACAGGATCGAACCCACGACCTCCTGGGCACTCGGCGAGGCAGATAAGATGTCCTCATCACCAGGCACCCCTATGCTCTATATAAATAGAAACTGCCGTATTGTTTTTGGTTCTAAGTTCAAGTTTGTTATTCTATTTAACTCGGCAAGGGTTTGAGAGACCAGAAGTCTAATTTGTGTGGGTGTGGGTTGCGTGCGCGCGTGCGTACGTACAAGCTTTCGTGTGCGTCACTGAAAAGGGTGGCTCCAGTTTGACAGGGCTGGGATAAAGTTCAGTGAGTGGGGTTGTACTTTATGGGCATGAGAGATGTCAGCATTTATTTTGGTCCTTTTCAGGTTACTGATGCTGCGTGATTAATTCTACGTGTTAAGGTGATTAATTATATTTGTATAATTAATTTCGGTTTTTTGTCCACCAGTCGTGGGGGTTGTTTGACCGTACTCCACCTCATGCTGGGTCCGTGTGCGTTGTCGAAGGGAGGGTCCGGGGACTTGTTCAGAAGTCGCTCGTCCTTCATGTTATGTGCCGCCACGTTTATGGCGCAGTGCACTAAACATTTGCGCCACCGCTCCATATAGCAATCTGAATAGATCGGTATTTTTTGTAATTATGCATGAAGGGGCCTTGGCACCCACTTGAACTGAACTATTTTTATTTTACCAGGTAAAGCCCACTGAGCTATATGGCTCTTTTTCAGAAGTTACCTGGCCACAAATGATCGTTTAACGAAGTGGCTTATGACGTGGAAATTTATAGCAGCCAAATACTCTAAACCCATGTTTCTAAATGTGGAGGGGAAAACCGGAGGATCTGTAGAAAAATCCACACCACCACGGGGAGAACATGCAAACTTCAAATTTACAGGCATCAGGGTTGGGATCAAACCCACGACCTCCTGTATATCAGGTGAGGCTGTTAACATCTCTCCACAGCGGCGCCCCATTCATCAGTCTTCCTAACATTTTACTTCTACAACAGGAGTATAACCTATGGGCTTTAGGTATTAACTCTCCCCTTTGGAAGTCTGGCTGAGAAGGTGCATGGGCTGTCGGTATGTGTGTTTATAGAAAATACAGAAAACAAATATCCAATTTGTATGAACCGAATAACTTATGGATGTTCATTACCCTATTTGCCTCTCTCTGGCCATTAACACCATTTCCATGTTTTTGGACAAAATCCTGATTCTCTCGGGCTGGCCTGAGTTCCCTGCATTAAAATTCGAGCCAAGCGAAAATATTAATTTCTGGGGAGAGTACTACCCAATTCACGTGATACCTCAACTAACTCGAAAAGTCAACTTTCGAACCTCTGGTCGTCTGTCCACTGGAATTGTGGGACAAATTGCGCCACACCCAAGTTCACTCGAATCGCCTCCTATTTTTTTTTATCAATCCGTGGAAACAAATGTAGCGCGCATTATTCGACTTCACGTGCAGCGCCACCGCCTGTACCCCAACAAGGCGATTGTGTTCCAGGAACAGGACGTGAGCCACCTTTGACCTGTGTGTGCACGTCGGGGGCTCTCTAGGAGGGCGGCGACGGTGACGGCGGCCGTCCCCGTGACGTGGCTCGTTGTCGTTGCGCAGGCGGCGGTTCCAGCGGTACCGGCAGGGCGGGGTGCAGCTGCGGGCTGCGGTGCGGATCATCGTGCTCACGCGGAGGTACCTGAAGGTACGCAGGTCCCGGGAGACACCGCCCCCCCCCCCCCCCCTTGTATTCCACCTCCCCCCCCCCCTTCCCGCACTGACCCCCTGCCCAGTGCATGAGCTTGAGTCTTACTCTTTGGTTTTTTCGGTAAAGTCACATAGGTAAAAACAATATTAAGTAATTAAAAACAACTAAATTAAATCACGACGTTTCGGGCGCAACACAAGCGATGCAGTCTGCATCGGCAGTAGGCCAAGCTTTCCCACCTGATGACGGACGCTTGTGTTGCGCCCGAAACGTCGTGATTTATTTAGTTGTTTTAATTTATTTTTACCTACGTGACTTTACCGAAAAAAACAAAGAGTATGAATCCTTGCAGTCACGAAAGCTTCAAATCTAGCTTGAGTCTTAATCATTATACTGACTTTTGTTTATCTATCTATGAATGGCCACACTGGGTGGTAGGACTCTTTTTCACGAGGGTTCAGGCGTTGGGTTTTAATTTTAAGAGGTTTTCGGCCGATTCAGAACCAGAATCTTTATTTATTTAGACTTCAGGAGGAATCCGATGAGCTATGAAGCTCTTTTTACACAGATGTCCAGCATGGGCGGGTCAGAAAGTTTCAACAATGATGATGGTTTATTATGCAAATTGGAAGAAACCGAAGCGCCCGAAGGAAATACACAAGGGGGCAAAGCTCCATCCCTGTACAAATGTAAATCGGTGGCAATTCGTCCACTTGCTGTACTGCCTTCCCCTGGCAAACCAGGGGAAGGCACATCCGCCGACGCCCACGGGAAGAGAGTTTCGCAAACACTTGTTACAGTGACCCACCAACCCTCGCTGCTGCCTCGCTAGTGCTGGATTACAGGCAGCCACGGCGGAGAAATAGTAATACTGGGAGGTGTGTTCACACACGACAGGAAGGCATGACTCCCACCATGCCTGGCATATGTCATTTGACCACCCCAAGTTGGAACACTGCTGTCATCTGGGGTGGAGCGCCCAGTGCACTTGACAGCATTCAACGTAAAGCAGTCGCGTTGTTTGTTGATCCAGGACTCGCCAATTCACTCCACTGATTCGCTTACTGGTGGCCATCCACCTCTTTACGACTCTTCTACCGCTACTGTCGTTTGTTTCTGTTCCCATGAACGTCGCTCATCGAGGTGCAGTTTAAGGACAACAAACTTTGGGTCTCTGTGTGAGTCTTTGGGTCTCTGTGTGAGTCTATGGGTCTCTGTGTGAGTCCATGTATGTATGGATGTTGAACTTCTTTCGCACCGTACGTAGCCAACCGTGCTATTCGGAGGTGCGGGGTAAGGACAATAAACTAAACGCAAAAATCAGTTTGAAAGAAAATCGTTTTCTTTCGAACTGGCCTTGAAAATGAGATGACTGATGTCATCGGTCCATCCAATGCACTCAATTCTGCCCCACGCTTCACGTCATCAAGGCCATTTCAGGAATGCGACTGAGCCAATGTCTCAGCAGTCAACAGCTGCCTGGTTTTGCTACGGCCCTTCATGGGCCCGCCCAATTACGGCGCTCCTCACAAAGTGAACATGTCTCCAAGCCCAAATGAGCACCAGTCTGTGGTGTTGTGGCAGGCCCCCCTGTCGCGCCACCTACCCATCCCCGTTCGTGCGGCATGAGTGGTGGTTGTCGCGGCCGCAGTGCAAAAAAGAAAACCCCCAAGATATATTTCGTGGGAAGAAGCCTCGCAATAGATTTGCCAGGGCAGCTGTCTCACAAAAGACGACGATCCTGGGAAGAATCGGGACAGGTGGCAAACCCTGGCCGTGAGCTGCCGTGAGGAAAGACGATGGCTTACGGCAAAGGCCAGGCTGTACTCTGGTTAACGATTGGGGGGGGGGGGGTTAACACTCACCTGTTACTCGTGACACTAAAACTAAGCCGAGCCTATATTGTTTATGGACGGCAAAGAGTGCATCACCAGGGCCGTGCGCATAGTTTTGCAGCTTTTACTGCGGCGCTACAGCACTATGGGCAGGTACCACAAACGGTTTATGGCGCGTGTTCTTGAATGCGATCCATTGTGGACTGATCCGTCACATTTGGTTTTTTCGTGTAACTCGACGAATTTGCCGCACCGTCGGTTAATTTTTTTGTCCTCGAATTTGCTCAAAAGACGCCCGGAGCATTAAATACGTGCGGCGAGATCGAATCTGTAAATGTAGCTATTAAACCATTTTTTTTTGTTTACCAGGTTAGGCCCACTGAGCTATGAAGTTCTTTTTCAACGGTTTTATTTAAATTCACTCCTGTTTGTCGTGGTCAAATCTTGTAATCAAAATTTAGTCCACTTTCTGTCGTCCAATGAATTAGAAATTTTGCACACGTACTCAGATCTGGTGACAATGCATGCCTGTATCAAAATCGGCGTCAATTAATCAATTAATTGCCTCCTTTAATGCAATTAACATTTAGCATGGACGCCTTATTATTTATATATATTTGTGTAGGTCAAAAACGCCGCGGTCCCTAAACTGTGGAATTGCCTCGCCCAAGAAGCCGGCACCGCGTGTCTCTTGTGACCAAGATGTCGTCCACTTCTCGTTGTCCAATCGAGTTATTTACTTTTTAGTTGCACTTTAAAATAACACCGTTGTTTTTAAAAAACTTTTTAAGGAGTTTATTCATAAGCGACTTGGCCACAAGTGATAGCTCAATGAAAGCGGCTTATCACTTGGAAATGTGTAGCAGCAGCCAAATGCTCTAAACGTGCGTTGATTCTGGACTTGCGAACACCCGACACAGCCAACTAGTAAGGGTTGTCACGTAAACAGAACGTGCCAATTCGTCACTAGTACAGCACTAACCGGTGTGTTGGAGAGCCAAGCCACAACATTTACAATCTGAGTACGACGTTTCGGCAGTAATTACAACCAGCTTCGTCAAGCGATAGCCAGATTTGTGGAGAAGTCCACCCGTTTTGTTCCTTATATAGAGGCGTAGATGTGGTGACCACACTTCCAAATACACAGCAGGCGTCAGGGTCGGGATCGAACCCACGGCCTCCTGCATACCAGGCGAGGAGACGCTAACGTGTGGGGAGTGGAGCGGATGGGCGTGCCCCCCCCCCCTTCCCCCGTGGGGTAGAGATCAGATTTTGGTGGCTGCGGGCTGATGGAGCTCACGCGATCAATCTCCACGTTGCTTCGCTGGAGCCGACCGTGTTCAAAGTTATCCATCACTGGCCAAACCTGAAAATTCGAAAATGGGAAAGAGCATCTCGTATTCACCGATTATACGTGTGACGCAAAAGCCTTGATCTGCTTTTGACTCTGGTGGGAAAAAAGTTTTGGCGTGGGGTATACTGTGTTTTCACGACAGTTTGAGAAGAATATAGTCACTGAAGGAAGATGATAACACACTGATGTACTACTTATATTACAGAGTCTGCTGTTACCAAACTCTTCACCTGAACTCAGAAACTAAACGACATGACCCCAATACTCCGATTCCTCCACTGGCTACAAATCCAATCCCAGTTCTACCTCAAGACTTCCCTCACAATTTTCTAAATGTTCCATTTTACACGCCTCCTCCTATCTCTCCCCCTATCACCCCTCCCCCTGTTCTACTCCGGTTCATGCACTTTCCAATCCAGCAACCAATGAGTTACGTTGAAGCCCTCGGTCAACCTCCGCTCAGTGGGAGATCGCTCCTTCTCTCTCTGCCAATCTTCTTATCTGGGACGTCCTTCCCTACCGCGGCCATCTGTCCTGTCGACCCCCTGCTCCCAAGACAACCCTCTTCTCCTATGACCGTCTCTTCTCTTCAACAATTAAAACGCTTTCATTCTTCTCCACGAAGCACGTCCCTTTGTGAAGAGTCAGGCTATGCAGTTTTATTATTTGAGACGCTCGGCAAAATCCAAAGAGCATTGAGGTTTACCTATCGCATAAATCTCGTAGCCTATTCCTTGCAGCCTCGATCCACGCGTATTGTTCTCAACACCTTGAAGCCTAAGGCCTAAGTGTGGTGTTATTCATTATCCACATAGGGTCCTCCGTCTCTTTTCAGTCTTTAAACAACCAACCGCAAGCCCCCAAGCTATTGAGTAATACACGAGGCCTGTCAATAAAGCAATTAAACATCTTTTAAAGTTACGTCGTTTGTATTTCCCCAGGACGTTCTAAGTTTCTCCTGTCAGAATCGTGCCGTCGTGAGATGAAGAATCCATCGGGAAAGCTGGCAGAGCGATGTGGCCCCACGTTTGTCAGAGAATTAGCGGAAAAGGGATTTATTATTTCATAAGACGTCTCCTAAAACATTGACTCGGCATCTTTATCCTTCATGCAGTTAGCGGTGTGCACGTTTCCAAACACTCTTGATGGGAGATAGTTTTTTTTTTGTAGCATGACAAAGCGATGTTTTAATTCTCACAGCTGGAATTGAATCACGTTAAAGCGAAGATTTTTTTTTAAACGTTTAACGCGGCGTTTGCTTTTTCGTGCAGCTATGGCGACCAGGCTGAGACCATCGACTTGCCAACCCAGTGTGATCACAGGTGGCTAAAACCTGGGCTTGAATGCAGCTTACAAGTAGTGCCAGCTCTGCACATCAAACCGCTGGACCAGCCAGTCGCTTGAGTTATCAAGCGTCTTAATGGGATATAATCACGACATTGTTTTTTTACTCTCTCCTGTCTAGCTCGCACCAAGTGCAGTAGTTGTCAATCAGACTTTTCTAGAGTTATGTGGTGGGAGAAATGTGACTTTAGTTGATAAAATATATCTTAAACATATATATAATGTGGACTCTTATCTGATTTTTGCAAAGAGGAACTTATTTTGTCTTACTTTTTAAAATTCTTTATAAAAATAAGCATCCCTAGGCACAGGCATAGAGGCCCAAAACGCCAGGTGGTCAACAACAAACAGCACCACTGTGGATTTAAGTAGATAAGTAGATACGCATTAATACCTCTCTTGACCAGGGGTGTATTAGAGTGTGGGAAAATAGACGACGGGAGGTGCATGAAGCAGAAAGATAAGAGCATTGACATGCAGCGTGTTGACCCTACCGCTCTATTGAGCCGGCCAGATGCCCCCTATTTAACGGGCCACTTGGAGCCGAGATCCCACAAATACTTAGAACCTGGATTCACGAATGCGAGTTGACGACGCAGCACCAACTCGGCCGTCCTTTTTTCCCCAAAGCGGCAAAAGACGAAGATTTCCCCTACGATGCCCCCGTTATCACGCAGCCCTTGCAACCTGTTGCAGTGCGATGCTACGGGTGTTGCTCCCTTTTCTGGGAGCCAGCGTTAGGCAGGGCGCACAGCGGTAGTGCGTAAAGCCAGATAACGTTTGTAGCGCAATACGGCTTTTTATGGCTGGACTTTGACACGGGAAATAGTTGCGTTGTTTGTGTTCGCAAGTCCAAGTCCTTAACGGTGTCATTCGTCCCGTCTAGAATTCGGCCCGCAACGATTTTTTCAAGTCTGCTAGAAAAGGGCAGATGTGAGAGACGTACGTACGGAGAGAGGACCTTTCTTTTCAACGGCGTGAGTAACCGGCGAGGCCAAGACGCCGCCGATCGCCAGCGAGGGTTTGCCCGAGAGGATTAGGCGCTACCTGCCGGGTGAGTGCCGTCGTGCGTTTGTGCGAGAACCCATCCCCGGGATATCTCCCCGTCCGGCTGGGCGTTGGGCAGGACCACTCCGCGTGCGGTCGACAACGCGGCTCGCCGAGGCTGGCTCTTCTGGGGCGTTGTTCACTGGGGTCTGTTTTTCTATTTCTAACAGAGACGTTTGGATGGACGCGGTGGTTTTTTTTGTCTTCTTTTAAAGCAATGGATCATCTGTGTAGGAAAGTAATGGGACAATACAAAATCGTTGTGTAATTCATGTTGTTTTTAAAAATATTTTTTATCGTGAAATGTGCCATGTCGGGCAGAGGTGTGTTCGCGTGCGAGGGAGTGGTAGTGTAGCTGCGCTACGATCCCAGCGACCCGAGTTTGATTCCCGCTCACGGCAGACAACGCCAGTGACGATTATCTGAACCGGTCCTGGGCCTCCTTTAGGTCGACTCTGCCTCAAATGAGTACCTGGTGCGGTGTGTAAACATCGTCACAAAGCTGGTCGGGCGTGGTTGCTGGCCACCCACCCCACCGTGTGCCGTGCCAGCCCATATAGGTGCTACCCGCTAACAGCACTTGGCCCAACAGTCTGTTAAGGCTATACGGGGGATCTTTGTAGTAGCGTGGTCGGCGTGTGTCCTGGGCCCCTCGAGGGTGCAGCTGGTGCAGTTACACCGCCTGCGCTTCGATGGCTACCCCACCGAGCTTTGTCTCTCGACTGTGTAGCGTTCCGTGAAGGGATGGGAAGCTTGAACACAGCAGATAACCGCATACATTTGCTGCACGAACGTGGCTTTTTTTCCTTTTGTGAAGCGAGAGAGTGAGAGTAATAAGGTGAAACGGTAACAAATGGAATGGGCTGTTATGAAGCTGACATTGCCCATCATCGTCATCATCGGCCATTCTCTATCCACTGCTGGATGAAGGCCTCCCCACACACCGCCGCAATTAATGTTGCTCCTGCACGTGAACTCATCTCATCGCTCCGTCTCTGCCGTGGTCGCCCCTTCGGCTGCGGGTCCCTCCTTTGGCCGCAGTGTTTTCACCGCCAGTCTCGTCCCGCGCCCATCGTCCCCTTCAAGCGATGAACGTGGCCCGCTCCAGTCCGCGTGGCCGTCTCTAGTGGTCGATGCGACACCTCTGGTTTTGCGTCCCCTGCTTCGTGCGATCCTCTCTATCGTTTCCTCGGCGTAATTCTGAGCGAGCGTCTCTCTCCCTTGCTGCGTTTGTGCACCCCTCCACACTGTCCACATTACTAACCCATACAACAGAGGCGGCAGTGTGCGCTGATTGAAAACTTTCCGGTATGCTGCTTTTAATTATAAATCACTAGATTCTGCTCTCGATGCCCGATTTATTTAATCATTTTGATCCTGATCAACCTTCAATCACTGCCCTAGGTAAACATATTCTGCTTTAATTTATAACTATGTTACTCCAACAATTGGTAAATTTTGTTCGGAACACCTTTTCTGCGCAACTTTTGTTCGTATATGTTTTTGAGCCCAAGCTCCTCGTTCTGTAATATTCTTCAGTGCATTCCTACAGTTTTGTTGTCACTGCTTGTTAGCATGGCTACGCCAGTCGCAAATCCTGAGACGGCGCAACATCTCCCAAGCTGCCATTTGACAAAATGAAAATTCATCTGTAGCGACGATCAAGGAAATGTGTTTACAGTAACTTTTGGCTGGCTATTCACCCAAGGCTTCATTTCTCACGGGATATTTTCCGGGTGGCTGCGGGGTTGACTGGAGTAGAGACAGGACCAGAGAGCGCGGTAAAGGTGCAGGCCTCCAATTGCTCACTCGTGCCACTGCTGGTGGAAGGACTTCCGCTTGAGGCCTGTGGGAGTTCTATAGGGTGTATCGGTCTACTCTTCCATGCTGATCAGACGTGTTGGAATATGTGAGGCTAATCCCTTACTTTACCCCACCACACGTGACCTGCCAATCGCCTAACTGTGGTGTCACCCATTTATACCGCTGGGTGGACGGGTGACAAGAGTGCTTTTCAAAAACTCGCACCGCAAAAGACGGGGACCGAGGATGAGGGGCATCACCACTGCAGATTAGACAGGAGCTGGATTCCCAGGGGTGGGATAAAATAATAAAAAATGCTCGTTTAGTCCGTCTCTTATGTTTTTTCTTTTATGTTGGTAAAAAAAAAAACTTGCACCATCGTTCCAAACTGGCCACGCCGGAACATTAAATTGATCAAATTTGCGTGTTTGTACGTTGAACTTCTTTCGCACCATATGTAGCCAACCGTGCTAATCGGAGGTGACCTCTGGATTGCAAGTCCAGTGTGCTAGCCATTACATCACGAGCAGCATCGCTGTAGAAGGAATGCAGACTCGGTGCAATTGTACAATGTAGACTCAGTGCAATTGTACAACTATCTGGGGAGGTTCCACACACTGTGACATCACGTCCACCCCAGTGAACATCACGTCCACCGCAGTGAACATCGCGTCCACCGCAGTGAACATCGCGTCCACCGCAGTGAACATCGCGTCCACCGCAGTGAACATCGCGTCCACCGCAGTGAACATCGCGTCCACCGCAGTGAACATCACGTCCACCGCAGTGAACATCACGTCCACCGCAGTGAACATCACGTCCACCCCAGTGAACATCACGTCCACCGCAGTGAACATCACGTCCACCGCAGTGAACATCACAGCCACGATAGTGAACGTGATGCAAGAGAGGGTCAGTGTGGGGTAAAAGTGTCCGTATCTCTGTGGGTCCCTTTGGAGTCTGTCGGCCACACCTAGTCTCGAGTTACGGCTCGAGGTATGGCCCAGAGTCGAAGGGGGAGTAACCCTCATCTGAAATGATAACTCTTTGTCAATTATTACACACGCGGAGCGTTTCTGGGAAGTTTATTATTGCCACTTTGGCAATCATTATTAAGGTTTTTTTTTAAGATGGCAAACCAGACACAATGGTGATATATTCACTGTCTTCCTGCAAATATGATTAATTGCAGTGTTTTTTTTTCCATCGAACCAAACGGTATAACTTCCTGACGTAACTGCAGGCCTCGTCGAGTCTCGGGACCCTTTACCATGAGGGTCCCGATGCGTTGAGATGTTTGGGCCAATTCCGTTCACGAGCGTTTGTCTTCATATGGGAGGCAAACGGGTAGGGCCCGGGAGAAAACAACGCCAAACCAACGCGCACACCAAGCGTGGCGTGACACTTTGCACCGCCATCTCTTCGTCGCGCACCTTTGCCGACGCACACCCACCACAGCACGTGGTGATCGCCCGTCCCAAGTACTGGCGAGGATTATTATTCGCACTTCGCTTCCAAGATTGGGGCGACGTCGGGCACATTCGGCTGCGGACTCAGTTGTAGTTCTACGCGTCGCGGTTATCTCGATGGCCCTGCGACGGTCAAGCCTGGCGGGCTGACCACGTGGACCTTCCTGGGACGAGCGTTGGGTACTGATCAAATCAATGTTTTTTTGTTTTTTTTCCCCTTGGCAGTATAAAGAAGAAGAGAAGCTGAGACAAGACGCCCATTTGGGCCCGTTTGGAACTGGAGCGATGGCGAACGTGAGTTGTCGATGCCTATCGCGTTGGGATATTGTCACTAAGCATGGCGATCCATTCATAACAACAACAATAATAATGCCAATCCAGGAAAGTATGTATGTTGAACTTATTTCGCACCGTACGTAGCCAACCATGCTAATCGGAGGTGCACAGTTGGCTCTGACTGAGTCGCACGAGCGTGCTACATTGGAGTATTTGACCAATTCCACTCACGATGAGTGTCTGGCTTCATGTGCGGGGAGACTGGAGAACTCGGAAAAAAGACCCCATCGCTCACACGAGGGGGGGTGACACTCAACTCTATAATCTCACAGCCCCACGCCTACAACAGCTGCCACGCCCTGGTGGTCACCCCCTCCGATTACTCATGGACGTTCGTCACGATCACGGATCCAAGCGTGTTGCGCGGTGCGCCGTGTCGTCGACTGTGGGAGAGACCTGAACTTAGGGGAACCTTGATTACAGAGGTGGTCTTCTGCCACAGTCGTAAAACTAATGAGCAGTACAAACAGCAGGGATAACGGCACGTGTCTCTGATAACCGAGTCTGAGGCGGCGACGACGGCATGAGGAAGGCTGGAATCCCATGACGGATACACCGATAGTGCGTGCACACAGGAGACTGGGTTTAGGATATGTAGGCCGATAATGTTTTATAATTGGTGGAACTGTGAACCCGAACACATACACGCGGACGGTCAAACCGTAAAGGCCCCGATTGGTTCCGGTGAATTATTGTGATCTGGTTGTCCTTTGTGGGCGAGGAGAGCACTTGGGTAGGTGACCTTCGTGTGTGCCAGGGTAGTCATGGCGCTGCTGCTGCTGCTGCAGCGCTGTGCTCGGGTGATGGGTCAACAGAGGGTGGTCCAGCAGCGGCATCTCTGCTCGAAACCACGGTTACGCTCCCTGGCCTTCACCAAACCGCGCTGACCAGCGTGGTGAAGTATGGTCAAATAATTCCCCGTGACCCCCACGCCGCGCGGGGAGGCCCTCATCCAGCAGTGGATTGCAAAGACACAACTGCAGAGAGGGTAGAACATAGGTTGGTTCAGTGGGCTCATTGTGCACAGTGGAAATTAAAGACACAAGCCACGGTAGTGTCGTGCGTTTGTGGCCAGTCAACCCAAAGGAATGGGGCGTAGAGTAAACCCACCGTAGCCTGCGCTCCTGCAGTGGAGGAGGAATAGCTAAACAATGCAAACTCCCTCTGCCGAAGCCCTCTCACGCCCAACAGACTTCGATAGCTCCTGAGCACGTCGCTTTCGCGTTCACGAATAGCAGTGGGGTGAATGCTGCCTGAGATCCATTGGTTCGCCATGATTGTTGTTTTCACATTGCTATTGCTTAACGGAAATGGCGCTGCATCCAGTGTCCCAGTTGTATTCCCGGCGGTGCCAATATTCAATTGCATTGATCATGTTATCGGTGGCAATATTCAATTGTATTGATCATGTTACTGGCAGCAATATTCAATTGTATTGATCATGTTACCGGTTTCAATATTCAATTGTATTGATTATGATATCGGTGTCAATAATCAATTGTATTGATCATGTTATCAGTGTCAATATTCAATTGTATTGATCATGTTACCGGTGTCAATATTCAATTATATTGATCATGTTATCGGTGTCAATATACAATTGTATTGATTATGATATCAGTGGCAATATTCAATTGTATTGAACATGTTACCGGTGGCAATATTCAATTGTATTGATCACATTATTGGTGTCAATATTCAATTGTATTGAACATTGGTATCCCTTCCTGGTAGTCGCACAGCGTGTAGTGACCCAGGTGCATCTCTGGCGGTGCACTATCGGCACCTGGTCAAATCATCCTAGGTGTGGCTGGCCGAGCCGGTGTGACCCCGTCGACGGTGTGCCTGCCGACGGGGTCGCGTGGGAGAGAATTTCACGGAGATTCTTTTCGCTGAGTGGCTTTTGTTTTCTTCGCACACCAAAGGAGGGGGGGGGGGGAGCGGGGAGTTGCACCTCCCGATTAGCGTTGGTTGGCTACGTAACGATGCGAACGAAGTTCAACTCACTTGCTCGGCGACGAGGTTTTGGTGTTCGTCGCAAAGCAGTGAAACCCAACGATTAAATGCTCAGCGTTGGCATCTAGCTTGGGTTTTTTTTCCCGTAAGTGAGTTTTATGGATAAACTATTCCATCTGTAACAGTTAGTCGCCTGCCACACCTTAAAACTGAGGCACGGGCTTTGTTTTTCCCCAAGCCAAATGCCATTTGGGGCGTTTACAAACAAGCCCAACGCTGTCAGGCTTGCTTTGGTATTGTCCTTCATATCAGCGTGGTGATAATAACAACGTCAAGGTCGGTGCAAAGTTCCACGCTGGAGAACAAAAAATAATTGATGACTCCGGCTCTTATTTACCGTCGAATAAAGCGGCGGAGTCGGTGTGTGCCCGCGTCACCGCTTCCAATCTCCCACCCCACACCACGCGACACTGCCGATTGACCCTGTGGAACCTCATTTGCCAGTATGGTGCATTGTCTTTGAGTTGTGCGCCTTTTGGCGTCATCTGGTCCAACACCATGTGAGACTAGGCTCTAAGGAAAGCTGTCTTGGGTGTGGACCAATCAACTTCAAGGACAGTGCATACATTATCAGAGTTATGTTTTTTGTTTGCATTATGACTGCAGGTATTGTGGTCTATGTAAACATGACTCCTTGTAAAAAAGGTGTAATGCGCGGCGTTACAGAACAACGATCGTGCCCCATGAGGGACGCTTGGCCAATACTGACCGTGATGCTCGACCTCGTGAGCGAGGAGACCAGAGTAACCGGAGAGAGCCCAGCGTGCATATGCAGTGCGAGGGGATTGTGTGTCACTCGGCAGGACCACTCTCGGGCCACATTCACTCACATAGCCACGGCTACATAGCTATCAACCCCTTATCAGTGCCCTGCCTTATTACAGACCAATTCAGACCTTATTGGTCACCCCGTGCCCTTATAAATGTCAACGTTCATCCTACAAAGTACCATCACAAGGGAGAAACACAAACAAATAAAGAACATTTTTTTTTGCGCTTATTGAAACGACTGTACGCTGTATGGACCTCAAAACTCTATTTCCCTGTACAAGAATACTGGTTAACCGTATTGGTTGACAGCTATGCGGCTACAACACCTGGTAAGCCTCAACCATCACCCATCCACATTCTAGCCAGACTCAGCCATGCTAAGCTCGGATATTCAATGGGTTCTCTCTCACTCTATGCACAGGAGGGAAATCTTGCACCGGAAAATGCATGGACTAATGTTTGCTTCGCGTGGAGGAGACAGATGGATTGTTGTATGTATGTTGTGTACATGTATGGTGTATGTATGTTGTGTACATGTATGGTGTATGTATGTTGTGTACATGTATGGTGTATGTATGTTGTGTACATGTATGGTGTATTTATGTTGTGTACATGTATGGTGTATGTATGTTGTGTACATGTATGGTGTATGTATGTTGTGTACATGTATGGTGTATGTATGTTGTGTACATGTATGGTGTATGTATGTTGTGTACATGTATGGTGTATGTATGTTGAACTTCTTTCGCACCGTACATAGCCAACCGTGATAATTGGAGGTGCGAGGGAAGGACAACAAACTAAACACAACAAGAAGCAGTTCTAAAGAAATTAGTTTTCAATCTCGATGATGATTTAAAAGTGCACAGTTCCAGTGGCTTCCTAATATCGGAAGGAAGAGCGTTCCAGACGTCCGCAGGAGCGCATCTGAAAGCGCCGTGCGATGCGGCGACCGTCTTTGTTCGATGGTTGAGTCAAAAGCCGCTGCTGCAGCGAGGATGACCAGAGATGGCATCTAGATGACCTTCATCCAGCAGTGGATAGATCATGGAGGAGGATGATGATGATGATGGTGATGAATGTGTGTGCAGGCATGGGCACCCAGGAACACGGCTGTCTCCCAGTTGGAGGTGCCACCTGACCTGGCCATGCTGCTGCGGGTGTACGAAGGTAAGGTCCCTCATGGGTTCAAAAAGACGTGATCTCTTGTATGTGCGCATGTTGACCTTCTTTCGCACCGTACGTAGCCAACCATGCTAATCGGAGGTGCGGGGGAAGGAGTTCCCTCATGGGCTAATGAGGCCATGGTTCCTCATGGGTTAATAAAGGCATTAGCACTCGTGGGATCATAAAGGTATGGTTATTTAATGGGACAATAAAGATCACAGTGTGGTGCGGCATTCATCCATCAGTGAATTGCCAAAAGGCTTAACATTCTTTTGTCTGTAAATTATTATGATCGTTGTTACACGTCGTATAACAAGGAAACTGTGAACGCTTGATTACTTCAATGATTCAGTGAACAAACGTTCGCCCCTGTTAAGTGAAATTCCCCAAAGGGGCGGTGGGGGGTGCCTTTTTATTGTGCTTGACATTTCCTCTGATAATAATAATGACCATCAAGTCAAGTATGCGGGCTTGGGGCAGGCAGGAACACGTGGCTAGAAGGGGGCGGGGGTGGGGTGAAGGCCAACGGACGAGACCGGTGATGGAATGGCAGCCAAAGCAGGGAATGCACTTGACAGACGTTCCACCACCATGGAGACCCAGAGATGACATCAGCGCATCAGAGGCCAGAGTAGAGATGGATCGTGACATTGTGAGGGATGTTGGAAGGCGTGGAAGAGGTCTTCATCCAGCCGTGCATAGACAATGGGTGATGCTTGATGATTATTTCAAAAGCGACTGTGCTGTAACGTCATTTTTGACATTTTCACAAGAAATTACAATGACAGCATGACACAAATAATGAAAACTATTTTTACTCAGTTATTTATTAACAAGATGATGTCATTACAGCTGACGTCTTCTCATTACGTGTGATGCAATCACATTTATGAACTACATTAATAAAAAATTAACCCGTAAAAACAAAGTTTTTCACTATAAATCCTTTATATGCATGGCGGCTAAAGTCCTCTCGTCCTCTGGCTTGAGATGGCTGCCACCTATGGGTCAGATGATTGCCTGCCACCATTAAGCAATTGGTAATTAAATATAAAATAAAAATTCCTAAAAAGTGTAAAATTTTGGAAATAAATTTTCGCGAAAATGTATTGTCACGCACAATGAGTCTGTGTGGAAAATGTCAGCTCGATTGGATCACGGGAAGTGGGTTAAAAAACGACCGAAAGATTTTCACGGTCGTAAGCGCGCAAGCAAGCAAGTTAACTTAATATAAAGGATTTAATTATGAACATAAATGGATCTTCTTGGTTCTTTCGGTAAAGTCACGTAGAAGGGAAGTAATAAAATAATAAAAATAAAACATAATAAAACAATTCTCACGACGTTTCGGCCACAACGCAAGCAGCCGTCCTCAGGTGAAAACCAGGTCCGTCGAGGCGACAGAGTCTGAATGAAACAGCACACGGGCTTAGAGCATATATATAAATATATATTGGCCGAAACGTCGTGAGAATTGTTTTATTATGTTTTATTTTTATTATTTTATTACTTCCCTTCTACGTGACTTTACCGAAAGAACCAAGAAGATGAATCCCTGCAGTCACGAAAGCTTTAAATCGAAACATAAATGGAGTTTGCTCCTAGTGCCTCGAGGGCCCAGTCCTGCCTTGCCTGGTTTCACTGCCCTGGTCCTAGTGCCTCACCAGGCAATGAAATGAGAGTAACCGGGGTAGGCCAAAGTCACTTTTAATTAACATCATCATCACCATCAGTCATGAGCTATCAACTGCCTGATGAAGTAAAATACAACGTCTCCGATGTGTGTATCCTATTTAATCCATGTGTGCCTCTTTCTGTTTCAATCTAATCGCAAACGTACACCATGGGTTATATACATTCAAAAGTATGTTGGAAATAATTACAGATTGAACGTCTCATTTATTTTTTTGCTCGCTTTAATATTTAAACCTCGCCGTGTAAGTTGCCCCGTTGACAAGGCGACGCTTTTATTTAACTCGCTGTCTTGTATCCTCAAATCTTGAAACTCAATTTTAACCCACTTCTCAATGTCGTATCGACTGCAAACTTGGTATACGTATGTCATACTGATGAGCATACTATATTCTATCATTAAAAATAAAAATATCTATTTTTAAACAATCTTTTTTATATATTATGTTTCGGCTTGGGTCTAATTGTCCACGCTCAACTGACGTTGGCTGTAAATCACCACGGTCCATTATGTTATGGCAAGCCTCGGGGCCACTTCCTGGAGTCGTGGAGTTCTGCCATTGCTCGTACGGTACATTTAATTAAAGCGTGTTTAAAAAAAAAAGTATTTTAAATATTACTTATTTTGTTGTTGTCGTTGTTGCCGCAGGCAAGTACCACATGCACAGCGACAAGGTCAGGCTCATGTCGCCACCTCCCATGAGGGACACCCGGGTCTACGACCTCCCCCGTGACATCAACAGCCACCCCTTCTCCAAATTCTCGAAGGGCGCCTTCAAGGTGAGCCAGTGGAGCCCCCCCCTCACCCTGCGCTACAGTCACAGAGTAGTCCTCCTCCTTCCCAGTCCGCTGTTCATGTCACCGACCAAAAGCGTGGCACCCGTAGAAGGCACCTTGGTCACGTCAATGATTAACGTCGGTGTTTGTTCGATGGTGGGTGGGGTCCCCGTTGCCTTGTGGGACACGGCAGTGTCGCGGTTAGCTGTGAACCCGGCGGCCCGAGTTCAATTCCCGCTCACGGCCAACACCAGGTGACGATTATCTGAACTGGTCCTGGGCCTCCCCTAGGTAGACTCAGCCTTAAATGAGTACCTGGTGCGGTGTGTAGTAAACATTGCCACTGGGGAGACAAAGGCGGCCGTGTTCGGAGCTGGCCACCCACCCCCTTGTGGATCGCCCCTGCCTTCATAGGTGCTACTCGCTCGCAGCACTTGCCCCAAAAGTCTGTTCAGGGTACATCAGGGTACTTCGTTGCGTTGGTCCCTTGTAGAACAGGTCATAGCAGGCCAGCCACAATATAAGTGTTGCAAAAATTAACGTGAGTCCACTGCCTACCACCAAATCACACTAATTGCGCATTATCTCGTTGGATCTCACGTTTGTGGTTTTTTATCGAGTTTTCTGGTTTCCTTCCATATCAGGTCAAACACTCATCAATATGACACCCAAACATCCCAATGCAGGACCCTCCTGAAAACAAGAGTTGAGACTCAGTGAGGCCTTCCTGGATACACAATTGGCATTGTAATTGACGTTGCCCGTCAGGCCAATCACACGGAATGTGCCCGATGCTCGTCAGATCTCACAAGCTAAGCAGTGTGGGGCAATCCCGCCTCACACAGACAGATTGCCATCGGCCGCTCCAGGGCTACGTGTTGGGCTGTAGAAATCCCCATCGTTCTGGACATCTATGCTTCCATGTCTGCGGTCCCACGCCTTGGCCAGCCCGCGCTGACGAGCGGCGGGTGAAGCACGGCAAAGTAATCCTCACGACCCACGCGGCGGTGTGCGGAGACCCTCATCACGCAGTGGATTGACGAAAGGGGCTGTACGTGTACGTAATTGGCGTTCATGAGGCGATCCACATATACAAACACAGAGACAATTTCAACCGAGAAGATGGATTCTGGCTCAGCAATCATTGGAAGGACGTAATAAACCATTTCGGATCTTAACTGATTGTTGTTCATGTTTACGGTGACTTTCAGACCGCAGTCCACTCACTGGCATTGACTGTGTATCTTGTGTTCTCCACAGGGAATGCATTATTTGCTCCGCTGTGGGTTTCCTGCCACCGTTCTCCCATTCACATGTTTCATTGCTTCTACATACTATTAACATTCCTTCCCTTTGTTAATGCTACCCCCTGCCCCCTCCCTTTGGTGCTGCTGATCCTGCATAATGCATGGGCATAATGACTTTGAAACCCCCCCGCCCACCTCCTACGCATTTTCCATGAATATGCTAAATTCCTCTTGATATGCACATTCTTTTGTTAAGGCGCTCTTTCTTCCACCTCCAACTCAGCTTATATATAAGCTCCTAGCTTGGCAGTGTCTCATTCTTCACCTGAAGACGGCTGCTTGCGTTGTAGCCGAAACGTCGTGAGAATTATTTTATTATGTTTTATTTTTATTATTTTATTACTTCCCTTCTACGTGACTGTACCGAAAAAACCAAGAAGAGTAATTGGCGTTCGCGACGTATGGTGAGATGCTCTCGGCCTGCGCACGGCCAGGGGATGCCCTCAAGACGTCACCTCAGGTTGTACCCCCCTCCCCCGCCCTCCCAATCGTTGTGCTTGTTGCTCGCAGAACGGATGCTTCGGCTACCTTGGACCTCCGGTGGAGTCGACTCTCACCAAGGTCATCACAGAGGAGGAGCAGATGGAAGCCATATCCATCTTCAAGCTGGTGAGCTCACGCCGCGAGGTGACATGACGCCGTTTGTGCGGATGTTGTTTGCGATTGGCTCAACGTCAAGCCTGCAGTCCAATGCCTCGGTAAAGGGGAAGGAGATGTCCTTTATGAAAGTGAGGCCCAATCCAAGAGACTTATCGCAGTAAATGCCATACTATAAGTTGATTTAAAAAAATTTAAAGCATTCCCCAAAGCCGTTTATGTGCAATTAAAAACAAATCAGATTTTTCTGACCCCCCGTGCTGCTTGCTAACAATGTGACGAGTCGTAACATTGGTCACCTCTGCCAAAATCCTTGTTGAATTTATTTTTTCAGCAAATGCTTTCACGCGTGACTGTAAAAAACAGTTAGAGCTTGGTGTCACGTGATTGGGTGCGCGTGCTGGTCGTGCCCAGCTTTGATTACTATATTTAAATGCGACTTGATTTATGCTCGTTTCAGAGGAGAGCGTGTCAATTCTTGAGTCGTTAAACATTTTTGGGAAGTCGGCAGCTTTTCTGAACTCCAGTCCTCCGTCCACTTCCTCCCACCGTCCACCTTTTTGCGATTACCAATCTTTTCAATTGGTGCGCAACATGGGGCTTCTGCCACTGCCCACGCACTTGACGGTCGATAGTTGCGTAAGGCCGGACCGTGGACCGGGTTACGAGGACCGGAGTTTAGAGACCCCGCTCTAAGTGTAGCCACGTAGGCTTTCGCGACCGATCTCTTACGACTTACAATTGATTCTTGGGTCAGATTGCGTCCGTAAAATGTGTGTCGTAAACAACGTTCCCTCCTCCTCCACCCGATGCAGCCAATCAACAACGTTACGGGAGCTACGTGCCAGTTCATTTCCTGCTTTGGCACTCCGTTGTTTTGGAGCGCAATCCACAACGTTTTAACAATTGGGTACAAGGGACGTTTCACTGGCATCATCAGGGTCGGTTTACACATTTGAGACTCTACAGGACTGTTCCGAGCAAAAACTATATCAGTGTTAACCGTTAACGTTGTTTGAGGTTCGTACGGTAATACTGTACTGTGATTATCAAGGTGCTAATGCTTTCTGTGTGAAGCTGGCATGCGTTTCCTCTATTGATTTTAAGCGCTTTGTTCAGATGTTCAGAGTTTATTTGAGGTGACCGTGTGGCTCAGAGGTCCAAGCGCTGAGCTGGCATCGCTGCTGAGATCCTGGGTTCAGATTGAGGCAGCCGCCTGGATAAAACTGGGTTCTCAAGGGCAGCGAGTTGTTGTGCTCACCAATAACTGCACACAATGAACCATCTCAGAAAGTTTCGTTCTGCACTTAATTTAATGATATGCCAGTCCTGAGAATGAACAGAGTATGGTTTGAGTCATGATATAGGTTTGTTTAGGCTAGATCGCGTAAATATAAATGCGTCATTAAACCCGCCACCAGCCGACACAGCCAATTAGTAAGGGTTGTCACGTAAACAGAACGTGCCAATTCGTTACTAGAACAGCACACCGGTTGTGTGTTGGAGAGCAAATCCACAACATTTACAATCTGAGCACGATGTTTCTCCAGTAATTACAACCAGCTTCATCAGGCGACAGCCAGATTTGAAATTGGTCGGGAAAGCCTACGTGTTCAATTGGTGTGACTACCATGCAATGATCATTATTCCCATGTGACAGGGCGTTTGATAAAGTGCTCTCCCCCAATGGCGGAGCCAGGATTTTCAGGTAGGGGGGAAACCCCTCCAGAAATGAAAAATGATAGGAATTGTTAGTAAGTAAGGACTTGTCCCTTGCTTTTTATTCGGCGCGTGTGCGGTGATGGCACAGCCATCGATTAAGGGTCGAATTCGAACCGCGTTGTGTGATCGGCATCGCGCTCACTGAAGGTGTTGATGCATTCAGGGAAGTCGTGTACTGCATACGCAACTGCGCACAATTCTGTGAGTCACTTTTAACTGCTTTCCCGTTACTTATTGCCAATTATGGACTCGGACTATTGTCCTATCATCTCATAGAGTCCATGGCACGTCATAACATGCTACACAGTGGCAGTGGGGGTCGCAAAATGCCGATCTATTACTAATAAACCCCAATGATCCGATCGAAATTAGGGATATCGATCGGATCATTGGAGGGGCACGTGCCACCCCACCCCCCCCCCCCCCCCCACTGGCTCCACCAGTGCTCTCCCCTACTGTATGGGACAGAGATCACTTGAAGTAATTTTTAGAGGTAGTTCTGTGATATCCGCTTGCGTGGGAAGTTCTCGAACACGGACGCTCCGTGTCCTCTGAGATTCGCGTCAGGGTGATTTTGTCGTAACTGACGCACAGTTGTCTCGGCGCTGAAATGTCGACCGCCATTCCCATCCTGACAATTGGCCTCGTCCCGCTCCGCAGGTGATGCGCTTCATGGCGGACAGCACCATGAGCCCCATGCAGGAGTTCCTGCTGGGCAGCTACGTGGTGCAGCGCGCCATCAACATCCCCGGCCTGCGGCAGGAGGTGTTGTGCCAGCTCGCCAACCAGACGTGGCAGAACCCGGACCCGGCGAGCGCGCGCCGGGGCTGGCTGCTGCTCGCGAATTGCCTCGGCTGCTTCGCCGTGCCGCCCATTCTGCGACCGTACCTGCTCAAGTGAGGCCCCACCCCACCCAGTGCCAAGGGCTCGTGGTGGGCTCTATGATCAGGGGTGGGTAACGTCGCCACCTGTCCTGGTTTTTCACACGGTCGACCTCTTGTTGAGCGAGCCGCTGTCGTGGGAGATCTGTAAGTCTTCCCCGGGACATTTAAAGTGCCTCTGTATTTGTCAGTTAATTGACGATGCTCTGTGAGAGATAATGCATTGCGGTGGACCGTCTTCTGATATCGCGAGATATTCTTGTCCTCGTGATATGACCTGGTCCTTTCGTTGTTTTATCTTAGAGGTGGCAACTCTCATGGTGGGAAACCTACGGCCCATGGTGTCGTATCCGCCCCTCAACTTCTTTAGTGCGTCTGGCGGCCATGTGAGGCCTCGCACTTCAAAAGGGGGCCCTCAATCGACGCACTTGCACGTGACCGCAAGCACCTTAGCCACCCTAACTGGGTACTAGAGTGGAGGATTTTCGACCTGCACAATACTGTATTTGCACTTTTATATAGCCAACTTCAAGGAAGTTTTTTATCGTTAGGAATGAGTTGGTTCAAAGTTATTTCAACAATCTGGTTTATTGTATGACTCGGCTGATAGGGTGTTGATCAACTCGCGGCGAGCTCAATCGTCGCTCGTGTTTCATTATTTCTTTATTTCACTTGGGGGCGGCGACGCGGGCCCTGCGGCGTCGTGTTCACAGCTTGGTCGCAGAAGTTCGCGGTTCGATTCCAGCGGCCGCCCCGATTTAATAGGCCGGGTGCGTGAACCGTAAAATATGCGTGCCATCCGCATCACAGTGGCGTCGTTCCCAACAATAGACCACCGTGGGCTGGTGGTCCAAAATTCCCAATGTCAAAAATGACCAACTTTTTAAAAATGACCCACAATTGGAATATATTTAGAAATCATCGCCCCCCACTACCCCACTTCTGTGAAAACCTGGAAAAGAGTCGGGAGACTCGGTGAGGCTTTCCTGGGTACATGAGCGTCTATTAAATAAGAACATAAAATTAAGGCTGAACTTGCTTTACGTTACCGGTTTCATAACATATCGGGCAATGTCTCTATTTTATAACTTGGGAAGCTAATGAATGCGAAGGAATGGTACCGTGCAGTTGTTGCGCACTTACAAATGTTCGACCCGACTTCTGTGGCACCTCATGTTTATGATCTCGCGGATGAGGAGAGTTAAAGATTCACAGAGGTATACCGACAACGAGACACAGCGCCATGAAAGATGGTCCAAATTTGCATATTAATAGCGAGGGAGTGCTTTCAGTGAAATACAACAATAACATCGTACCTCAAGAGGAACGTTTTCAATCAGTGCATATGACCTATTGAAATGGAAATTGGGCCCAGGAATGCATTGCTAAGCATATTATGCTAATCGTGGTAGTGTTGACTTCCGTATAGCAGTTCTACCCAGAATGCAGTGTGCCAGCGACATTTTATAATTCTACTTTGAATACCAATTAGTTGATGGAGGAATATTTGTCTGTTACTCAATGGCCACTAATTAAATACCCATCATGCCCCATGGTGTAAAGCACCGTGTCAAATTCACTCAGTCTCTCGGACCTCTCTAGTTATGCGCTATGAAGAAGGGCCATTGCTTGAGCCGTTGCCTATTATACATTTTCTTTCAAGGTCACAGTGCTGTTGACAAATGTGTTGAGGTTGCACGATGACTTCGGGATTATGAACATGGGCGCTGACAAAGAAAATTAGGGGGAAATAAAATGTGATGAGCGCACAAAGAAGCGCGGAGAGATGCGCGCTCGGAATGGTAGAAAGAAGACGCATTAATCAGGGAATAAATGCAAACGAGAGACATTGTTATTGACCGACTGTCGCCTCTATCAGCACCAGTTGGTAAATCTCACATTCGCGATCATATTTAGAGTTGCGCTCGCTTCAGTACTTCAACCATTCCAATGGCCCTGCTACAGTGTAGGCAAGGGGACCCCCAGCAGCAGCTGTCCCTATACGGCACGAGGATGTGCACAGCACTGGCCTACAGAACGGACCGTTGTCCTGTCGAATGACGCCACGGGATCTTTTTAACGTCCGCCTGGAAGCGGCGATGGTGGTCCCCGTGGGTACCGGGTGTGCGTTCGCGAATTCACGGTCGCCCACCCAACCCCCCCCGCTCACGCCTCGCTATACGCGCGCGCCGCACAGGTACGTGTCGGACCACGCGATGAACGGCTTCAAGTCCCTGTGCCAGCGCAAGCTGATCCAGGGGGCGTCCGAGGCCGTCAGGGACCCCGAGACTTCACGCCAGTTCCCCTCCACCTTCCTCGAGTGGACGGCGAACCAGCGCTGCGCCCGCACCACCGTCAGCGTCCACTCCTTTGACGGTACGGCCGGCGGCACAGATTCTGGCAGCGGGGGTGGGGGGTTGGGGGGAACCAAACAAAACAACAACCGCAAACTAGCTCTCTCGCTCTCTCCGTTTTGCTTCCGATGTTGCGGAGGCACGAGGCACGTATGCGTGCGTGTTGAACTTCCTTCGCGCGCCGTACGTAGCCGACCCTGCTTATCGGAGGTGCGGGGGGACGGGCGACAAACTACGCAAAAAAAATGGTGAAAAAGAAAGGAGTTTTCAACTTAGATTTAAAAGTGCATAGCTCCAGTGGCTTCCTAATATCGCAAGGAAGATGTGTTCCAGACGGCCGCGGAGGCGCATCTGAAAACGCGTGACGCGGCGACCGTCTTCGTTCGATTGTTGAGCCAAAAGCTGCTGCTGCTGCTGCTGCTGCGACAATGAAGTGGAGTTCGCATGGTTGATGGTTTATGCTCCTTAACGAGATCAGAGGAGGGAGCAGAAACCATCACGCAAACTCCGGGCGCTTGTGTTGGCTCGCGAACACAAGTGTCGCCCATAACCAAGTGGGAGAAAAACGGCCGAGTAACTTGACAGATGCAGTGACCGTATTTGTTCGATGGTTATCCAAAAGCTGGCGTGTGCGGCAGCTTGCTTTTTTTCGCGAGAAGGTTGTTGAATCTTATTGTCGAGTTGCAGCTTCCATCCCACGCCCACGCAGAGGTTGTCAGCCTGTCGCGGACTGTGCCACCATGTGGCTTGCCGATGTTGTTTTCCGTGTGCGTGTCACGTGTCGTTTGGCACGGTGCCCGATGTTTTCGCATCACGTGCTGGGATCAGTAGCAGCAGCCGCAGAAGCCGTCCACTTTAGTTCGTCTAGGGGTGAATACGATCTGCTCCATTCATTCTCCAAAGGAGCTGCCAGCACGTGGAGCGAAACGTCGGACAACGTGCAGTACAACCCCCCAGAAGACGTGTCGAAAAGTTGTTGCAACAGGACTAACGAAAACCAACTCAGTAGATGAAGGTGTTTGTCGAACTGATATTTGTTTGCTACCAAAGCAAAACAGCTGTGAGGTGGCCAGGAGATGGCTGTACAGCATTGGATTCTTGAATCCATGTGTGCAAAGCTTTGAGTGTTACCTTATGGTATGCACGGACAATCATGACTAAGTGACTGATGGACATTTTTACAATGTCCGATAATGGTTAGAAAGCTGAAATTTGGCAAAAAAAATACATTTCAGTCTACGATCATAGCTAAATAAACCCCAAAAGTAATGTTTGTACCCGAAGAAGATACAGCTGACAGTATCCGTGTCCTGTGCGTGTGACCGTGGCGGTGTTAAACTACAGTCGCACACACAGTGTCACATTGCAGCTTGGAATGTTCATTGGTTTCATTTATAGGGCAGCTTCAACCTAAAATTTTACGCTGCTTTAAATCTCATGCTAACCGTTGCCGTGTGGATCAGAGGTCACACTTTAGGGAATCTCAAGAGGTAGCTCTTCGATATCCACTTCCGCGAGCCATTCTCTGAGAATGCACGCGGTTGCTCTGCTCTGCTCTGTATTCTGCAATGGATCCTTCACGTCTGTGACCTGATGCCAATAGCACATGTGTAACAGAAATAATTGAAGACTAAAAACTAAAATACACTTGCAGCAAAAAATTATGTCACTTCCAGTGTTCACACACACACACGCGCGCGCCTATAAAGTTAGAGTTTACAAACGGGAATGTGCGTTTATGAATAGTGTACAGTACAAGCTTATATATTAACAAGCATCTGATAGGGCACTGTTGGCAGAGGTAATAATTGGGTGCAAAGGTTGGCAATACTTGCGCTATAAACAGAGCTAACTTTAGCGTCGTAGTATACTCAGGGCGTGGAGCATTCTTGATGCGATTTTAGTCCCAGCGTCATTGTCGTCACCACCGTCAGTTGCTTCATATCAACCATTTAGACCCACTTCCTCGCCCACTGGGCTCCATTCCAGTGAAGAATTCAGAATTGTTGATCCACACGACAATTTGGAAATATTTTGGGTCCTGACAAATGAACCACATATTCACTCATGAAGTTCGTCGTCGCTCCGGGCAACTATCGTTCTCTTCATCGGCCACGTCACTCGAGACAACCACCACCGTAATCATTATTCTGTACAACCATCATCACCATTTCATGATCATCATTATCATAGTGGACAACCACCACCATCATTATCACTCCATTATCCACGATTCCACATTCCCATGCCAGGGGTGAGTTTAACCATAGGACAACCACTATTGAAGTCTCCACAAAGCGGCGCTAATTTGATCAATCCCAGTGGGGGGGGGGGGGGGGGGGGGGGGGGGGGGATCATGGGCTGAGACAACCCCCAGCCAGGATTTAAACTTTAGCGACCTTCCGACTGCTGAGCAACCTGACCCGGAGCGTACACACGGCAAGCAGCCCACCAGCGGTGCTTTGCAGTGGCTCATTCCTACATCGTAGATGTGAGATCAAGACGCAGCCCTGCTATGTGCCCACTCACTCCGGTGTTGGCAGAAAGGCTCCTACGAGAAGGAGCTCTCTCTCTCTCGAGCTCCTCTCTCGAGGGTATAATGCCAGGCTCTATTGGCACGGCCCATTCGTATTTGTTTTGATTGCCATGGTTCGTAAGACGAAGGATCCATTCGGAACTCTTTCACAGCGCTTTCTTGGCGAAATCTGGCTTCGAGAGGTTGCAAGTGTGCAATCTGTGCTTGAATGTAACGTAAGAATATATTCCAGCCATCCGCAATCAATTCACCGATGGACGTAGGCCTAACCCAACACCGTGTCGGTGGCGATTGTTTAACAACCATACTTCACTATATTGGTCAGTGCGGGCTGGTGAAAGGGGTGAGGTGGGGCTGGAAATCGGTTTTGACATCAATTGCTGCCCGGTGTCAGCCGCGGCCAGGAATTAAACCCGGGTCGCCGGGATCACGGCGCGGCGTCGGCTAAACCACCACCGCACCTCCTCCTCCCCCTGCGTTCCGAACGCAACGCGGTCGACAGAGCGTCGTCGGGTTGAGGAGGGGCCCCCTTCAGCCGACCCGTTAGCCCTGAAACCACCTGCCACCGATGGCCGAAGCCCACGCACGCGGTTTGAAAATTGGCGCTGGAATGTGCGTGTGTGTGTGTGTGTGTGCGTGTGTGCGTGTGTGCGTGCGTGCGTGTGTGTGTGTGTGCGGGGAGCGGTAGCGCAACGCTCTGTGCGCTGCGCTTCGTATCCGGCAACCCGAATGCAATTCCCGCTCACGGCCAACACCGGTGACGATTTTCTGAACCGGTCCTGGGCCTCCCCTCAGTTGACTAGCCCTCAAATGAGCACCTGGTGCCGTGTGTAAACATCGCCACTGGGGAGACAAAGGCGGACGAGCGTGATGCTGGCCACCCACCCCCTCGTGTGCCGTGCCGGCCTTCATAGGTGCTCGCTAACGGCACTTGCCCCAACAGTCTGTTAAGGCTATAGGGGGGATCTTTGTTTTTGTTTGATCTTTGTCGTCTTTGTTCAGGAAACGTGGCATCCGTGGGGCTGGACTCGTGGACCACGGGGGAGAAGCTGGGGGAGCAGGTCCTCCGCCAGAGGTCTGTGGATCGAGAAGGCCCCGTGCCGTCAAGCTTTCGTCGCGAGAGACTAAACGATGATTTTAGTGTGTATTGTACAGTCTTTTGCGTCAAATTAGGTAGGATCGCTTGTCTAACGGAGAGACGGGGATCATTGCCTGTGAACGTGTGGAAATTCACCAGCGTTGATTGGTTCAAGCGAGTCTGACACTTCTGATATGACGACATAAAATGCGCACGTCCTGCGTTGCATGCAACGTATAGTCGAATTTATAAACATGGAATATTTATTGCACGAGAGCTACTTCTGTAGTTCCTGCTGAACTACCGCTCATCTGACATGATTCACTGATTAGAATTAGGTAAGGTCCAAACTTTATTGGGACTTCCAAGAGCCTCCTCTTGGTGATCAACGTTGGGATGCTGCTGCTGCTGCTGCTGCTTCTGCTGCTGCTACAACGGTTATCACACTGGACTTGCAATGCAGAGGTCACCGGTTCATTCGCCTGGCACGGCAGGTTTCTTAAATCCTCCCTCCTCCATCACCCAGTAGTACGAATGGGAATGCCACAGTCAGTCAACTGGCAGGCCTCATGTGGTAGGGTAAAGTGTGGGTACAATTATTTTTTAGTCCAAGATGTTTAACCGCGGTGGACAAGTAGGCCAAAGTGTGTTCTCCAGAGGGTGGCTGTGTAGAGCTCCTTCCAGTGGAGGCTCTTCTGCCAGCGGTGGCGTGAACGAGCCATTGCAGGGCTGCCCCTTTACCTACACATCTGCTGTCGTTGTTCGCCGGGTGAATCGGCGTAGAAGTGCAGTCAACGTCACGACGTCAGTCGGCGGTGTGATAATAATAATTTCACTTTATACAACAGCGTCATTCATGCCCAACAGTGTCCCGCAACGCTGTACATTAATAAAATGCAAAGAAGCCCCAACGCACACACACACACGTACATACCAAGCAAGTGAAAATCCTACGACAACCAAGTAGAATCGAAAGATTAATAAACAAATTAATAACGGCACCAAAACAAACAGCGCAAACAATACGAAAGTAGAATTGCCGCCACAGGCAAGAAGTGATTGAACGAACGAGCGCTTTCCGGCGACAAATCAACCCCAATCGGTCTCAGGTTTGTTCACCAATCATGAGCGTTATTCGGTCATCATTTTGTCGTTTTTTTTGCACCTGTGAATGCCCATAACCTTGGACGTGAAGTGCGCCAAATGAAATCAATGTCCTCCAACCCCCTCCTTCCTCCTGGACGGTCGCGGGGGTCTACAGGGGCGTCTCGGAAGGCTGCCACGGCTGGACAATAGCGATGCACGACGCGGGCGCGGGCCCCTGCGAGCTCGCGGGCCACGACTACGTCCTGGACCTGCTGGGCGACGTGGAGCTGCCGCAGACTTTCCGCAAGCCGCCCTCCTTCTTCCTCCACTCCGCCAGCGGATCCGGACTGGGCTCCGGATCGCCCACACCGCACGGCGGGGGCGGTGGCGGCGCCTTCGCGGGCGCCGGGAGCTCGCACATCAGCCCGCAGCCTCCGCCGCCTCCGCCTCCTCCCCCTCCGCTCCCCCACCAGCTGAGCAGCAGCAGCAGCAGCCCGTGGGTGCCCGACCGTTGCGCGTAACACTCGTTGACAATTTGACGCGTAGGAGGCTTTCGCGACCACTATCATCCATGACATAAGTTTTTTTCGGTGTTAGACCGCGTTAATATAAATGTGTCGTTAAGCCCGCCGCCACCCGACAGCCAACTTGTAAGGTTTGTCACGTAAACAGAACGTGCCAATTCGTTACTAGTACAGCACTAACCGGTGTGTTGGAGAGCAAATCCACAAGGTTGTGCTCAGATGGTAAATGTTGTGGATTCACTCTCCAACACACCGGTTAATGCTGTACTAGTAACAAATTGGCATGTTCTGTTTACGCGACAAACCTTACTAATTGGCCGTGTCGGGTGGTGGAGGGTTTAATGACACATTTATATTTACGCGATCTAACCCAAAAAAACCTGTATTATGGACTTGTTGACAACAACGACGACGACGACGATGACGACTGACCTTATGTCGCAGGGAGATTTACACGACGCCTTATTGCAAGACGCTTTGCAACGATGATACATTTGTGCATAAGATGACAGTGGTTGAAGTAAAGAATGGGGTAAGTAAAAAAAATCCGGGACATCGTTGCCATGCCATGACATCATCGACATCCCCATGACGTCGTCGTCGCCGCGTCGTTGGCAGGATGACGACGGGAGGAGGCAGCTACGTGGAGTTCATCCCGCCGCCCCCAGGATCGTTCGCTCCCTCGCTGCCCCCTCGCTCCAACTACCCACCCGCGATGAGTGGCTTCGACCAGCGGGGATACCAACCACCAGGTGACCCCGTGACTGCTCAACAGCCCCCTCCACCATTTGAATTTCCGCGAGATTTGCAGCGCAAGGTCCACAACAATCGCATCGTGGGACCTTTATTGCCGGTATCAAAGTATACGAATAGGTGTTACTCTTTCTGGCGATAAAACAGTTGGGTTGAGATGTTCAAATGCCAAAAACGAATCGTGTCTGTGTAGTGAGTTCAACTGAGTTGCAGACGTACTCTTTGGAGGCAACACATTTATTAACACCAACACTCGGGTTAACAGAATAAGAACCTATGGTGGTGACCACCAGGCTAACTATGCTAATTACACTTAACTAGCTTCAACGGACCAGACCACAGCTTGGGTCTGGATCCCCGTGTTGGTGACTCTGTAGGACATAGAACGTAGATTCTTCAGGATGAACAACAGCACACCCTATCCTGTAGGGGTCGGCACTGCACGCAGAGCGTGGTGCCATCCAGCACTGTCAGTCAGTGCTCACCGAGCCCCTCTAGGGCCGATACTGCATCCACATACGCGTGGTGCCCGTGATGTCAATACACCGCATGCCGTGCCTCTCTAGGGCCGACATTGCACAGTGACATCCACGTGTCTCTGCCGCGCCTCGCGTCACTGGAGGCTTCACCAAGACGTCTCCTCCCCGTGTCGTTTTTTGTTGTTGTCACCATCGCAGCACCGTTCAACGGTCGGGGCGAGGGGTATTCCGAGCACGAAATCAACCATTATGTGGACACGCTCTTCGACCCGCTCATGAGCCACGGGGTAAGGCCATCTGTAACTCTTTCCCCGGTCCGAGACGTCTGCAAGTTGCAGGATGGAGGGGGGATTGTGCCGCTCGCCGCCGAATCTCATTTTATTTAGGGCAGCGCAGCGCCGCTGTTTTTAAAGACACTGTTACTCACCGCAGAGAACAGTAGCCGCACGGGCGCTACGATAGCTGGCGTGCCAAACTGTGCCACGCGCCCTCCCGTGTGGCCTCGCGGGAGCCTCGCTGCCGATGAAGTTTTGTTTAAGTTTTTTTTCCGTTTTCCGTTCCGATGACGTACGTGTACGTACACGTACGTACACGTACGTACACGTACGTCATCGAGAAACGGAATCGGAATGGGGAGGAGGCCAACACGTGTGCACAGCTGACGATTCAAGCACCAATGCTGTATCAGCGCCGAGGCTCCCATAAATGGTCGCCGTTGATCTGACTCGAGTTGGCACGACGGGCGCTCGATGGCGATGAACGCGCTCCCGTTTTCGCGGTCGCCGTGCAATCCTCACACGTGGGGCGGCCCTTATCAGCGTCAGGTCACGTGCCGATAGGCCCCACACACCATCGCGGTGGATGTGGTGCAATGGATGTGTTTGCTCAGCACACTCCGAGTACCCCAGCTACATTCGTCAAACAGAGCTCGCTAACGAAGCTGTGACACAGATAGGAGAGAGACCTTTTGCCTGGAACGTAGTTTTTTGTGCACGCCCATTGAAAGCTTTGCCGTGGCTTTCAATGGCGCAGAGCTTGCTTGATAAGGGATCGATGGATGCTGGTAGATTTAGATTGCTGTACAAACGTTTATGCAACGGTTTATTACACTTGAAGTGGCCTTCAGCAATGTTATTCTTTCAGACGATTAATGATGCGACGTGAACATACGGAGGTGGTGGGGCGGCCGGGTGCCTTGGACGTCAAAGCGCTGAGAGAGCCAGTATCGCAGAGACACGGGGCTCGAATCCTGGTTTCAGCCACTGGTGATCAAACTGGATCCCATCATATCGTGAGATGATAGCCTCAGCCATGGCGACAAATAGCTGCGCAAATATCATCTCATTATGTCTACCATTGCGCTTGACGTGGATTAAAAAACACTTCAGTTTGAGTGATATGGAACAAACATCGTTGCTAGCCAATAACTGATCAAACCTTGTTCCATTGGAGCACACTAATCTTCGCGTGCTTTGAGCTTTGCCTGATTGACCGATGGTCACTTTACACGATGGCTTTACCGACTCATCGATCGATCAAAGTCTTTTTCCTGCTGGGGGAGAGCCGTACTGAAGCTCGCGCGGTTACTTGCAGGAGACCCCGGGCCACCTGTCCAACCGGCTCAAGGGAGGTGGCGGCATGTGGAACGGCAACCAGGTCAACCAAAACCAGATGCCCAACGCCAGTGAGTGAAGCCCCATCGCACGCATTCCTGTGGGGTCACGGCAGTGGGTGACTGACACCGCCCACTCGCCCCGTCGCACTCGCCGTGTGCGGATGGTCACGTTGATTGAGTGACTTAGTGAGTGGGTGAGTGAGTGTCGTGTCCGTCACACCCACTGTGTGTGTGTGTGTGGAGTCACGTGGGTGGGTGAGTGACACTTCCCATAGAACACACACGGTGTGTTTGGGATCACGTGAGTGAGTGAGTGACTGACACTTCCCACACACCCACTGTGTGTGTGGGGTCATGAGAGTGGGTGAGTGAGCGAGCGACACCCATTTCCCACACACCACGTGTGTGTGTTGGACCAAGTATGCGAGTGAGTTGCACCCCCCATCACATGGCACTGTGTGTGTGCGTGGATTCACTTGACTGAGTGAGTGAGTTGGTGAGTGAGTGACCACCCCCCCCCCCCCATCACCGCCGCGGTGTCGGTAGCTGGTGACGACCGGGACCGTTATGAGAATGTCACCGCTGATGAATGTTTCAGTCAGAGATGTGATGACGGATGGGTGAAAGAGTAAATTTAAAGCAGCGAGGGTAACACGACAGTCTTTGTAATCACAGGCATTACAAATCGTGTAAATGTGCACAAATTTTATGCAGTTTTTACCATGTACGTGCCGATCTAAATGTTGCCTTACAAGTGCACCGTGCTAAAATAAACCCACCGACCTGAGTTCGACTCCCAGCCACGGCTGGAATTATTGGCGACGAATATCAGAACCGTTTCTGGAGTCCAGCCCTGTCGCTCTTTACCAACCCATATTGACCGGTGTGGTGAGGTATGGTCAACTGGACCCCACGTGACTGACGGAGCATGAGAAGACCTTCATCTAGCAGTGGTGTCCTGACGAAGGGCTGTAAATTATTGTTATTTTTTTTATCATATATGCTGCATTTATTTACTTCATTGCATCCCTGTCGCCACTCGAGGCAATATCACATACGTGTGTACGTTGAATTTCTTTCGCCACGTACATAGCCAACCGTGCGAATCGGAGGTGCGGGGGAAGGACAACCATTCATCACAACGGGGAACAACAAAAGAACACAAATTGAATTTTAATCTTGATTTTAAGCTTTTAATTGCAGACCCTGAATTGCGACAATTCATCGAATCGTGCGTGGATGGTTCGACCCATTGTGGTGAAGGTGCTGACGGAGTTAACGCTTCAAGAGGAAGGAAGGAATAACATTAGGAGCAGGCGCATGTGTCTGCGTGTTGATGCCCGTGTTGATGATGCCTGTTGTCTCTGAACAGTGGGGATGCCCATGATGCCAATGATGCCCAACATGGTTCAAGGCATGCAACCCATGGCTCCCATGGGTGGCATGGGTGGCATGGCACCCATGGGCATGCAAGTCAACGCAATGCCAGGTGCGTTCTGGCTCCTGCACAAGAGACCATTTTCGTTGCTCCTTCTCCTTCGGATGCCACCCTGTTGTTAATCTCGGCTCTCGGCCATCATCCGTGCTGGCCATGACGTGCCCTGCCCCAGCACCACTTACTTATCCTATCAGTCAATGTGATGTCTATAATTTGTGTCTATTCTCCAATCTCTGTGTCTCTTTTCCTGTCAATAAGTGTCATCCAAGGACCGCATCTCTCCCCGCTTCTTTGCGCACTTTCCGCGTCTTTTCCGTTTAATTTCCTTTGCTCAACGTCCACGATTTGCGATCCCCACGTCAGAGCGGGTAATACGCGCTCGTTAATCGATGCAAATTATTTGAACGACAACAACAGCCAAAAATACGCTGCAATTAAAAAATTAAGCGCATGTCTCACTGCCCTTCGACACCACGACCTTCGACACCACGACCTTCTACACCACGACCTTCGACACCACGACCTTCTACGCCACGACCTTCTACGCCACGACCTTCGACACCACGACCTTCTACGCCACGACCTTCTACGCCACGACCTTCTATGCCACGACCTTCTACGTCACGACCTTCGACACCACGACCTTCTACACCACGACCTTCTACACCACGACCTTCGACACCACGACCTTCGACACCACGACCTTCGACACCACGACCTTCGACACCACGACCTTCTACACCACGACCTTCTACACCACGAACTTCTACACCACGACCTTCGACACCACGACCTTTTACACCACGACCTTCTACATCACGACCTTCGACACCACAACCTTCTACACCACGACCTATAACGCTCCGTGAGAGCCACACCGATGTCTTGTTCTCGTCTCCAGGAGTGATGGACCCCATGATGGCACAACAGGCCCTCATCAACCAGCAAGCCATGATGCTGGTGAGCTCAGCGTCACTCGGCACACTCCCCGACTCGATCAGCACGGTTGGCTACGTACGCTGCGAAAGAAGTTCAACGTACCGTACATACTCTCCAGCAGCAGCGGCGTTGCTCTGTATGGGTCATCGGGTATCTAGCTGGCAAACATCCTGGTTCAGCCGGGAGAGTCCCCCGGTATCAACAAGGCTGTCCCGGTGCTTTGAATCACGTGCGAAATTTGTGATTCTCTCTCCGGTTCAACATTTTTCTGACCTTGTACTCAACTGACAACCCGGCAAAGGGCGGGGCTACTCGAGTGGTGGGCGGGGCTGAGAGAGGGGGGTGGGTGGAGCCTATTAGCAGTAGGCGGAGCCAAGGTCAGGCAGAGGGGAGTGACTGACTGAATGGGGGTGTGGGGAGCGGTGGTGTAGCGGTTAGCGCACTGCGCTACTAAGGGGCCGTTCATAAATGACGTCACGCACCTGGGGGTGGGGGGGGGTCAGACATTTGTGACGATGTGTGACGAGGGGGGGGGTTTGATAAATGTGACGTCACATAAAAATGTGCAACTTTAAATAAATATAGAATTGTTATAACAACACTAATTGTTATAACAACACTCCTACAACATCAGAGTGCAGCGCCACATTAAATACGCACTACAATGACAATAGTTTAAAGCGATTTGAAGCATGTTTTATTTTCAAAATAGAAATATTGTTTTGGGGGGGGGGCAGAGCTTTGTGACGTCATATTTTAGGGGGGGGTCTCACTTTTTGTGACGCCATGTGACGAGGGGGGGGGGGGGTCAAAAATCGTCCAAAATTGCGTGACGTCATTTATGGATGGCCCCATAGCTCCTTCGTGATAGCCTTTGCGCTAGAATAGTGGCACGGGTACCAGATCTACTGACTTACTCATGTAAGGATTACCGGTAGGGGGTCGCCCGATGCGACCGTACGAAATGGATTTCCCTCGTCTGCAAACTCTCTCTGAACTGCACAACACTGCCCACACACCCAGACACGGTCGCGTTCAAACAGCTCCACCATCATTAGGACACCGAAGTTCTAATCAGCGTTTCCGGCCACGTTTGTTCCCCGTGCCAGGCCCAGCAGATGACTGCGGCGGCCCTGCAACAGCAGCAACAGCAGCAGCAGCAACAGCAGCAGCAGCAGCAGGCGGCAATGAGGGCAGCCCAAGCTTCATCTTCTAACAACTTCAACAGGGTGTGGAGTACAACTCGGGTGTTGTGTTCGCGGTCGCATTGCACGGCTCTCTGACGTGACTTTAAACTTTATCAGGTGTAAGGCCCATTGAGCTGGCTAGCTCTTTCTTTTGGGAATACGCCCTGGCCACAAACGATAGCTCAGCGAGAAGTGGCTTATCACGTGGAAATGCATAGCAGAAGCCAAATACTCGAAATGCTTGTTGAGTCTAAATGTGGAGGGAAAAACCGGAGGACCCGGAGAAAAATCCACACGACCATGGTGAGAACGTGCAAACTCCAAATATACAGCAGCAGGCGCCAGGGTCGGGATTGAACTCACGACTTCCTATGTACCAGGCGAGGTAGTGAACATTTAACCACCGCGGCCATTTTAGGTTGTGCCCGCATGTTGATCGGCACGGCGGCCGACGTTTCACTCCGTGGGCAGAGTGGCTTCTTGAAGGAACTGAATTCGGTTCTTTGTTAACACGTTCCCTCGGAGTGGGCAGGTAGGAACTTGGTTGGACAACGCATTCGTGCACGACAGACAAATATGCACGACAGACGGACAAATAATCCCTGGTGGGCAGTGTGGAACCTGTTGTTCCTACCTGTATTATGACTATTATAAGATGACTTACCCAAAACTAATAAGAAATAATAATAAACTCGCCTTTCTATAATACCACAATTTGCATAAGGCCTCAAAGCGCGTTGCATGAAGCCTATGTTATGGAGAAAGCCTGTTGTAAAAACAGGTGAGTTTTAAGATGCGATTTTAAAAGTGTAACAGACTCAGATTCCCCAATGGACCGCGGAAGGGAATTCTGGAATCGCGGAGCCTGGCTGCTGTACTCGTGCATCACGGATCTGCCTTGTAACTTCGCCGGGTAACTGGCTAAACGTAACCACTCGCGTAACAAATAAAATAAACTCAACACTCGAACCATCGCTGGTAGCGTCGAGTGTCTGGGTGTGACGGGCCTATGCTCTCTCGGCCGTGTGCCAGAGGTCGCAACCGGGTACCCGATACCCGTACCCGCCCGATACCCGGCTACCCGTACCCGGCCGGGTACGGGTACCCGTTTGCGACCCTGGTGCGGCCGGGTACGGGTACGGGTAGGCCGTGAGTCACCGGTGAGTAACCGTTTGTCACTCATTTCGGGTAGGGTACGGGTACGGGTAGCGTACGGGTACCCGTACCCGGCCGGGTACGGGTACCCGTTTGCGACCCTGGTGCGGCCGGGTACGGGTAGGCCGTGAGTCACCGGTGAGTAACCGTTTGTCACTCATTTCGGGTAGGGTACGGGTACGGGTAGCGTACGGGTACCCGTACCCGGCCGGGTACGGGTACCCGTTTGCGACCCTGGTGCGGCCGGGTACGGGTAGGCCGTGAGTCACCGGTGAGTAACCGTTTGTCACTCATTTCGGGTAGGGGTAGCGTACGGGTACCCATACCCGGCCGGGTACGGGTACCCGTTTGCGACCCTGGTGCGGCCGGGTACGGGTAAGGAATCAAAACCCGTTTGCGACCTCTGCCGTGTGCTGCCCCTCGCAGCCTCTGAGGAGCACGGGCCTGCGTCAGCAGCAAGTGCCGCTCTACACAGCTCCTCCTCCTGCTCCTGCACCTGCTCCACCTCCTCCTGCTCCTCCCGCTGCTGCTTCCGATTCGGATGAGGTTGGACGCACCACCCACCCATGCACGCACGGGACGTGGCTTACAACTGCATTGTTGAGCGCATTAGAAGCTACGGGGCGAGTTTCTTGAATTCACACAGCCTCCGTTCACGCAGCAATATTAATGGGTGCAGCACCATGAGTCAACTGGCTTTTCTCGTGTGGTGGGGTAAAGTGTCGGTACTCCTGCCTCTTCCAAGGCGTCTGGTTACCATGGAAGAGTAGGCAAAATACCCTCTAGAGGGGTTCTCTAGAGATCTCTCTTGCGGCGAAGGGGACGATGTTGCGATAGTAGTAGTTGTTGTAGCTGCTATTGTAGTTGTAGTTGGGAATGTCGCGGTGGTGAGATGTCTCCCTCGCCTGGTATGCAGGAGGTTGTGGGTTCGATCTCGAGACTGCATTTATATTATTTGGCTGCTATGAATTTCCACATTATGATAAGGTCACTTCGTTGAGCTCTCATATGTGGCCAGGTCGCTTCCGAAAATGAGGTACTTCGATCTTGGGCGGCCTTACCTGGTAAAATTAACAAAGTAAATAGTTGAAATAGGTTTTTTACCCTTTAAACTGGTACAAAACTGACACCTTTATACAAGGCATCATGTTTGCAATAACCACAACACAAGCAGTCAAAATGCAAACGAAAAGAAACAACTCTGATAATGATGATATGCACTGTCCTTGAAGTTGATTGGTCCACACCTGAGACAGCTTTTTTTAGAGCCTAGTCTCCATTGGTGTTGGACCATATCATTATCAGAGTTGTTTATTTTTGTTTGCATTTTAGTTGTTGTCGCATAACAGCAGCATCTCTGCTGTGTGTGTGTCCCGTGCAGTCCCCACCATAACAGCAGCATCTCTGCTGTGTGTGTGTCCCGTGCAGTCCCCACCATAACAGCAGCATCTCTGCTGTGTGTGTGTGTGTCCCGTGCAGTCCCCACTATAACAGCAGCATCTCTGCTGTGTGTGTGTCCCGTGCAGTCCCCACCATCGCCCAGACGCCACGTGCCCGACGACTCGCAGAGTGGATCCATGGCCATCGCCAGCAAAATCAACCGCTTCTCCAGGGGTGGTAAGTCCACCGTTGCTGCCGCTGGCTTGGGACACGAATCGACCTCCTTTACAACCTGACGGGATCCATTTCTCTCCTGCCCGACTGCCATCCCCCCCCCCCCCGGCCCTGGAACACACGTCACGGCAACATTACGGCACCTGCCAGGCGGCGTTATTCCTGTGAGCATAGTTTGTGAGGGCAATGGTTCTTGTTAGCGAAGTGGCGTTAAAAACAAGACTATAAGAGGGCACATTTCGTCGAGCGTATGATGACGGCGATGGCTCTCCACCACCACCGAAGGCCTCGGCGTGACTATGACGAGGCTGAAATATCAACCGGTCTGAATGAGCGCGCAGACAGAGATCATCTGGTAACTTGATTGAAAACTGCAGTGCGCTGAGCAAGACCGAAATAGGTAATTGGCTGTATACACGTGAGGAAACATTTACCGAGCTGAGCGATGAGATCAGGCGTTAGATGGGTTGCCGCAAAGAAAGATCGTGAGATACGGCTACGGCTCGCGGAGGCCTTCATCCAGCAGTGGCGAGATCATAGCCAATGAGTTACGACGATGCACAGGCGAAATGACTCGACGCCCTGCGACGTGATCACTCCTGTACGTGACACGCAGTGACGTCAAGACACCACGTGACGTATGACGTCGCGTGGCCTGCCGGCACACGTACGGGTACCCGGCCGGGTACCCGTACCCGGCCGGGTACGGGTACCCGTTTGCGACCCTGGTGCGGCCGGGTACGGGTAAGGAATCAAAACCTGTTTGCGACCTCTGGTTTAAAGTAAAAAGAGGTTGGGTCCTAAAAGGAGGAGTGGGGTCGCGAGAGAGATTACACTTCCCTGTTGATTTAAGGTAAAAGCATGTAATCAAAGATGTGCAGTGGGCAGCGTACCTTTAGTGCAGCAGATGCGGCGACAGGCCACCGAGTTCTATTTGAGTTGGGTAACGCGTGACGCCGTGTGTCTTTGTCTACAGCTTCCATCGCCAAGGCTCCAGCACCTCCATTCAACAAGTCGCCCGTGCAACCACAGAAAAAATCACCCTCACCCTCCCGCAAGAGCAAAAAGGGGTCCACCACCAAACCTCCACCTCCTCCACTCGATAAGTCACCCGTTCAATACCGGAAGAGATCACCCTCTCCTTCCCGCAAGAGCAAAAAGGGGTCCACTGCTAAACCTCCACCTCCTCCACTCGACAATTCGCCCACTCAATACCGGAAGAGATCACCCTCTCCTTCCCGCAAGAGCAAAAAGGGGTCCACCACCAAGCCTCCACCTCCTCCACTCGATAAGTCACCCGTTCAATACCGGAAGAGATCACCCTCTCCTTCCCTCAAGAGCAAAAAGGGGTCCACTGCCAAGCCTCCACCTCCTCCACTCGACAATTCGCCCACTCAATATCGGAAGCGATCACCCTCTCCTACTCGCAAGAGCAACAAAGTGTCCACCGCCAAACCTCCACCCCCTCCACTCAACAAGTCACCCGTTCAATACCGGAAGCGATCACCCTCTCCTACTCGCAAGAGCAACAAAGTGTCCACCGCCAAGCCTCCACCTCCTCCACTCAACAAGTCGCCCGCTAAATACAGGAAGCGATCATCGACTTCCAGCGAGGACAGCGACGATAAAGAAGAGGATAAGTCGGACACAGGTGGCACCATTTTGTGAGATTGCTCTGAAAACGATGTTTAAGCTCCGTTTATTTTAGCACGTGACGCCCTCCGAGCTGCAGAGCTCTTTGTCAGGAGCGACAATTGACAGGCCCAACGACGTGGCTTATCACGTGGACATTCATAGCAGCCGAGTAACCCTCGAGTGGTCTCCCGAAGCGGCATGCTACACACGGCTTGTGCGTTGTGCAGGAGGCAAGATGTAGAAAAAAAAACGAATTCTGTTAACTCAATCCGCTGCTGAATGAAGGCCTCCCCAATGCCGCGTCGGTCATGGGGGTCGTTCGATAGTACTTCGTCACTCTGGTGGTACGTGTTGCGAAAGAGACATTCAGCGAGCGTGGTCTCTGAACCTGGTTGAAAGAAAGTTGATAACTGCACGTTGATTTTGGCCACCTCTAATTCGTCCACTTTTATTCAAACACAATCGCCCGGAATTCCCCCCGGTGCCATCAGATTTCGGAATCTAAGCAGAGTTGAGCACGACTGATGCTTGGGTGGGGAACTGCCAAGTGGAATAGGTTGCCGTAGGCTACTGCGGGGCGCAGCAAATTCCATCGTTGTACTGTTCTTATACGCTCTCACACCATCTACGCTTCGTGCCTGACCACCGTGTGGAGAGGCCCTCATCCAGCAGTGGATCGACGAGCGGGCCGTGCGTGTGTGCGGCGAGCGAGCGAACGTCGTGCGTGTGCCGCGTGCAGACTGCGAGCAGGAAGACGTTCCCGACTCCAAATCTTGGCGCAGGGATAAAAGCCGCAGCCCCGAGAGGCCTCAAGTGGTCGTGGCGTCGAGCAGAAGCGCGCCGGAGCCCACGAAAAACATCAAGCACATCATCCGCATGTACAACAATAAGCCGCCTCCCAAGCCGGAGGAGATCATCCCGAAGATGTACGGCAGAGTATCTCTCGCGGGAACATCCCCACGGGCCGCTGGGCGCTTTGGCGGTTTTGGCCGCCGTCTGTTCACCACCCACAGGGCATTCGTCATCATTTACTGTCATCGATTTCGCTCTCACCGGATTCACGCGTCGCAGATTTGCGCCCACTGCTTCCTCTCATCTAATTTATTCACCATTGCATTCACACACCCGTCATAGCGTCGGGATTTCTCTGTAAAGCGCACTATATAAATCCCATTAAGATAAGATTTTTCGCGGTTTCGTTGCACGGCAACGCGTTTTGGGGGCTTGTAACCGCTTTGTGCCGCTCGGCGCGACGTCCCGATGTTCACCTCCGCATGCCGGCATCCCTCTTCGGCTGATTTCACAAACAAAAAACGTCGTGCGTGTCGAGTTTTCCGGAGCCAGCCCAAGACCATTATTCTGGAGTTCACTGGTCCACCGCTACATTTCAGTATCCTTTCTTTCAGAGACGGTGAAATACACAAGTTGCACTCCATAGCAGCCGCTCATGCGGGCTCGTGCACTCCGTCTCTTTCCAGGAACGTGCGATCCGAACCCAAGTTCGTGAAAAGATCGGACCCACGCTCGGAGGCCCTGACGATCCTCAGCGAGAAGACAAAGCAGTGGTCAAAGCAGGGCACCGGCAGTGGCAGCACCAGCCCAGCCACGTCCTCCGGGCACGACTCGCCTTCCCCCACCACCGCCACGGCAGCCAAGGCCGCCGAGAACGTGCCGCCCCCTCCGCCCATGCCGCCGTCACCGGCTGCCGCCGGCATCACCACCGCCAGCGCGCCGTCCAATCCTCCGCCGCCTCCTCCTCCTCCGCCTCCGGCGCCTCAGGTACGGGCGGTCGTTGCAAACCCAGCAGCGTGAGCTTGATTAGAGAGGTTGGGGCAAACACGTGACGTACGGCAGGCTCCTCCCACCCTCAACCAGTATATATATACAAGGACTGTTTTCTTGGAATTTCTCTCACTTGATGCAGCAGTCGTGCTGTGACGGCTCCACCTGAAGACGGAAGCTTGTGTTGCCTCCGAAACGTCGTGATTTTTATCTTTATTTTACCTTTATTAATTAGAATGTTTTACCTACGTGACTTTACCGAAAAAACCTAAGAATATGAATAGACTTAGGTGTGCCATCCATCGGGAGTGTAGCATGTGCTGCGACGCTACGGTGCAACACCAGTCAATGTCAAGCGAACTTAAGACGTGTTAAACACTGAACAGAACGAATAACGAATGGCACGATCTGTCGTGCGTTCCGCTGTCGGTCTCAATAAAGGCCGGCCAGAGGTTCCTGGAGTCCCAAGGCAGAACGCCATGTGGGGCTCCCTTCATATTGTTACGTTCTCGCCTCGGTGGTGAGATGTTAACTTCCTTTCCTGGTATACAGGAGGTCGCGATGCCTGTATATTTGGAGTTTGCGTGTCTTTCTCCCCGTGGTGGTGTGGATTTTTCTCCGTTTTTCCCTCCACATTTAGAATCAGCGAGCGTTTAGAGCATTTGGCTGCCGCTATACATTTCCACATGACAAGCCACTTTGTTAAACTATCAAATGTGGCTGGGTCGCTTCGGAAAAAGAGCTACATAGCTCAGTGGGCCTTACCTGGTAAAATAAAAATCATAGTTTAATAGTTGAAAAATAGTTTAGTCGTTCTACGACGACAAAAACACAGGGCCCAGTGTGGAGCCCTCGTTTGTGTGAGGCCCGGGGAAAATTGCCCCTTTGGCCCCAAACTGGCTCTGGGTGGCCCTGGCTCTTATTCCCTCAGTGTGTACGAGGAAAGCTGCGACGATTATTCCGCAAATTTCCTTGAGAGTTACGTGAAAATGGATTAGGGGGGGGGGGGGGGTTGGGCTAAGCCCTCAACAGGTGAATGGGCACATAGATACGTTGATTGTTTGTATCGATTTAAAGTTGATCGTTTCGATTTGTTTATTTTCAAATTGACAATTTCCAACAAATTAGTTGACGATTATAAGAATCTACATCGGATTTCTGTAATTCAAGCTAAAACCATCGCTGCTGTGGCTCCCCATCTTGTGGAATGGGATTCCCTGCCTTGCCTGACCGTCCACGGATTCCAAAAATAACTTAAAAACGTTGTTAACCTGTTGTTCGTCGACCTGATTACTCTTCTAATTGCGTGGCATTAAAGTGTTGTTTGGTGGATAACAATGCACATACAAGGGGACTTGGTTTAATGAAATGTCGCCTTAAAGGAAATTCGCTTTTAATTGATCGATCGTCACACAAATGACCCGAGCGTGACGTTGTCAATTCCACGTGATGAATGCGCGCTTCATTTCGGCCGTCTCTGTGGTCTCCGTTGCACCCGGTTGAGTTACCGTCGCGTGCTGTCATACTGCCACGACAAAGACAAAGATCCCCCTTCACCCCATAGCCTTAACAGACTGTTGGGGCAAGTGCAGTTCACGAGCAGCACCTACGAATGCCGGCACGGCGCACGAGTGCGTGGGTGGCATCGCGGCATCACGCCCGCGGGGCCGCCGCGCACACTCAACGAGCGCGCGTTGTCCGTCCCCCGCAGGCGAACATGAACACCTTGGGGAGGAAGCACAAGGTCAGCGCAAGTAAGGACCCTTGCACGCGGCGCCTCGGGGTGCTTCGTTTAGCTGCACAGTGATCGCGACAAAATCGCAACTCTGATAATGTATGTTTTTTGTTTGCATTCCGACCGCAGGTATTGTGGTCAATGCAAACATGACTCCTCGTAAAAAAAGGTGTCAGTTTTGTTGCCAGATAAAAGGGTAAAAAAACAATTATCATATTTTGCTACTGGCAAAGGAGGTTCCAATGGTGAAGAGCTATGTAGCTAAGTATGGGCCTTAGCTGGTAAAAATAAAAATGTGTTTATTAAAATTTTTAGACTCGCCCCCAACCACAGCACCGCTAGCTTCGGTGGCTCTTAAAACGCGAGCTGGGACACCACCGAGCGGGGACATCGCTCCGACTTGCCGTCACGGCAGACGGCACGGCGCAGGCGGGGTGGGGTGGGGGGTGTCGTGAGACCGCGGCGCGTAGAGGGGCATCGCGTTCCGTGTCCGTGCTCCGCCAGCGCTCACCCAGGCGATGGTTCGCGTGGCGGCCGCCCTGGGAGCCACCGCCTCGCCCGGAGCCGCCAGCGTCGAAGCGCCGAAGCCACCCGCCGAGCCCCGGTTCGACGTCATGGACGGAGGTGAGCTTGCGCGTCTCTCTGACCGCGTCTCTCTCTCGCCGTGTCTCTCTCACCATCTCCCTCTCACCGTGTCTCAATCTAGTCGTGTCCTCCCTCTCACCGTGTCTCTCTCTCACCATCTCCCTCTCACCATGTCTCAATCTAGTCGTGTCTTCCCTCTCACCGTGTCTTTGTGTTCCACGCTAATTTTGTCCCTCTCTCAGTGTCTCTAGTCATGTCCCTCTCACCGCGTCTCTCTCACCGCGTCTCTCTCGCCGTGTCTCTCTCTCGCTGTGTCTCTCTCACCATCTCCCTCTCACCGTGTCTCCCTCTCGCCGTGTCCCTATCACCGTGTCTCTCTCTAGTCATGTCTCTCTCACCATCTCCCTCTCACCGTGTCTCAATCTAGTCGTGTCTTCCCTCTCACCGTGTCTTTGTGTTCCACGCTCATTTTGTCCCTCTCTCAGTCCCTCTAGTCATGTCCCTCTCACCGCGTCCCTCTCACCGTGTCTCTCTCTCACCGCGTCCCTCTCTCGTCATTCCCCACCATCGTCGCTGTCCCGCCCAGTGAGGCCGGCGGAGCCGCGCGGGGGCGGCCCGAGTCTGGCCGAAGACGAGCGAATCCACACGGAGCTGCATCCATGGTACAACGAAGACTTCTACAGCTACACGGACGTGCGCTGGAAGCTCTTCCTGCGCAAAGAGGCATGGCTCACTCCGTCCTCGCTTGCTGCCAGTGGAACCACTGGTCCAATGATGCCCCCCCACCTTTCACTTCATAAACTCCCAATAACGTGACAGAGGAGATACCGACGTGAAGTAGAGACGTGGCGAGAGTGGGCAAAGGATAGATGTGTGATGACGTGAGAGACATACGCATGGGACGGACGCGTAGCGAAATGGAAGAAATTATTTGGTGATGCTGCTGCGGCTGCTGCGTTGGCAGTGGGGCACAAGCACAATTCACAGCGATAACAAACTCAACACGTTCGTCAATAAACGCTCTCTGGTCTTCAAAGGACAAAAAATTATTTTAAAAAGGTGATGTTTTAGGCAATGGGCCTTGTGCTGTATGTGCTGTGTGGAATGGCCATCGCCCCTCCCGGCTGTTCTTCATTTTTTTTTTTTGGCTCAGCCTTCGAACAAAATACGGTCACCGCATCATCGTGCGGCGCTTTCAGATATGCGCTGCTTCCGCGGCCGTCTGGAATGCTCTTCCTTCTGATATTAGGAAGCCACTGGAGCTATATGCACTTTTAATACTCTAGATTGAACACTCATTTCTTGAGAACTGCTTTTTGTGTTTAGTTTGTTGGCCTTCCCTCGCACCTCCGATTTGCAAGGTTCGCTACGGACTGTGCGGAAGAAGTTCAACATACAATACATACAGAGACCCAGAGATTAGCACAGTTGGCTACGTACGGTGCAAAAGAAGTTCAACATGCAGTACATACAGAGACCCATAGACCCATAGAAACCCACAGATTATCACGGTTGGCTATGCACGGTGTGAAAGAAGTTCAATGCACATTTTTTGGTGACAAGAGACTTTGCCCCCCCCCTTACCCCCCCACAGATTTTCTACCCCCAGGACAGCCTCAACAACCCAGCCGTGCTGAACCTGCTGGTACAGCAGGTACCGTGATGAGTCCCCCCCCCCCCCCCGCCACTTTCCACTGCTCGCATGACGGCGATGATGACGACACGGATCAGGGTCACGGTTCTCGTTTGTGAAACGTGGTGGTCTGGGTGGCTTGGGGGTCAGAGCACTGAGCTGCCACCGAGTGGCTTTTCCAGGGAATAGGTCACGGGGTCAACGCTTCGACGTGCTCACACGAATCTGAATTGTAAACGCGTGGGTTTTCGATTATTTGGCCGGTATAAAAATGTCCACACGATAAGCCACTTGGTTGGGCTATCGTACGTGGCCAGGTTGCTTCTGAAACAGAGCTTTTAGCGCAGGGGGGGCTTGACCTGGTAAATAAAATAGTTTATATATTTTTTTAAAACATTGAATGCCACCGTCGCCATCCCAGCATGGTTGAAACCGTGGCGATTTATGAGAGCACATTTTCCCTGCAGGTTGCATCAACGATTCATCGCCATGATGCCATCTCGCTCTATTAATCTCCCGTTATTCAGAAATGTGGACTAATTAATTATCGGTTGACGTTCCATGCACGACCGGAAAGCCACTTTTTACGCCAATGATTCTACCCGCGTGTTTAAAGTGTAGGCAACGGACGCCCAATATCCCAGAAAGCACCCAGGCGTTTTTTTTTTGTAGAGGAACTTGACGCACGCAAGGTCGAGACTAATGGCGCATCCGTGTGCTTCCCCAGATCGTGCACGACACCTTCTCCAACTCCTGCATGAGGATCACCAAGGAGGAGTGCCACAGGATGAGGATCCTGCTGGGTCGGTGGTCGTTTGAGCCCTACATTTGCCCATATTTTTTTTTATACAACGACGACGACAATGCAATTTATAACGCGCGCGATATTTCACGTGGCCGTGAATGACCGCGTGCTCTGAAGGCGCCGCGGAAAGCTCGGTGTCGCTCAAAAAGCCAGATGAGAGAGGAGGAGAGCCTTTAAGAAGTCGTCATTTTGTTTACAACGACCAACGGCGAGCCTCATCAGGCTATCGTACTTGAATTGTAAATGTTGTGGGTTTAATCTTCAACACACCGGTGCGTTGAACTAGTAATGGATTGGCGCATTTTGTTTCCGCGACAAACCTTACAAATTAGCTGTGTCGGGTGGTGGCGAGCTTAACGACACATTAATATTTTTACGCGATATAACCCAAAAAACCTCCATAATGGATTATCCCTTGTTTTTTTTTCACTCTCTTCTTAATACGGCGCGAACCGGCTTAAGATTTTAATCGACGGCTCAACGTGTCGTCACGTGCCCGCCGACGACGGCGGTTCTGGCGTTGACTTTTTTTTGTCACGCTGCGTCCAGACGAGTGCAAGGTGACGCCCAACACGCCCACCAAGGACGACACGGTGAAGAAGAGGATCGTGATGGCCGCACGGGACCAGTGGGATACCTACTTCTCCCGTCTCTTCCCCGCGGCGGTGAGCAGCGCCCCCTCATTCCTGGAGGAGCAGGGAGAAGAAGGGAAGAAATTTAATTGGAGGGCGAAAAACTCATCCGCATTTTTATAATAATTTCAACTTATTTGTAACACTTGCGCCACCACTGCACAGCGTTTGCTCGCTCTCGCAGAGCGAGAGAGGACGACTCGGAGGCGTGAGGAGGACGAGGAACCATAGACGAGTGGCCCAGGCCGTGAACTGGCACCAAATTCCCCCCTCAAGCTCTGCAGTCCTCTATATACAGGGAGCTTCAACATTTGCAACAATGCCACAAGAAATGTGCCTCCGGGCTCTGGAGACCACCTAGAGAAGGTTCTAGGCACGTGTTGACAATGATGGCGAACAACTGGAGACTTTGACTATTTGAAGCTATTAACATACCTTTGGTTTCATGTTACAGTGTATTATCGGTTCCTTTCCCATTAAAAACAATAGTCCCATATAAGTGTTAACATATTTGTGAACCACCCTATATTAAGGTGTAACCGGCCAATTAATGAGGGTTTTTTCGTGTGGGTGGTAACCGGAGTGCCCAAAGAAAACCCACGGGAGCGAGGGAGCAACACTCTATCCCATGCAGATGGAACAGGTAAGCCAGCGTACGGGCTCCTCCTCGACGCTTACGAGAAGAGGATTTTTGTGTGATCCACCGACCCTCGCTGCCTCCACAGTGCCAGATCCCACATGCATAGCCACCGCCCTCCCCACCGGCATTATCTCGGTCACCCCCTTCCAGTGTAGCGGTACCAGAGTGAGGAAGACGAATGAATGAAGAGTTGGGCATTTTTTTTTTCTCTCTCCACGCAGGGCCCGATCGGAATCGACATCCAGATGCTGGCCGTATCCCACAAGGGGATCAAGTTGGTGAAGATCGTGAAGCTGGCCGGGGCTAACACCATGTACATCAAGGTCCTAGCCCCTTACAGGTGAGTGGGGTGTGCTGGTCTAGACCAGGGGGTCGCCAAACAAAACGACGAGAAGAACCACATTTTTTTTTTCGATTTCGGTAGTAATAAAATAAACACAACTCAATATTGCAAGAGGCCCAATGCACCGTGTGATGAATGCAAAACGGCGGTCCTTGAATAAATGACGTCACGAGGCAGTCCCTCAGAGAGCCGTACGCAGCGCCGGAGCCGCAGTTTGCCGATCCCTGGTCCAGCACAAGCTGCAACACTGCTCGGACAGGCCGAATCACCGTGGTGTAGACGAACCATGCCGGGGCCGTGCCGAGCCATCCCCGGCATGACTCAGAAGGCTTCGGTGTTGTTTTTCCCGCTGCAGAAGCCAAGCAACAAATCTTGTCGTTTTCTTTCACATCTCTACAATCACCACATCGCTGCATCAGCTGAGAATGACTGCAGACTTCCACGCTTCCAACGCTGATATAAAAATTATAATAATAAAAACAACATTGCAAAAGTTGTGGCAGTTTTCCCAAATCGTTTCCTCATCCCAAGCCGCCGTGGTGCTCTTTGACCTCTCGCACAGCTACGCCGACATCCTCTACGTGACCATCGCCAACAAGGTCACCTTGGAGTTCGCGATGCGCAACGAGCAGATCACCATCTACTCGCCCAAAGCCAGCCAGATCAAGGAGCTCGTGGACTTCTACTGCTCCGAGCTCATGAGGGTGAGCGATCCTCATCAGCTCAGCCTCAGGCTTCACGCCCTGCCGGACCGGACCGGGCCGGACCGGGCTGTGCAGCAGCTGTTTGCTACGACGTGAACTCGTAGCGTCCTTCTTGGATGAGGGCCTCCGTGAGAGATCGTGGAGGTTATTAGCAGATGTATGTGTATAAGAATAGGTTTTTACCCTTTCTGGTAAGATGTTAGCACACCAAACAGAAACCCTTTGCAAGGAATCATGTCTGCATTAACCACATGTGCTTGTGGTGAACATGCAAACAAAAAAAACATGCTCTCGAGCGTGGGTTCTCAAGGAGCTGCCCGTGGTGGATGCCCGTCCACCAGCAGTGGCGTGAGCAAGCAATTGCAGGGCTGCACCTTTTACTTCTCATGGGTTAGGGTTAGGGCTTCGGCCGCCCCCCGCCACCCCACCCAAGTGAGATGTGTCTTGTTGTTGTCGTGCAGAACTCTGCGTACGTGATCGCGGTGAAGAGCTACTTCACCGACAACAAAATCATGCTCAGCTTCAGGAAGGGAGACGTCATCAAACTGCAGACCGCGGCTGCCCCCATGCAGGAAGGTGTGTGCTGCCCCCCCCCCCCTGCCGATCCCCTTGCCACCCCCCCACCCCCGCTCCCCCCCCCTGCCCCCCCTGCCTCCACCCCATCCTCCTAATCTCCTGCCCCCCCCAATCCGCAGGCTCCCATAGCTTTGTGATGATCCCCCTGTGGAAATCCGTACGATGCGATGTGGATTTATCGGGCAGATAATTTCGAGCTGGGCTGGAACACGGTTATTTAAGTGACGGTTATCGTTTCGATTGCTCGGCTTGATGGACGACACGAGAAGAGTTGGCTGGACAAGGTCTCGCCTCTGTTCAGACGCGTGCTGCTGGACGGGAGGTGATGGACGGGCGAGGCTTGGAGAGACGTCGTCGGTATAATTAGCCGCGTCACAGCGGGCGTGGCTTGCAGGGGGTTTCCTGCCTTCAGGAGGCAGTTTGATATTTTTAAAGGGGATTGAGTAATTTAACTAAAAAAACATTTTCAATTACAATTTTTTGTTGATCTATTGATTCTTTAAAAAAAAACATAAATGCAACAGCATCTCAGGACGTTTTTGTCGAAATCCAAAATCCCATTAGGATTAAGGGGGCGGGGGGTGGTAAGGAGGGGGGGGGGGGGAGTAGGGGGGTGTTAGAGGGAATCACAGAGGGAGAGAAAAGAGGTCAGTCCGGGGCCCAACACCATCGACGAACCCCAGGGACAGCCTCGGCAGCCAGGACAGAACCATCAGGGCATGGGTGGTTTGGGGTGTGGGGAACACCTTGACCAAACGAGTCCCAATGCATCCTGGGTACATGGTCACGTTACCTTTATCCAATGGGGTGGGGGGAAACAAAAGTGCGCAAACAAGACACGAAAAACAGCAGACGAAATTAGAAGAGCAAAGCAATGACATCACGACCAATGACCGTGTGGATATTCATCGAATCGCTGCCGGTGTTGGGGTGGCGGGGTAGTCGGAGGCGGTGGGTGAACTGTTGCCTGCGAGAGAGACGTCCTCTCGCGCTGAACGGCCGTTCGGCCGGGCCGGGTTGGGCCCACGCGATCGCTGTTCCCGTTTTGTTCCTCGGGACTGCTCGCCCGGCTCGTGCAGGAGCCAGGTACGGCTGCGTGCTCCGGAAAACGCTGAACTATTTCGAAGACGTCCACGGGGAGGCGAAGTGTGTCGGTGGGTTTGGTATTGGGGACGGGGTTCGCCGCATGCCCGTTCCCGTGTGCAGTGCTCGAGTGGCTGTGGCATTTTTTGTTGTTGTTGCCGATTTCCGCAACGAACTGGACCCTTGGCTCCTCTGTTTTCCCGCTTTGAACTCCTTTATCTTTGGAAATATTGTGGACTTTATTTATTTTACCAGATTCTCTACCTGGCAAAATAAAGTCGACCCGCGGCTATTGCGCACAACGACAATACAGCACTGCCTCCCGATATTCGACTGACACCTCAATATATATTGGCACACTGAAAATAAAAGCAATTGGATAGTCACCAAGCTAAATTGTACCGTCTCGACGGATTGATTATCATAGCTGTTCAAGCGATTTATTTTTAATGTTTTTACGACTAAGAAAACTCGAGCCCAGTAGAGCATGCCGAAATGTTTCAGTGACCGGGTACGTCTTTTATATCTTATTTCATTAACAGTGCCTCACCATCGTCAGAATGTCAACGGTCCGATGAGCATAAAGGAGGATGTGCGCATCTCCGATTAGCAAGGTTGGCTCCGTGCGGTGCGAAAGAAATTCAATAACTTCAACGTAGATGGAAAATGTAAGACAAACCACAGCAGTAAGTGCGACTGTGGCCATGCAAGCTGAACTATGGAGCATTCAGCAGGCCAACTGTTGTTTGTTCTCCTTCAATGGTGGGGGGGACAGTCAAACTCTATTAACTCTTTCTCTGTCTCGCCTCGTCGTGGTCAACAGCAGACCTCGACATTGGCATTTAGCTCCTCAGCCACATTGCCATTGTGCGCTAGAATAGAATAGAACGGTGGCTCGCCATCGTCCATTGGATCGACAACGACTTTAGTAATCTTGACTTGAATTCCTGCAGTCATGGGTGAGTGGGTAGGCAATTTGACTTTACCGAAAGACCCCAAAAATATGACTTTAATAATCTCTGGTCTGTGAAGGCAAAATAGGTATTCAAAATATAGAGCGGTGTGCGACTCCAAATTAGGTGAATAGGAATAATAATATACAACCTTTGGTCATTCCAGATGTTGGATAAAGATCTCCCCATGCTGTGTGGCTCGTTGGAGTTGATTAGTCGACAATCTGTGGTGGTAACCTTCAGCGCTGCTCTGCCACCGCATGCAGACATCACGATTGTCCGTTTTCCACAATCGATATATTGTGAATGGTTTGCAGTCCCTACTCTCTCTCTCTCTCTCTCGGCGACTTGTCCAAACGCGCACGTGTGTTCAGTGTTCACCATCTCATTGCGCCTCCTGCTACGTGCCTCGCAGATGGCAATGAGGCGGCATTTGTCGTGCTGGTAGTTTCTTCCATTTGTGAAAAAAGAATTCTCCTCTCCAGGTCTGGCCACGGTGCACTTACGTACAAAATTAAAAAAATACCCCTTGCATTGTGAAAGAGGGAAAATGTTTTGCAGATATTTGAGGTATTGGTTTTTCTCGCACTACTTTTGGTTTTAAAGTTGGATGCGGACTAACGGACAAAACACCCGGCAGTAAGTCCACAGCAGCTTGATTTTAGGCAATGTCCATACGTGTATAGTACAGCCGACGCTCGTTTATCCCGAGCGAGGATAAAGCGAGTGCACGGGTTAATTGAATGTAAGCAAGTTGGGGTACGAAAAATGGGGTTGTTTACGTGGAGTGCGTCGTCCTCCTGTGTCGTTTTTTAAAGCGCTCGATTTGAACTTGCCGACGTCCTTGCGGTCACGTGGGCACCGAGTCACCGACCCGCAACGAGTGAGGAGCAGCCACCGGCGCGCGGATAAATCACGCGGCTGAGCATGGGTTAAATTCTCAACTGCGGATATACCACCGCGGATATGTTTGTTTACAACATTGCACTCCATTCACTTCATCGCCCGCCAAGAACCGTCTGCCGCCAGCCACACACTCTCTCGCAGACGGGGTGGTGGAGTCTTTTCACCTGAACAGGGGTCGGCAACCTGTGGCTCCGTAGCCGCACGCGACTCTTTATGGACTTCCGTCGTCACGTAACGAGTCTACTGCACGTACCGAGATGCATTGCGGCTCTTGAATTATTGAGTTTTGTACCGAATTCGAAAAAAATCGCTCTCTTTGTTATTTCGGTTGCCGACCCCTGCACCTGAAGACCCATCGCCACGGCGACCCCTTGACCCCGTCGTCATCCGTGCCCCGCCGCCCCCCTCCAGGTTGGAAGTTTGGAGTGGTGCACGGCCGCTCGGGCATGTTCCCGGCCGACTACGTGCAGCCGATCGCCCCGCCGGACTTTGCCAACTCGCAGCCGGAGCCGCGCCGCGAGGAGAACTGGACACCCCCGCCAATGCACGTGGCGCAGTCGGGCGCCGTGGCCGTCGCCGTCGCGTCGGCCCCGGCCGCGACGGCGCTCAGCCACAGGGCAGACAGCTCCAGCAGTCGCTCGAGGGTAAGAGTCGGGGGGGGCGGCCCTACCGGGCAGCAGCGTTGACCCTTTCACAGCCGGTCGATCCCCGTCCATTCTTTGAGACTCAGCGATGTCCTCCTCCTGTGCTGATATTTCACGCTGTTGCCCAATGTAGATTTTGAACAGGCTGTTAGGGGAAGTGCTGTTTGCCAGGGCCTTTAAAGCCTGAAGCCCGTGCAGACATGCATACGTGATATGCCTGCTGCTGCCATCTAGAGACAATAAAATAATGAAAATGAAAGAACAAAAATTGTATTTTACCAGGTAAGGCTCATTGAACTGTACAGCTCTTTTTCAGAAACGACCTGGCCGCAATATGATAGCTCAACGAAGTGGCTTAGGACGTGGAAATGTATTGCCGCCAAATACTCTAAACGCACGTTGATTCGAAAAATCCATGCGACCACGGGGAGAACATGCAAACTCCAAATATACAGGCGTCATGGTCGGGATCGAACACACGACCTCCTGTATGTATACCTGACGTTCTTGCGTGCGGGGATGGAATTCCTTTCAAGCTCAGACCCCGCCTGCTTGCCCCTTGCCACATATACAACCTCTTGTTGTAACAGCTCTCTCACTGTGTTCTTCCTGGTTCAGCAGTTCCACTGCTGGATTATTTTTTCCGCCTGAGGACGACCGTTTGTGTTGCGATCGAAACGTCGTGATATATTATTTTGCACTTTTTTTCTACCTACGTGACTTTACCGAAAGAACCAAAGAGTACAGACGAGGTGGTTAATATCTCATAGCCACCGTGGTTCCCCTTGACATATTGCACACAAGGATCATGGCAGCATTCCCGCCGAATGTTTTTTTTGTGCCAAAAATACAAATTAAGTTTATAGAGTTTATTGTAAAAAGTGACTGGTCGCAGGGTGATTTACTATGAAAGAAAAAAAAACGCGTGGCTGTGAAAAGGTTAATTCTTTTAAATTTATTATTGACAAAAATATTAGTCGATGAAGCGTTCATTATTTTAATCAGTGGCGATCATGAAGGGAACTAAAATCAACGCGCATGACGATAACTTGGCTCACCGGAGACCAGAGCACGACTACGAGGAGGCGAGGTTAACCCTTCTCAATGAATATGCACACTTAAGATAATTGGTGACATTATTAAATAGATTTACAGAGTTTGCACATTGGCTGAGCTGATAATATTTGGGGGGGGGGGGAACAACTCCGTGCCCCTCACACCAAGCTTCGATAACTAAGAAAGTGTTGCACATATTTGACTTCTTGAGTCAACTCAACTTAAGAGTGTCACTAAATGAAATCCACAGACCGAGACCCACTCGTGAGCCGGGCCAGCCTTCATAGGTGCGCGCTAATGCCCCTTGCCCACGCAGTCTGTATGGCTATACGGGGGATCTTTGTCTTCGTGTGCGCCCACAGAGCAGTGCCCCAGATTCCGAGGAGAACCCCTACATGGAAGATCTGGTGGAGACAAACCCTCACATCATGGTGGACTTTGCCAAGAGGCACTTCAGGTGATGCTGCGCTATGTAACGTGTTTCAACCGTCTATCGGTCCCATCGTTGGATGAAGGCCCCTCCCCACGTCATGTGTTTGTATGTATGTATGTTGAAGTTCTTTCGCAGCGTACGTAGCTAACCGTACTAATCGGAGGTGCGGGGAAGGACAACAAACTAAACACAAAAAGTGGTTCTAAAGAAATTTGTTTTTCAAATCGTGCACGGTCAGTGTGGCTTGGTGGGGGAGGGGATGCCCAGGAATGGTTTGGATATCACCCGCCACTGATGTTAGCTGTTGCTGTGAATTGAACTCACGGAGTTGGGTTAAGGGTACGGTGCCAACTAAATTGACTTCACGTGGTCGTTAAAACGCTTACTAAGTTGGGTAGAACGAAGCTGAATGTAACCATTCGAGATTAGATGGCAGCAATAGCACAAAGTGTGAATGACCACGTGTTCTGTCAAGGATGAGGCCTAACGGACGTTATTGTATTAATGCTAAATATATGGACGTTGTGAAGTATGGAATATTTCTGTAATCTCCGTGCTTATTTATTTACGTATCCCATCTCTGTTAGTCGTTCTACTCATTCGTATTTGTGACCTCTGTAGTGATGCTACTCTACTCTCTGTTCTATTGACATTGGTTGGGTTGTCCTCCCGGTTACATTTGCAATACTATCGTGTCCATCTTCGTCTGTCTATCTCTGTTTCTTTAACCTTCCACTTGATACTAAACTTTAAAGGTGTCTCCGAGTTTTCCCCATCACGCCTAGCAATGTATCCAGAAGATTTCAGTTTCCATCATTCACGGCGTACAATTATAATTCTGAAGGAGAACTATATTTTGGGTGAGACACCAATGTAGGCTTGATACAAATTGTAAACATAACAACAATAATAACATACTTGTCACCCCATACGGTTTACCCGTATTCTTGTGCAGGGAAATTTAGTTTTTAGGTCCATACGGAGTACAGCCGTTTCAATACCGGCAATTGTTTTTGTCTATTTGTTTGTGTTTCTCCCTTGTGATGGCACGGGGTGACCAGTAAGGTCTGAATTGTTCTGCAATAAGGTAGGGCACTGATAAGGGGTTGACAGGTATGTAATAATAATGATTGGATCTGTGCGAGATGTTCCATTGAACAACCGGTGGGCCTGTGGTCACCACAAACTCAAAACTCCCATCTTTTGAAAGGGTCGAACCCCAGCCGCTCACTTGCTGTGGATTTGTTCGGGTGACCTTTTGACCCCCCACAGGAAGCCATTAAACAAGAAGAGCAGAAAGGGCCACGAGTCCCTGTCTCCGGCAGACATGGTGGTGTTCAGCAGGGTGAGGCCACGCACACCACGGACTCGCACCCACCGTAACTTCTCAGACACACAGAGGTCACGGGTGAGTCCAGGACTGCCAAAAGGGAGGGTGGTGGTGGTGGTGGAAGAGGTCTGGGCCAAAGGGGGCAATTTCTGCAGGAATCTCTGTTTAGCCCCAGGTGAGTGACTCACCAACAGAGTGACTGATGTTAATTCGATGAATGTCGTGGACATGAGATACCCTCACGAATGATGCACGCGTTACCTGCGTCGTTTGCAATCTGTCGAGTGCTGTTCCCGTCATACCCATAATATGAAGTTTTAAAAAGAATGACCACAATGCCGAGTTTAAAATTCATTATAAATAAATCGCTTGTGGAACCGGTAAACTGCATGTAAGCCCTGAAGGACGTAAAAAGACGTCTGAATAAATGCGCTGCGGCGAACACACCTGACGGTAGCTCTCTGCGTGCGTAAGTCCTCGTGAGGGTTTTTTTTTTTAACGGCCTACTTTAGAAAATGAATCTCGAGGGAAATCCCTCTGTGCGTGTTCCGCAGAACCCGATCCAGGATTCACTCATTGACATCAAGGACAGCAACCTCAACAAGCAGGCGGTGGAATCCTTTCAGAGTGAGTGGTTGACCGGTAACGGGACGGAAACGCAGAGCTTGAGTTCCAAAAAATGTGTCCACGTTTATGTTGACGGTGTGTAACGTGCATCCCAACGTTAAATAATCGGGCCCGCACGTTGCCTCAATAAAAACAAATATTTAAAAAAGTATCCACGCTTTTGTACACCTCCCTTCATCGAGTAGTGCACTGACAATGGCCTATACATCGCAATATTTTAAAAGATATAACAAAAGAAAACAACGCCGTCACGATGAGAACATGTTGCGTCGTCGCTCCGTTGGTGTCGCACGCAGCGGTTCATTTTATCGCTGTTGGCGAGATGTGTGCTTAGCTCGCGTTGTGCGTGTGTACCTCTACCCCACGCACAGCCATCATGAGGTTCATGGGAGACTTGCCGTCCAAGGGATCCGACACGGAGTGTGTGTACAGCCTTCTGCGGGTGAGTTTGGCGCGATCGCCGTTTCGCTTGGTTCAAAAAATCACGATGGCCGGGACGGTGACGTGGCATTGCGGCGGCACATTTCGCCCACCTGTTGTTACAGAGGTCTCTGGCTTGAATCCAGCGGCTGCCCTTTTCCTCGAGTGTGTCCCCTCGTTTAGGTATTTTTATATGTGTCTTGATTTTATAGGTAGGACTACCTTCGCTTAAGTTATACAGTAAAGTATTGCGTTGACCCCTTTAGTGGAAGCGAGCTTTTACTCGAAAATTTTATGGAATGGAATGGAAAAATGAATTATTTAATACTGCGGGGTGTAACAAACCGCCATGCTACTACGGGCCGCCTGCCCCGCTCACGATTGTCGCCCAATAACCCCCCGGATGTCGTCCGCGAGAGTTGTCCATCGTGTGTGGCGGAATCGGGGCTACAAATTTGCCAATTTTGAAAATGACACCGCAAAGGATTCATTTGGGATTACACGCAGCAGTAGCAGCAGCAGCAGCAATCATCACCCCCCTACTGGCAGATGAATGCTCGCTTGCAGGCCATGTGCTGAGTCACGATGTTGCCGCACAGGGACAGCTGCTACTGTGAGGTTGTGCTCTTTCAAACGTGTTGAGTTTTAACTGTGCAGAGTGTTGAGTGCGAACTTCCTCGAGTTTTCACCCGAGTACTTTGCATTCCTTCCACGTGAAGGCAAACACTCCTTCATGGAATTGGCCAAAGATCGCAACGGCAGGATTCTCCTGAAAAGTATTCTTAAATCTCGTAGAGGCTGCCCCCTCTCGGGTAAATAAAGCGCGTTATTACTATTTACTGTTGTTGTGCATGCACAGACTTGGGTTCACGTGGCACGCGTGCATTGTGTGCCCTGGCAGTGTGGGCATCAGGACGTATTGAAGGATGAGATCTACTGCCAAGTCATCAAGCAGGTCACCAATAACCAAAGCAACAAGCCGTAAGACGCACGCACGCACGCACGCCTAGACGCGCGCGTCCCCAAACCCTTTGCGTGACACCTCGCACGGGCGAAACGCCGACTCTCTCGGACGTGAGGAAACCGACAGGAGTTGGAGCGTTTCGGGAAAAAAAGTGCCCAAAAAGTAGGGGGCAAATAAATAACGATGCATCGAATCGTCAATTAATACAGTTTGTTATCGAATAATTCTTGTTCGTTTGGATTGACAGAGTGCCCCGTCGTGCATGTTGTACGTATGTTGAACTTCTTTCGCGCCGTACGGTCGCCGGCCGTGCTAACCGGAGTGTCCGAACGCGGTCGTCGTTTGCTGCCGGTGATGATCCCCTTGGCCGTCCGTGCAGGGACAGCGCCCAGAAGGGCTGGCGGCTGCTCTACATCATCACGCCGTACTTCAGGTGCACGGAAGTCCTCAAGCCGTACGTGGTCTCGTATCTCCACGGCCTGGCCAGCAAGCCCTCCCCCTTCCAAGGTACGCCGCAAGCCCGCCATGCGTGCGGGGGAGGAAGGGGGGCGAGGAACAGGGAGGCGGGGGGGGGGGTCACTCCCTGCTAATGGATCCCCATTGACGGCGCAGCACCTTGCCGGAACGGGACACCGCAGTGGCGAGATGTTAACTCCTTCGCCTGGTATCCAGGAGGTCGTGGGTTCGATCCGGATCTTGACGCCTGCACGTTTATAGTTTGCATGTCTCTCTCCCTCTCCCTGTGATCGTGTGGATTTGTATCCTGGTCCTCTGGTTTTTCCTTCAACATTTAGAATCGTAGAATCGACATCACCCGTTTGGAGTGTTTAGCTGCTAGACATTTCCACGTGATGAGCTTTCATTTGTAGCCAAGTTCGCTTCTGAAAAGGAGCTATACAGCTCAGTGTACCTTAAGCTGGTAAAATAAAAACGACTTTCGTTGTTAATTGACTCGTTACTCTCGTCTCGTCACGGTCGGTCGTGCCGAGGTCCCTGGTGGGGGGTGGGGGGGGGGGGTGTCGGGAAAGCATCACGCACATTGTACCGATTATGTAACTCTTTCAAATGCTTGCTTGATAGAAAGCTGACCGGGGTAGTTGCCAGGGTAAATACGTTTCATATTTGCACTTAGTCGTCTTTTTTTGCTGATCCCCTAGTGCGGCCCCATGCGCCCGCGTGTGCCCGCGCTGGTCCCCTCGAGTGCCCGCGTGTTGCCACACACGTGCCCACGAGTGTCTGTGGTGATCCCCGTGTGCGCATTCGTGTGCCCCCCGTGTGCCCGCGCAGGAATGGCCAAGGTGTGCGAAGAGCAGCTCCAGCAGACGCTGGTGTGCGGCGGGCGGCGCAACGTGCCCAGCGAGGTGGAGCTCGTCGCCATGATGGTACGACGACGATGACGGCGGCGGAGGAGGAGGGAGGATCGCGATTGCGAGAGTCCCCGGCCACTCGGGTCTCACCCGAGTCGTTCCGTTTTCCCGATGATTTTGTTCAGACCCAATTGCCAATTCGGCTCGACTCTTGTCATCTTGATGCAGCGGTGGGGGTATTAGGGTTCATCGTCACAAACCGAGTGGTTGGTGATCGGCGTTTTCTTTTCCAGTCGGGAAGGAACTCCAAGAGGCAGCTCTTCAACCTGCCCGGTGGCATCGACAAGTTCTTCAAAGTGAAGACTTGCACGGTGAGGCCCGCGACACTACTCACGCGCGCGGCCCTTCCCCGTGCCTACGGCCGGACGAAGGGCAACTTACGAGTCGGTGTCCAGGTCACATGGCCAGGGGCCGTGGCTTTAGCCGATGTTGTGCGGACGGATTGCTTCAGTGGTTCACTATCTGGGCTCCCGTGGAGACCCATAGACTCGCAGAGACCTGTTGACTATCATAGAGACCCACAAACTCGCATAGAGACCAACAGACATGCATAGAGACCCACAGAGAGACCCATAGACTCACATACAGACTGACAGGATTTCCGAGGGAAACATTAAATCCCACGAATTTTTCAGTGGGATCAGCGATCAGGTCCCTCCTGGGAATATTGGTGTTCGCTCCAGATCCGTCATCGCCATTTACCGGAGGCGCTGAAGCCGAAGCCCACGAGGAGCTGGCGCTGCGTGCGCGGTGCCATCGCGGCGGGGGAATCTGCCAGAGGTCACCGGCTCGCGTCGGCAGGTCGCGTGTGGCGGGGCATGAAGTGTGCGCGCTCCCACCTATTTCAAGACGTCGAGGCCAGCGTGGTAGAGCAGGCCAAAATACCCAGTTTGGGGGGGATGAGGCGGGCTCTCCGGAGCTCCCTTTCCCGGAGGCCCCTTCTGCCAGCAGTGGCACGCAAGCAAGCAATTGCAGGGCTGCACCTTTACCATTTAAACTGGTCGAGCACGATTTTTCCTCTGGCAGCGAGCACCACCCACCCCTCTGCGGGTCACCGCGGGTGCCTTACCACCACGGCTAGAGGGGGGGAGGCATGGGGCCAGTGGGCACAGAGGAAGCGGTGCTGGGCCGTGAGCCGTGAGTCGGTGTTGCGGGACGCAGGTGGCCATGGACGTGCTCGGGGAGCTGTGCAAGGAGATGGAGCTCAGCAACCCCCAAGCGGCGCACGAGTACGCCATCATCGCCCTGTGCAACAGCGGTGAGAAGTCCCCACAATGGCCCCCCCCCCCCGATTCCCACACCCCCCGCGACTCATCCCATCCGACTTGATGTGGGGGCGGCGACGAACGAATCCTTTCGTCCGTCATTATCCACGCATTTTACTCCTCTTATCCGTAATGGTCGTCGTCGTCGGCCATGATCAATCCACCGCTGGATGAAGGCCTCCCCCCCCCCCCCCCCCTCCAAGCCCTTGACACGTCTCGCGAGCTCCCGCGATACGGCGGGCCGTCTGGCACGTTCGTCGCGCTGGGGGGCAGTGTCCTGTCGCGGGCGCCCTCCGTCGTTGTCGTCGACCGCCGGAGCCGTCCATTTGCCCCTCTCGAACGACGCGCGCCACCCCAGCAAACCTTTAGGCTCCTTAACAGGTCGTCGGTGTCGGTTGTCTCGTCCGACTTCAACCACTCCGCTCGTGGCCCGCGGGCAGGTTCCTTCAAGAAGCCGCTGGTCAAGCGCGAGTACGTGATGGACGTGGTGGGCGAGGTGGAGAAGATGGACCCGGCCTTCACCTTCTGGATCAAGCGTGTGGTCTGGGGCCGGCCGCTGGTGCTGTCCAACAGCCTCTACATCACGATGCACTTCAACCAGGTGAGGCGGGAGACCCGGCCATGCACCACACGCTCACAGGCCTGGACGCTCGTCCGTGGGCGGAGCTATGGGGAAGGTTGGGGGGGCGGCTATGGGGAAGGTTGGGGGGGCGGCTATGGGGAAGGTTGGGGTCGGGGTTATGAGGAAGGGTGGGGGGAGCTATGGGGAAGGGTGGGGGGGGGCTATGAAGGGTTGAGGGGGGGCAGTGAAGAAGGGTGGGGCCCTCACCCTGTTTCAGCCCTTGCCAACCGCCCTGCTCCGCGTCGTTGTGCCACCGTCTGCCTCCAGGTGCGCCGCGACTTCTCGATGGGCCACCTGCTGGCGCTGCCGTCGGGCCGGCCCACGGAGCAGCATTTGAGCATGGTGGCGCGCATGGCCGCGCTGCAACACCGCGCCAAGGAGGACCGGCAGCCCCCGAGCCCGTGAGTGCCCCCCTTCGCCACCTGCGCGGTCAATACGGGTACTCGGAGCGGGGGCTCGTCCGAGTCGGCACGATCGCTCGTCGCTGACGGCCGCGTGTTGTGCTCCTGCAGGAAGGACGTGGAGTCCTACATCCCAGCCATCTGGTTCCGGATGCAGTCTCCGTCCAACTGGCAGAGCCTCATCTCGCAGCAGCTCAATGACGTGCATGGCATGAGCGCCCTTCAGGCCCGGACCACCTTCCTAGGTGAGTGGAGATCCCTCCAGATGGCACTAGACCAGAGGGTGCGCAACTAGCAGATCACACTAGGCTGGGTGGGTGAGTGGGTCTCCTCCACATTTCGCGATACCGTCTAGGTGAGCGAGTATTCACTGGATTGCACTCAGCCTCTTGGTTATGCTGCATTGGTGGGAAGTTATTCTCCAGATTTCACTGGATTGGGTGGGTGCGCAACTTCCCGATTACGTTCGACGAGAGGGTATCTTCCGATTTCGCGAGGCAGGGCGAGTGAGCCTCCTCCAGACAGGACTGGTCACGTTGTGTGGCCTTTTGTCCCACGATTTGAATGGGCCAGTGTCCAGGTGGCATCACGAATGTTAGACGAGCCATACAGGCTCCATCCAGGCAATCTTGAAAAGGTATCAAAAGCGATTTCTGAATCCAAGGAGAAGTGTCGGTACGTTCCTGTGCCAACAATCAGTTAGGCAATTGAACCTTATGGCAGTACCCCGGCTCTCACATAATGTCCGTGATGCAGTCATTTGTAGTCTGTTGATGGTCGGCGATGCGCCAATCGACTCATCTCGACGAGCTGTACACAATGCACCACGTGGTGCCGTACGAGCAGTTCAGGGTTTCGGCGCAATCGTCCTCGCTGCATTTCGACATCGTGGAGCAGCACCGATTTCGGATTGATTTCGGATTGATTTCATTGCCTCGGCCATTTTGTATTATTTGGTACCCCAGGGTACCGCCATAAGGATCAATTCCTGAAAAGCAATTAAGTTAGCCTCCCCCCCCCACTCTAATAGCTTGCAGGTCTTAAACCGTAATGTGCCTCCAAAGCCAGTATTGTGGATGCCGTGTGTGCAGTTTGACCAAAAGCGGCACCGCTAATTGCGTGCCTTCTCTTTGACTCGGCCCTCCAACAACACCGAGTGCTTGTCCCCCCTCACCCCCCGTCGCTCTCCTTCTGCTCCTCCCCCTGCTCACCGTCCGCCCGCAGAAAAGATGAGCACCCTGCCCCTGTTCGGCTCCAACTTCTTCAACGTGAAGGGCAGCGGAATCCCCCCGTGCCTGGGGGCCGTGAACCTCAAGGGGCTGCAATTCGTCAAAATCGAGAACGCGGTGCGTGCCCTCCTGGGTCACGACGCGCGACCTCGGCCGCCCGTGGCGCCAGCGTAGCGTGGCCGCGTGGCCTCGTGTGTTTCGCGGGAGCGGGCAAGAGTGCGGTTCAACATCTGCTACGGGGTGTTGTCACATTTACTCAATCCCTCCACCCATCCCAGCTTCGTTCGTGTCCGGTTGATGCTTTGTTGTCAGTACATTTACCCACGCCAACCTAAACCCCACACCCCCCCTCCACCCCAAACTGCCTACCGCCTGCTGCGCGATTCGATGGATCTGCTTCCATAAAGCCTCTAGATTTTCATTCACAATTTGATTATAGATCTTGTTTTCTTTTTTTACATTGCTGCGAATAGCTATGTCTCGCGCAGCCTCTGCAATGGGTCAGGTGAACGCGTTGTTACATGGAGCATATACGACTCCCAAGTAACAACTGTCATACGAATACGATTCAGTACGTATATCGCAAACACAACAATATCAGTCAACGATTCATTACATCGTTGCGCCCCCTATCTTTAGCTGCTGCTACATATTTGTCAGTTTGGCCCAAGCGCCGCCATGAGTTTGTGCAGAACCGCTGTAGACGATTGTCTCCTCCTTTGCTTCGCCAGGAGCCCTTCAACATCATGCACCTGCGAGACATTAACTCCGTCAAGGCCCTGCCGCCGACCAAGTCCATGAGTCCGCAGCTCGAGATCATATCGGGGAACCAGAGCTCCCGCAAGACGACCATCTTGGAAGTCCAGCATGTAAGGGCCAACGGCGGAGCCGACAGCCATTCGTAACCGAATACGATGGGAACGCGCGTGCGTGCAGGCGGTTCATGAATAGTGGCTACGGGCGCATGCTGCTCACAACCCAGCAGCAAGGCACGACTCCCGTCACACGCGTGGCGTCACGTGGCCACCGCGTTGCACGAGCCTTCGAGTTGGCGGTCAAGACAAGGCTGAGAGCATTGTACATGCAACGCGGTGGTCTCGTGACACGCACTCGCGAATCTATGGCACCGAAACCCAGGGTATGGCCACAGCCACCCCTGGCGAGGCTGTCAATCTTCACAGCCTCTCCCTGCTATGCCCGTGACTTGTCCACATTCGTTCATGGAATTACGAAGCCAGGTTTGATCGTTTGTCCAATCCGCAAAGTGACTGCAAAAGCGTTCACGAGGGTTCTAGATTTGAAGCTTTAGTGACTGCAAGGATTCATATTCTTAGGTATTTGCAAAAGCGTTCACGAGGGGGCCCGGGTGGCAATAGCACAGAGCTTGCACCCACAGTGGTATGTTCCTGGGTGCAATTGCGAGCAGCCGTCTGCAATTATATTGGATTCACAAATTTAGCGAGTTGTTCTCAGTGCAATCACCACGTGTCTGCAAAAAATATATAATCGTGTAAAAAGTGTTAAATAATAGTTTTGAGAATTAAAAGAAGTTTGGTGCAGAGTGTGTAGGCTAATTGCTCCCCTAGTGTGGGTAAAAATAGGTCAAAGGAATTTCAGGAGTGGTTCTGTGATATCACCTTCCTCGGACACCTCTTTCCTGGAAGAGATTTTGCCGTTTGCCACTGAAGTGGTAGTGGTGACACCACTGGCTGGCCTGTACAGTGTTGTCGTTATAACACTCGGCAATCGAGGAAAGTCTCACTGTATCAAGACACCTTGTCAGGAGGGTCCTGCCAAGTTTTCGCACGAGTGGGTGATGTTGCTTGTGTGTAAAGCCCCAAGTGAGTACCTTACAGGAATATTTTTCAGCATTGGGATGTTTGTTCAATACCACGTCCATTGTTTCTTTTTAGCTATGGGAGGAACACTGAGAACGCGTCAACCCATGCGAAACAGGGGAAGAGAATTTTGATTTAAAGCTTTCGTGACTGCAGGGATTCATCTTCTTGGTTCTTTCGGTAAAGTCACGTAGAAGGGAAGTAATAAAATAATAAAAATAAAACATAATAAAATTATTCTCACGACGTTTCGGCCACAACGCAAGCAGCCGTCCTCAGGTGAATGTTTCAGACTCTGTCGCCTCGACGGACCTGGTTTTCACCTGAGGACGGCTGCTTGCGTTGTGGCCGAAACGTCGTGAGAATAATTTTATTATGTTTTATTTTTATTATTTTATTACTTCCCTTCTACGTGACTTTACCGAAAGAACCAAGAAGAGGGGAAGAGAACTTAAACTCCACGGAGAAAGGCACCCGAGGAATCGGGGATCGAACCCAGGCCCCTTCTTATTGCGTTGTTGTTCTTTCCCCACCTCCGCTGACGTGCCCGCTCTCGGTTCCGTGTGCCCGCAGGCGATGGAGATGTGCCACAACATGAGCATACACATTGAAACCATGATGGGGTCACGGAGCTGAGGCGGCGCCTGACCTCGGCGCCGGAGCTTCCTCGGAGCGGCGACAGGCCCGCGACAGCGCTAGGAGCAGCTGTGGCGGCCACATGTGACGCACCACGAGACGGTCCACGTGAGAGACCAGGATATCCCACGACAGCCTCTGCCTGGACATTTGAGAGCCCGTTAAATATCGATACCCCACACACAACAGTACGTGGACAATCCATGACAGTCAATGTGACAGCCTATGGCACCTCATGACGGTTCATGACATACGAGTTATTAGATGTGACAACCCATGTAACAGTCCCAAGACATCTCATAATAGCCCACCACATATCAATGTGTTATACCACGTGACAGCCCAGAACATTGTGCGACAGCCAATATGACATCCCACTTGATAGCCCCGCCGAATGGCTCAGTATTTCTCTGGTACCAGCTCGTGGATGGACTTTCTGCTAACACTCCCGCGCAGGCCCGAAGGGTCAGACCACATGTACCTTGTACTGTGGGGGCAGCTAGCAGGAGGGATACTGTGGGGGAAAACACTTACTCCGTTTTTTGTTCCAACAGCTGCTTTCGTTCCAACAACCCGAGTTCCCACTGGTACGACCTGCGTTGCATTCCCTGATAGTGCACCGGCCTGCTCTCAACCCATGAAAATGTTAGAATGTTGTGAACTTACATTCCAGACGACTCCGCAAAAACTAATTCAAGCACAAACCGAATTCATAACCAGGGTCACAATGAATGCAATGGGCTGTTAGCCCCAGAGTCCACTGTTTTAAACGCACTGGGCACCGCTGTAGTGAGTGATATGTACATAATGCTGTAGTGATTATATTAGATATACTTTGGAGATACAAAAAAAAAGTTTTGTGTAGAATTTCGGTTGGGTGACGCCAACGACTAACCAGGTGAATGCACCTGCTCAGGGCACCGCCACCGTTCCTTTGGTCCGAAGCTTCAGCAGCTGCTGCCTGTGATCACTGCAGATTACACGTAGGCATCTTCTGCAGCCCAAACAAATGGGATGTTAATTTTTGTAAAACTTTTCGAAATGTTGTAAATCGACTCCGTTGTACTTTCGAGCATTGACGAGATTCACGCATGAAGCGCCGACACTTAATTGGAGAATGTGCCAATTAAAATACTCTGCGTCAGCTATGTGACCTCGTTAAGTGTGGGGAGGGGGGGGCATACACGCACTCAGGGGGACCACAGCCACTGTTAAACTCTAGACATGTTATTTGTTAAACAGCATGAGTAACGGTGCAATGTACTCGTCCATTGTGCGTTCCCAGCTGCACTTACTCCCCCCCCCCCCACTTATGCATAAGAGGGAAAGCTGACGCCCGTTACTTAAAATTTCCTCGTTTTGGTACCGACATTTCTTTCACTATTTCAAGAATGTAGACCCTGGGGGAACTCGGCGCCCTCGAACCTGCTCCTGGCCGGCACTACGGCTGGTGCGCGTAGAATCGATGTTAATTCAACTTAAATTGAAGCTTTCGTGAGTGAGAGAATTACTCTTTGGTTCTTTCGGTAAAATCACGTAGAAAGAAAATAAATTAAACACAAGTAACCGATGTTGCAATCGAAACGTCGTACCCCATTATTTAATTTATTTTCTTTCTACGTGACTTTACCCAAAGAACCAAAGAGTCGATGTTAATTGTGCATGGCAGTCTAAGATTGTCAATGTAATCGCGGGTATATTTTGTAGTGAAAGCACAATTGTAGAACGATTAAGCAGACGATCCAACAGGGAATTTGTATATGCCCAAGATATTTGATCCGAATCTACTTCAGCCGCATACCCCGCTCTTAACCGCTGCCCTTCTTTAACTCTGCGATATACGTAAATGTTCTTGACGATACAGCAATCGTGCTGTGACGGTTCCACCTGAAGACGGAAGCTTGTGTTGCCTCCGAAACGTCGTGATTTATTTTATTTTACTAATTTTAATTTACCTACCTGACTTTACCGAAAAAAAAACCTAAGAATGAGGCTGCCGCTGCCCGCGATCAGGACTCGCAAACAGCCCTTGGCAAAAGGAAAGGAAATCTGAATGCAGATTTTAAACTGTGACAGCCGCAGTCGTAAACAATCGCCGAGCGCAGACGTCAACTCTACCGCCTCCTCCCTTCTAACGTGAAAATTAAGTCGATTCAAAAGTGTTAAGGTTTCCAGATTATTGTCTTTTTCTCTCTCCGCATTAATCGGATTACAATTTCGTCACTTGTAGCTTTACTTGGAAATAAAATTGTTTTCACCGCGTGCGGACTCCGGAATGCATTGGCTCAAGATCACGTAAAGGATTCCAGAAATGCTTCTCATGTCTCTGAGCGCTACACTGCGGCGGGGGGGGGAGTTTTTTTAAACCCTTCAAAAATGCCGCAAATATACATTGCGTCCTTCCCATTGATTTTCCCAAACAACATTTTTACTGAAATAAATGGCAGTTCAAATCAAGTGGCGAATTGCAAAACCCAGTGCCATTCTAGGCACGTGGGGGAGCAGTAATACAAATTTAAAATAAAGGATACTTCTCAACCGCCTTTCACCCGGAGATCACAAGTTGCTGTACAACACACGCAGGCTCACAGCAAATGCAGCGCAACCCTAAAACACAAGGATTCAAGAGATATTTTAAAAAAATCCCTTAATACAAGCGCGTGCTAGGACGCGATGTGAATAGTTGACATCCGTGTCAATCCACTGCTGGATGACCTCCCCACCGCCCCCCCCCCATGCCGTGTTGGTTGTGGGGAGGGGGGGCTCATCCAGAACTCACGCGTTTCCATCCGCATTGTAAACGACGCCATGCGCAACACAAGAACAACAGTCGACAAAGACGCCGCCGTAGTGAATAAACCCTGTATTCGTAAAATGCGTCTGCATATAATAAAGTCTTTTGAAAAACACATTTTTTTGACGAGGTTGCCAAGAGGAATACAATAATGACACGACTTACCAAGGACTCTTATTAAATACATTTGGTTCAACTCTGTTTCCAGCACAGCAGTTAACCGGTCAATTTGGCCAAAAGGCACATGGAACTGCGTCACCATCAGTTTTCTTTAAGTTAGCCTTATTCCAGATTAAAGCGTTAATTTATCCGATTAAAAAAAAATCTCTATCCGTTTTTAATCTTAAAAAATATAATTTAAGCGGCAATCTTTAGCAGCAAAGTACATTCCATTTGGCACTTGCAATTTGTATTTTTTTTCATAGCTGTGCAGCAAACAGTGCTTTTCGTGACGTGTAGATAAAATGTCAAAGGAGTTTAAAAAAATACACTACGCGAGGCAGTGGGCTGGGGGCCACGGTGACCTATGGGGGAACTCTGTGACACCGTGAACATCCGCAGCAGCGTACGGCAAGCAGCACTGGCCTCCTGTCACAGACCAGTCCATAATAACAATTGCAATATACCCATCCACCAAAGCGTCACAGAGTCCCAATAGCCCTTTTGTTTGTTTGTTTGGAACAGTTTCCAGTTTTAAGGTGTGCACGTTGAACTTATTTCGCACCGTACGTAGCCAACCGTGCTAATCGGAGGTGCCGGGAGGACAACAAACTGAACACAACAAAATAGTTCTAAAGAAATGGGATTTCAATCTAGATGTAACAGGTGTGTTGTACCAATATGGGAGAAGTGAAACATGCGAGTGTGGAGAAAACTACAAAGCATACGACGACGGGTAGTGCTCAACAAAGGTCCGAACAGACAGGTTCGTGAACCCGCACGCTGTACTGCCATCACATTTTCTTTCACTTCACAGCCAAAGCGGCTTTTAATAGTGTAGTAGCTATAGCGATCGTGTCTACGACGGTTCAACAACCCAATGTCAAAGTATCTCCTCATTCCAACAATTGTCATCTGGGCCGAGCGGCGTACATTCCATATTCCCATGGTGGGAGTCAGGTGGGCAACCCACATGGGGCGTACCTATTTTATCAACCGTATCAATGATGGTGATTATGACAGGTTTAACAGTAACCTACCGTCAGGGATTTGAACGGGCAACCGAGTTGACAGTCAAACATTCTAAACTCCAGCGCAAACCTGGCCTGATAGCATGTCAAATGCAACACGTGGCATGACTGAAACAAATGTTGAGTGGCAGTCCGTACCAATGCCAATGGGAATATGTAACGGCCTCTTGCATTGCCATTGTCCGAGCGTTACATAGTCCTGAAACAGCGGTGAAGATTTCACGTGCCTGGGGCAAGCCACAAGAGAAACAATGAGTTAATAACTTGTGACGCACACAGTATTTGCTCACTCGAACAGGGGGAACGACGCAGAGGTGCGAGGAACCATCGACAAGCCACACAAAGAGCCGTCACGCCAACAATTGCTAAAGACGTTAAACACGTGCGTACAAGTGCTGCGGTCCTAAATATATTTCGGTGTTATTGGCCAATTAACGAGTGTTTACATGTTGCGATTAAAGATCACGATTTGATTCAAGAGTCGCTTCTATGTCCACGTCGTAGTGGCTGCAGCATTGACAAGAACCCACTGCGGGTATCATAAAAACCTAAAAAAATTAAGTTTCTTATACGCGCGATTCTTACACACACCGCGAGTGGATGCATACTTCCGCCGCTTGCACACGCTTAGGCACAATATTTAGCAACGCTAAGATGCGGTTGCGTTTAGGCAGTCGACAGCGTGTGCATGCACAGCCCCTGTTGCCTATTACCACTGCTGGAAGACCTCCCCCCACGCCACGTAAGTCGTGGGGGTTGTTTGACCATACTTCACCATGCTGGTCAGTGCGGGTCGGTGAATGCGGGAAGTGCAGTCACATCTGAGCACAGTACGGTACAGCAATGGCATTTTTTTGCGCAAATTATCCGTACACTTCTATGCAATACAGAGGTGACCGACGACTTACTCACCACCAAGAGGTTTAGCTTCACGGGGTGGTACCTATTTTATCTACCCTGGGATTCTGATGATTGATTGATGCTGATAACAATCATCATGATGACTGACAGTAAAGATGACCGACGCTGCCGGTGATGCTCGTGATGTTGGCGGTACGATCGGCGGCAATGCTAACAAATGTGACGATGCAAATATCCCTTTTCAAACGAAAATAAAAATCTAAGAAAATTTAGTCGAACCTATTCACGCAAAACAAAAACTAATTCTCACAATGTCCCAAGTTGCAAGCCACCTCTTCCGATCCGAGGTCGTGAATGAGAGTAAAAGCATTTAAAGTCTCGTGATGTGGCTGCAGTGTCAATCGTATAAGTCTCAGTATGTCAATGCATGCTCCTGATTGTCACTGCAAGTCTTTTTCTCATTACTCAAAGCTGCAGGTCCTCGTGGTGGACAAAGTAAGCATCTACAATAGAAGAACCGTTTTTTTTTAATGTCTTGCCGAGGCTTGATTCTCATAAACTCCTGTACTCACAACCCACCATGGGTGCGGTCCTTACCACTTTTACCAATCTTCAGTTCACGTATAAATGTGCTCGTTTCTACGCAATGAGGTTGTTACAAATGAGGTTGTTATGTGTGCCCAAGGATTGGTAAGCATGTCCCACATGACGCAGAGGGCGCCGATTCAAAATTTAGATATTGATCCCCGTTTGTGTGTGCGTGTTGGCCTCATGTATACAGGGAGTGCTAATAAAATTTGCCGCGATGTACGGCTGCGATTCGATTCAAGAACAGGTTATTGTTTTTACGTTTTGGTGAATGTGGCTGCAAGAGTTAAGTGAACTCATCACATACAGCAAATACGATTCTATGCGATTCAATGCACGTATCGTCGTGAAGTGTCGATATGGATGGAATATCCGACACGTGGTGATGTTCGTACAAATTCAGTTCGCGATCCTAGCGCATGCACGTACGTGCACTTTCGTGCATTCCTGATGAAGATTGACAAACGCTGAAAGCCACACCGTGGCGGGGCACGCAGGAGCTGCAGATCAGGAGGCCCCCGTTTCACGCCCGTCTAAGACGCTGCGCCAAGCAACCGTCACGTGACGACATCAGCTATCTACAGACTACATCGGCGATGTCCAGTTTAACTCTTCTGCGCCATGACGCAGCTTGCGCGGTTGGAGCCGTGTTTGGCGGCCACTTCGCCCGAGGCGCGGTGCGACGTCTCGTGACCAGCATGCGACGTAATTAGGAAGTCCACACCTGTGAATAGAGAGACAACGTAGGCGACACGCCAATTAATAATTAGTCTGCTTCTCGTCCATGGCCGCGCATACAAAGGGCCGGCGAGGATCACGGACAGCAGCGGGAATTCCGAACTACACTGGGTGAGGGCCAGTCTCCACCCAAGACGACCACCGTCGCTGCAAAACGGCATAAATGTTACTCGCTCCAGAGACGCGATGGGCTGAATCGACCACCGGCAAGTGCGGCCACCGTTTTTATAAACGGGGTCTTCATTTAACGAACTTTGTGGCAACGAGCGAATAAACGAATGCTTAATTGAACGATGAAGTGAGTAAACTGAAGGATGAGCGAATGAACGACAATGGGATGGCCGCCCTTCCGTGCCGCACCCCCCCCGCCCTCCCCTGTAATGCCCTGCACCCGCCCCCCCAACCCTCCACTGGCCTCTACCTTCACGGTGCTGTCGACGGCGCCGGAGAAGAGGCGTCCACGGGACACGGCGAGCGCCGTCACGCTGCCCTGGTGCCGCACCAGCGTCTGCGTGCAGATCATGTTGTCCATGCTCCACACCTGCACACAAAGACAAAGGTCGCCCCCACGTTTAGCCTCAACAGACTGTTGGGGTCAGTGCCGTTAGCGAGCGCTACTAAAGGCCGGCACAGCACACGAGGGGGTGGGGTGGTCAGCGGCACGCCCGGCCGCCTTTGTCTCTCCCGTGGTGATGTTTACACATCGCACCGAGTACTCATTCAAGGCCGAGTCAATATAGGGGAGGTCCAGCAACGGCTCAGATATCCGTCACCGATGTGCGCACACACACACCTACGTGGAGTGGAGAGACGAGATGCATGCACAAATGGACTCGCAATAAACTGCGAGACCCAGTATACCAATGACACCCAGCCTCACAATGACACCCAGTCTAACAGTAATTTTGCCCCCTTTTGACGAGCCGAGCACTCAGGCTCCTGTGACCCGCTGGGCCCCAGTGCAGTCGCCAACGCCTGCCTGCTCGATCGCTACGCCACTGCTTTCGCGTCCTCCACAGCTTTGGCCGTGCGCTGGCACCGAAGGTATAAGAGGTAACCGCTGCCACCACCGCCGCCAACGCCGTTGACGCCGCTGCCTCCGCCGCCGCCACCCACCCTGAGCGAGCGGTCGTAGGAGGCGCTGAACACTTTGGTCTGGTCGGGCGTGGAGATGACGGCCAGGTCGTACACGGTGCCCACGTGGCCCGTCAGCGTGCGGATGCACTCCTTCCGCTCCAGGTCCCACACCTGCATCGCGGCATGAGCACACAAAGACAAAGGTCGCCCCCCACACCGCGTGTAAGCCTACGTAGGCCTGCGGGGGCAGGTGCTGTTGGCGAGCACCTGTTCAGGCCGGCAGGGCGCACCGAGGGGGGCTTTGTTAGCCGTCGCGGTGCCCAGGCTCGGTTGTCTCCCCCCAAAAGTGGGTGGGGGTCGTTGAGCGTGTTGGTGGGTGAGCCAGCCAACTTAGTGGCTGAGCAGGTGGACGTCTGAGCCAACGAACGTTTGGGTCGGCGCGTGAGTGGACTGGTCGGCGAGTGGGTGAGTGGGTGAGTGGGCGCATGGACAGACAGGTGAGACTGAAGCCGTTTTGGTCACTAAGCAATTGAGGGCAGGTTTGTGAGCGGCTAGGTGGGCGAGCGGGTAGGTAGGCAGGCGAACGTCGAGGGTGGACGCACGTGGATGACGTTCTCGTAGGTGCCGCACACGATGTGGTGCGAGGTGACGGCGATGGAGTAGACGCTGCCGCCCGAGGTTTCGAGCACGTGCGCGCACTCCAGCGTGCGGATGTCCCAGATCTTTGAACAAACGCAACGAGCGAGAGGTCACATCACAATGCATGCACTCGGCTCAGTGATTGTTACGCGACGCGCTGGGCCCGATGCCAACTCGCCTGGAACACTGCAGGCACGAACCTCACGCCCACCATATCCATGACTTTTTGTATTTTTCTTAAGATACATGCATCTAACTGCACGTTTGAGATTTGAATATTCTAGAATCGTAGGTGTATGTAATCATTACATGCCTGAAAATTATAATAACAAGCGCAAATCTCGTTTTCAATGTCTATAGTCAAGGTAGTGGTGGTGGTGACAGTAGTTGTGGTGGCAGTGGTGATGGTTGTGATGGTGGTGGTCACAGTGGCAGTCTGGTAGGAGCCGCTGTAGAGGTGGTAATGATGATGGTGGTGGTAATGACGGTGGTGTTGGTGGTGGTAGAGGCACCTTGATGGTCTGGTAGGAGCCTCTGTAGAGGTGGTAATGATGATGGTAATGACGGTGGTGTTGGTGGTGGTGGTGGTAGAGGCACCTTGATGGTCTGGTAGGAGCCGCTGTAGAGGTGGTTCTGCGAGGCCACGAGCGCCCGCACCCAGTGGTTGAGTCCTGCCAGCTCCTTCTTGAGGTTGAGCTGCACACCGTCGATATCCCACACCTTTGGCGGGCATTCAGGGGGGGGAAGGGGGGGGCGGTCAAAGGACTTTGGTTACCACAGCCGCTCTGAGACCACGCCCGCCCTGAGCGTGGTCGATCATCGGTAAACGTAAAGGGGGGGGGGAGAATGTGTCCCAAAGTGCGTGCTGTCATTACAAATCATCCGTTCCCAGTGCCGGGAGGTCGGTGGAGGTGCAGAGGCGCGTGCATTTGGGGGGGGTGGGGGGGGGGGGGGTCGCTCACCCGAATGGCCTTGAGCGAGCCACTGAACAGCATGCCGTTGGCGGCGACCAGCGTGCACACCGGGTTGTGGTGAGCCCGCATCATGCTCACCTTCTGCAGCGTCGGGATGTCCCACACCTTGGTCGCACGGAGCACACGGCAAACGCGTCAAACCGCGGCTGCTCGCCCAATCCAGGTTCCAGCTCGTTAACGGCCTCGGTCGTGCGTGCGACGTGGAAACCGGATGATCCTGATTGCTTGTTAACCGTAAACCCAAGCTTAACCCGGTAACCCAAAGCATTACGTAAAGCCTAACTCTAAAGCCTAACTCCTTATCTTAAGCAACCATCACTCTACGCCTAAAAAATATCCCTAAGCTTAACCATAACCCTAATCCCAAAGATTCCTAAAATACCTAAGCATATCCCCTAGCCCTAAATCCTACTCACAACGCACATAAGGGAACGTGACCAATCGTTAGCGCTGGCCATGAGCAAGACTAGCTGCACACCGAGCCCAACCACTCCTTAACCGTAACCACACAGGCACAAATAAACAGAGATACACAGAGGGAAACAGACATGTACAAGCGGAACAGAGCGAGTCGCGTGGAGAGGCATAGAGACACGACGAGAGACGGAGCAACAGAGACAGACACAGGGATCGCCACTCCTGCCCATCGCCCCCACTCATGAGCCCTGTAGACATGGACATGTCTGGTGACGCGGGGTGCCGCCGTGCATCACACTTGCACTGCAGCCAGACTTACTATTATGTTGTAGTCGGCAGATCCGCTGTAGAGCTTGTTGCTGAAAGAGAAAGCAGAGTGTGTGTTAGTGTGTAGGACAAACGCAAGTGTACGCTCGCATGTGTGTGTTTATTTAGGTGCTCGCTAACAGCACTTGCCCTACAGTCTGTTAAGGCTATACGGGGGATATTTTTCTTTGTTTATTTAGGCGCTCGCTAACAGCACTTGCTCCTGCAGTCTGTTAAGGCTATACGGGGGATATTTGTCTTTGTTTATTTAGGCGCTCGCTAACATCACTTGCCCCTTGCACCGACGGTCTGTTGAGGCTATATGAGGAATCGTTGTCTTTGTGTTGTGTGTTTACTGGTGTGGGTATACGTGTGTATGTGAGAATGTGAGAATGTGAGAATGTGAGAATGTGTGCATGCGATTCCCGCTCACTGCCAACAGCAGTGACGATTATCTGAACCGGGTTCTGGACATCCCCTAAGTCGACTCAACCTCAAATGAGTATCTGGTACGGCGTGTATACTTCACCACAAAGGAGACAAAGGCGGTCGGGCGTGATGCTGCCCACCCACCCCCTCGTGTGCCGTGCCGTCCTTCATAGGTGCTCGCTACCTGCACTTGCCCCAACAGTCTGTTAAGGTTATACGGGGGATCTTTGTCTTTGAGGCTATGCAGATGAGCATTTGCTTGTGAACATAAGTGTGTGCATGTTCACGTGCATGCTTGCATTAGCAAGCCTTTGCAGGTTCACGCGAGAGCACGCGTGTGTGTACGCACCTGTGTACGTGCGTGTGCTTGCATGAGCAAGTACGTACGCGTGCATATGTGTTTATGTCCACCTGTGTATGCGTGCGTGCGTCCGCGTGTTACATCCCGCGATGGACAAAATAACCGTGAAACCGTACACTTTCCATCCAACAAGAGGAATGTACCGAACAGCTGGGCATAGCATGAAGCTATGCGGTGGAGGCAGTGTCGTTTCGTGTCTAACGTGCCGCATGGCAACGACGGCTTTTGCATGGCAGCAGCTTCTTCAGTGACGCTAAAAATAGGGCCGCCACGTCCTGGCCAAGATGCAATCCAGCAAAACAAACGACTCCCATCACGTGGCTGCACCTTCTCTCGGCTGCCCGACGACGCGAGCCTGCGGCTTGCGCAACACTTTAAAGTTACGGTCAGGCACAGCAGCGATCTCATGGCGGCTGCGGTAACCAAAGTCCTTTGAAACCCCCCCCGCCCACCACCCCGAATGCCCGCCGCCAAAAGTGTGGGAAGTCGTCGACGGTTGTGCAGCTCAACCTCGAGAAGGAGCTGGCAGGGATCAACCACTGGGTGCGGGCGCTCGTGGCCTCGCAGAACCACCTCTACAGCGGCTCCTACCAGACCATCGAGGTGCCTCTACCACCACCACCGTCATTACCACCACCATCATCATTACCACCTCTACAGCGGCTCCTACCAGACCATCGAGGTGCCTCTACCACCACCAACAAAGACGCCTTCCACCCCCCCCCCCGTATAGCCTTCAACAGACTGTTCGGGGCAAGTGTGCGGCTAGTGAGCAGCACCTATGAAGTTACCGTCAAGCACACTGCTGGAGCCGTTATAGCGTTTCCGGCTGACGTGACTAAGCCCCCGCGTGTTAGGCGGCACTAAAATTATTACGGCGAAGAGCCTGGCCGCCGTTTTATGTCATGAATCAACGCTGCAAACTCGTTGTCGCGACAGGAAGGGGCACGCCAGGCTGGGTATGAGGGGCACGAGAAAGGTCGTCTACCCTCGAGTTAGGAGGAGCGCTGAGAGCCGGGCGGGGGAGCAGGCTGCGAAAAGTCGGTTGTACATTCCTTTAAAGCGTCAAATGTACGCAGGAAATTGTGCAACTTGCCCTCGAGTAAACAAATTATTTGGCGATGCTGCCGCTGCATTTGCGGTGGTGGCACAAGCAGAATTAACACATTCATCAATAGCACACCGTGGCCTTACAACAACAAGCATATGTATAGCAGGTGACATTCCTGGTAATATCCCATCTTCACAGCAAGTAAATCAATACACCCATTAAATGTTTTCATACTCGTGGCGCGCTTTTGGTGAATGTAGTCCATCTGATTTGTGGCCTTAAACAAAAGTATATAAACTGCAACGTTTTCTGGCCAGTAGCTCTCTCATTTTTTCTTAAGGGCCATTGCCTGAAATGTCTTCTATTAAATACCTTTTCTTTTTTTACAGCCACAGTGTTATTGACAAATGTGTTGAATTTTATGCCCTCAAGCATTTCTACAGTCTACGAGTTAAGAGCCGTTTCGCGTTTTCGGTTACGTTTTTATTGCAGCACCACTGTGCGTGTACATGTGTACAGACACACGTCCCTCTGCCGTGTTGAAGCCTCCATGTTTTCACTCACCCCTGTATGCACAGAGCCAGCACAATGCCGTCATGCCCTTCCAATGTCTTCTGGCACTTGTAAGTAGTGCACGTGTCCCACACCTTAGCGAAAGACAGACAGCAATACCCAACAAGCAGCAAAGTAACAATGCACCTCCTCGCAATGAACTTCGTCAACCGCCATGACAGACCCACTCCAGCAAACGCTCGCTCCAACCAACACTTGCTCCAACCAACACTCGCTCCAGCAGACACTCGCTCCAACCAACACTCGCTCCAGCAAACACCCGCTCCAGCAGACACTCGCTCCAACGAAACCCTCGCTCCAACCAATACTCGCTCCAGCAGACACTCGCTCCAGCAGACACTCGCTCCAGCAGACACTCGCTCCAGCAGACACTCGCTCCAACCAACACTCGCTCCAGCAGACACTCGCTCCAATCAACACTCGCTCCAGCAAACGCTCGCTCCAACCAACACTCGCTCAAGCAGACACTCGCTCCAATCAACACTCGCTCAAGCAGACACTCGCTCCAATCAACACTCGCTCCAACTAAACACTCGCTCCAACCAACACTCGCTCCAGCAAACATCCGCTCCAGCAGACACTTGCTTCAGAAAAAACACTCGCTCCAAGACATTCGCTCCAACTAAACACTCGCTCCAATCAACACTCGCTCAAACCAACACTCGCTCCAGCAAACATCCGCTCCAGCAGACACTCGCATCAGATAAAACACTCGCTCCAACGAAACACTCGCTCCAGCAGACACTCGCGCTACCACGCACCTTGATGGTCTTGTCGGACGAACCGCTGAACAGTAGGTCCCCTCCGACGTGCACACAAAGGCACCACACGGGCCCCTGGTGGCCCACAAAGGTGCCCTTGCATTTGAAGATCTGCTGGGGATCATAAGCTGCACACCAGAGATTACTTGATGAGTAAGAGCTCCTCTGCAGGAGGTGGTCATAACTGTCCAACAGCAGAGGTCTCCTCCTTCTCAGACAAGATAATATGAGCAAAAGATAATGCCTCTTATATATATATATTTTAAACAATACGTGTTTTATTTGGGTTAGATCGCGTAAATAAAAATGTGTCGTTAAACCTGCCACCAGCCAACACAGCCAATTAGTAAGGTTTGTCACGTAAACAGAACATGCCAATTCGTTCTAGTATAGCACACTGGTGTGTTGGAGACCAAATCCACAACAGTAACAATCTGAGAATGACGTTTCGCCAGTAACAACAACTAGCATCATCAGACGACAGCCAGACATTTATATTTAGGCGATCTAATCCAAAAAACCTATATTATGGATATCGGTCGCCAAAGCCTACGTGTTAAACTGACGTGTTTGCAAATTGAGCTGATAAAAAAAGTCGTTGATATTCTCATTGGGAATGTCGTGAACGTATGAATAATACATTTTTAGTATATTTTTCAAAATTGTATTCCAATTGTGCTATCGGCACCATATCATGAGACGGAGAAAAAAAAATCCCATTCGGAAATCTCCCAGAGCAGCACTTAACAACCATGAACGGTCCGCAAAAGGTGCCATCACAAAACTACTTCTGAGACCCCTTCAAGTGACCTCTTATCCACATTAACGGTGATACATTCTCCCGCATTCCCCGACTGCAATAAATAGAGATATTTTATTTTAAGGCGGTGTTATTTAGTCTTCAGCGTTAGAATTTAACGCGATGGCTATTTTTGTGTGCAGTCATTGGTTACTGGGCTAAGACCATCAACTCACTAGACTTGAGAACAGAGGTTAAATCCAGTCAGGCTCAAACCCCAGATTCAATCTTGACATATCAACCATTACAAAGCAGTGCCTCTGCTACGCTATTCGCCTCCCTGATCCACCCAGGCACCTCCAAGATGTACTCTTTAGTTTTGTCGGTAAAGTCATGTAGTTAAAAAATAAAATAAATGAAAAAACAACTGAATTAAATCACGACGTTTTGGAGGCAACACAAGCTTCCGTCTTCAGGTGGAACCGTCACAGCAAAATTACTGTATCAAGTGACGGTTTCACCTGAAGACAGAAGCTTGTTTTGCCTCCGAAACGTCATGATGTAATTCAGTTGATTTTTCATTTATTTTAATTTTATTTTTACCTACGTGACTTTACCGAAAAAACCAAAGAGTATGAATCCTTGCAGTCACGAAAACTTCTAATCTAGAACCTCCAAGATGTGTCAATCGCTCTCACGGTCTTTACATGCGATGGGATGTCACCGTCCAAACACGCAGTCACGTACGCATGTACGTAGAACTTCGTTCGCACCGTACATAGCCGACCGTGCTAATCGGAGGTGCGGTCACAATGATCGTATTGTGTACATTCTTAACACGGAGAGACAGTGTTGTGCGTTTATTTTGCGAGCACGTACATCCCAGGACGCCCATGTTGAGCCGATCGTTGATGTGAGACATCTCATCCTGCGGTAGAAAAAAATATATAAGCGGAGAGAGCTGTTAACATGGTCCCTAAAAGAACGCAACACAACCAGCACTTACTAATTCAATAAATGACCTAATAAGTCAGGAATGGTAGCAAGTGGCTGCTATCCGGCGCTCTGGAGTTGGGAGCAGTAGTGTAGCGGTTAGTGCACTGCGATACGTACCCGGCGACCCGAGTTCGATTCCCGCTCATGGCCAACACCAGTGAAAAAACGGTCATGGGTCTCCCTTAGGTTAACTTCGCCTGAAATAAGTACCCGGTGCGATGTGTAAGCCTGGCCACCCACCCCCCTCCTGTGACGTGCCGGCCTTCATAAGTGCTCGCGAACAGCACTTCTTCAACAGTTTGTTAAAGCTATATGGAGGATTTTGTCTTTGTAGGGGCAAGAGGTTGCAGACCACAGAGATATGCGAGACTAATTAAATCCGCCAGGGCTGCGAGATGGCGAGGAAGTGACAGTAGGGCAATCGAGTTCATAAACCTGTCCAGGCTCGTACAATGAAATAATGACTTGGTAATAAATACAGATAACCATATTATGCAAGTGTTATGGGTTAGTATGCAAGTCAATAAAGGTGCTAGGGGTCTTTGTGGAAGTCAAAGAAGGCCTCTGTGTACGCCTACATAAATTGAGGGATCTCTATGCAATTATGGGACTTTTAATTTCAAAAACCTGTTTATAATGGCCATCTGTTTATGTTATGGGTCTTTAAGATAAGTCTACAGGTCTCTGTGTGTCTATGTCTACAGGTCTCTGTGTATATCTGTAGGTCTCCAAAAGTCCATGGGTCTCAGTTGCAAGTCTATCCAAGTGTGTTATGGGTCCCTATACAAGTCTATGTTGTTTTGGGATCCCAATTTAAACCCAGTCCACTCATGTCAATGGCCTTGAACGTGGCTAAAAAGAGGTCACTGGACTATGGACTCTGCGTACCTGAATTGGCTATGGCTGTCATTTAGTGTGCTACTGGACATCTGTGAAAAAGAGCTTCATAGCTCAATAATTCTTCCCGTCTAAATAAATATTCTGATAAAGATTCTGACTCACGCTCAGCAGTGTGGTATCTCTACGGAACTCCATCAGCTCTTCGCCCAGCTTCGTCTGATTTTCATGTAGCATGTCTGTGTGTAAGCATACAACATACGCATCATACACACACACACAATAAACAGTAATGATATCGTATATATTAGGGATGTCATCGATAAAAGTGTGTGTTTTATGCTTACGATACCATCATTTGTGTAGTAAGACTGATTTCGAGTCATACATGTTTACATACATATTTTCAAATACCACTGATGATTCAATATATTCACAGTCGCACAGACACAGTGCATCCGTTCGTCAACATCACCCACCCACCCCTCACCGAATTTGACGTCGACCGACTTCTCGAGCTGCTCCAGGCGCTCGGCGAGGCGGCCCAGCATGCTCCGCAGGAAGGCGAGCTCCTGGTCGCGCTGCGTCAGCGACAGCCGCATCTCGCCAAAGCGCTCCTCGCACGCGCGCAGGTAATCGCTCACCGCCTCGTACCGGCAGCGCGACAGGTGTGCCGGCACCGTGTCGTCGTTCCCCACGAAGTCGCACCTGTGTGCGTGCGTGCGTGCGTGTGTGCGGTGGTGGAGCGGTTATAACTCGCTGGGCTGCGAACCCGGCGACCCGTGTTCGATTCTCGCTCACGGCCAACATTGGTGACGATTATCTGAAACCGGTCCTGGGCCTCCCCCTAGGTCGACTCAGCCTCAAATGAGTGTAAAATCCTCGCCACTGGGCAGACAAAGGCGGTCGGGTGTGGTGCTGGCTACCCACCCCCTCGTGTACCTTGCTGGGCTTCATAGGTTCTCGCTAACAGCACTTGGCCCAACAGGCCATACGGAGGATCTTTGTCTTTGTGCGGGGAGTAGTAATGCAGCGGGTAGCGCGCTGCGTTACGAACCCGGCGGCCAGAGTTAGACTCCCGCTCACGGCCACCATCAGTGACGATACACATAAGTACATTAAACCGCGGCATCAGCATCCCTTAGAGGGCAAGGCTGTGGCACATTATACAGACGTGGCTTTGTGAGATCAACAGTCTTCATGCTCTACTGAACAAGCATAAATACCCATATTCACAGGTAATTCTGTCCATGAGCGTGCGTGCACGTACTCCTGTATTTTGTGTGCACGCCTGTGTACTTGTGCGTTTGCGTGTAAATGCACGCACCCGTTCCGCATGTGCACGTGTATCTTGAATGCGAGTGTACACGTGCGTGCGTGTACATGTGCGTGCGTGTACATGTGCGTGCGTGTAGACGCACCCGTACTTGGCGTGCGGACACTTGATGTGCTTGCACTCGCGCAGGTGGGCCTCCAGGTGAGTCCAGAGCAACGGGGGGCAGTCGGGGTTGTTGGGGCATTGAACGGGACGGTATTCGCAGGTCTCCTCGTGCTCCCTGCGGGCGCCACCAACAAGAGCAACACTTGCAACAACAACAATCACCACCGCCACGGGTGTTACCAACACCACAACCACCACCACCAACAACCGCCACTGTCATTACCACCACCACCACCATCTACAACAACCGCCACTGCTGTTACCACGACCACTGTCGTTACCACCACTACTACCAACGACAACCTCCACTGCTGTTAACACCACAACCACCACCAACAATAACCACCACTGTTGCCACCACCACCAACAACCACCAGGAATAGCAACCAACCCGACTATCGTGACCGCAACCAATATTACCGGCAAACATTGCCCCGACCACTAACACCACTAACAACCGTCGGTGTGACCATCACAACAACAAACGCCGTCGCCGTGACCATCACCATTAGTACAAAAACAATCCATAATCAACGTTGTTGGGTTAGATCGCGTTATTTATAAATGTGTCGTAACCCTCTACCACCTGACATGGCCAATCAGCAAAAAAAGTGTCACGTTGACAAAAGACAAATAGTTCACTGCTTTAGCCCAATTCTGGCGAATTGCCCGATGATGCTGGATGCAATTACTAGCGAAACGTCGTACTCAAAAATTGTAAATGTCATGGTTTCACGCTTCAACACACCGGTGGGCTAAAGCAGTGAACTAATTGTCTTTTGTCAACGTGACACTTTTTTTGCTGATTGGCCGTGTCGGGTGGTGAAGGGTTACGACACATTTATAAATAACGCGATCTAAACCCAAAAACGTTGATTATGAATAATATTGGTCGCGAAAGCCGACGTGTTAAACTGACAAAAACAATCATTGCCACCACCACCACCTCCACAACAGCAACAACCACTGCATGCCCCACACCCGCGCGCATCCCATCTCGCTTCTCGGCAGTGCCCGTACTTGCGTAGGCACATCTTGATGGTGATGGGGCAGCCCTGGGGGTCCGATTCGTAGTCGTAGGACCCCGACGGCCGGAAGAGGGGGGCGGCCGTGGCGCCCAGCGGGTTGCCCGCAGGGCGGCAGCCGTACTTGCAGCGGACCTCGAGCTCGCCCACCTGCTCCGCCACGGCGATGTTGCTCACCACCACGCTCAGCTTGGCTAGGTCGGCCGGGCACTTGTCTGATGCAATCGTACAACGCAAGCCTCGAGTCACAAGAGTACGTCGGCTTTCCAGCCCTTCACGACTGTCTGTAGATATGGCGCGCGAGGGGATCGTGTTTCAAGTTTACAGGTTTCACCTCGCTCTGTGCGGTAGAAGATGACTTCCAAAAAAATGGCGCACAAAGCGAAACCGCACAAGGATACACACAGTAAACACACAATACACACACACAGAATACACACACAGTACACACGGTGTTGACCCACGTCCGACCGCATAGCGACATGAGTGAATTTAACCCACATTATACAGCGCATTTTGGGAATAAATAGGTTAGCAGCATCTACGCGAAATCACATAGACTGAACCCGCATTGAGCGAGGGAAACTTGTACTTTGTGTAACCAGGTGAGAGCTCAAGGAACCAGGCTAATCTCATTGACAACAGTCACCTGGAGCATGAGTCTGCCAGGAGATGGCAATGACTGCTATGTATCCCAATTGAGTAATTTTGCGGTTAATTTTCGAATTTGGCAAAATTTGAACCCTGACACCGGCACACAAGTGGCCCCGTTCTTGCGAACGGACCTCGCGGGATCTTCAAAATCCACTGCGAAGCGGACGGTGCGTTTAATTAGTGGCTGTTACAGCCGCGGTAATAATCAGGGCGGCCCCAGGATTCGAACCGTGAACCTGTGTAACAAGCGGCAATCGTACTCACGTTGGGGCCATGACAATCACCCAGCCCTCCAGCACCATAACCGGCCAACGCTGTCTCTCCAGCACCAGGTACTTCAGTTAGGCCTAGGGGAGGCCTAAAACCCCTTTTCTATCATGTGCCACCGATGTTAGCCGTGGCTTGAAATCGAATTCACCAGGCTGGTAGTGCAGCGCGCTAACCACTACGCCAGTGCTCCCCACAGTTACACGTGCGTAAACAACGCAGCGTCTTAAACCTGCTTACACCGACGGCTACAAGATACAGATGCAGAGCAATGAGCTTGAGTGCTAAAATGTTCATCGTCGTGTGTGGTCGATTGTACGGTAAATGCTTACCGGCCGTCAAGGTGCATTTTCGACAAAACGTGTGCTGTTAAGACGAGAAGAAGTCACACAGAGTGGAGAAAACATTACCGACAAGGATGACCACATCACCAAAGCATTACCTAGCGCTTTAACGACGAGATCGGCTAATGCGCAGGCGCCAGATGGATTGCTGCGTCCCAAGACTGTGAGAGGCAATGCCAGACTTAGGAGGCGGCCGTTATCCCAGCAGTTGGGACGTAAGAACATGGCCGACGAGATTCACGAAGACGGAGTTTACGAATGGGCTCCGGCGAGCCCCGCAGTCGCGTTCACGACAACGTAGCATCACGACCGCGGTCTAGAATGTTGACCATTCATCGACCCATATCATAGGGGTTGAACTCGTCAAGTGCTGAACTCATCATTTTGCGCGCGGTTGCAAGTTGCTTTGCTCAGTCGGTGTCAGCCGCCGAGGGCGTGATGGGTTTATTTTTAATTCCTGTTGCTGTATTCCCCCTGTACCGTGCCCGATCCTCTGTCAAGTGCACCGATGTCGACTTTATTGAGGGCGATATTGGCACGTAAAACAAAGATCGATCGATTGATTGAAGTGCCCCGTAGGAACGGACGGGACTCGAACCCAAACCCTGGCCCCCTGAGGCGGGGTGCGGCGGCGGCGATGGCGTGATGGCACAATGGCGGCGTAGCTCACGCACCCCGCAGGTGGTGATGACGGGATCGCGGTAGACGCGTCCGCACAGCTGGCACGTGAGCTTCCCCGACGGCTGGTCCACGAACACCAGCGGCTCCTGAGAGATATCGGGGGCGGCGATGAAAGAGGACGGGGTTAAGAGTTTGGGTTGGTGTTACAGTTCGAGGGTAGGGTTTAGGAGTTACGGTTAGTTAGGCTCGGTGTAGAGTGAGGGTTGGTGTCGAGTGACGGTTAGTGTTTAAAGGTTAGGGCTTGGATTCAGGGATAGTTGTAGGGTTAAGTGTTCGGTTAGGAATAGGGTTAGGGTTAGTGTTCAAGTTAAGTTACAGTTGAGGGGTTTTGGGTTAATGTTAGAATTAGGTTAGCGCTTGGGTGTAAGGGTTAGCGTGAGGTTATTGCTTTTAAAGTCTCACTGCACAGGCTCCCAAGAGCTGGCGTCTTAGATTGAGGATGAGATGATAATTTGAGTTAAATTCAGGTTTTTAGGAGGAGTTCTGTTCATTTTTGGGGTCATTATTAGTGTTGTGTATGGGTTACCAAGGTGTATATTTATAATTGTGTTAGGATTAATGATCGGATTAATCCGATTCTCTTCTATCACCTCCGCTTCGAATAACAGTGTCACCTTGACAACCCTCCCTGTTGCCCGAGCAACACCTTTCCCTGCACTCACCTGCTGCTCCTCCTCCTCAGGACCGTGCAGGGAAAACGTGGAGCGGATCGAGAGCGTGGACTCGGAGTGCAGAGAGTGCACGGAGATGGCAGAGTCTGACCGCCGGGATCCAGTTCCGGGATGCTTGAGTTGCCGAATGAAGAAAAACCAAAAAGTCAATGTAATTAATAATATTTAGAATTAATATGTTAGCATGGTTTTATACAGATTCCTCTTACATTTTCAATAATACGAGCTTTTTATATCCATACGTATGCCAGCCCTGGATGAATCTCAAGACTCTTGTCCAGGTGTCCTCTTTAAAATGTTGGGGCAATGACTTTCACTCCAAACTGTGACGATCCGCTGAACTGCAAGGGGCCTGAATCGTTCCAACCGCAACCCCCGAGTCTGCCACGTGGGATGACGCAATCGTTCCTCCCCTTGGGCCCCCCCCCCCCCGAACCCTCACTCCCCTCCCCCCATCCCTGTGGTGCCGTCGTCTATGCCGTGGGGGAGGTGGGGGGGTGTCAGTGTCCTCATTCGCCCGTACCGGTTCTCCGTCTCGTGTCGGGTGGCTACTCGTGGGCCCTGCTGGCGCGGCGCTCGCCCTGTGCTGTGTGAACGAGCAGCTGTTGTCAGCTGCGGTAGGAGAAGGCGTCAGGGAAGGGGGTGGGGGGAGAGACACACAGAGTGGAATCACACGGCCCCCGTCTGGTAGATATAAGCCTAAGGCTGTCCTCTGCCCAGAGGTCGCAACCGGGTACCCGATACCCGTACCCTACCTGATACCCGGCCACCCGTACCCGGCCGGGTATGGGTACGGGTACCCATTTGCGACCCTGGTGCGGCCGGGTACGGGTAAGGAATCAAAACCCGTTTGCGACCTCTGCCTCTGCCTCCCGGGCTATTCGATACGAGCTTGAAGTTCCGCGAGTGGCGCAGAAGACCCGCGTCGGTATCTGATGCTCAAAGGCTGAACGTGTGCGTGATCTCAGTTTACTAACACCGCTGCATTGATGCGATGCAGTACAAAGTCTTGCATCGGAATCGCTGGGGACTCTGGTATAGGCGGATTTTTGAAAAGGTGAACATCTACAGCAAATAAAAGTTACACCGCTATGCACAAAATATTGCACTGCGTGTGGGCAGCTGATTGATCGGAGCGGATATGTGATGGTCGGATATGCGAAATTGCACTCCATTAAACTGTATTGGGTTGGCGGCACAGCGATGGCACCAGGACTATAATCACACGCTTGGCTCTGACTGTAAAAGTCTCATTTCATTGATGAGCCGATACACGCTGCAGAGAAATGTTGACGTTTATCTTTGATATAACATCGAATAATTTTCTGCTTGCGATATTTTCAATTCTTCGTACGATATGGAATTGCGTCATATAGCGTTTTCGTTTTTTTTTCCCCCTGATTACCGTTATCCTTAGTTGCTGTACTATGTTTTGGTTTGTGGTTTGCTTTTGTAATTCTTTTGACCCAGGTCACTCCACTCTTGCAAATGAGACTATACCCTGCTCCCTTGACTTCTCACCTGGTTGAAACAAAATAACATTGAGCGGAAGCTGCACACACACCGTGACGATCTCTTTGTGACTCCGCCCCAAACCCACGACCTCGATAGCAAAGCTCGAAGCGGTACGCTGAATGTCCCGCCCCCCCCCCCGTTGCCACCGAGTCAACGAGAGAGAAGGAAGGTGTCAATGACACGCGTCTCTCCCTGTGAAACCCGAGGCGTGACTCCAGGCAGAGCTGGATTCGGTTAAACGAGCATTTTATAGAGCCGCATCGTTCTTGCAAAATGCATCTCACAACACTCGGAGGTGTGCGTATATATTATCCCGTGCCAAGACGTCTGCAAGTTGCAGGGTGGGGTGTCCCGTTCGCCGACGATACTCGGAACGTGCGACCGGTTCGCGTTAATTTCATTTAGAGAGGCTTAGCACCGTTGTTTTTAAAGACATTGTACTCACCACAGAGAACTATAGTGACACGACCGCACTCTATGATGGTTGGCGCCAAACCGTGCCACCACACAACCTCCTACGTGGCTATTTTCTTCCGTTTCCGTTCCGCAAGGTTCACATCACTGAACCGTTAACAGTTTTTGGGGGCACAGTCTTTGCACATTCAACTCTGGTCCCTTTAGTGGTTGACCACCACTCGTGCCCGACACTAAACACTCAAGTGTTATTTATTGAGGTTAGCGCATGTGTGGATTTTAAATATCATAGAAATATGAATGCTACGCCAAATCAAAGTTCAAACGAACGAAACCATTTTAACGTTGGCACATTATCGGTAGTTAATACTCACAGCAATGCTAAGGCTTTAATTACAAAGTTGCCTGTAGGATTTACCACCGTGCTGAAAATTTGTGTTTTAAGCGTTACAAAGCTGTTTTTATATTTACTCGTTTGTGGGGAGGCGGGAGACGGGGGGGGGGGGGCCCTCAGAATCGTGAGGCCCCGGGCTGCTGCCCCTAAAGCATCCCCGGAATGAATCGGAACCCCTGCACGACTGGAAGGGCGCACGAGGGCTTGGACAGGGCGAGTGGCATGGGGCGGTTGCGCCGCAGCTGTGCCCCATGGACGTGGCCGCTCTCCCCTTTTATAGACACGGCCCGGCCGGCCGGCTGCCCTCCCCACGCGCGGCGAGACGGCACATGCAACAAAAAAGAAAAAAGCCCCACGCTCGCCTGCAATAAATAATAATCAAAATTTGCAGCCCCATTTGTCCATCCACTGTTGTTGGATGAATGTTTCCCTACGCAGGTGTTAGACATGTGGGGGGGGGGGGGGTTGGTTTGACCTTTCTTTACCACACAAGACGTGGGTGGTGGCCCAGGACTGGTGAGGATATCACTGCGGATTTTATAGACGTGGCCGGGGGGGATCGAAATGAGGTCCCCGCAAGGTTCACATCACTGATCCGCCGCTACACTCGCATGTACACCGTGAATATACGGTCATGTCAGACGGTAAGAGCGACCTCGCTGCTTCAACGAGCCACGTATGCATGTTGAACTTTTTTCGCACCCTACGTAGCCAACCGTGCTAATCGGAGGTGCGGGTGAAGGACAACAAACTAAACACAAAAATCAGTTCTAATGAAATTAGTTTTCAACTTAGATTTGAAAGTGCATAGGTCCAGCGGTTTCCTAATAGCGGAAAGGAAGAGCGTTCTGGATGGCCGCAGAAGCGCATCTGAAGCGATGCCGCCTATCCTGAGCAATTGAGATTCCACAAAGCGGTGGACGTTTTGTTTGATGATCATTTCGTTTTGTTTGATGATCATTTAAGAATGTGTGACATGCTAATAGGGTTTTTCTCCTTTTTTCTGGCAACAAAACTGACACCTTTTGCAAGGAATCGTGTTTACATTAACCACAATACTTCCAGTCAAATGCAAACAAAAAACAATACTCTGATAATTTATGCATTGTCTTTGAAACTGATTGGTCCACACCAGAGACAGCTTTCTTTGGAGCCTAGTCTCATATGGTGTTTGACCAGATGACGCCAAATGTGTGACATGCACAACAGCTTTCATTCGCTCCCAGGGAGAGAAAGAGAGTGCAGAAAGGACGATTTAGAGGTGTGGGAAACCCCAGACAAAGCGGTAAGGCAAACAGGGCCGGTGCGACCAACAACCGCCGATTGCATCGCAAATTGTTCTCAACCAGGTCAAGTCTGAGCTGCCTCGGTTTTAATTGTTTGATTGACTTGACGACAAAGTTGACGAGGATGAACCGCTGTAGCCGTTTACAAAGTGTGCCTATGTAACAACAGCGGCCGCCGTTCGCCACTCGGCGGCGGTGGCGTCACCACAGGACTTGTGCCAGGCTCGGTGAACATTGTGTTTGTGTTAGCATACAAGTCTACCTTACATAGTCCAATGTCTAAAAAAAATCACAGGAACATAAGGGCGCAGCGGTGGAGTGGTTGGCACAGTGGTCTGTGCACTGCACCATCAACTTGGCGACCTAAGTTCAATTCCTGACACCAGAATCAGAATTCTGGGCACTCCCCCCCTTCCTTCACCAAACCCGAACTGACCGGCATGGTGAAGTATGGTCAAACCGCCCCCGTGACCAACACAGCATGGAGGGAGGCTTTCATCCAATAGTGGGCTGTGAATTATTATTCATTATTGGGGCAAGTGCCGGCAAGGTACATGACGGGGTGGGTGGCCAGCACCACCCCGACCACCTTTGTGTCCCCGGCGGCACTCATTTGAGGTTAAGTCTACCTAGGGGAGGCCCAGTACTAGTTCAGATAATCATCACCGGTGTTGGCCGTGAGCGGGTCGCCGGATTTTGTAGCGCAGCGCGCTAACCACTACACCACCGCTCCCCATCACACACACACGCACGTAGACACACAGCACTGTATATGCATAAACACACATATAAACACACACGTTCACACTGGCAGGGTAGAACACGCAAGGGAAACGGAGGAGAGATGTGCGTAGAGAATGAGTCCTCTGTTCTCGCGGCAAAACTCGCCCGCTTTTTTTTTCCGTTGGCCTTTTTTGCACTGCCCCATCTGGTTCCCATTAACATCTGCTGCAAACTCACAGCCAAGTGCGACTTGTTTAACCCAGAGTAACTCAAGCTATGCGAGAATTCTCCTCCGCGTGGCGCCAAATTTAATTAGGAAATTAAGATGGCTTTAGGAATGATATTTTAACATTCTTGGGCAACATACGTGTCGACGTTTTTGAACCACGAACGTGTACGAAAGCACAACATGGAATCGCAAATCCAAAGGGTAAAAAGTTGACCAAATCCCAAGGGTTCGCGACTCCACGCATGCCTAACTACCACTTCCATAGGACGACCGCTTATCTGAGCCAAGGCTGGGGGATTTGAATCTGTGACCTGCCTGATTAGGTCATTATGCGTCACAAGTAAACACAGTACAGTAAGTCCCCGGGTTGCGGAAAATCCGACTTACAGAAATCCTAATTTACGGAAATGCTCCCAGAAATCATGTTACAAAAATGTCAATATCCGGAAATGTATGCGTTCGTTATGTAAGCACAAGTAGTGCAACGCGGTGAGGTTGCGGATGAATACTGCCTTACGCCCCGCTCTGCCAAAACGCCGCCTTCACAGAGCCAAAGCTTCACTGGGATTAAGTTAATGATAATTGTTCGTAGCGTTACGTAATTATTTTCCTTTTGTAACATACAGCACTGTAGGATACAGTACTGAGATAACAAGTAAACCCGTAAAAACAAAGTTTTTCACTATAAATCCTTTATATGCGTGGCGGCTAGAGTCTTCTCGTCCTCTGGCTTGAGATGGCTGCCACCTATGGGTCAGATGATTGTCTGCCAGTATTAAGCAATTGGTAATTAAATATTTAATTTGTTTTCCCTAAACAGTGTAAAATTTTGGAAAAAAAATTTCACGAAAATTAATTGTCACACACAACGAGTATGTGTGGAAAATGTCAGCTCGATTGGATCACGGGAAGTGGGTTAAAAAACGAGCGAAAGATTTGCACGGTCCTAAGCAAGCAAGCGAACTTAATATAAAGGATTTAAAAATATATTCGCCTGTGGAGGACGCGGGGATCGATCCCGCGACCTTTGGCATGGGAAGCGAGGGCGCTA